TGGCAATCGGAGCTCTTCGGTCGCCGGAAGATGCTTGTGACATTGATTGAGCCCGGCTATCCGGACGAGACTCTGGATTGGGTGACTGGTAGTTGTGCATGATGGGCGAGAGAGTCGGATGGATAANGGGAATATGCAAGACAGTATGAGCGCGGTCAACGCCAATGGCCTCAACAGGTTCTAGATGTGAATAATCGTGAGTGGCATCAGATGGGTTGAAAGAGTCTTCAACACTCTCCTCTGCGATGAAAAATGGATTGTTCTCAGGATCGGCTTGCATGGCGGGTGAAGGTGCAGGTGACTGTGCCCAAGGCGAAGGTGGGTATTGCTCATATTCTTCATAATTTGAACCGCGTCGCTTGTTGTTGTCCATCTGGGAGAAAATTGTTCGGAAGTTGCCAAAGGGCTGAGATGTCTTGCTAGTGGTATGAGCTAGCGGCGGAGGTGGTAGAGGCTGTTGGGCTTTTGTTCTTGTCGAACGTTGTCCAGAAACAATGTTCTCATCCTGTGAGCTGTTGGACGGACTCTGACTATCCTGATCATTGTTTGAATAATCACGGGTTAGTGTTATCAGCTTGCCCCTTTCCAACACTCTGTTGATACCGCTCGTATCAATTAGACCATCGAGCTCAAAATCTAGACCCTTCAATATAGGATAGACAGCCAATTGAGCTGGCTGGCTGTAGCCGCCAACACTACTGAATTCAGGTTCGCTGACGGATGTACTACGGTAGTTGTGAAGGCGATGATCAAGACCTGGAGACGGCATGGGCGGGTTTGTTAAGCTTGGCGCATGACTGAGGGTGCGTGACGGCATGCTTGGGCGCAATGCAGACCCAGGACGCTGCGGTGTATCGGCAGAAGTGAATCCGGCGTATGAATGGCGAGACTCGAGGCTTGGGCGGATGCGATTCAGAGGAGATGGATCTGGAGTTGAGCGTGGAGGCAGTGACGTGATGGAGGGCGCCGGCTGGTTTGAAGCCTGGCTTTCACTAGAGTCGTCCTCGCGGCCAGCAACATTAAATGTAGTCTTTTGACCCCACGGCACGTTCTCAATATCATTCGAGTCGGCAGGTAGAGCCAGACTTGCACGGTCCGCCTTGTAGACATCGTTCATAATGTTTGCCACTGCTGACCACCAGGCTTCCAAGCCAGGCTCCGAGTTAAGCTGTAAGACAAGATCGTATACATTTGGGGTAGGGAAGCGAGGGTCCTGACTTGGCGCAAACTCGAAGTCCTGGGGAGCAAAGGCTGCACCAGTGGCAGCAGGGGTGGTCGCACCAGACATTGGGGCACCACCAGGAGTGCTGCTGTCACCAGACTGGGCGGCCGAGACGGTCGGCGACAAGGCAGTAAAGGGTTGATGGAACGACGACGACCATGTGCGCGGAGTACCAGGAACGTATGGAAAGGGATACGAAGGTGTGCGCAGGGGCATAGCAGCCGGAGTAGCGGCAGCGCTTCCGCGGATAGTACGAGACGACGAAGAAGTTGACTCGGTAGAGGCAGTCTGAGTGGTGGCTAACGGGCTGCTGAAGGCTGCGGTAAGGGGAGATACAGTGGCATGTTCCTCTTTGATAGGCGAGGGTCTACGAGGCACCTGGCTAGAAGTGCTGGAACGGCTGACGGAAGGCGACAATGAGTCGGGCTGAGGTTGATAGAATTGTTGCTGCTGCTGCTGTTGAGCGGCTAAATTGGCCTTTGCCCGCTGCAAATTAGAGGTCATCCTGGCAGTGACGGCAGCACGCAGGCGTGCAATTTCTGCCTCGTCAGGACTGACCGAAGGAGCGCTGGCGTCTGGTGACTGCGATGGCTCGTTTATGGTCGGGGTGTTTGAGCTGAGCGGCGGCGAAGGACGCAGCACTGGGCGCGACTGGACTTTGGCGGCGGCAGTGACAGCAGGAGAGGCGGCAGCGGCAGCGACGTGGGCGGTGTTTGCAGGGGTCGCGCTCGGCGTGGCGTCATCGTCGTCGTCGGCATCGTCGTTGTACGGCGGCGGCGGCATACTCGAAGGCATGTCGGGGCCGGCGGTTGTGTTAGGCAGGCCAGTCATCCCCCTTCGGGCTCGTGGTCTTGTTCAGCAAAGCAGCGCGCAGATGGGCCCGTTGACAAAGGACGCATCAGCAGCTTCGGCAGGAACAACGACAGGAGCGACAGGCGGGGGCCGGACACGGAGATGGAGACGACACGGCTCGACTTGGGCTCGTCGTCGAGAGCGTGGGCGGATATCCGAGTGGATCGAGAGTTGCGACTCTGGGCCCTCTGGTTCGTGCTATGGGACCTTCCTTGAAAGCGTGTGGCAGCCGCAGGCTTGAAACGCCAGCCCTCAAGTGCCTGCTTGGCCCTCGTCATCGCAAATAAGACGAACTCAATTTGCGTATCCTCCTGTGCGCCCTTTCAGCAGATCATCAGAAGATACAAAACTCCATTGCCAACTTCAGTCCATCTTCGTCATCTCCATCTTGTTGCGCTGCCATGTTCCATCGGACTGAAATCTGCTGTCTGCTTTGCGTCTGTCTTGAGCCTCTGTACTCGGCTTTCGCTGCCCTTGATCTTTATACAACGTTTGTGCATTATTTACACTTTCCAACCACCACTCTCCCACTCGCTGCCTCACAATCTCCCGTATCCTACACGTCTCTTATTTGTCGCGCCTTGATTTTCTATATCTTGACTCGTTTTATCTCCACGTCTGGTCTCGTTGTCTCAGCTCGAAAAGCCGTCGATGGTCTGCAATCGTCGATGTGCTTTGTCCAGACCGTGTCGGAACGTTCTCGCCATGTTTTTGTGGCGCTTCCAGACACAACATGTATGCATGTCCGCTCGCTGCTTGCAACCGACCTTTGGCTCTGGCCTTAAAGTCCCCTGATTATGGTCTATATCGCTGCTTCCCCTTACCGCGTTGTTGCTCACTGTGTTGTTCAACCGCTGGGCAATCGTGGTCGGAGATTTCGTCTTGGAAGCTTCCTGCCCACGACTCGTTGTCGGCCATGCGAGAACTGCTCCTGAACGACACGAACAAACGACTACGTGCGAGTGCCTTTGTCCACGCGACTGCGGGTGTCCGTGACAATATATGTGCGCGGTCAATGGCATTCCTCCTCTGGTGGCATGCGATTTCTCAAATCATATAGATCGATGAAGCCTGGACCCGGCTGCCCACCTTGTTCTTCAGCCTCTTTTCGCAACACTGCCCTATTCGTCGTTTGATGCAAAGAATTGTTTTCTAATTCTCGAGAGTCAGTCGTCTTGTCTGCTTCCGTGCCATCTGCGCTCCTCGCTCCTCTCAATTCACCAAAGTTATGCATCGAATAGGTATCCTGCGGACTTGGGTCCGAGCCATCACTGAATGCTTCAAAAACAGCACGCTGTCATCGGTCATCACTGCAATCGATTGTGCGTATTTGCAGTGACAACGAAACAGCCACTGTGTCATTGTCAATCAGATAGCTCAAGCCCCCTTTTCAGAGAGATCGGTGAACCTCACGCCGATCACCTGTCACGATCCTCCGCTGGTAGATCGTGGTTCCCCGGGAAAATACACACACAAATGTCTTCACATCAGGGTCGCGTCTGGTAGAAGCATACCAAGCAGTCGAACTTCACGGTAGCTTCTCTCGTCAAGCATTAGTGTGCGTTGTATGGCATGATTGACTGACTGACTTCTAGCAACTCGAGAAGAAGTCCGAGAGCCTTTAGTGGACAGGTTGAAGCCTTTGGTACTTCTAGCATGAGGGATGTCCGGAGTTTTATCGTCTTCAGGGTTCACCTGCATCCGTGTTGTCAAGATGTTGCTTCTTTTCTGCTTGGCCTTCTTGGTCGTAGGTTTGACAAGGGTCCAGAATTACTTGTAGGTCATCTTTATTATCTCTTCTGCCGGCCTTTTCTTCACCTATAGGTATAGACGGCATGGATTTCGTGCTTGCAAAACGTCTTTCATTTGGCCATCATCTTGCCTTTGCAGATTGCTGTTGCATAAAACACGCCCGCGGTACTTTTGACGTAGTCAATGTGTTCGGAAGAAAGGCATAGTGGCAGATCCAGAAGTCAACAAGAGGTGTTGAGAATGTTTATGTGTTGCAAACAGAAGCCACTAGTGTTGCCTTCAGTGTCTTCAACGCTTGGTAAACATCTTTCGTGCTCCTAATGTCTGCGGTGTCTGTGGAATCAGGTTGTTGCACTGTGGTGTTGTTTCTTCTGCGATTGATAAACGCCGTGTGACCATTTTACTTGAAAGACCATTATCAGTGCGTCAGCATCCTTGTGAGACATACACACTTTCTTGTTATATCCACCGAGAATTTGGTAGAAGATGCACCTCAAAGAAGAATTCGATATAGCGCAACAACGCAAGGTCGAAGCTCATATGTGAGCCATTACAGATGACAACAGATGGCCGTTTGTTTATCAGCATGGTTATCTGGTATACACAACATGACATAGTCATGCTATAGGCGTTTGGGCCTAAGGAATCATAGTTGAGGGTATCACCCTGTCTTTCACGGGTTCGAGCTGTAACACTCCAATCGGCTCTGCCTTAGTGACAACTACAATAATTTTCTTTGCAATATACAGTAGCATCAAGGTAGTTTAGAGAGGACCATATATGGTTCTTGAGTTTCGTATGCTAACCTGAATCGACTATAGGTGCAAGAGGCCCGCAACACCTCCCATATTGTTCTTGTTCGCTGCACTACAGAACCGCGCGCATACGTACGAGCGGGATAGAGTTTGGCTGGATACCCGGACCATGGAAGACAAGATCTGAAGTGGTTGGTTTGTATTGGTATGTATCGTTCATCCTGGTCGCTCTCTTTCGTCGTTCAAGACTTTTGATCTGCGGGCAAGGATTGTGCTCGACAAAGCTGCTAGCCGAATTGGCTCCTTGGAAGCGTATGGCAAGCGAAGCTGCTTTATTCTGACACTGGGTCATGAAGGCTGAGCACAGGGTGGCCAGCGGCGCTCGTGTGGATTGTTTGGCCATGTCTTTCAGAAATCGCTCAGCTCGTTCTGCGCCATTTGGTTTCATCAGAAGCATCTTCACCGTTAACGTCGTCACCATCATCGGCATCCTCGAATTGGTCGGCAGTTCTGACTGAACCAGCACCAGCACCAAGGATTCCGCCTTCGGGCATACGGAACTCGCCATTTTCGTCCATGAAGTCTTGCAAGTTCTCGGAAGTGATCCAGCCACCAGTTCCCGGCTCGGGTTCCTGCTCTTGCTCTTGGTCATCCTCATCGGGATCAGGGTGCAGGTCGGCACAGTCAGACACGGCCGTGAATAGCTTCTCGGCAGCGTCGTTCGGGTCGCTGTCGCCCAGAGGCTCAGGNNGGGTCAACAAAAGCTCAACAGTCTCGAGGTCATCATCGGCGGTTTGCGAAATGTCGCTCAAACATAGTTGGAGGTACAAGGCGTTTTGTTGACGAGCGTGCAGAGAAATGGTTCGGTATGGGATCTGGACACCCTGGCCAGCGGTCGAGCTCCACANGGATAAGAAATCTGATCTCGGTAAGCTCATGGTCGAGGTATGGTCTGATAGCACTTACTCTGATGTTACCCAGATAGAGATGCGCGTGATGGTAACCTCGACTCTGGGTTCCTCGCCGTCGCCATTGGTATGCGAGTGAGGAGAGGCGTGAGGGGCAGCGCCAGGACCGGCAGAGGTGCGCAATGCTTGCAGGGCAGCGTTGGTGGCCAAGTCGCGTTCCGACACCTTCAAGGTAGCATTTTGGACGCGGTGGTGCAAAACGGCTTTTGCGTCGTAGAAGCTGCCCGGTGTTTCTTGTTGGTGTGCCTCGAGGCTGGTGAAGTCGTCTTCGCGCGGTGTCTGATCTACGACTCTCAATGCACCGCTCATGTTTGCGATCTGAAAGGTGCTTGTTGGATGCGACAGAACGTCAGGCTTTCGCCCTCGAGCGGCGAGCTTGCGCTTGCATGTGAAATGCTTGTTTGCCTTGTTTGTTTCGCAGAAAGAGGCACAGCACGGAGCCACCTCCAGCTCTCTCCGTCAAACATGTTTACCAGTCACCATTCCGTCTCTCCACCAACACGACCATGTCACCATGTTGGTCCACGTCTCCTCAACCATCACATACTTCGATTACGAGGCAAAAACTCAATTCGGTTCATGAATCTCCCTATCCGCAAGGCTTTCCTTCTGGAAGTTCCGTGATTTCGCAAAATCTTCCCAATCCAGCCTGACAGCTTGGCACAACACGTTGTAGCCGAGGTTAATCATCTCGCAACTCGCTAGACACTTCCTAATCTTCTTGAAAGTCCACGGCCCTTCTACCAATTTACGTATCAAGTCGACTCTTCTGTTGATGAACGGCCACAACTAACACCCGACTTACCGTATACCCTGCACACCTCGGTATACCCATGAGAAATCCTCAATTCAAAACCGGCGGTGGGCCCTAGCCACTTTGTATATAGTATTGAGTAGACCCACACTATGTAGGCTCTTTCCTATTGTATTCTCTTTCATCGTCCCCAGAATGGATTCTCCCGACTCCAAGAAGGTGCAATTCAGCACCCCGCACAAGTTCTCCCTCTTTCGTCTTGTCCGAGACCAAGCACGCATCAGTCCAGATGTTCTGGCTCATCGATATGAGGGTTCAGGTACAACAGACGATCCATACCTGGTCGTTTGGGTACCTGAAGATGCTGGAAACCCCATGAACTGGTCAAATTCGTTCAAGTGGCTTCTGACCATGACTGTTGCAATGACATGTTTCGCTACCGCCTTTGCTTCCAGTGCTTTCAGCGGTTGGTCATTCACAATCTATGCTGTACCCGTCACAATACTGATTCGTCACNNAGGAACAATCCGTGAGCTCGTCGTCGGTCTTCACGCTTCGACAGAGCTTATCACAGCCGGTGTCTCTCTCTTCGTTCTTGGTTTCGCTCTGGGTCCTCTCATTTGGGCACCGCTCAGCGAAACTGTCGGCCGCCAAAACGTCTTCTTCGCGACCTTCGCGTTGTTCACCGCCTTCCTCGCTGGTTGCGCTCGAGTCAACAACATCGGCAGTCTTCTTGTCCTGAGATTCTTCGCTGGCTCCTTCGGTTCTTCGCCCTTTACCAATGCCGGCGGTGTCGTTTCGGATGTCTTCTCTGCTCAAGAGCGTGGTCGCGCCATAACAATCTTTTCCCTTGCGCCTTGTCTCGGTCCAGCCGTCGGACCTCTTGTTGGAGGCTTCCTGGGTGAGAATGAAGGCTGGCGTTGGGTTCAAGGTCTGCTAGCCATCTTTGCTGGTGTATTGTGGATTGCTGGCTCTCTGATCGTCCCTGAGACATACGCCCCCGTTCTACTCAGACGTCGTGCCGAGGAACTTTCCAAGAGGACCGGCATGGTCTACCTCTCCAAGTTCGATGCTGAAAGAGGCCCTGTCTCGGCTAAGCAGATGGTATCGACCATCCTCATTCGCCCCTGGATCTTGCTGTTCACCGAGCCGATCGTTTTACTTCTATCCATCTACATCGCCATTATCTATGGAACCCTCTACTTGCTGTTTGGTGCCTATCCCGTAATATTTCAATTAGGAAAGCACTGGAGTGAAGGCGTTGGTGGTTTGGCCTTCTTGGGTGTAGCTTTTGGCATGTTTGCTGCCATTTGCTTCTCTCTCTACTCGCACAAGTGGTACATGGCCGCAGCAGCCAAGAACAACGGTTTCGCTCCTCCTGAGGCACGTCTCGTCATTGGCATGGTCGGTTCCGTCTGCCTGCCTGTTGGTATGTTCTGGTTCGCGTGGACAAACGGTCCTTCCATTCACTGGATCTCACCCATCATGGCTGGTGCGCCCTTTGGTTTCGGACTTACTCTGGTCTTCCTGTCCGTCACATCCTACCTCATCGACGCCTATGTCATCTACGCTGCATCAGTTCTCGCCGCAAATACTGTCCTGCGCTCCCTGTTTGGTGCCGCGTTTCCTCTCTTTACCAGGATCATGTACGAACGTCTTGGTATCCACTGGGCTTCGTCCATCCCTGCATTCCTCGCCCTGCTTTGCGTACCCCTGCCCTTCTTCTTCTATAAGTTTGGCGCAAGGATCAGAGCCAAGTGCACGTATGCCGCCGCTGCGGAGAAAGCAGTCTTGATGTTCCAACAAAAGGCCGCAGCGACCACTGTGACGACAAGAGGAAGCAGCATGAACAGCGAAGACGACGTTGACGTTGAGAAGGCGGCCGAAGTTAAGGATCCGTTGGAGCTTACACGAGCCAGAACGGTTGATACAGTCAGGACTGTTTCGGTGTATGAGGCCAGTCCTTATGACATCGATCGTGTTAATACCAAGAACTCGGTCTCTGGGCTCTGAGATTGAGAGCACACTTTTTATAAACTAGAATTATAGACTTTTAGATTTTCTTTTGCAGCCACTTTGCTCTAGATACCCACTATTTTCTCGAAACTTGATTCTTTCTCTTTTGACACTGAACCATGGGCCCCTTTAGAGAAAAAGTGGTCAACTTCGACAAGTAGCCCTCTTCTAGGTCAGCAGTTGGTGCTATAGTATTCTATAGAAATGCACAATTGCTTATTGAATCAGAAGTGTGTCCAGTGAAGTATCCCTAAGGCGTTATCCCTCCTTAGACAATGTCTCGTTCCAAAAGGTATTGTGCATTTCTACAGCCACGCCACAAAGATCTCTTAGCACACGAGGAAAAGAAGACAGGGGGTGGAATCAAACACAAAAAAACGGAGCTGAGCTGAGCAGCCCCCCCCCCCCCCCCCCCCCCCCCCCCCCTCCCTCTCCTGACCCATCTGCTCTGCTACCGCTGTTTCTCTTCCATGTCACGAGTTGTCAGTTTGAGGTGTATTAAAAGTTCGCCGGACAGCTGCCAGCATTGCGGATACCCAGATACCATCTATATCGCATTATAACCAGAACATTCACCACGACCATAGGTAGAGCTATTACAACAAGACAGCAGGTTCATAGACATGAATACCAACAATAGAAACCAGACTAGCTAAAAAGCAAAAGCTGGTCTCGCCCGGGACAGATGCGCAATCACCGAGGAAGAAAGCACCAACACCTCCCTTTGCAAAAGAGACCACGAACTGGCAAAATGATAACTTCAAACTACCAAAGCTATCATCGCAGAGGCTTTGTTTTGCAAAGATCTTGACCAGGAAACAGGTTTCGATTCAGGGGTGAGGGGTATCAATGACTTTGGAGTGTTTGTGTGCGTGGCGAGAATCGAACGCAGAACGTTGAGATGATAGCAGGTAGTCTGGAAAAAAGACCGCTAGGTCGATAATAGTCTATAGGTAAAGCAATAATGATGATGTAATATCAGGAAACAGTGGTGTTGCTGTATATAGCGTTCAAGTAAGTGCGTGAGTAGTTAACATATCGTTGTCTTTGATATTCTGTCTATATCATGTAATTGTCATTGGGCGTAACATTTCTTGTATGAGTGCGATTGCCATGCCAGTGAAAGACGTAGAAATGGTGTGCAGGTGTTTCGAGGACGAGAGTTGCGAGTTTCATGGATTGGTCGCTGGGAATGATACTTTGAGAAGGCGCAAGAGAAGGAAGGAGGGATGATGGTGACACGTAAAATCGAAACGTTACCATAGTGATCGTCGAGTAAACAAGGAAGGGACCGTTAAAGCAGCTTTGTGTAAGAAGATGGACAATGAAGGAAGCACCTGTATGTCTGACATATAAGGGCTTAGATTTTGTAAGCCATTTGTAAGAACCTGCGACCCCAAGTCAGCCATCTGTGGTTTGCAAGAAAAGACCTTCAAAGCAGTTCACTTACTATAATTACCAAAAAGTGAGATTAATAGCGAGGGTTGAACCAGCAACACGACGCTTGTACACATTGTAACACCACCACCACCCGTCCCAAACCCCCCTTAAAGTCGTCTCAAGGTAGGCTTTTCCACTCATCCTTGGCCCTCAAGTACCTCGCCGCAGGCGCATCTCCACCCTTCGCACTCAACTCCATCCAATGCTGCGCAACAGCCATAGCCTTTGGATTATACCTCTCACTGATACCCTCTCGATCCTTATCCACATCCTTGAATACATCCTTTGTCTTTGAAAACGGGCTCACACAGATACCAAGTAACTCTGGATGCGTAAGGTACAGTGTTGCAAGTTCGCGTTGAGCAGCGGGGATGCCTTCTTTGGCTGTAAGTTGGAGCAATGTTGCTGCATCACTCATACTCAAATCTGCGACACCGGGATCGGATGGTGTGGGCGTGGGTGGCGAGAAGGCGGCAGCGTCGCGTTGAGCTTGTGCAGCAGAAGTGACACGTGAGTGTCCGCGCATCAAGGTGTGGTGGTGGATTATCTGATCGGCGGTCTCGATCATATTGTGGCAGAGTTCTTCTTTGAGATCGAGGGCAGCAATGGTGGCGTTCCAGAAGGCGCGGCCGCGAGGCGTGCTGTCGAGAACATGGAGAGGTACAAGTGAGGCTATGTACTGCAAGTCGCGGAACAGTGTCTTTGGCCGTAGACTCGGGTTTTGGAATAGTTGACGAAAGCTTAGTATGGTGATGTTATGACCTAGCGACGTTCGTGGAGTGCTTGAAGTGTCGATTCTGAGACTGAGTCTGCATTGAGTGAACAGACTGGTGTTGGGTAGTGAGGCGCCAGGAATATCTTCTTGCCTGCAGTCCGCATGATGAGCTTTGAGCATAGATTGGAGCTCAAGAAGTATGTCGAGTTTGGCATAGGGACTCGCTTGTAGCTCGAAACGCCTCAAGAGCATACTAAACACCTGACCAAAGTTAAATGATGAGCGGGAAGCATCATGTGTGTATTCCATAGCCTCTACTAGAGTGTCTCTAACGGGTAATCCGAGCTTGATCATCTTACGCATAGCTTTGTCTGTTTCGCTACCGGACCGGAAAAGGTCGTGGAAATCACTCAACAACAAGCTGGTCAAATTCTGCTTCAACTCGTCCAGAAAGTAAGCTTGAGTTTGTAGCGAGCAAGAGTGACGAGATAACGGTCGTCCAGTTGACATGGGAGACAAAGCTCTTGACGGATAGCTCGTAGCGCTGGAAGGAGATTGTGGCCCTGTACTGAAGGTCGACCATAATGTACCTGACGACTTGTGGGTAAGCGTAGGGCTTCGACAACCAAAGTAGTCATGCGAGTTGGACTTGGGACTTATGCTCCTGGGAGCAAAGTTCGAATGTATCGTGGTTCGAGATGGAGTGGGAAATCGACTCCACTGAGGCGACATTTGAGTCTCATACGGCCCAGACAGCTTGTTGTCGTACATCGATCGAAGTCGTCCCAATGCGCTATTGTCGGAGTTTGGTGTACTGACTCTACCACTGAGATGACCGGATGATACCTTCTGGTCCTGGAAGAGCTGGCTGGACCATAATATCGGATTCTCAATAATGCTTTGACCCACGAAATGTTCCAGACATCTGGTGAGCTCAGAGCAGAATCGATGAATTCTTTCTTCCGCTCTGCAAACTCGCTCCACACCGCGACCCTCCATCCAACGTAACGTCATATCGACCTGAACGTCGCTAAGCTTGTTCGTGCCACCTCTTTCTACCGGAGCGGACAAGAGTTCGAGCGTTGCTGCTTCTGATTTGAGTTGCATGCTTTGGTTCAAGGACTTTGATGCACTTCGATGCCTAAGAAGAGGTTTCTTCTTGTCCGTCTTCGGTCGAGTCGACGACGCCATGACGCGCAACGCCGTTACGACCTTACGCAGCGCTTCATAATGACCTGCTCGCTGAATATCAGCAGTATACCACATCTTCTCTCGTAGTCGATTGTTGATACACGAGATAGATTGGATCTCGGCCTGCTGCGAATCGATCTTATCGTTGAGTTTTTCAATCCGAGCTTCTCCTTGTTGCACCTTAAGGCGACAGCCATTGATAGCGTGGTAAAAGTCCTTCGCAATGGCTTGCACGATCTGCGATGCAAGTTCAGGAGAGAGCGAGGTAGTCGCTTTGGCCAACCGAAAGAATAGGTGAGCCTTGGGAAAATCGCCTTGGTGATAACAACTCGCTCTCGCGCTCACGAATTGGTTCAGCAGTGAGGAATGCAAAGACTCAACATNCCTGGGGGTGGATCCAGTATTCAAGGCGGTAGAAGGGAAGAGACCGTCCAATAGAGTGTGTATTCCAGTACTAATGAAATCGAAGGTACGGCGATCGGGATCAACCAGTTGTTCCGGGTAAAGGTTCCTGCTGGGGCCAGCACAGTTGATGTTAGGACCTGCACAATGGATCCAAGATACCTTACCATGGTCATCGAAACACGTTTCGAGGCTTGTCCATTGCTCGGAAANAAGGTCACAACTTTCGGCATCTGAGCCGCAGCCAGTGTATACGGTCAACTCAATGCAAGCCTCTCTGAGTCTATGACCAAAAACATCTCCGGGAGGTAGATATACACCCTTTGGAATAGATCCCGTTGATGTAGAATCAAGGAGTGAAAATCCAGTAGGTGCACTTACCTCTGGGACAGAATCACAATGACCATTCCTTGGTGAAGTCGGTTCCGATAGACATACAGTATGGAAGAGTGACAATCCGGAAACGGAGGATGCGGATGACTTCAGCGTAGAACCATGGGAGATGTGAGCACCAGCGTAACAATCGCCACCATTCTCTGGATAGAGAACACGAATTGCAGTCATGATTTCCGAAGCGCAAAGCGTAATTTGTCTATTGCGGCTACCACTGCTTTCCGAGTTATTATTGCCTGGCTCATTGAAATCCGGAACAGATCTGGAGTCCTGTGGACTAATTCGGAAAAGGTCTACAATACTTTCGATTTTCTCAACTAGGGTTGGCATAATCGGACATATTTGTTTNNCCTGTATCACGTAAGATCGACGTGCAGTAAGGGGAGGCGTCACGTACCATGAGTAGGCAACGCCTTCCATAATTTGTCGTGTACGTTGTGCCAGTTCGTGTAATACTCGCTGCCGGACCATCGAAGAGATATGATGTGAGAGTAGTAGACCATAGCTNNCTATACGTCTGTATGAGTTTCGAATTGAATATGTCCGGCTTATCTTACTCACCTCTGGACTCGTAATTAGTGACGATAGATAGGATGCAAAGAGCCAACGTGTGCATAGGAAATATGGAGCTGCTTGTTGCTGCTGGGAAGAGGGTTCCAGTCTTGCTACAATGGATTTTCCTAGACTCAAGACACTGGACGGAATAATCCTTGTTAGCTCGTTGTCAATGAGGATTGAGAGCAGCTTCTCGATGGTCGTAGAGAAGAAGTCATCCACGGCCTTCGTGTCATCATTAGGATGCCCCAAGGGAGGCTGGCCTTTGTTCCGGGAGGGACGCCTATCTGCCTGATACAATATGAAGTCTCCATCTCTCAATGTCTCCAAGAGCCAGTTTTCCAGACAGTGATGGGCTGTCTTGTCCAGCTGTCCAAGGTGGGCATTCATCACAGTGACAACAAGTTTATCACTGCCTGACTTCTGATGGGACAACAGGCCAGCACAGATAATTCCCCAGGCACTCGAGGATGGTCCATTGTGGGTATGCTCATTTGTAGGGATCAAAGCGAGGAGTAGACCAAGAACATCGGACCGGGAGAAGTCAAGAAACCTTTGAGTGCTTTCGTACTCGGTTCTGTCTGATGGTCTCTTGAACTGGGTTCCAGAAATCGAGTTTCTTGTTAGAACATGGGAATGTGGTCTGGATAGAGTTGCGAAGGCAAGATCTGGAAGTCCTAGAAGCCGATCGAGTAGGAAGAAGGGGTCAAAGGAGACACGAGACAGGAAGGTCAGCAAAGCTTCTCGAGCGTCGGACGACACGCCGTCCATAAAGGAACCAGTTCGGTAATCTGATGAAGGGTTGTTAGAGCTCTCTGGTACAGGCGACTTCGCGTCCCACTCGTCGCATGCCTGTTTGAGCGTTTCAAAGGCGTTGAAGAGCACTGAGAACTTATTCCGGTCTCCAGATTGGATTGAATCTGTCAGTTCATGCCGTAAATCCTTCGCACCTTGGACCATCCGGTTTCTGGCCTCGCATGATGTTTCCAGCCAGTGCAGTCGATGATCAATGTAATCGCTTTTGCGTTTCTGATACTTCTGCAGACGCCTGAGGTAGGCCAAATCGGTCAAGGTAGCCTCTGGTAAGGGTTCTCTTTGCGCCATGATGGATGCCTTTCTGTTAGAATACCGATCTGATGACGGACGATTGAAGCGATGGTAGTGAGGTTCTATTCAAACATTGTAACATATCCCTATCCCGCACGACAGAGAGTCCGGAGAGTGAAGGATACTGCAGTCGTTAAGAGGCCACGACACTGCTATAATATAGAATGGTTAGCAGCTGTCGTATCGTGGACACTGGACAGATGCCAGCTCATTCAACAGCAGCTTGTGATTAGTACAAAAATGATGCAAGCTACCGATTGGGTGTGGAGCAGAAGAAGATGTCCGGACATGCTCGATACGTACGAAGGAAGTAGGCAGAGAATTTGGAAGGATCAAATGCCTTCTTGATCAACAGGTTGCCATAGAACCACAAGGTAATCCAGCTGTGAGGACAGAGCTCGTAACACCGATCACAGCGCTGTCAATTGCTGACCATGGCGATACGGAAAATGGAGGGTGGAGCATCAGCAAGAAGCTTGAACCGTCAGCTTTGGGATGATGAAGTGTGGGTGCTAGGGCGAGAGCCTGCATCACGAGCTCTCATCCCCGGACAAGTGGCGTGGCATGCAGGAGTTGTGTAGCCTAACAAGGCACTCCAAGATCAAGCATTCCGGTTGCAAGATTTCTGGTAACGCATTTGAGAGGTCCGTTGTGACATGGCAGGAGCATCAGAAACAGCGAGGTGCATGACCGGTCCAGATGCCAACGCACCGTGACCTGGTGTGCATAGCAGCGGCCGGATGAACCAAGCAGACACTCGAAAACATACTCTCAGAGCAGATTCAGATCCTTGTTCCTTGGTTAGCGAACACTCTTCGCAAGGCCAGACGGCCTTTTTGCGACCGCCTGAGGATGTTGCGCGAATCAAAAAGGAACCCGCGACGCGGGTCGATCGTGTGCCTCCCCACTTGTGTTACCGCCCAATCACAGTAGCAGGTCATTTTTTGTCCAGAAAATACCATCACAATTTCACAGAATCGGCAGTGGTGAATGACGATTTCCCGTAAGCCATGAATTGACAGCTTATGATCCAGCAACTGGTGCAGGACAAGATATTATACGATTAAGACTGGAACAACTGGAATAACCCGATAGGCTACGAACGACAACGTGCTGATAATCATCACTCATCGACTCTTGAGCACATCTTACTCGTTCGAAACCTTGACGACCAACTTGCCACGAACACGTCCAGTCTTGAGCGTTTCAAACGCCTTAGGTACGTCTTCAAGACCGAAAATCTCAGCAATGACGGGCTTGACCTTTCCTTCAGCCATCCACTTTCCGATCTGCTTAAAGTCGTCTTCTTTGGCGTGACATGTCAGGAACTCGTACTTGAGTGAACCACCTCCCAGGAATCTTGGCAGGAGGAAGATGGGCAACAGACGACGGAAGAAGTCTAGGCTCATGGTGGCTCCAACATTTACAACCTTTGCGCTTTCCTTGGTGAAGTAGTGGGACTGCCAGTACAACTCAGGGGAACCGACAAAGTCGACGATGAGGTCGAAACGCTTACCGCTACGCGTGAAAGTTTCTAGAACGTCTTCAGTACGGTAGTCGATGACCTCGTCGGCGCCCAGGCCTTTGCAGAGGTCCACGTTCGGTCCAGAGCATGTGGTTGTGACCTCACAGCCCATGGCCTTCGCAAATTGGATACCGAAAGAGCCAGTACCTCCTGATCCACCGTTGATGAAGATCTTGTCTCCAGCCTTGACGTTGGGGACAATGCATTGGTAGGCAGTCAGACCAGCAACACCAACGCATGCAGCATCCTCGGGCTTGACGCCATCGGGGAGAGCGATAGTTCCGTCACGGCCAGCGACCAGGTATTCGGCCATGGCACCAAAGANGGGAGGCTCCGTCTTGCCGAAGACAGCTTGACCGGGCTGCAAGTCGCTTCTCGAGGTCTTCACAACCACACCGGCGAAGTCCATACAGGGTGATGCTGGCTTGGAAATGGCCATGCTGCCAACAACAGGTGCTTCGGGTAGTTTGTAATCGACTGGATTGAGAGCGGCATAGTGGACCTTGACAAGAGTTTGATCTTTAGCGAGCGAGCTTGCAGATTTGGGCAAGGCGGCGTTCTCGTTGACCTTGAGACTCTTCTCAATGGTGCCCTGGATCGAAGTCCATTGGGAAGCTCTCATTGTGGAGGGGATCGACGCGGCCATTCTTGCGGTCGCGTGTAGGTTATGGGCCGAGTTGAGGAGGTTTCCAGTTGAGACAACAAGTGATGGATGTTTATGAGAATAGGGTGAGTCGGATCTAGTAGTTTGGTGAGCTCTTCTTCAGGTTGCACTGCGGTGAGGAGCTGGGAAATGTTCAGGCCTTGCGAGCTCTTGATTTCCACGGCTTGTGATTATGACATAGCCCGAGCACAGACCACGTCGGCTCTCAAAGATGCGCCCTCGCTGTGCTTGCTCGCTCGCCTCGGACACGACTTTTCCGACTCTTTCGAGTGCCATCTCATGGACCATCTCATGATACAAACATCGCTTATTCAAACAATTAAAGGCATCCTGGCAGTCATAAAGTCGCCAAAAACGCTGAGAGCTGAACCTCTCGGTTGAAGAACCCAAAGACGCCTCGGCCGTTTATATCTTATCTCTTTCGCTAGAGAGAACCTGCCCACCCGCTTTCCACAAAACGACACTGCATCCGCTGGTGCGCTTCCAACCAGAAAACCACATGGCATACCATTTACCACTGTCGATCACGGATCCCATGTACCTTTATTGATGTCTCAAGATCTCATACAGGTCCAGAATCCTGTTGGAACCTGGGCCAGATCATTCAAATCCTCTGTAAGTGTTTACCTCGATTCAAGGCCGGAACGACAGTCTGGTTGCTATGACTGTCTCAACATCCCAAATGTCATCGTTTCGGAGGCACGAAAACTAAAACCTCTTGGCCCATCGTACATGCTATGCTATGGTGGTACCTTCCACCCCTTCATGCTCCACGCTCCCTGAAACAATGCGGGTTGTAGTGGCGACGCGCCGTTTGGCGGTAGCTGAGGAACTTCAACGTTGGATCTGACCAGAACGCATTACCATTTCTGTAAGGAGAGAAAGACGTTTCTTATATCTATGTCTATCAGTCAAGATGATCTATATCTTTGTCATTGTCCTTTTCTTGAATTCATCATCTTCCTCGTGCCTTTCTTTTCCGCAGATTGTTTTTATACCCTCGATCATTGCACTGTCCGAGCAAGTCTCGCACCTTTCATTCTTTACTCTACTATATTAAAAATGAAGAGCGCTATCCTTCTATCCGCATTCTCTCTGGCCTCTCTTGGGTCTGCTGCAGTGCACGGAGAGCGAGGTCTTAGCAGCAGCAGTAGCAAGGTCAGCACCACCACTGTCAAGGCACCATCCAGCAGTATCAAGACTTCGATCAAAGCCACAACCTCCTCGTTCAAGACTACTTCGAAAGCCTCCAGCAGCTCGGCAAAGGTCAGCTCAAAGTCTTCGTCAAAGGTCTCTTCCACAAAGTCTTCTTCAAAAGTCTCTTCTTCCTCGAAGGCCTCTTCTTCTTCAAAGGCCTCTTCTTCTTCAAAGGCCTCTTCTTCTTCAAAGGCCTCTTCTTCCAAGGCCTCTTCTTCCAAGGCCTCTTCTTCCAAGGCCTCTTCTTCCAAGGCCTCTTCCTCTAGCAAAACCGCAAGCAGCTCTACCAAATCAGCCTGCAAGAGCTCTTCTCTAGCCAAGAGGGCCACACAGACCGCATCTACCAAGGCAGCAGTTTCGACTGCATCGACTCTGAGCCTTGACTTCAAGGCTGGACTCTCAGGCTACCCCGGTATCGAGACCCTTGACATGTTTTACCAGCAATGGGTACCTTACATTTCATGGTACAGCAACTACGAGCCCGTTGCTCCCAACATCAACGCTTCCACCCACACTGTCGTTGGCGCTCCCATGCTATGGGGTAAAGGCGACCAATGCCTGACCAACAACCCCGACGGCCCAGTCGATAAATGGCGTCTCGGCAACTTCACCGAATACGTTACAAGCGGCGAAACACACCCCGAAGTTTTCTTTGGCTTCTACGAACCAGACTGCGACTGTCCCTCTTCCAGTCATATCACAGACGTCAATGTCGGTGTCCAAAAATGGAATGAATTGATCAAGCCCCTCCGCAACCGCGGCATCGCACTCGGCTCACCCCCATGTGCACCCAACTCGACCAGTCCTGGCTCACCAACTTCGCCGCCCAAGGCGTCACCTGGGACATCACCAGTATCCACGTCAACAAGCCCACCGTCGCCGAAGGCATCAAGGTAGTCGAGTACTACGTCAGCAAATTCGGCAAGCCCGTCTGGATCAGCGAGTTCACCTGTGTCAACGACCAAAACTGGAGTTCTTGTGGTGATCAAGCTACTGTTAATGCGTTTATTGATGGTATGGTGCAGTACTTTGAGGGCAATGATATGGTGCTCGCTTATGGTGCCAACAATGGTGAAGGCGTGCCTGGGGTTTGGAATTTGATGACTAGTTCTTGGCCTCCGCAGCTTACTGCTACTGGTCTGCATTACCAGTCTGTTCTCAAGAAGCTTGCTAGCGGCAACTGCTAGACGTTTGGGTTATTTTTGGCGTCTTGGGTCAAGATTCAGATATTAGGTGGCGTTTTGGCATCTGCTTTGCTTGGTTTTGGGAGATATAAGGATAGAGACCTTTAGACTTGTAGAGCAAGGCCTAGAAACCAGAATATTTGACTCTCGCTCTTAGAGTCTTAACGCTTTGATTTGACTTGTTCTGGCAAAAGCATTCCCATCACCCACTTCCGCCATTGAAACCAAAAATAATCTCCTTCTGACCCCCAGAATCGAACTCAGGTCTCTGCACCCTAGCCCATGTATCCCAATCAAATTGACCCTGTTGTTGAGATCAATTAAGTGGTGTCAAGTCAAACACACCCCGCCTGGTAATAGAACAATGACTCATGTCGAAGCTGTGTACGTCTCAATCATGCAAACAACTAGACGGCTGACATTTAGTGATCATGCTCAATAGCTCCAAAGAAAGGTGCTTTGCACATGTGAACCGAACTCTGACTCTTTTGGCTGTGATGTTCTTGTTTTATGGTATGCATGGGTTTTGCGTTTGGTGAAGAGGGAGACAAGATGAGAAAAAGTAGTCAGAGTTCTATTGCATTGCTCGCCGGTAGTCGCGTTCCTCGATGGGAGAAAAAGCATATGATCAGGTTGAAGAGAGAAAACACAAAAATCCGTGTTTGGTCAAGCAGCAAAAACTTCGATGGGCATGGCTGAGCATCTCAGCAGACAGTGTTCCATGCCCTCCCTTCCATTAGCAACTCCAGACCCCCAAACCCCGATATCATTGGTCTCCTTTGTGATTAACAAGTGTGTAGAACATGAAAAGAAAAGCCGGGTCCATAGTGACACGACGTGGTGGAACGTGAAAAGCATGGCAGCAGCAAGGCAATAAAGCAATCTTGACCAAGCAAGCCATTGCGGTCATAAGTGTCGAGGATGCCGATGCAAGACACCCAGAAGTAGCAGAAGTAGAGGCACTGCAGCAAAACCTTGGTAAATAGAAAACCAATGATCTGCTGCTCCGTGAACCTGGAACCTGTCAGCTCAAAAGTCCTGTACCACATACTTGAAAGCCGTGTCCAAAACTTACCCTTTTGCCGTCAATGTCGTAGTAAATTCGTGAAACGTCTCACAAAGAAGACATGCATTGCGTTGTTCACACCTTCCTGCGCTTCTGTCCAGGCAAAGCGGCAGCAGCAGCGGCATCCCTCTGCGCCAACTGCGTCTTCAATCCCGCAACCTCGTCCTGCAGCCCACGAACCACCTCCCACAATTCATCCAAATCCTGCTGTTTAGCTGCAGGTTGAATGGCCGTAAACGAACTCGCAGCCGCAGTGATCATTGCAGCATTTGCAGAGTTGGCGGCACCTCCATTGTTCGCAACCCCAGATGAAGACGCGGCTTTGGTCTTGTGGTTCTCGCGATACCGGCGTTTGGCTTCTTCGCGCTCGGCATCCGTGTGATACTTGCGTGGGCGGCCTCTGCTGCGTTTGCTGGCCGAGGCGGATTGTGTGGGTGATGCTGCTGTGGTGTTGTTGTGGTGATCGGTGGGTTCTGTGACGGGGCTCTGCTCAGGCATGCTCATTGGCGAGGACGAGCTCGGCGCCATGTTTTCGTCGCGTTCACTCATGCTGGGCAACTGTGTCGAAAGCTTTTGGGAAATGTACCACAAGAGAGCAACAGACGGATATAAATGTCAAAACCCCACACACGCGACCAGCTGTTTGCGGATTTGATTGACAAGAAAAAGGTGTTTGATAAATTCACTCGGGCTGTCAAAGAGGGAAAAAAAAATCAAAAGAGGAATTAAAAAAGAAAAATAGAATTCTTTGTTTTCTTTGCGCAATTTTTCTTTCACCCCCGCCCTTGTGCTTTGCTGACGCAATACTGGTCAAAGCGTTCCCGTCGTCCCTTCCTTCCAAACTGCTGTCTTGTCTCCTTTGTTTCTTTCCTTGTTAATGATCTGTTTGCCTGTCAAACAAGTCATCGACATAATTGTCGCAGCACACAATACCTATGGAAAACAGGATCAAGAAGCTGCTGCATGTCTACAATCATGCCGTACTTCAAGCCTTGAGCAGATAATATCCTCTTCATTGTGATATACCTCTCAAACTGTCGAGGTACACAATCCCTTCTCAAACTTGAGTAGCGTCTGAAAAGAGTGTGTTGGGCAAACGGTCCCAAAGGACGATTATACTAAGCTCCTCCCGCGTGTGCTGCTAGAGGCTGTAACAATACACGATTGCTTTTTGGTGGACAGACATTGTGGAGAGACATTGTGGACAGACATTGTGGCCATTTGAGATATATTCTCGGGAATGTCCTCTCGGTGGATATCACTTGTCCTTGCAGATAGTATCATGTATCCCTATAGCTACCCGTGACAGTAATCAGCACCCGAGGAGGACGAAAAGGTCATTTCCCAGAAGATAGAGATCGACTACATGTCCTGTCTAGAGGGTTCTTTGATCTCTGCCTGCCATCTGCGGTACAATCCTCAGGGAAGATGCAAAAAAACTTTATAAAACAAAACATCATCCACAGAGAGCCTTATGAGAATTTCAACGCTCTCAAACGCTCTATGGATACATCTCTCATCTGCACTGTGCATCTTTGAAGCTATACGTGTGACAGACTGTTATGGTATAAGAAAGAAGCATTGGTATTCATTAATTCTACAACAACTGGGGTGCTCATCGACGTCTATGCTTCTTCACCGTCCTAGCAATGCCCCTCTTGTTGGCAAAGCGCTCACGCGCAGCCCTCATCGACCCAGCTTCCCAATCTGTCACAGCTTCCTAATCCGTCTGTCTCAAAGGATGAGGGCGCTGCACCGAAGGACTGCCCTGACGACTCAGTGGCTCGCGGGTACCGCCACGAGGGCTGCGAGGGATACTGCTGGTGCGGGTGCCGACGCGACCACGGGGCTCGCGCAAGCGAGCAACTTCGTCGCTCATGCGTTGCATGGTGCCTTCTCTTTCTGTGACTGTGACTGTGAGCTTCTTGATCGTGTCTTCGTAGTTGTTTCTGAGCGTGTCGTTGTTGATGACTTTGAGTCTGGCTTGCTCGCCGGAAGCCCTGACTTCGAGATGAGCGATGCGTTGCTCAAGCGCAGCGTTGGTGTTGGTGAGCTCGGTGTTCGAGTTCGAGCTGTTCTGGTACTGTTCGCGTAGGTAGTCGTATGCCTCGTCAAGCTGTTTGGCGCGTTTAGCTTCCTTCTCGTGCTCGGCCATGGCGGCAAGAGTTTCTGCCTTGCTCTTCTCAAGCTCAGCGCGTTCAGGGACTGTGTGATTGGCCAATGCAGCTCTAGCGGTCTCCAGCTGCTTCTTCAAGTCCAGGACCTCATCACGAAGCGAGGTGTTCTTGGCTCTGAGATCGATGTTTGACTTGCTCAGTCTCTCCTCTCTCTGCAGAGCCTCGTTACGCTCCTTCTGGGCTTGCACCATCTGAGCGCGCTGCTCTTCAGAGTCGTATTGCAATCTCTCCATGGCTTGCACATGCTCGCGGACTTCCGCCTGGGCACGGCTGAGTTGTTGAAGAGTGGCGACATATGCGGCATGTTGCGAAGCTGTCACAGAATCGCTGACGTGCGAGTTCGATACAGGCAATGTGCCAGGTTTGATGTGCATATCGGCAGGGTTAATGGTTANGGGAAGAGACTCATCAACACGGACTCTCTTTGCTGAGGGGACTTCATCGTGGTTTAATTGACGTTTATTGGAGCTGCCATCGGCGCCGAGCATGAGTTCATCTTCTGAGGTAGGTTGACTTGAGATCGCTTCGATCAACTGCAACTCGGGCAGGCCGTAGAAAGGCCAATCTGCCGCATCAGGATTGAGGATCCAAGAGATGATTTCAGATGCCTTGTGCTCAAAATCGGTGTCGGTACCACCGCTTTGCCAGCCAGCATTCGATCTCTCGCCAGTGACAGTGCTGATGAGAACGTGAAGGCGCTCTGCTTCAGACATGGTAGGGAGAAGGCAACGCTCGGCATGCTCGATAGAGCAAGGAATAACGAGCGAGACTGTAGGAATGAGCATGTCGCGAGAGAGCATCTTCTGAGTGCGCGTGATGGTGTCCTTGGGCATGCATCCGTCAATGACAACAACCATATCCATGTCCAGTGATGCTGTATCGACAAACTCGACACTGGTCAACAGGATAGTTGCTGTAGATTCCTGGTTGATCACGTTGTCTTGGCCATCGATGACGTTGTACATGATGCTGATGCCCTGCAAGAAGCTCTGGAGTATACCAGCAAGTCTACCCTGGTCGACAAGCAAAGCAACATGGAGGTTGTCACGCTTGGCAGCCTCCAGGAGACTCTTCAAGAATCTGAATTTGGAACTCATGGTCATGTCCCAATCAGCTTGGAGAGATTGAGTGGTCTGAGAAGATTGAGATGCGCCAGGGTTATTGAGATCGAGGTGGTTGACGATGCAGTGGAGCTGAGCAATGAATTCACGAGCCTTTTCAGCAAGTTCAGAACCGGCTGGCCAAACCTTGTGCATGGTAAAGCCCTCGATCATGGCTTTGTCGGTGTCGAAGGCACATTTGTAGTGATCCCTCTGCAACACACCAAAGTCCAGCGAGATTAGATGCTGGTTGTCGTCAAGGTTGGCATCGATAGAGGCATCAGGCATGGTGACATCGTGCGAGACATATGGACGCGAAGTGTCGGCGTTGATCTGCGGACCTTGTCCGGGCAGCAGAGTCTCGTAGCGCTCAGAGCGAGAGTATTCTTCGGGTGTCTCTTCCGGAATGATCTCGACTGGAGGGACAGTTGAGGGTGAGCGAGCCTCACGATCACCAGCAGCAGGCGACATGAGTCTTGCCGGAATTGCAGATGCGGGCTTGGGCGAATGTGTGTCTAGGAGAGGTGCAGCAACGCGGGAAGGGACAGGAGTACTTGCACCAGCACGGCGGGCAGCGAAAGCGGCACGTTCGGCTGCCATATCAGCCTCGAATTTGGCAGCGCTCGCAGCTTTCATTGCCCTAATTTTTGCAAGTACCGACACTCTCACTGGGGTACCATCGGGGTTGGTATTGGAGGTCATATCGGAGGCTGGGGTCTGCTCACGACTAGACTGCTCACGATTGGGCTCAAGATTGGACACGCTCTTGATAAGCGAAGGAGCAGATTCACCAATGGTGTTCGGCAGGTTCGATGGTGGAGAAGCGATAGGACTTGATGAGACGGATATGTCTTGTACCGAAGCAGGCTGAGCAGGTGATCCGGGAGCGGGTGCTTGCTGGACAGGCGCAATCTGGGTAGCAAACCCCAGAGAAGATGTTGTAGCTTCTTCAGCAGAACTCTGTGCAAATTCGAATGGCGCGATTTGCTGAATGGGAGGTTGTTGGAGTTGGAAGGAGATCTGCTGGGCAGCTTGATCCACGTGACTTTGCTGGGTGATGGTCGCCTGAGCCTGAACAGATGTTGTGTTCTGGCTGGATTCCTGGTTGGGTACAGCAGAAGATGAGGGTACCTGAACCGATGCCTCGCTCTTCGAATGGGATTTCGATGAAGAATGCTGATGAGGTTGGGACTGCGACTGTGATTGCGATTGAGTAGATTTATCGGCAGCCTCCGTCGGTGGTGCAGACGAGGTAGAACTTGAGCGCACAGCGCCTAAAGATACCGGTGATGGAGAACGTGTAGAGACGTGCGCAGCAACAAGTTGAGCAATGGGACTTGATGCCACCGCTGTAGCGATAATGTTTCTTGTTGATAGACCAAGTGATGGTTCGCTTTGAGTTGCAGCAGCAGCGACGTCCAACTGTGGGGCATCCTCAGGTTCCTGAAGAGGAAAGTTAGCCGAGCCAATCAAGACGCGCCAAATCGCGTTGTCGCGATAAGATCGATTAGATAAAGAAGATGCATAACAAAATAGTGATGGATGGATGGACGGATGGACGGATGGAAGGATGATTCTTACCTGTACCATACTGCTCTCAGGAACAGGATGATCTTGGGCAACCACCTGGTGGGTTTCTTCAGGCTCAACAACAATCTGACTCTCTGTTGTAGCGTCCTCGAAACTTTCCACTTGGTTAGATTGCTCTGCTTCAACACGATGCTCTGATATGTGCACGCTACTCGCGTCGAGGAAACTTTGAGAGTCGGGGATCACAGCATCAGCTCTGAAGCGACGTGCCAGTGGAATTGGTAGTGTGTGGACACTCGACGAGCTGTTGACTGTACTGTTGACAAAAGTAGACCCAGAAATAGCTCCTGGTTCGTAAGGAGAGTTCTTTGCGGACAGGCTCGATGCAGCAGCAGCATCAACCATGACCTGAGAATCTGTGAGCTCCCCAAAACTGGAGGTCTGTTCTTCAGCACGATGCGGCTCTGGTTGCGTGCCTCGAATAATCTGCGACGAGCGGAAGTCGCTAACGCCTTCGTCGAACTCCGGCGAGGGTTGTTGATCGCGCACAGATTGTTGGCCAGGCGAAGATTGTTGATCAGCCGATGGTTGTTGAGCCGGCGATTGCTTACGGGCAGATCGTGTCTCGCGCTGCAACTGCGCAGCAGCAGCGTCATACATCTCACTGTCTTCGATTTCAGTCGTACCAACCTCTTCAGGATCAAGGCGAGAAACAACAGCTGGAGTCATAGGGCTCGGTGCAGCGCTTTCTGGACGAGGGTACTTTCTAGGTCTTCCTCTTCCCCTCTTAGGGGCAGCGGTGGGTTGGGCACCCTCCCTGGCGTGTTGTACTTCGACGTCTGAAGAATCAGAGATGACAGGTCTCTTGTGCTTCAGACCTTTGAGAGGCACGTCTTCATCGTCATCTGAAGAAACATTGACCACTTTCTTCCTGTTGTTGACAAGACGCAAGCGTGGTTGGTGCAGAGCGCGATCTGGTGCCCTCTGCAGAGGGCTTGTCTTGGCCAGTCTCGATGGGCCCTCTCCATTGTCACGCTGCTCTTTCTCCTTTTGGACAACTTGCACGAGGAGCGACTTTCTAGGTCGTCCGCGGCCTCGTTTGAGGGGCTTGGGAGTGATGTCGTCTTCGTCGTCATCTCCTGCCTGTACACCAGGAATGTCTTCGATGACTGGTTTATGTGGTCTGCTTGGCTGTGCGTCGGGAGTATCAGGTAGAGATTTGCGTGGTCTGCCCGGCTTTCTCTTTGCAGATCCAGTCGGCTTCGTGGGTGTGACTTCGACGGCAGGGTTTGTCTGCCTCTTTCCGTACTTCAGCAGGATGCGAGGCTTTGATCCAGGAGGCTTCGACGCGGAAGCCTTTGTGACCTTGAGTGGTCGCTCAACTTCTGACTCTTGATCGACATTGTCGATCTGGATGACTTCACTGACTTCGTTCGACGAAGCAGGACGGTCGGTACTCTTTCTCTTTCTCTTCTTTTCCTCGTTCTGTTTCTTCTGTCTCTTCTCTTCTTCCCACTCCTGGATTGCGGCTTCGGTGACGTTGGCCTTGGGCTCCCAAGTAGGCTCAAAGGTCTGGGAGCCAATGTCGTCCCAGTCGACCAGGTACTTGGTCTTGTTCTCGTTCAAGATGCCGCGGACCGAATAGAAATCTTCGTCGGGCTCCTGGATCTTGCGCTTAGAAGACCCCATGGTATTGTCTCATTTCCCGTCGCTGCGGAGTGGTCTGCGACCGGCAACCGTCAGCTTCTTTCAAGGCATACTTTTTGGTGTCACCGGCTTGCGCGACAGTGTACAGAGGAGGACGCGACGGGTGTGGGAAGCTTGGTAAATTGGAGAACGCGTGAAATTGGCAGGAGGGGGCTGATTGGCGTCGGCGCTTGCCGCTTGGGGTATTGACCAACTTACCTGGTATATATCGCGAGATCTGCTCTTTGGAGAAGAGATCGTTCGGTCAAAGTGACTTGATGAGTCGGGAAAGAGGACTGGAGGTCTGAGTAAAGGTAAGCGTACTGCATCGGGAAGGCACTGATGATCCCACTATCGCAAGTGCAGCGGGTACAGCATGAGGCAGTCACGAAGCCTGGTGATGTTGCAGATGGGTAAGGAAAAGACAAAGACGACTAACATTGAAAAAGTGTGGTGAAGAGTCACTCTGGTCGAGAGAATTCAAGGTCTGGGTAAAGGCAAATGCACTGCTCAAGGAAAGAGCAGATGTAAGAAAGAGAAGAACAACTAACCTCGAGACTGTGCGCCGAAAAGATGAACTTGTCAAGAAGACTGAAGATCTAAGCAGAGGTCAGCGTACCACTTCGAAAGGGAGAGGAGGAACCGCCATCTTTGATGCATTGGTCATAGCATAGAGCGACCAAGCCGGGTGAATGTGTAAGTGGAAAGGGAAAAGAGAAGGATGACTGACCTTGAACAGTTCTGAGAAGTAAAGTCGTTCTCGTTGAAAGCTCAGGCTCTGTGACGCAGAACTGATGGAGATTTGATCCCGTCAAGAGGACTGAAGATCTGCGTAAAGGTAAGTATATTGCTTCGAGTGGTAGAGGTGCCACCACTAGCGCTGCAGAGCTGTGATGGTTGCGGTATATAAGGTAGGTAAGGATTGAAGCAGGAAAGGGCGGAAGAATGACTAACCTCGAATAGGTGTGAGATAGAGTTGTTCTCGTCGAATGAAGGCTCTATGACAGAACCCTGGTGATGATTTCGCTTCGTCGAGAGAATGAAGATCTAGGTACAGATAAGCGTACTGCTTTGGTGAAGGGTAAGTCCTATTGTCGAAGAGCTGTAGTGGTCAGGGCGTATGGCAGCGAACAAGCTGTGCAAGATTGTGGATGATGGTGAGGGCGAAGGTGAACAAAGAGAAGGATAACTAACCTCGAACAGCTGTGAGAGTAAGACTTGTTCCCGACCTCTGTGTCTGTGATCGCAGAACGAGTGCGTCGCCCTGACGCCTTGGATAATCGCAAGGCAAGAAAAGCCCTCTATACCGTCGAGGCAAAGGCAACAAGAACTACGCGAGTGAGGTAAGCTCAAGTCAAGCAGATAGACTGGCCAGTGTATAGGTCTCTTGTTGCGTGGAAGTATACCGTCAAGAGAGCTAGAAGAAAGGGAGTTGAACAAGTCAAGCAGGTGGGTGACACCAACGCCCAAATCTCCTTTATAAAAAAGTTGGCAGTCCAGTTACGAAAGTCGGCGGAGCGAATGTGAAGCACAAGTCAACGAGGCAAGCAAACGCAGATACTGCTAAGAAACAGAATCCAATGCTACGGATTGAGCAGGAAAGTATATGCAGTGTTTGATAGTATCCAAGAGCAAAAAGCAGGTAAAGCAACAAGGCATACACAGCCAGAGGATATCAGTTTATATGCACAAGGTGACAAGTAAAGAGCAATGCTAGCCAGCATGCAAGCACAAGGTATCTCATAATCAGGATAGTTAGACGATAGTTCTTCTTGTTCTGGTTGTGCTTAAGGAGGATGGACGCAGTAGTACCATATAGGCAAAGGAAGTCAGGTGTGCCTATCGTAATGCTGAGCCAAAGGCATACTTTCAGAGGAGCCATGCCTTACCGTACTGTATACTTTTGGTCTCTACTAACTACAAGATAGGCAAAGACGATATTGTGACCCGTATGCCCATCATTTCGCGTGCATAGGAAAACATGTAAAGAGCAAGAGTAGCTAGGATGCAAGCACAAGACCGAAGAGTAGCTAACGTACATTCATGCAAGCACACATGAAGAAAGAACATCCAGTATTTAAGCAGGAGAGAAGCTCAAGAGGAACAACTATCATGCTGAAGAAAAAGTATTCAACACCCAAACACATCAAAATCACACATGAGTACACCAGTCTCTGGAAGAATTCACATGATTTATTTTGCATTCGTACCAACAAATCTTCATCTAGAAGAAACCAAGTTTATCTCCCTTCCAATAGCGAGGAAAGCAACATACTCCTCATGTGCCAATTCCTCTAGGGGTAGCATCGTACCGTTTGCTTTTTCGTAACATCATAGAGCTGTAAAGCAAGACGCAAGTGTATCGCATGACGCACTTGCTTATTTGTTCTCGCCCTTCTCAAACTTCTCCTTTCTCTCGGCTTCACGCTTTCTCTCGTGCTCGCGGACAAGGTCTGGGGNGCTGTCCTCGATCAAGTCGCTGCTGTCGTTGAGACCAGACCACTTGGGCAGACCGTCGGGGATATCCATGACGCGCTGGCCGTAGAACATGTGGCATCNTGTGATGACGTTAGAATAACAAGCAACAACATAAGTAGACAACAAAACTGCATACCTGGGCTTGAAGTTGGCTTTGTCCTCATCATTCTTGAGGTGAACCAAGCTGGGGAAGAGCAGGATCATGTTTCTGCCCTCGTCCATGATGGGGCTGTGGCAGAAGGAGCAGCGGACCTTGCAGGGAAGCTTGTGTTCAATCGACTTCTCACTGGGGTCGTACCACTCGAGGTCATGGTGTCCGTTAGAGAAGTTGATGTCCTCCTTGTGGAAGATGGCGGCCCATTGGAAAGGTGCAGNCTGAACATATGCGTCAGCAATGATCTGTGCGTATCAAAAACATGACATAAACATACCGTGCTGGGTCTGGCAAGTGGTGCAGTGACACAGCTTGGAGTCAAGAGGTTCCTCTCTGCTCAGCTGGTACTTGACCTTGCCGCAGTGGCAGCTGGCCTCGTATCTAGCCTTGAAGTTCTCGTTGGACTCGTGGATCTTGTAGGGTGCACGCTTCTGCCAATCCTCGACGGGCTTCTCAGGCTTCTCGCCTCTGGCTTCCTTGGCATCCATGAGTTGCTTTTCGTCCTGGAAACTGCTTGAGAAACGGATAGACTGTCTTGCGACAATGACACGCGGGGCTGAGAGGCGTGTAAATAGTGGGGTGCTGGTTCTGGTGTGATGAGACGCTGTTTGAAAGCCGACTCGTGACAATGTCTTGAGAGAAAGTGAAGTAAAGGGTCTTGCGGACATTGAAAGAAGACAGAAACTAGATAAAGGGATGCAGGGAGGACAAACGACAGCTGCTCATCATCAAATGGTTGTCGTTCTTTTTGTTTCCAATGACACGCGATGCCCGTGATGTCATTATTGTCCCGTGCTTAAGCTCCCATCTCAGATGCATGACAGCTACTAACGACCGAACGGGTCTCGCTATCAAACTTGTGGGGTTCTCTCATACAGCAATTAATCTCTGTTCCTGGATGCTTTCACTGTTCTTAGATGGTTATAGAGTTGAGCAAAAGTGGCCGTTCTAAGCAATTCCCTACCGAGCACTTTAGTCGGTCCACCTAACGATAGACACTTGTTATTTAGGATATGCTTGTAAACTTCGCCTCCATCGACTACTGTCGTATTGCGTCTGTCAATGCGCCGGATAAGGCAATCGCGTGCGTTTGCTATCGAATCCTTTACAGGACGAGATGTGGAGATATCGGAGGGCCACCGATCGGAGCATGATATTACTAGTGTCTGATGATGAGGCTTGAAATCTACGCTTTTTGCATTTTCAGCCTCCACTTCCTTTCCCTTGCGATCCATTATCCCTTCAGCAAGTTCAAAGCTTCTTTTCGGGGTAATCCCAGGATGTTTGTCAGGTAGTCCAGCCTGTTTTTGAGAACACGTTAGTTTCTGAGAATGCAGCACGCGACATGAGAACAACTTACTTGGCCTCGCCAGCGATGCGGTCACTGTACTTTTCAAACTCCTTTTCGCGACGGCTCCATGCCGCTGCTCGCCGTTGTTCATCGGCCTTTTTGATGCGGATTTTCAGTCGTGCGCTGACTGGTCTGTGATCGCTGACTCTGACCTCCCATCGTCTGTAGTCCTCGCACTTGATCCTGCCCATGCCTCTGTACAGTACTCTGTCGCACCATGCTGGAGCTCGCTTCTTCTCGCTGGTATCATAGTCATCAGTGCCTACGTTGTACTTGTAAGTTGGTGCGAATGTGATGGGCATTTCCTGGAAAACGCGCAGTCTAAACGCTGGGTTCTTTCTGCGTGATAGCAAGAGCTGATCGCGTTCAAGCAACTTTGCCAAGTTTCTGTCGTTCACGGCGCGAACGACAGTGTCTCGCGGCATCGCATCGATGCGATAGTTGAGGTCTCCGTTGAGAATGCAAATCTCATGATCCAGGATCATGCTGCCATCGCCACCTCCTACAAAAGTACCGGCCATGTTACTAACCGCTGCTACAGGAAGACACTCGGCCTCGAGGATGGCAGCAATATCGTTGTTGCGGTGGAGTGTTTGAGTCTGGCCTGCAGCAAGATGGCAGTTCACCAGACACACTGAACTGTCGTCCAGAATCATGCGGACAATCAACGCACNCCTGTGATGACCATCAGGATTCGTAAAACTATGATGACGTTTGTGACTTACCTTATTTCCATGCAGACCGCCCATTCCTCGCTTGACTTCTGCTGTGTGCACTTGCTTGATACGGCCTCGGAGCGATGTCTTGACAAACACACAGCTGAAAAGACCGACCATGCTTGACGTGTGTAGGAGAGCGTACCCTTGGTTGGCCGGCATGTGGTCTTCAATACATCTAGTAAGATGGTCCCGCCAGGCTCTGTACTGATGCGACATGTGCTCTTGTTCTGTAGGATCCTTTTTTCTACTCTTGAAAAAGCTNNCTCTTATTTACTTGTCAGTATTGGTTGCTAAAGCAGAGTGAGTCAAGGACGGGGGATACGTACTAGCTGTGACTTTCTTGTTCTCCAAGTCCACCAGTTCTTGAAAGCCAAACACAAGAATATCTGGGGGAGTGTTCGAAGAAAAGTAGTCTCTGANAAAGGCAGCGTCTTTCTCACTACCTTTGAGATGATTGGGCTTGACAGCACCAGCATTCCATGTGAGAACTCCAGCAGTGATCTCCTCAAACGAGCAGAATTCATTGTCGTTCTGCTGCATCTTGGTCTCGAGCCAGTCCTCACGAAGCATACCATCCCATATCCTGATGGCATTGTCGAGGCCAAGACTCACAACTTGTAGGCGGTTGTCCATCTTCCAGATACTTTGCGCATCTGTGAGGATACTACAGATGGGATTGTCGTGGGCTACCCAGTCTTTCATGACCCGCCAAGGTGTCGTGGAAGTGTCGTACACGAAGATAGTGCCCGCAGTGTAGCCAGCCCAGAGATAATCCCCGGCTCCTGCTAGAGAGCTAATCTTGTAAGGACTGATGCTAAAGACACCAATGCATCTGAAATCACGATGTTGGTAGACCGAAACCTTGCCGTCAGCATGTCCAAAGTAGACCAAGTCTGGTTTGCTGGGTATCATAGCTCCCGCAGTGATATCACCTGCGCCTTCTGCCATCAGGGGCTTTTGTAAAACATTGAAAGCGGCTTCTGTAGGTGCACTGGGTTTGAAGACCCTGATCTCTTTGCCCGCAGCAATCCAGAGGTGACCGCCAACAATAACTGAACACGAGTGGCCACGAACAGCCCTAAAACTCGTCGGCACAGTATCCAGGCTAGGCATACCTGCGGAGCCAGGTGACCAAACATTGAACTTGCCTTCATCATCCAAAGACCATAGTTCGGAAGCATGGCGGAAGATTTTGATGACTTCTCGCCGAGGATGCGCATTAGACTTGGTATGAACAATGGATTGACTAGGAATGTCGACCTCATGAATTTCACCGATATTCGTACCAAGCCAAAGTCGTCGGCCTTCGTTCTCTGCATTTGCTGTTGGCGCAAAGGCTAGTGCAGTCACTTTGACATTATCACCATGAGATAGGGTCAAACATGACTCGCCAGTGCGCAGACTCCACACACGCGTAATGTAGCCTGTCGTGCACACCAAATCTCCACAAACTGCAAAAGTGCGAGTATCATAACCTGTGTGAATCTCTCGAGGACGGGTCCCAAACCGTGGAGGGCGTCTGTTTGCTTGTGATGCATCCGGAAAGTCCTGAGGATTACCTCCAGGGTATTGGACAGGAGGGTCCTCAACGTCGTCGGCGTGATGTGTCAACAAAGGAGTGGATGGAATGCTTCTAAAGTCTTCGCGACGAGTATCAACCGAGCGACGAGGCGCAGGGATGGCAGGAGGCGGAGGCTTGCTGCCGGAGGGAGTGGCAGCAGGCGTGACAGAATGTCTCCTGTCAAAACCCTGGGAAAGAGCGGAGGCGGATGTTTGCAGTGGAGGTGGTTGTGCGCGACGCGGAGGTGGCATCATATTACTGTCCGTATTAGCAGCAACGGCACTCGTACGGCGCGGGAGATCAAGCGATTGGCGAGCAGGAATTCTGCCGTTGAAGCGGGTAGGACTTGTGCGTCCAGAATGCAGTTCACGCTCAGGACGAGGAGGTAGTACTGGCGTATCTTCTTCGCTGGCTCCATCATTTACCGGGATCGCTGCTCTTTGAGGTATCATCTGGAGGCGAGAAGGGTGGGAAGAGAAAGAGTCGTATGAGCGGCTAAGGGCCTTGGGAGAAGGATTTCGAGATTGTACTGGGACAGCTCGGGGAGCCACTACACCAGCGAAATAGCCATGGGAGGTAGATGAATTCCTAGGTTTCGATTCGAGGGGGATGGAAGGGGCGACATGTTCAGCGTAGGGAGTACTTTCTGAACTGCTTGGAGGAGTGCCAAAAGGAGAAATTTGACTGTTTCCGGTCTTGTTTGGTATCACAGGCGCTAGACTGTCTGTACTTGAGACGATAGTCCACCGATTTTCGGNTTTACCGGCGCGATTCACAGGAGGAGGGCATCCAAAGTTGGGGCTTTTGGGTCTCTGTTCACCATTTGACTGAAGTCGACTCTCGGGCAATGTTTCAGAAGACTGCGAGGCTTGCAGGAAAGCCGACATACGAGCCTCTAGCGCAGGTGTGGTCACTCGACTCGGAGAGCGGAAATGACGGATCGAGCCCGCAGGAGAAGCATTCGCAGATCCTGGAGTAGACAAGGTTGAGGTGGGAGGAGACTTTGAAGGAGTCGCATTGGTAACGCGGACATCAAGCCTCCTGGGCGGAGACGCTGGCGATTGGACGCTGACAGAAGGAGGAGAGTGACGAGGAGTTAGAGGGTATGCTGTCGACACGGGACGCGGTCTAGGCGGAGGAGGCTTCGCTTTCTTCAGTCCTTGGGNGGTGTTGTCAGTCGCAGCATCTGGGCACAGGAGCGGTCGCGGGAGATCGAGAGATCTACGTAGGTTGGGAGACGCGGTGGACTGTGGCTGCGGACGAGCGGTGGTCATGTTCTCGAAGCGCGAGCGCAGCGACGACACAGGCTTGATGGACGATTCGTCCGTGGCCTGGTCGTCGTTGGCCATGGCGGCCGGGCTGATGATGGATCAATGTCGTCTGTCGCTATGTGGCTCTAACGTGGTGATAGGGTGTTGTCAGGGCGAGTGCGCCGTGGTCTCTCTGATCCGGCGGTTGCTGGCTCGAGCGGAGGGCGGATGCAGGAGGTATGCGCGCCGAGAGATGGATAGACCGGGGAGGGTAGGCGCGCGTCGCAAGAGATTTGGGCGATAGGAGAGGGGAGTGAGCGAGCGAGGGGGCCGTGTATGGATAAGTCGAGGGCGAGTTGTCGAGTTGGCAGGCTTCAAATGTCGCAAGCTGGCGTGGTCGCTCGTAATTACCGGTATTCAAAGCCACGCGTGTTCTTGCTTTCCCCAGACTCGTAAACGCCTTCCGACAGGCCTAAGATCGCCGCTGCAGTTGCCAAAAGCTTATATTTAAGACTGACACCAACCCTGTCCGCAATCAAACTGTCTCATCCAACATTTATGCTGCCGGCAGCAACATCAACTGCCCTCTGTTCACTCTAATCCTCCTCGACCTCTTCACCATGTGGTAAGGCCAGTCGTGCATATATTTCCATCTCCATCTAACATATCCCAGCAAACACATCCTCAACGCCCAAGTCTCAATCCGCTCTCCCTGCTGCAAGTCTCTCCAGACCTCTGCTCCGCCTTCACCACTAACACAATCCCACCACAGGNNTCGCAAATGGTTCGACTGCGCCGAATGCCACGCCGAGAGCGAAACCCACGACCTCAAGCCCACCCTCGAAATGGTCTTTGCCTGCAAAAAGTGCAAAAAGGCTTTCCGCAAAGACGTCCAAGAGTTTGAGGAGAGCGATGAATACTGCCCACACTGCGACAACCATTTTGTGCTCGAAGCAAAGACGCCACAGGCTAGATTGCAGGTCGAGAGTGAGGATGTCAGAGTGGTTTCTGGCTTCGTCAAGGACGAGCGTGTGCGCGAGGAAGAGCAGCAGACTATTTGGAACTTGAAAGAGGCCAGTGAGAGGCTGGGTTGATTTTGCGCATACTGCATTGCATCTGCGTCCTCTTTTGCCATCAGTCCGGACGCTCTCAAAAACTGGGACATTACATATACCACTCGGCGTGACGGTCGAGTCAGAATAGAAGAACGAATTCACGAATCATACAACATCAGTCAATGTAGTAGATCTTCTCATTGCCTGTGCCTCATCATGCAGCCATGATATCTTGATTTGCCCTAAACGCCAATGCTTATGTCCCCGAATGCAAGTCGTGTCTACTCTGCGTTACCACCGTCACCGGCCGGTCTGCTAGCCAGCACGGCTTCGGTGCCTACTGCAGGACCCGTTGTACTGCCCTGTGCTCCGGCACCTCCGACACCTCCTGCGCGAGGACCTCTTCTTGTGTTTGCCTCGTCCTGCTTTTCGCTGTTGATGCTCTCGACGTACTTCTCAATGTCCTCGACCTTGAGCATTTCCAGGGGCTTGCCGGGCTCCATGACGGCAATCTCGATGTTCTTTGCGCCTGTCTGCACAACTTCGAGCAATGACTTGACAGTGAGCTTGATGGTCTCCTCGCGGTCCATGCCGTCCTTGTGGTTTCTCTCGAGGAACTCGCGCACAGTCTTGGATGAGCGGCCGATGGCGTTTGCCTTCCTGTTACGGGTTGATTAGCAAGAACGCTTGGGGTATTGGTACAGCAAGTAGACAAACCATGCAGAGTAGATACCACTGGGCTCGGTGTAAAACAGTCTAGCCTCTGTGCTGTTGGGGTCGAAGCCGACGATGAGAGTGCTGATACCGAAGGGACGGACACCACCAGACTGAGTGTAGCGTTGTTGGACCTGAGCGACGTGCTTTGTGATGTACTCGATGGAAACGGGGTCTTCGACAGTCAGGCGGTGACTCTGGGCTTCCAGACGGGCCTTGTCGACCAGGATACGGGCGTCGGCGTTCAGACCGGCAAAGGCGAGGCAGACGTGGTTGTCGATGAGACCAATCTTTGAAGGAGTGATGCGAGTATCTTGGAGCTTCATGGCACTGCGCTTTTCACAGCCCAGAACGACGATCTTGTCACCCTTGACACCGACGGCGCAAGTTCNCTGGGAGGCAATCAGTCGACGGCAGTGGATTTGAGAGGAGGTGGGAGATGGCGTACCGCGCTTGACGGCTTCGAGAGCATATTCGACCTGGAAGACGTGTCCGTCGGGACTGAAGACTGGATGGATGGTGAGTATTGGAGTGTTTAGATGGCGGACGGACTGGCGTCATCGCATACCGGACAGAGCTCGATCGTAACCGCTGGCCATGGTGGATGTTGTATGTGGAGTGGCGGAGGATCAAGGTGGAGGGGACGGCGACGGAGAGAAAGAGGCGTCGGATGAGTTGTGATTCGTTCACACAGTTGTATAGACAGACAGTGACAGACTAGGTGTATGTAGACTGCAGCTTGCGGGAGAGCTTCACAGCGGCGGCACAAGCCGGGGCCTCATGATGCCGCAGACAGCGATTGCGGCGAACCATGATGCCGCCATGACTCTCGAATACTTATTTTTGTTTCTCTAGGCCTTTTGCTTGATTTCTTTCCATCCTTGACACTCCTGTTGCTAATATCAACCATGGCACCTCTCCACCGCTGCGTGCCGGCACTGCGCCAGATCAAGGCGGCCAACTTCGCCTTCAACCGCGCCGCCATCGCCCGCACTGCTCCCCGCGCCGTCTTTGCTGGCCAGAGACGCTTCGAAAGCTCAAAGAACGAACCCACCACTTCCGCCTCGTCAGAACCTCACCAGCCTCACCCGGACTCTGGCACAAAGGGCCCCGAGGCTCCTGCTCGTAGAATCAAATACACCTCCGAATCATACCCGGACCTCAAGAGAGACCCCAAGTTTGCCGAGCTCACCGCTGAACACGTCCAATGGTTCAAGGATCTGTTAGGCAACGAGTCTGCCGTCCTCGATGGTGTATCCAAGGATGCCTCTGAAGACATTGAACCCTACAATGCCGACTGGATGCGCAAGTACAAGGGCCACACCAAGCTCGTCGTAAAGCCTGGAAACACCGAGGAAGTTAGCAAGATCCTAAAGTACTGCAACGACAACATGCTGGCCGTTGTTCCTCAAGGTGGCAACACCGGTCTTGTTGGTGGAAGTGTCCCCGTCTTCGACGAAATTGTTGTAAACCTGGCCCGCTTGAATGAGATCCGCAGCTTTGACGAGGTCTCGGGCATCCTGGTAGCAGACGCTGGTGTCATTCTCGAGGTTGCCGACAACTACCTCGCCGAGAGAAAGCACATCTTCCCCCTGGATCTCGGTGCAAAGGGCTCGTGCCAGATTGGTGGTAACGTTGCAACCAACGCCGGTGGTCTTCGTCTACTGCGTTACGGAAGCTTGCACGGTAACGTCCTTGGTATCGAGGCTGTTTTACCTGACGGTACCATCATCAACAACTTGTCAAAGCTCCGCAAGGATAATACCGGCTACGACATCAAGCAACTCTTCATTGGCGCCGAAGGCACTATCGGTATGATCACTGCTATCTCTATCCTCTGTCCTCAACGCAGTCAAGCAACAAACGTTGCATACTTCGGTCTCGAGTCTTTCGAAAAGGTTCAGCAAGCCTTCACCGAAGCTAAGGGCATGCTCGGCGAGATTCTTTCTGCCTTTGAGCTTATGGATGGTCGTAGTCAGAACCTTTACAAGGGCGCTAGCGGCAACAGCTTGCCTCTTGAGAATGAGCACCCCTTCTACTGCCTTGTCGAGACTTCTGGAAGCAACACCGACCACGACCAAGAAAAGCTCGAGGCCTTCCTCGAGCATGTCATGGGTGAGGAGATTGTCAGCGATGGTGTCGTCGCGCAGGATCAGACTCAAAGCCGTGAGCTCTGGGGCTGCAGAGAAGGTGTTCCCGAGCATCTCGGCCACTGGGGCGGTGTCTACAAGTACGACTTGTCGATTCCCATCAGCGAGATGTACGCTCTGGTCGAGGAGACTCGTGCGAAGATGGAGAAGGCTGGTCTGATTGGTGACACTGATGACTTCCCCATCGTCGATGTTGTTGGCTATGGTCACATGGGCGATGCCAACCTCCACCTTAACGTGCCCGTACGCCGCTACGACAAAGCTGTAGAGAAGGAGCTCGAACCTTTTGTCTACGAGTGGGTGGCCAAGCGCAATGGCAGTATCAGTGCTGAGCACGGTCTGGGTATTGCCAAGGCACCTTTCATTGGATACAGCCGTGACGAGACGATGATCAAGCTTATGCGCCAGATCAAGGATCTTTATGACCCTGTAAGTTTTCGAACTGCATATGCACAATCTACAAGCTTACTGACAACCATTGCANNGAAGGGCATCATGAACCCGTACAAGTTCCTGTCCGGTTAGATTGACCGGATGGTCGTGTATACATAGGTTTCTCGCCTTTTTGACTACCAGCTTCTTGCATATGGTATTTGTAGATACCCCTTTGACGAGCTTATGAGCACGTCTTTCGCCATTACAAAAGTTAAGTTCTTTATTCGTCTCGATTCTTTCTCACTTGCAAATGATCAAGTCGTTGTGTGAAAAGGCCACATCTTCCGTGGACCGCTCTTTACTTCGTAACTCCTGCCATTCCTATATGTTAGAGATCGTCACGAACGACCCCGCTTCCACGACAACATGCAGTATTACACATCGCTCAAGAGATCACCATGTTCTCTACAGCAAATGCTTCGAGTTCAGTGATATTGGCAATCCATATTGATGTGATACCTCATACAACCAAAAACAAGTCCACCTCACAGAAAAGAAAGAAAAGTCCTCACGCCCGCCCAACAAACAACCACAACAGCTTCTCAGCAGCCTTGCTCTCCTTGTCATCCTTGTCCTTTCCCTTCTTCTCTTCTTTACCTCTGTCTTTCCTTCTCTCTGCCTTTTTATCTTCCTTCCTCGCTCTCTTGTCCTTTTTTCGTTCTCCTTTTGTCTCGCTTCGAGGGCTTTTTGCTCGGCTTTTGCCATTTGTCGCTTCAGTTGCCCAGCGGCTAATCTGTCTATTGTATTTGTTTGTCTGTGCGCCTCTGGGATATTGAAGGATAGGGGTGCGGTGTAGGGTGCTAATGCAAGGAGCCGTCGTCCTTGCATGCTCAGATGCATTTCTGCTGTATCCAGCTCTGCTAATAGATCTACTGTGGCATTCAACCCTAATTTCTGCTTCGGTATCTGCGTATGTACAATCTCGACTGTAAGTCCTTTAGAATTGAAGAGGTTTGCATTGGCATCGCGGAGTAGAGCTGCAACACGTGTCTTTGAAATTGTTGCTGAGCCGACTTTGGCGAGGGCTTGCAGGGAGCCACCGACTAGAGCGGGTATGTNGTGAGGTACCATGCCTACAATCCCACCTGCGAGATCGAGGATTTGAAGGGGAGGTGTGTTGGCCAGGCACACGTTTAGGGTGTCCAAGAAGGTGANGGAGAAGGCAGTGACATCGATGCAGTGCGAGGCCAGGGAAGCGCTGTAGGCGCGGATAAAGGGATTGTTGGCGCCAGGCTGGATTTGGGNGATCACGATGGGGAGGTTGGTGTGTGAGGTCGTTGGTGTATGGGTTTGTGTCGCAATGGACTGTGAATGTGAGGGCTCGGTGTGCATGCGGGGATATTGCATTGATATTTGTGTGGGATAAGGCATCTTGGGCTCGGAGCTTGCACCAGCATAATCCTCATAGTTTCCAGGATACGGTGGTGGAGACATTGGCGAGGTATAGTCTTTTCAATGACCAGAAGGCGGTGCTTCGAAGCGTGCTTCTTGAGGATACTGGCCAGGAACCGAGTAATACTGAGCCATATCAGAAAATCGTTGCTTAGATGAGAATCGTGATGATACAAAAGTAACAGAGAAACAGAATTATCTTGAGACACCTTGAACTCCCAGGAACATCCATGGCTTTATATCTCTCACACCTCCAGTCTACTTGAAGGATTCAAATTCCACATCCATAACACAGCCCCTAAACCCATTGAGGTCGACCTCTTAGATATCTGTCAACGGAGAATGCTCCCAATCAAGTATAGCATTAACAAGCCTTCATCATCGGACCTTTGAACCCTGTGGTAGAATAGACTTTTGGTTGTAGATCACTCCCAAATCGGGAGCATTTCGCGGTCCAAGTAATCTGATTCGTTGGCTTCGGCTTACCCTTTCTGATACCCTTTTGAGAGGACTTTTGTATAGATACAGTCAACCAAGAGTCATCAAGTTGACATTGATAGAATGCCTGCTACCGATACTCAAGCTCGCTCATTCCGTCTGCTGACATTTGGCTCGAAGACACAGGAGCGAGGTTTTGGAACGCTATTATCATGTGCAAAAGTCGCGAGATCGGCTAATGCTGAGCTAGTAACCCTGGTCGACGTGTCTCGCAGGTGATAATCTTACTCAAGGATGGATCAAGTACTTCAGGTCTATAATGCTACACCCTTAAGGAGGTGTTAAGAGATTCTGCAAGCAGATGGAGTCGACCGGCTCATGGTGTCTAAGCGTAGCATGAGAAATTGATCTGGGTGGTAATCCCACAGCGATCGTTTAGCAACAACACACGCAAGCCGTTCAGCGATCTCCAAACATCTTAACACACACTGAATAGGGAGAACGATATAAAAGTCACTATAGGATCTGTAGTCATTCTCAGCTGAATCCGATGCTTGACATTAATGAATTTTCAAGAGTTTGACAGGATCTGGCTTGTGTGAACTGATCTTAGGAAAATATCTTCTTCCTCAACCGTATGTTCCGAAAGCGGATTTCGCAATCTCCCATGAACCCTGCCCAGTGGCTAGCTTTTGTTTCTGTCGTTCTAATAGAGCTTGTTCTGCAGGACTACCTTTGTCTAGAATCTTTCCAGCTTCTCGCAGGGGCCAGAGAACAAACGATTGACCCAGTCTAGTATGCGAATTCTGAAGCTGGAAGTCTAGACTCGCGCAAATTTTTATGGCTGCTTGCCGTGCCTTTTCGTAGAGTGTTGTTGCAGTTCCGAAATATAGTTGTCCAGGTTGAGCAGATAAGAGAATGGTTTCTAGCACCAGTATTAGTGAAGCATCATACAGCGAGCAACAATTCGCTGCGTAGAGACTAGTGAAATGCAGAGACTGTTTCTCTGCTTGATCTCCATCCGCTGAGACGCTGATTATGTGGCCTTCTGACGAGGCATCCCAGCTCTTTCGCCAATCTTGAAGTTGAGAGAATACCACAAGGGCATTTTCTGCTAGATTATGGTAGACGGCTGCATGCGACTCATCTGCATCGACGATGTTCTGCAATGCGAGCAATGTCCCTCTGAGAGCGGGTACATCAGACATGATGTCGAGAAGATGATCCATACTATCTTTTGCTACGTTCTGCTGTTGCCACGGTATTGTTTTCCATGATTGTTCTGAGAGAAAAGTGGCTCGTCTGCAAGCTAACGAGGAAAGTATGATGAGAAATCTGCTGCTGCGGAAGAGTTCGAAAATGTTCTTGTCTTTGCAAGCTTCTGGTCCATGCAGTTGATACAGTGCTGAGATGCCCTGACCGTGGCGGATCCAAGCATCCTGGGTAGTGCAAAGCATGATCTGCTATGGTCAGATAGCATCTCGGTGGAAGTATANAAGGTCGCGTCTTGCCTCGTAGAATCCCATAAGCATGATTGATAGAAGCATGTCAGTCATTGAGTGTTTGCTCACATGAGACAGCGCGTTATTGATACTCTCTAGACATTGACCGTACAGGGCAATGCCATGTTTTTTTATACTTGACCGGTGCTGGACACGACCATAGAACGATTTGGATAGCACGAGCAGGCATTTCCAGGGTAAAGTGTTTGGTCTTGCCATGGCGTTGAAGCCAACCCAGCGAACGCGCGTATCATGCTCTGAGGACAACTTGTGGTTCAAATGAGTCATGAACACGTTGTCATCTGTCACAGCAGAAGGCGTGGATTGTATGCGTGCGAGCGACTTTGGAGGGTTGTATTGGATGACTCGCAAATCATCGGAGGGAGGTCCGCAATCAAACTTGTCTTTTGCGCAGCGCGAACAGACAGGCCGTTTCTCGTCTGANNGAGGAGAGTCTCTGTCAGCGCGCGCCCGCATCGTCGACTATTGACTTGGCTGATTCATACCGCATTTCAAATGACGGGCTCGGCAGGTGAAACAACCTTTTGAGCGAGGACGACCAACCATTACTGGAATCTAACAGAGTCCACCTTTGAAGGCATCTCTTGGTGATGGGAATGGGTGACGTCGGAGTTCTTGGTAAAAGCCACTGGAACTCAATTTTGACGTTGTTGATGAGTTGACAACATCGAGCTGGTAAGCATAAGTGTGTTCTACTCGTACTGCGAGTTTGAGACAGCATGCGAATACGATACTCGGATGCGATTCTTCCTTGTTCAACAGTGCTGGACAAATAACAAGGGCAGTGTAGCGTTATGAACGATGATTCGTATTTGCTCGTATAGCAGCGTCGGATGTGTGCGGCTCCGACACTTGACTCTTCTTCATCGTCTTCATCGTCTTCCGTCTTCGTCAGCCACCTACATACGAATTTTCGTATACACGCAAGGGACTCTCCACACCTATTTGTATTTGCGTGCTTATTTTTGTTGAGCTGAACAACGTCGCCTTGAATTGGACACCGTTCGGCTGCGTCCCCCACATGTCCTTCTATGCATTCTCCACAAGTAGGTACCTATTTCTCGGTAAGAACTGTTCCCGAGTAACGCTCCACGGAACTTCGTCCTTTTATGTCTAAACGTTTACACTCAAGAAGGTTAACGGAGCCTGTTTGCTCCTACCCGGGGGCTCGGATCACGGATAGAAGGCCACCGAGAGGGTACCTGACATTCTGTAGGCATAGGGTCGAGATGGAACCACCGGAATGATGTCGTTGAAATACAGTTCCACACAAACAGTCCACGCCACGTCGAGAAGTCTAGCATCCCTATCCTTTAAAGCGCTCCAGTTCGTCATACAGGTTACAAAAACAAAGCACATATTCAGAGTCGCCCACAAATATATAGGCGGGCGCAGCGCTTTCTAGTTTGTTTTCTTCTTCCAGGACCCCTTCAAATTCCCTAACCCCCTGACTCCCTGTCTTAACATAGTCAACATGGAGTACAGGACTACACAACAGATAGCGGACGACGCTGTTGCTGGACAGCCCTACCACTTCCAAAATTACGAACCCCAGCAGAACTACATTGCGCCGGAGCTCTCACGCAAATCAACAGACGACAAGGAGGAAGTGGAAGAAAGCGAGAAATCACGTTCGAGGAGTAGCAGCGATGACACTGTTGCATATGCCCCAGTCAACATTCCTGGAGAGGACCAGGAGGCTATGAGGAACGACCTGATAACATTGACTCGAACTCAAACAAGCACCAGTTATGCCGGCATCGACCCCGAATCTAAAGACTTCAGTCTGGACAAATGGCTGAAGGCATTCATCAAAGATTTTGCTTCGGAAGATCTCAAAGCTACCAGGGCAGGTATTGTCTGGAAGAACCTCTCGGTCTCTGGTTCCGGTGCAGCTCTGCAGCTCCAAGACACAGTCGCTGGTATCGCTTTGAAGCCTCTTGTCATGCTCAAGTCTCTGTTCTCGCACAATACCGAGCGCAAGCAAATTCTCCACAACTTCAACGGAAACTTAAAGTCTGGCGAACTACTTATTGTTCTTGGGCGTCCAGGCTCGGGCTGCAGTACCTTTCTCAAGTCGCTCTGCGGCGAGACACATGGTCTCCATATTGACGATGGCTCTGAGATTCATTACAATGGTGTCGACCAGAAGCAGATGATGAAGGAGTTCAAGGGTGAAGTAGTGTACAACCAAGAGGTTGACAAGCATTTCCGTACGTTCTTCCCCTCCTACTTTTGCCGAATGAAGAACAAGAGTGCTGATCAATCTCACAATATAGCCCATTTAACAGTCGGCCAAACCTTGGAGTTCGCTGCTTCCACTCGTACTCCCAGTCATCGCATTCGCGGCCTGTCGAGAAAGGACTTTTCCGCCCACACCGCCAAAGTCATTATGTCAGTCTTCGGCCTCAGCCACACATACAACACCAAAGTCGGCTCAGACTTTGTTCGCGGTGTGTCTGGTGGTGAGAGAAAGCGTGTCAGCATCGCTGAAATGGCTCTTACTGGATCGCCACTCGGCGCTTGGGATAACTCAACTCGTGGTCTGGATTCGGCAACTGCGTTCAAATTTGTCAACTCACTCCGCACTCTTGCGAATCTTGGTGGATCTGCCCACGCTGTTGCCATTTACCAAGCCTCTCAGCAGATCTATGAGTTGTTTGACAAGGCGATTGTGCTCTACGAGGGTCGCTGCATCTACTATGGTTCAGCGCCCAAAGCTCGCGAGTACTTCGAAAAGCAGGGCTGGACGTGCGACAAGCGCCAAACCACTGGAGATTTCCTGACTTCGCTGACCAACCCCTCTGAACGCAAAGCCCGCGAAGGCATGGAAAACAAAGTGCCTCGCACCGCTGAGGACTTCGAACGTTACTGGCTCGAGTCCTCGGCATACAAGACTACGGAGCGTGGTATTGAAGAGCACGAAAAATCGGTCTCCGGAGATCAGATGGTGCAAACTTTCCGTGACAACAAGGGTGAAGCACAAGCAAACCACACTCGTCTGAAGTCACCATACATGATCAGTGTTCCCATGCAGATCAAGCTGAACACGAAAAGATCTTATCAGCGTATTTGGAACGACCTCCCATCGACAGTTTCCGCTATTGGTGTCAACATCTTCATGGCCCTCATCATTGGTTCGATCTTCTATGGCACCCCTGACGCGACTGTCGGCTTTATGTCCAAAGGAGCCGTTCTGTTCTTTGCCGTCTTGCTCAATGCCCTGTCAGCCATGAACGAGATCAACAGTCTCTATGCCCAACGCCCAATTGTCGAAAAACACAAATCTTACGCGCTCTACCACCCTGCTACAGAAGCCATTGCCGGTATCGTTTCTGATGTACCTGTCAAATTCGTTCAAGCTGTTGTTTTCAACTTGATTCTCTACTTCCTGGCTGGTCTTCGACGCGAACCATCTCAATTCTTCATCTACTTCTTGATCACATTTATCGTCGGGCAAATCATGGTAAGATCATCAAACTTCCGGTGTAACATGAGATGCTAATTTATTGTTATANNGTCGGCCGTGTTCCGCAGTCTCGCAGCTGTGACCAAAACAATCTCTCAAGCAATGACACTTGCTGGTGTGATGGTTCTTGCCCTTGTTATCTATACAGGCTACGTGCTTCCGCAACCCTACATGAAGCCTTGGTTCAACTGGATTCATTATCTGAGTAAGCTGGTTTCACCTCGCTGTCCTGGCTCTACTAACCATATTCTGCANGATCCAATTTACTATGCATTCGAAATCCTGGTCGCCAACGAGTTCCACGGAAGACAGTTCCCCTGCTCTCAAATCGTTCCTAACTATCTGTTCATGCAAGGCGACACCTTCATCTGTTCAACGACTGGTGCAGTTGCAGGCGAATACACTGTCAGTGGAGACGCATATATCCAGACTGCCTACGAATACTCTTACTCTCATGTCTGGAGAAACTTCGGCATCATGATCGCTTTCCTTATCGGTTTCATGGCCATCTACTTTATTGCTGTTGAACTCAACTCTTCGACTAGCAGCACTGCCGAGGTCCTGGTTTTCCGCAAGGGACATGCTCCCGCCAACCTTACTGGACGAGTAAAAGAAGGCAACAATGATGAGGAAGCCCCCGCCCAAGGTGCTGCTGCGTCGAATGGACACACCGAAGGCGAGAGTGTTGATGCTATCCCTGCCCAAAAGGACATCTTCACCTGGAGAGACGTGGTCTATGACATCAAGATCAAGGGCGAGCCTCGCAGACTTCTGGACCATGTATCTGGATACGTCAAGCCAGGAACTCTGACCGCACTCATGGGTGTTAGTGGTGCTGGCAAAACGACTCTGTTGGATTCGCTCGCTCAGCGTACGACTATGGGTGTCATTACTGGCGACATGTTGGTCAACGGAAAGCCCATCGATGCCAGCTTCCAGAGAGGCTGCGGTTACGTGCAACAGCAAGGTAAGACCGTATGATCGGACGTTGGCATGATCTCATACTAATCATTTCTCNNAGATCTGCATCTCGAGACAGCTACCGTCCGTGAAAGTCTGCGGTTCAGTGCCATGCTCAGACAGCCCAAATCAGTATCCAAGCAGGAGAAGTACGACTACGTCGAAGAAGTCATCAAGATGCTCGACATGGAAGACTTTGCCGAGGCAGTTGTTGGTGTCCCTGGTGAAGGTTTGAACGTCGAGCAGCGCAAGCTCTTGACCATCGGTGTCGAGCTGGCTGCAAAGCCCAAGCTTTTGCTATTCCTGGACGAGCCTACTAGGTGAGTAGCTCTTCGATTTGACGTGTAGTCATTTGTGCTAACATCACCAAGTGGATTGGACTCCCAAAGTGCCTGGGCCATTTGCGCCTTCCTTCGCAAGCTTGCCGACGCTGGCCAAGCTGTTCTCTGTACTATTCATCAGCCCAGTGCTGTCCTCTTCCAGGAGTTTGACCGTCTCCTGTTCCTGGCAAAGGGTGGTAAGACTGTTTACTTTGGCGACATCGGAAAGAACTCCAAGACCCTTCTCGACTACTTCGAGGCCAACGGAGCCAGACACTGTGAAGACGACGAGAACCCTGCAGAGTTCATGCTCGAGATTGTCAACGCTGGATCATCTGGACAAGGACCTGACTGGCACGAAGTATGGAAGAAGAGCGATGAGTGCAAGGGCGTCCAGACTCAAATCGACAAGTTGCACGAAGAATCAAGCGGCAGAGCCCGCGAGCACGAACCTACCAAGGAAGAACTTAGCGAGTTTGCCATGCCGTTGACCACTCAGATCACTGTCGTAACCCACAGAGTTTTCCAGCAGTACTGGCGTATGCCTTCCTACATCCTCGCGAAGTGGATGCTCGGTACTGCTGCTGGTCTCTTCATTGGCTTCTCTTTCTACCAGGCCGATTCCTCGACCCAAGGACTCCAGAACGTCATCTTCTCAGCCTTCATGGTTTGCACAATCTTCTCTTCTCTTGTTCAGCAGATCATGCCTTTGTTCGTTAACCAACGCTCGCTCTATGAGGTCCGTGAAAGACCCAGCAAAGCATACTCCTGGAAGGCTTTCATCCTGGCCAATATCGTGGTCGAGATCCCTTACAACATCGTCTTGGCCATTCTGGTCTTTGGTTCTTACTACTACGCCGTGCAGGGCATCCAGCCCTCTTTGAGACAGGGCATGGTCCTTCTCTTCCTGATCGAGTTTTTCATCTACGCTGGCACTTTTGCTCATCTCTGTATCGTTGCCATGCCGGACGCACAGACCGCGGCAGCTATTGTAACCTTACTCTTCGCCATGTCCTTGGTTTTCAACGGTGTCATGCAGTCCCCCACAGCACTCCCTGGTTTCTGGATCTTCATGTACCGTGTATCGCCCTTCACATACTGGATCGGCGGAATCGTCGCAGCCCAACTCCACGGCAAGACAATCGAGTGCAGTGCCGTCGAGACCAGCATCTTTAANCCCCCTACCGGCCAAACCTGCGGACAATACCTGGCCGAGTACCTCCGCACCTCACCCGGCACACTCCAAAACCCTGGCGCTACCAGCAACTGCGCATACTGCGCTCTCAGCAACGCAGACCAATTCCTTGCTGGCAGCAACATCTCCTATAACCAGGTGTGGCGCAACTTTGGCATCTTCTGGGCATACATTGGGTTCAATATCTTCCTTGCCGTGTTCCTGTACTGGCTGTTCCGCGTTAGCACCTTCAGTGTTTCTGGATTCACTGAGAAGTTGAAGGGACTCCGCAAGCCCAAGGCTGAGCCTGTTGCCGACGACAAGGAAGGACAGAAGCAGAGAAACCATGCCGATCCTTTCTAGACGGCCATTTCCGTTCCATTAGGCGTTTCAGCTATGGGGCGATTTAGTTCTAAGATAGGACATCGCACTTGCCTTTTCTTTTCTTGTAAAAGTTTGAAACCAATTATATAATTTTAATACTTTTCAAAACTTCTTCCATCGCAATGTCGATAATCAGGTCCCACGAAGGATAATGCATTTCCATGTCCATATGAACTTTAACACTGGCATGATTGGCTAGGTGAACTAGCCCAGTCTCTTCGTATTTAGTCCCCAGTGGGCCTTGACCTCTTGCCTCAATCGTCGAATTGACCCTAAAAAGCACCCCTTTGTCTGGTAAGAAGAAGCACGCCTACTCGAAGCTCAAGCCAAGGGCTTCTGGCCTCAATGAAGAACTTTGCAGATCAACTAGATTTCGAATGAATGGGTTCGAATACTTATGTTCGTTGCTTCAATTTACTGTAGGATAGTGTCTAACGCTGTCTTGAGCGCATTGGCATGCGCGCTTGGCTGGCCATCTGACCTCCAAGCGATGATTCCATCTGGTCTCACAAGCAATGCCTCGCCTTCTGCGAGTTTCCACGTGGCTTGTGCTGCACCATCACGATCCTGATATGTCTCTTTCGAGCCCATGACATGAGAATCCACTGGAACTTTCTGCTTCTCTGCCGCTTCCAGCCATGGTGAATCTTTCTGAACAGTAAGGAGGACAAAGTTCTGCTTGATGAGGTCCAAGCTAGCAATACGTCAGTATAGCTCTCCACAAAGTCTTTGGCTAGTCCTTGGAATCGCAGTTCGCTATGCTCAACGGTTTGGGATCCATCGTGAGAAGACCTTACAGGCTCTGCCTGTATTCCAAGCTGAAATGTGCCGTCGACTGTGGTGGCAGTTTCACTTGCTAAACCGGCATTACACCAATCTCTGTGAAGGTGTAGATAGTACCGATATGGCCTACGTTACACCTTTCGATACGAAACGACCTCTGAATCTCAATGACGCTGACCTCCACCCGAACATGATGACCTGTCCGACTGAACGGCAGGGCAGCACAGAGATGATGTTCTGTTCGGTCAGATACGTAGTCAGCGACTTTGTACAACAACTCGGCATCAAGAACGACAGTCCACAGAACAAACTCCAAGCTATTCAGAAGCTGGAGCAAGACCTGGGGGACAGGTTTGCCAGACACTGCGATGAATCTATACCACTCCAACGCGTCACAAAGTTCTTGATTAAAACAATTGGTTACAGGCTCACCCTCATGCACTGCTGTTTGCCACTTACCACTGAAGAGAACCCATCACGAGAATACAAAACGCAGACTTTGAGTACGGCATTATTGCTCTTACAGACTCAGAATGTGAGCTCTGCAGATGTAACGCCAGATCGCTACAGATGGCACACCAAGCTCTTCCACAATTCTGAGGCATTGTTCCCCGTTCTTCGTGCTCTGGCTTTTGACAATCCTGACCAAGAGGCCTTGGAAGAAGCCTGGAAGCAAGTTTCGTTGACCTACCATTTCAATCCTCGGTTACTCTCTCCTGCTTCTTCCGATCAACATGGTCTCTACAGCAGTCTCGCCAGTCTGGCACCGAAAGCAATAACACGACATTCACAAATGGACGCAAGTAGCATAGACCTACCTGCTACGTTCATCGAGCAACTCATGGCCCAGCAGCAGCCGCATACGGATCCAGAGGCCACCACCGTCTCTGCATCAGCGACGATACAACAACCCGCACAGCCATCTGATCCCGCTCTCTCTGAACCAGTCATCACCGAAGGGCAGCCAAACATGTATTGGCAACAATCACATCTCGACAACGACGACCAGGCATGGGAATATTGGCTAAATTCAATCGAAAACGAAGAAAACCTCGGTTTCTGACATGTTCTGCATCCAAGGGGCTTGAAAGGTTTCTCGAGAAAGGGGAAAATCCAAGATTTAATGGTTGACAGTAATAAAGTCAGGTTCCATGTTTTGGCGTGTGTGAGACAAAGAATCATTCCTCTTCTCAGCCCGAAGCTCCCACCCGTGACCACTCTTGCACTTGCATCCAGCGACAAGTCCCATAGGCACGATCTTCATGACCTTCCAACTCTGATGCTCTCATCTGCTTCTCTGGTCAGCAACCTCCGCATCCACGATTCCTTCAACCCGCTCCCATCTACTTGATAGCCTTCCCAGCCATACCCTCCTCACCACTTCCCTTGCTCCCTTTTCGCAGTCACCGCTCCCAACACTCTAGCCCTATCACTTGCCCAAATTACTTTCTTCTCAGCAACCGCATCAGCCATCATTCTATCTTCTTTCTTTTTCTTTTCTACTTCTTGCTTTCTCTCGTTCTCCCTTACTGTCTTTTCAGCGCGGGGTTCTGCTGTTTGAGCAGCGGAGAATGGGGTCTGAGAAATGATATCCGGGCGACGAGGGATATAGTGGTTAATTGGTTTGAGGGGTGTGAAGGTGGTGGCAGGAGGGCGAGTGGTGGTTGTAGAAGCTATTGAGAGTGGAGAAATGTATGCAGGACTTGAATAAGGTGTGAATATGCCGTTGGTGGTATTTACGGTAGACATGTCGCCGACTGCTGGCTTTGTGGTAGCTTTGTTGATGGGAGCTTTGAAGTTGTGGATGGTGGTGGGCTCGAGAGACTCCTCGGCCCAGTCGGGAGTGTTTGGGTTCATGATGAGGTTGAGATCCATACTGTGGTTGATGTTTGTAGAATTGATAGCTGATGTAATGTTTGTAGTTGATATCGACAATGGCAGATGCTATGTGCTGGTTCGGTGGTGCTGGGAACGAATTTGGTTTCACTCGGGTTGCTATTCCCTGCGGTGAGATGCTCTTGCTTGATTGAGTGTGGCTCGTCACTATTGACGGACGATACTGCCCGTAATGAGACTGAGGATTTCTGTCACGGTAGTCATCGAAAGTTCGAATATTGTGTTTCAACTCATTTGAGAGGACTTATTTTGTGTATCTGCAATTCTTTGATCTCATGAATGATCCCAACTTTTATTTGGCAGCGGCAGCCCAAGCCTCGTGCAACTTCTTCTGCCTCTCCCAATCCTTTCTCAATTTCTTACTTCTGCTCTTAGCAACTTCCTTACCCTCCTTGTCTTTTGTCGGCAAACCTTCTTCGTCCCACTCTGAGAATTCTGCTGTGCGGAACATCTTCAGATGAGACAGTTTTCCCTTCTCCAATCTCTCACGCTCCTCCTTTTCTTTAGCCTCTTTTGCTGCCTTTGCCTTTTCTAGCTTCATGGCAGCCAGAGCTTCGCGATTCGCGCGCTCCTCGCGGAGAGACGCGTTCAAGGGACGTACGAGAGCGGGTGCGTTGGCGCGGTCTTCCAGGTAGATGCCCAAGTTCCAAAGAGTGGTGTCACGAAGTTCGTCGCAAAGGGGCATGTATGCTTTAGGAGCTGCATCAGCCTTGATAAGGTCATTGAGTTTGCTCAACCAGCCCACTGTAGCTTCGGCAGCTTCAGCACCCTCCTTTGTTTCTGGCGGTGTCTTGAGTGCGGCAGCATCGAAGTGACTGAGGATGGCAGGTGCGTCGATGGTACCAGCGATGGCCTGCTTTCGTACCTCGTCTCTGATCTTGGCGAGAGGGTACACAAACGGCGCAACGGTAGAATCCACCTCAATACCGCTCCACGAGATACCATGAGAAGGCGGGTTGGCATCCAGTCCCAGCATTGTAACAATTGATGTAACGTATTTGGCAATTTCGATGGTTACTTCGTCGCTGACACCAATCTCGGAGTTGAATGCGGTGACAAGGTCTGAGAGAACCTTCATCACTGTGGGTGTATCGAAGGAATCCAAGAGCGCGTCTTCGACAGAGATCTTGGCCGATTGAAGAGCTTCCTTGAGAGGACCATCAGGCGAAAGACCGGTCTCGCTGTCAACAGCTCCCTGGCTAGGGTTGATCTTTGTGTCCAAAGCCTTGAGCATGAAGTTGGAAATCTTGTCTTCCCACTGCGAAGCAATCTGCACGATGGAATCAGAAATCTCCAAAGGAGAACGATAGTTTCCGAGCAAGAAGACTATTCTCAAGCCGCGAGGGGTCCATGTTCCTTTCTCCAGGGCTTCACGAATAGTGGTGAAATTCTTGAGACTCTTTGACATCTTTGCGCCGGAGATACCCAAGTGACCCATGTGAAGGAAGTAGTTGACCCATGTGCTGTCTTTCTCGGCCGGGCAGGAGCAGTGGAAAGCCTCTGATTGGGCGAGCTCGTTGTCGTGATGTGGGAATGCCAAGTCTATTCCACCTGAGTGGATATCCATGCGAGATCCAAGTACGTCGGACGCCATGGCACTGCACTCAATGTGCCAGCCGGGTCGGCCGGGGCCCCACGAGCTGTTCCAAGCCGGCTCACCTGCCTTAGACGCTTTCCACAACGAGAAGTCTGCTGGAGACTTCTTAAATGAAGTTCCCTTGGCTGCCAGAGAGCCTTCACCCTCGGCAAGGAGCGCAGGATCGGCCTTGTTCCATGGTTCCAGACGAGCATAAACACCTCCAGCCTTCTCCCAAGCACCGACATCAAAGTAAACACTTCCGTTGTGCTCGTAGGCGTAGCCGTTGTCCTGGATTTGCTTCACAAAGTCTGCAATCTGGGGAACGTAGTCGGTGACGCGAGTAATGGTGGTTGGGGGCAAGACATTGAGGGCAGCCATGTCTTCGAAGAAATAGTTCTCGTACTTCTTCGCAAGACTGTTGAACAAAGCGTGATCGTTGGCATCGATGGTGGAGCCAAATTGAGCATCGAGGTAGGGTAGGAGAACGCCAGAGGCCTTGGCATAGAAGTCTAAGGCATTGGCTTGAGCAGCAAGAGCTTCGGCAGCAGTGGAGGATGTCTTGATGTGCATCTTGACCTTTGCTTCGTTGTCTCCAGGGGCGGCACCGTCATTGGCCAAGTTCTTCCCTTGTAAGACATGGCCATACGCCTTTTCTACTGTTTGTGTGTAGTCGGAAGGTGAGACATCTCCCGACAACAGAGGGAGGTTCTTTGAGATGTATGCCTTGAAAGCAGCGTTTGTCGTGTCGAGAACGTCGGTGTCAATGTTGTCGTGTTTGTTGATGAAGTTGGTCAGCAAGTGTTGTTGGCGGGCAGCAAGAATGATCTTGTCATCTACGTCGGTGACNNTGTGTGTAGGGTCAGACATATGGCAGCAAGTGGGTATCAGGTGTCTCGTACCATTCATGACCATGTTCACATCGTAGCCTAGATGTGTCATGATTCTTCTGAGAATATCCAAGCTAACATAGTTGCGCGCGTGGCCCAAATGGGAGAAGTCATATACAGTTGGACNCGCCTGTCGTTCATCAGTAAGATACTGGTAGCATCAAACTTTCCGAGCAATCATACAGCTATACCACGAAACTTTTCCCAACTCCAGAGGCACAAAATCAACCTTGGACCTGGTCAATGAATTCCAGAGTTTTAGGTTTGGTATGGATCCTCCAGATGGGACTGGAGGAGGGTTCCATTGAGGCTGCACCGTCGCCATCTTCCCTCTTGAACGACACGATGACGATGTGGATAGGAATGCGCGAGTCGAACTTCTGGCAGTGGATGGGCGTCTTGTGAATTGGCCAGTCGAGAATGATCGTGTCGCAAGAGCAAAAGTCGCAAACCGGAGTGGTCGCGAGAACGAAGAGGGCTGACGGAGAGGAATGAAAAGCAAAGGCGCAGACGACGGGAAACAGCTGAGCATCGACGGGCTCCTTGTGATGTGGCAGAGGGAAGGAGCGAAGAGTCACACTGCACTTTGGAAAGCTCTCGTGGACCCTGCGCCTGCACTTGGCTGGGCCTGCTGCGCTCGCTGGTCGGCGGCCGGGAGTGCCCCACCACTTCTCCGCAATCCTTGGCACATGCTCTCGGACTTGGTCAGAAAAATGTTGCTGCACCTTTCGGATCGCCCAAACACATCAATTATCAATGGCCACCTCGGACTTCAAGCCCTCGCCTTTTCTGGAAGCCGGAGCGGCCGCCTCTATCGGGTCGCTAGCAATCTTACATCTGAAACGCGATCAGCTCATCCCTCTAATCCTCAAGTCGACCGCCGACGATGGCTATGCAGAGGGCGCCGTCACGAATACCCGTTTTGGTTCCTTCCCACACTCGACACTGAAAGACATTCCGTGGGGTACCCAGGTTCGCGCTTCGAAGGTCGACACTGGTTCAAGAGGTCGCGGTGGTGCTAAGCGCAAGATCGACGACACTGAACCCAAGGAGGCCATCCAGGCTGGCACAGGCTTCGTGCATCTGCTACCACCCACTCCCGAGAGCTGGACCATCAGTCTGCCCCACCGCACCCAGGTCGTCTACACTCCCGATGCCAGCTACATTCTGCAAAGACTCCAGGTCCGTCCTGGTCAAACAATCATCGAGGCCGGTGCTGGGTCAGGCTCTTTTACACACGCCTCGGCACGCGCCGTCTTCAACGGCTATCCTTCACAATCCTCGTCAGAGCCTTCGCTCAAGAAGCGTCGTTATGGCCGTGTCTGCAGTTTCGAATACCACGAGCCGCGTGTCCTCGGTCTGCAGGACGAAGTTCGTGCTCACGGCCTTGATGACCTTGTCCGTGTGACACACCGCGATGTCTACGCTGACGGCTTCCTCCTCGACGAACAAGATCCCAAGGACAAGTCTCCGAAGGCTGACGCCATCTTCCTCGATCTCCCTGCTCCTTGGATGGCTCTCAAGAACTTGACCCGTCAACGCCTCCCAGCCCGTACCGCCAAGCTCGTCGCCAACTCTGCCTCTTCCGACTCCGCCGATATATCTGCCCCCTCAGAAACAGAAACACCGACAGAAGAATCTACCGAGCCCTTCATCTCTCCTCTCAACCCCAATGTTCCCGTTCACCTCTGCACCTTCAGCCCTTGTATCGAACAGGTCACTGCAACGGTAGCCGCCTTGCGCCGCCTTGGCTGGACAGAAATACAGATGGTTGAAGTCATGCAAAAACGCATCGACGTGCGACGAGAGCGCGTGGGTCTACACGAGGAAGGTCTGCGCGGTGTGAATGCTTCAGCTGCGACCGTAGACGAAGCCGTGAATCGCTTGCGCGAAGTTGAGGGCCGGTTCAAAGAATGGCACGAAGCCGTCAAAGAGGCAGATGTGGTGGCCGAAGCGAATGGACAACCTAAGCCTCGTCCCAGCAACAAGGATCACCCAGCCAGTCACTTCGAGAGCAAGCAAGCCAGACTCGAGCGTATCAAGAAAGAAGCCGAAGAGAGAAAAACGTTCAAGGAAGGAAGACTGGTGCACAGGACCGAGCCCGAGATCAAGACGCATACAAGTTATTTGGTCTTTGCAGTCCTACCACGGGAATGGAGCGAAGAGCAAGAGGCGAGGCTGAGGAAGAAATGGGGCACAGAAGGCCAGGTCTCGACTGAAGACATCAGTAAGAAGGGAAACAANAAGAGTAGGAAGACGTAGATTATACCTTAGATGCATTACGCGCCGCATGGTTAGAGCAATTCACGAAGACCAAGTCCATTTTTCTTCAATGTTAGGATTCAGGCCGAACACTGCTTTGCGACAAAGGGTGTTTCCATGATTGTTGCGCCAAGAATTGTCTCATTCGTCGTCCATTGCTTTGCTGGAATGCACCTCATCTCTCTCCTCCAACAATGCAACCTGCTCTTCCTCACCCAGATCGATGACAGCAGCAATGACAGCAACAATCTTTTTCTTCAGTTCACCCTTGTGTCGTCGTTGTTCTGCACGCTTCTCGAGGTCTTTGATTATTTGCTCGCGCGATTCTGGTGTGCTGTTGTAGGCCAAGGTGATTGTGAGGACACCCGCAGCAATGAAAATGAGTACGTTGGCTAGGAGGTGGAGGGGTTTGTGGTCGTTGAGGTTTGACATTATTGCGAGGTTGTAGATAAGAATATAGAAGGAAGTGTAGGCGATTTACGAAAAGAGAAGCGATGCGATGCGGTTCAAGAAGTGGCAGAAGACGCACCGTTGAGAGAATCTACGAAGGACGCACTAAAACCATTCTCAGTCAATCATGGACTAACCTTGTGTGAACCAAGACAGCTTCTTTCAGGTGTGCTCAGTTAAGCCATTTCTCGCCATGCACAACCAGAAAAGCCATCTCTCGAGATGTCTTGCGGCTGCGCTGGTAGTGCGATTACCAATTTCAAGATTGATCATCATTGCAAGAGTGATGAAAGAAGATTGAGAGCAAAAAGACATACATTTACTATATAATGGTCGAGGTGTCCCATCTTGTAGGTCGTCGCCATGTCCTGGGAGCCACCACGAAGGGGCCCTCGTGAAGACGGTTTTAAAAGTGGGGTAGAATCAATCTCGACACACGCATCGGAGTCGCCAACCAGGTAGAGCATATGACCGGCTGGCGATGATTTGAGTTGGTGGTCTTGGTTGAGAAAGAAAAGAAGAGGTCGCATGCACACGAGATCTCTTGTAGTGAAAAAGAAGACGTCAGGGTCCGTGCGTGCTTGGCGCGAGCTGCGACAGTTCTGCGTCTGACGGCGACTGCGAGGGCATCATGCAAATACTCGATCAAGCCAACCTCCCACCAAACAACCCGTCCACGCGCCATTTCTCACCATCCAGAGCTCGATACCCATTCAATTACTACTCGGTCGCCGAACATCGTCGCATCTACAGCTTCGCCATAAACCACATTTGACCACATCTCGCAATATACCATACTCCGCAGCGCCAGCTTGTCACAATTTTCCACCCTGCCTTACTCCACCTGAGAAACACCAGATTACGCCCTTCCGTCCTTGTCCAGCCTGTCTAGCTAGCCCTCTCTTCCATTCGAAACTCTCCCTCGTTCCGCTTTCTCTCTCCAGCTAGCAGTCGCCGCAATGGACAAGGACAGAGACAACCTTTGGTCCCGTCGTACAAAGTAATCCTCCCACTACCCCTGTCTTTTGTCGCCTAGCTAACCACACACTCGCGCNAGTGTTGGAAAATTATCCCTGTCAATGGACAAGTCAGAGCGCAACGATGGACACGCGTCTTCGAAACGTTTCGGCAGTACATCCTCGCATGGCCGCAACAACCCTTTCAACTCTGTTACACCTTTGAGCACTAGCGGAATCTCTTCTCCTACGACTGGCGCTTCTGGTGCCTTTGGTCTGGGCTCAGGCGCCTTTGCTTCATTCGGCTCGGCAACAAAGACACCCAAGACACCGGGCACCGCCTTTGACTTTGCCAAAGCTGTCGCTGGCACACCCTCATCCGCCAACTCGGCTGACAAAAAGGACGGCGATGATAAGAAGAACTTTGCTAGGAAGGTTGCGCCTGTCACGACGCCTCGTCCCACCGCTTCACAATCAATAGAGCCGGCAGCACGAGGAAATGATAGCCCGTGGCCGCTCAAGTACACTTGGGTCATCTGGTACAGACCNCCTACATCCAAGAACTCGGATTATGAGAAATCTACAAGACCCATGTGCAAGATATCGACAGCACAACAGTTCTGGCAGGTCTATTCACACCTTAAACATCCCTCTGGACTCCCTACTGTGTCGGACTACCACTTCTTCCGCGATGGCATCAGACCTGTGTGGGAGGATGAGGAGAACAAGAAGGGAGGAAAGTGGATTCTGCGATTGAAGAAGGGAGTGGCAGACCGCTACTGGGAGGATCTCCTCATGGCCATGATTGGAGATCAGTTCGCCGAGGCTGGCGAGGAGGTTTGCGGTGCAGTTGTCAGCGTGCGCAGTGGCGAGGACGTGTTTAGCATCTGGACCAAGAACGACGGCGGCAGGAACGTTAAGATTCGGTAAGTCTCACGAGGCAACACGATGGCAAGGAGGGTTGCTGACAGTCTCATTNNTAGGGAAACCATCAAGCGCGTCCTGTCTCTACCAGCAGACACCAACATGATTTGGAAAAGCCATGATGACAGCATCACTCAGCGCAGCGCCATCGACCAGGCCCGTCAGGAAAAGACGGGCCACCACGGCGAGAGACGCCGCAACCAGAACCAGAGCTCGACGGGCAACGCAAGCGGCGAGGAGAAGGTCGCAGCATGATGAAGTGGTGTATGACGACGACATATGGCAGTTTCGCACTGCATGTATTTCAACGCATTGTTTACCTGATACCTAAGTGGAGCGTTTGCGGGCGGCGAGGACAAGCTGCTTTCTTTGGTGGTGCGCGCGTGGGGCATATCGAGGCCTTAGGGATAGCAGGTATGCATTGGCACCTCGGACGCGGGGTTTGTCGAGGAGAGGCGGGGCATTCAATCAGTGTAAAAGTACAGCATCCTCCTTTAGTCACAGGCATCTGCAGCATGAAAGCGGAATTGCAGCTGGGGTCGCTGGTTAGGACCGCGTTGAATGAACAAAAGCAGTAAAGAAGCGCAGCGCTGGATAATATGACGAATGCCCGGTGCTCTCCACAAATTGGCGGTATCGGGGACCCTTAAGAAAGATCAACTGCCGAATCGTACGCATCGCAGCATTGCTCTCCCATTTTTTCCATTCGCACCCGGTCACACGAGCAACATGCACGCAACAACATCAGACATGGCTTCGGACAGGATAGTCGACAAGATCGCCGCGCTGCCCGCCGACAGCACGTATTTCTCGCTGGAATTCTTTCCGCCAAAGACGCAGCAGGTGAGGGGCGACCATGAGGGCAGCAAAGTGCTCGAGAGAGTTGTCTGACAGTCGNNACAGGGTTTCGCAAACCTCCACGCCCGTCTCTCTCGCATGGCACATTCATTACGGCCACTCTTCGTCAATGTAACATGGGGTGCCGGCGGCAGCACAAGCACAAAGTCTCTGGCTCTGGCAGAGATGACGCAGCGCCAACTGGGACTCACCACTTGCCTGCATTTGACCTGCACCAACATGTCGCGCAAGCTCATCGACGAAACTCTGGAACAAGCAAAAGCATTAGGCATCAGAAATATCCTTGCCTTGAGAGGCGATCCACCGAGAAGCGACGAATACAGATCCAACGAGCTGGAGAACCAGGAAGAGGATGACAGCAACAAAGAATTCACATGGGCTGTAGACTTGGTACGGTACATTCGCAAGGAGTACGGACACTACTTTTGCATCGGCGTGGCTGCATACCCAGAGGGCCACTCTGATCAATCCCACCCCGAGCACCAGCACGCGACTTACGACCTCCCATACCTGGTTGCAAAAGTCGAGGCTGGCGCCGACTTTCTCATGACCCAACTCTTCTACGACATTCACGCATACCAAGATTACGAGAGACTGCTGAGACAGCACGAGAGCGGCCTTTTCAAGTCCATCCCCATCATTCCTGGCTTGATGCCTATCCAGAGCTACCAGATTCTGAAGAGAACCACCAAATTGAGTCACGCAAACCTTCCTTGCGAGGTCGCGAACAGACTGGAGCCTATCAAGAATGACGACGAGGCCGTGAAGCGTGCTGGTGTCGACATTCTCAGCGAAATGGTTGAAACACTCAAGAAGAACCCCTATTCTGGTCCCAAGGGATTCCACTTTTACACACTCAATCTGGAGAAGGCTGTTGCACATATTGTAGAGCGCTGTAAGCTGATAGGTGCAGTCAAGGATTCTGCCGTAGAAGACGATGATACACCGGTCGCGAATGGCAATGGTGACAAGAAAGCGAGGGCCCGCCGCAGATCTTCCCTCGCCAACTCCGCACCTCAAAACCGCGTTGTCGTCGACAAAACATCGAGATCAGAGTCCCACGGTAGTGCGTCTTTCGAAGCCTTTGACGACGAGGCCGGTGTGCCAGGCGAAGACCCGCCGTCCCGCGCAAACGCTCTAGCAATCTCTGAAGGGGAAGGTTCTCTAGGACGAGAGGCAACATGGGACGACTTCCCCAACGGCAGATGGGGTGATGCTCGCAGTCCGGCGTACGGTGAAATCGATGGGTACGGTGTCAGTTTACACGTCTCTATCCCGAGTGCCTTGAAGCTGTGGGGCTACCCGGTCGACACCAAAGACATTACAAGCATTTTCGCGCGTCACGTACGCGGCGAGCTCGATGCCATCCCCTGGAGCGAAGAAGGTCTTAACCCAGAGACCAAGCTTATCAAAAATGAGTTGGCCGGTTTGATAGAGAAGGGCTGGTGGACCGTCGCTTCTCAGCCTGGCGTGAATGGCTTCCGCAGTGACCACGAGATCTTTGGCTGGGGACCACCCGGTGGTTTTGTCTTCCANAAAGGTAAATATGTCAGAGGCATTCTGCACTTCATCATAGATTGCTAACACAAACAATAGCCCTTTGTCGAATTCTTCTGCTCACACGAAGACTGGACGCGCCTACGCGCCAAACTCGACAAAGACGACCAAGTAACCTACTTTGCCTGCAACGCCAAAGGCGACTTCCAAGCCGCCGATGAGGAGTCCTTGAATCCAGTGACTTGGGGCTGTTTCACTGGCAAAGAGTGCGTTTTTCTACAACCCCCATTTCCTTACCTCTGACGCATTTTCCCTAACATGTTTTTCCAACAGNNAATTGTCACGCCCACAATGATCGAAGCAGTCAGTTTCCGCGCGTGGGCTGAAGAAGCCTTTGGCATCTGGACCGAGTGGCGTCATGTGTATCCCCCTCGCTCGGCGTCGGCGGATTTGCTAAGAGGCATCAGGGATGATTATTGGTTGGTCAATATTATCCATCATGACTTTACCGAGTCGAATGGCCTTTGGAAGATGCTGCTGGATGCATAGATGCGTAGGGGAAACACGGCGTTCATAAGATAGCGTTATGAAGGATAGGTGTAGGGGAGTTTTGGGATTTGCATATAGCACTACCTTGCGTTTTTTTTGGTAGGGTAGCATCAATTTCGCCTTTTTGCGAGCCTGGTGGTTTGTATATACTCACGTTCTCCATATCTGATCTTCTTGGGTTGCATTGAACCATGATGTATCTGTTTAGATGTCGAAACAATATAGATTTCATCAGATGTGATGCTATTCTGCATATTTTCCCTCAAGCACTCGTTTACAATAGACCTATGCCCGATCATATTTTGAGAACTTGTGCTGAACTTGTAAGCACTATACTCTCATTCAATCATTCAGCCCAATATGTATTTCGCAGGATTCCATGCCCAATCGTCAAACTCAAAAAAGGAGCATAATATTAATAGTCAGGGCGATCCCCCTTTCTCCCACTCTGCTTCGAGTTACTTTTTTATGCCCACCACAACCAAGTTCCTCGGACTATGTTTGAAGTCAAACACGGCCTCTACCCACGCATCGGCAACCTCGTCTTGCTCTTTGAGGAATAGATATCTATCTACTACAATGGCGGCTTCGATGACGCCAGCACTAAAAGCCATCAAACTCCACATGATGGATAGCTCTTTGCCTCTTTCCTTGAACTCGGTCTCGTAGTTACTGATCTCGTCATCAGTCATGCTGCACATTCTCTCTTTGAACAGATTGCCTCGCGTAGGATCATTGATCAGTTTTTCCAATGCACCACGCACATAGGCGACAAAACTCGCATAGCAAGACTTCCTCAACGAACCCAGGATGATAGGTGCAGTGCCACCACCCGCACTCCACCCCAGCGGACTTCCATTATTCTTCTCCACATCCTCTGGCTCTGGGGCAGCAACAATACCTTTATCCATGAACATTCTCTGCAGCAAGGCGCGGTAGAAATGGCGTTTGAAGAAATCTTCGCTGTCCTTTTTGCCCCAGTTTTGGGGTGCTTGGACGGCCATCATGCGGGCGGTGATGTTGAGACGGAGGCCTTTGCCGCTGGTTGTCTCTTGGTTGCAGAGGCGTGAAGACATTGGGAATCCATGGGGGTCATGAGCGGAGGCTGTTTCGGTGAGGCGTGGGTGGTTGGAGCGTAGAGAGGGGAGTTTGTAGGTTGGGGGTCCGAGACGTTCGGTCAAGAGGTTATAGCAGCAGCTGTAAAGGTTGTTTAGTGTACTGGAGAGTATAAGGGGTTTATTAGTGAATACATACCCGACTAGAGCTACGGCAGATACGGCGGGGTTTAGGAGTAGAGAGCGGATGCCATGGTGAACGAGATTACCGCAGCTGTGCAACGAGATGATGAGAAGGCGAGGGTCTTGAGCTTTGATCGAATCGTCAACCTGAAGGTTTCCTCCGACAAAGTTGTCGGGGATTTGCTTTGAGGAGGGTGGTTGTGCTGCAGCGGTATCAAGATCGGAAGTCACTTTCTCGCGAACAGCATCTTGATCCACGATCTGAGGTACTACGCGAGATAGATCGCCATCCTTGATGTAGTGCTCGACGTATTGAATGCTGCCAACTCCCTGGTTCGAAATCTTGAGGGTTGCTTGTGCGGGTTGTTCTTCGACGGGAGTTTCTGCGTGGAAACCTCTTTCCCCTTTTAGATCTTTCTTCAGCGCTTCCTTCTCAGATATTCCTTGCTCGGCCATGGCTTTCCTCCACTCCTTTTTGTTTACCATGGTCTGTTGTTTTGGCGCTAGTTTGGCAAGCACATCCCAATTCCTCGCGCCCTCAATGTTATGTGCTCTGCTCTCCAAAGCGATAATATGTTTGTTGTAAGGTTCGGACGCCAGCGCTCTGCCCAGATAGTTTTGACCAGCTCCAAAGTCGACTAGATGTGTAATCTCCTGATTTGTAGACTCGGCAATTTCGCAGGTCAGTTTGTCCAGGTAACGGCAGAAGTTGTCAACTTCATGGATCTTCTTGACGTTCATGCCGACCGCTACTTGACGGGCCAGGGTATGTGAAGTTTTTGGTCCGTTGGTCCCTTTTTGGTTCTTTCTTTCGATTGGGGTATGTTTACGTTGTAAAGACAATCTTCTGACCTGCTTGATATATTGCAACAGAGACTCTGGTGGAATAGGGCCATCTCTCCATGAGTTTGTTTCCTGGTTGAAGACGTTCAAATCTTCCCGCATGAGTAGATCCAAGATGTCCATTATGTCGTGTGCTCGGAAGAAAGACCGCCATTCTGAATCTATTACCAGTGTATAGAGATCCGGTTTCCGTGTGAAGAAATCAAGGACGTGGACACCGCCGCAGAGGGCATGCAATGATTCAGAGGATCCGATAAAGTCCAATAGGGAGTCAACATATTGCTCCGAAGTCTCGAACTCTGGCGAGCACGGCAGAGCGCGCTCCGGACCCATTATGATGCGGTATCAAGATGCAAGAATAAGTGAGTGTTTGACTATCAACAGCAGCTCGTTATCACTCTCGCTTTGTGGTATACACAGACGTATAGACATAAACTGTGGGAGAAAAAAGCACCAAAGTTTAACTCCGAAGCCAAAGACCGAGAATGGGTCCAGTTCCTGGGGAAGCACTTGCACCTCAAATTAACAACAATTCGAAGCCTTGTCAAAGCTGCCACTCCGTCTTCTCTCTTTTCAGCATTCGAACAATGAGCTAGATTGTCATTGCGGCATAGGCGGGCCGCATGCTATCAAACACCACACACTACACACCATGGCATCCGAAGACCCCTTTCTCCAAGTCCAGGCGTACGTTTCGCTGCTCTGCCCCCATCATTATCACCACTATACCAAGACATTGGATGCTAACTAAAACGTCAAAACAGTNGACGTGCTCTCCCTCCTCAACACCACGCGCCCCCTCTTCAATTCCTACATCCGCATCCGCAGCTCCGCCTCCTCAGCCACATCNCCCGAACTCGTGGATGCGCGCGACGAACTCGAAGCCACACTCACAGACCTCAGCGCCGACCTGCGCGACCTCGTCGACAGCGTAAAAGCCGTTGAGCACGATCCCTATCGCTATGGCATCGAGCTCGACGAGGTGGAGCGAAGGCGGCGCTTAGTCGCAGACGTCGGGCAAGAGATTGAAGACATGCACACCGAGCTTGCCAAAACAGTCGCAGAAGCACAAACACATGGCAAAGGCAAGGCAAAAGATAACGGATTACCGCATCCGAGCGCGTTTGATTCTGAAGATGAAGAGGGGGAAGATGGCGATTATGGACAGTTTGAGCAGCAGAGGCAAGAGGAGATTATGCAGCAGCAGGACGAGGCCCTGGATGATGTCTTCAAGACCGTGGGTACTTTGCGCCAGCAGGCTNNTGATACCATGGGTCGCGAACTCGAGGAACAGGCAGACTTGCTGGATGATGTTGACAATATTGCCGATCGCGTGGGAGGAAAGCTGCAGAATGGCATCAAAAAGATTGGCTGGGTGATCCGCAAAAACGAAGGTTTGTATTTCTCTATTTCCCTTGTCGTTGTTTTTGTTGTTCTGAATCGCAGGACTCCATTTCGAGATATCTTTGCTGACATCTGCTGCTTCACCCAGATACATATTCCAGCTGTTGCATTGCTGTTCTGATTGTCGTCTTGATCATTCTGTTGATCTTTCTGCTGGCTACATGAAGAAGAAGCATTCCCATCATCTAACGATCCACGATAGAAACATTTCAAAACTACAACAGCACACCCGCTTGCCTTTGGTACATTAGTACCGGTCGCAGAAGTCATGACATGCTACTGCTGTATCTACTAAATCTTTGCATATCGTCAGTCGGCAGAAGATACATGGCGACATCGCAAAACTATTGCGAAGAACAGTGGCGAATGACGCAGCCAACATCTGCGAAGCGTCATTTGTATACCTTGCTGTCGTGTTGGTCGCTCAAAGCGCGAAACAAAACATGCGCTCAGATATCCAAAGTAGTGTCAGCCTGCCTTTTGTCATGGAAGTTCGAAGAGATGATTCTATCAAGATAGCATAACACATGACTTTTTCGCTTGGCGCGCTGATTTTGTTTGTTTGTTCTCCTTCTTTTTTGTTTTACCGTTGCTTGTTTCTTGCTTTTCCCCAGGGTTCATATGTTCGGGGGTCTGGGCTTTTTGATCTTCTTAACGACAAGCATCACGATGATAAAATGTACTTACAGGTTTTCGATCAGTGATCTGATACAGCGATTATTGACCGGCTTCAATGATGATGTTTACCTCGAAGACTCTGTGTTCTGTTCAAAATATGAAGATAACTGTAGATGCGTAGTTATTTTGAGCATGGCAGAGCTTTTGACAACGACGTCGAATGCTAGGATTACGGCAGCGCAAGAAATGACATGCCAGAGACCGTTCTCAAGATGCCATACGTTTCAGGATGGCTGTTTGTAGCATGCACGATGACGAACCAGCGGGCAGCAGCATTGAAGCAGAATCGACCTGACGAGTTCGATGCTTGATCTTCAGATCCCATGTCGCAAGACCACGGGCAACGACGGGACGACGACAGAGAGGGAAGAGCCACAGCGACGGGGTGTCGGATGATGACAGATCTCGGGCACACGTCCGAAAACGGATTGGATCTCGCGTGCTGTCCAACCGGTGCAACGCCGTATATGTGGACGTACTTTGCATATCGAAGATATGAAGCTTCGATGTGGGAGTTTCGATGTCGATGTCATGACCACGATCATGCGAGACGGCGCTTCTCAGGGATTCGAGACAGCCTGATGGTCACGATAGTCCGCAGGTTGCACCATTTGGCATTTGGTGACTTCTTCCTTCGATCGCGCGTCGATGACCTCGAGGATCAAGATTGCGCCCGAGAAGAAACATCGTCGATGAATCCGGCGGAGTTGCATCCGCATGGAGAGGTTTGGATAACACGCAACATCTGATCAATCGAGTGTCAGAACCCACGCAGAGCGATATGATTGATGGCCGTGGAGCAAGAAAATCAAAGAGTTGCGTGGATGGGTCGATGGTTGTGTTCGATGAGAACATCTTCTGATTCCTGACAATTGATGACCGATTTTGAGCCGCATACGTATGTCGAGAGTAGACGAGCATGACGAGCTTGTTCAACGAACACTTGTCATATAACGTGGTTCCCAAGTATCAAGGGATTAGATTAGATCAGTGACGCAGGTAAGCCAAGGGGGACAGCCCGCAGGAGACAGGATACGTTGGTCTGCATCCTGCAGTTGAGAATAGTCGGCCTCAGCGACCCGATGTGCCCTGGATGCAGCCTTGCTACGCGGACGGGAAGTCAAACACATATCAAACCCACTCAATATACATACAAATAGATGAAGATACTTTGAAAAGTACAGATGTAGGCCGAGTGTGGTGATCGATGTGAACGTCTACCTACGTGCTTGTCAGCGAGTGGACCAATGATGAGAGCCGACCACCTACTCCGAGAAGGATGACTGGGTCGTTCTCGCTGAGAGTGGGAAACAAGCAGTTCGGCTTGGAAAAGCAGACGATATGACGATGGGTTACGAAGCGCGTGCCTCTGACTTCGTTACCTCAAACCCTTTGCGCCTATAAAGGTGGCCAGATGGGGTAATTGATAGGTGATCGTCCTGAGGTCGACTGTGGAGTGCAGCACAAAAGTAATACAGAGGCAAACAACATCATAGGGCGCCAGTCTGTGCATCCCTATCATTGCATGTCTTTCGAGGAGTTCCGACCGAGTGGTTCCATCGACGTCAGAAAAGACCCAGCATGAAGACAGTTCGGGGCTGGGAAAGGTCGTTGCTGCCGTGACTGAGGAGACAGGGAAACCTGAGCGCTACCATCTACGTCACATGTCGGTGCGGCCCTTCTTGCAAACGGTGGTGGCGGCGGCGGCAGCGGTTCGAATGACCGGCGCGTTTTGGCTGGTGGTCAGTCTTCCCATGGCTACGCGGTGCCGGGCACAAGTCACGAAGATCGGTCAGCGGCGTACGTCTCGAGTCGTGAGGTTCTCAGTGGCATGTACCGCGAGGTCTAGAAAGCACATCAACGTCAATCCACAGGTCCAAAGGAATGAGGTAGATCTCCACTCTCGCATGTTGATTGCGGAGAGGAGTCGTTGAGCAGTTCGTCTCCAAGATAAGGAGGGCGATCTGACGAAGCCTCGAACCGAGAAGGAGCGGTGCGCGACAACCCCGTCGCTGCCTTCTGCTCACCCTCCCTCACAGCGAAAAAGACGCCCGACCAGTGAGAGCATCCCCGCGCGGCGCGAGAATATTGAGAGGCCCGGGCAATTTCGCCAGCTACATCATGATGGACAGGGTCTTCTCTGGACGCAGCCTAGCCCCCTCGGGCCCGCTGTTGTACACAGGGCAATGAGCTAATTGCGGGTTTGTCAGATCCAATGAGAAATTTCCGATACTCGCAGCCTCCCGCCTCCATAACAGGGGCTCTGCTTATCGGGCCCCTTGACGCGGGAATAGACCTGTTTTGCTAACTTGCAGCAGACTTCGCCAACCGTTGCGCTGCCGATCTTAGCATCAACGCCCGCTCTAGAGGCGCAGGGTCTGACGTTGATCCAAATGCCCCGTCATACGCTCTGCCTCTGCTCACCCAAAGAACTACTGACTGTACGAGTTTTGACATATAAGGCACCTGGATCTTCTCGTTATTCATAGCTTCATTCTCACCAACACATTTCTTCTCCAACAAACATCTCTCAAGCCTTCAACCTTTTCACGAAGCATCTCTTCCCAGCTATTCAGCTTTCAAGCATCTTTTATCAACAAACCATATCAGCTCACACATATTACAATGGCTGCTCCTTCTGAAATCCAGCAAGTCTACATTGCTCAGGACTACAACGAGCCCACCGCTCCTCAATACGAGTTCCCTCAGCACTATGACCTGAACGACCCCGACTCAGCTCGTCTCTCATACCAGAGATTGATGCACGAGCACACCAAGCAGCAGTTTGAGCTTGCCACATCATCTGCTCGCCGTCGCGGCTCTCCCCCAGAGCATGACATTGCCGGACTCCGCAAGGAGACCTCGGGCATGAGCATCGACTCCACTTCCTCTTAAACATTTCGGTCTCCGACCAAGTCACGACAATTTCTACTTCGTCAGCACACTTCATCTTGAAGCATTTTGACTGAACATTACGACCTCATGGGATGGCGTTGCAATTTTATCTTCCATTCGGTTTTGGCAGGAAGCCTTTGTGAGGCAGGAGTTTCTTTAAATGATCGTTCAAGCCGGGCTGGACGTTTTTGGTGTTCGTTATCTCTGGCATTTTCAAGCCATGTCCCGTCGATATTAGTCGACCGGTTCTCAAAGCATTTAGGAGCTACATTTCTTGCTATCAGCGCATTCTAGGACTGAATAAACCATTCTTCTCTCATCAAACATGCATCTCAATCATCGTGTCTGTGATTTGCCCTCTCGACTCAAGTAGCTTCTTCCTCTGCTGCTGCTGCGGCGCAACCTTGCAGTGTATAAAGTTCTGCACCATAATGTATCTAGGTTTGGCCTTTTTCGCATCCATCGCTCATCAAAACATCCCCTCGTCACAACCCTTGTCATCAACAAATCTGCAGCTAACCCTGGGGTTCGCAAATGCATATGAGAATGCTAATCAAGCGAGAGTCATGCAAGCCACCAAGAATTCTCCTGCGACTGGAATCCTCCAGACGGCACGACAGAGAGTCGAGTACATCCTTGCCCGTTCCTCCTACTTCATATCCATTCGCAGCCGCATCCATTTGCAGAACAGCAGTAAGCAATTCAATAACTCGTCCCAGCACCAGTCCATCTTGACCACCCCCTCTCGAGCTGAACGAGTGTTATTATTATGGTAAAGTTTCAAGTAAAAGTGCCGACAACCAAAGACGAAGCTTCTTTCGGAGGATGCCAGAGCCAGAAAAGATTGAGATGGGTTTAGACTTTGATTGACTGTCGCGCGGTTGAGCCTGATGCAAGAGTCAATGTCAACCAACCGCAACTTGCTCCGCATACCGGAAGCCAAGTCGGAACGCCAGACGTTTTCTGCCGTGCTCCTTCACAGCGGTTCGCATTGTAAAGAGAGATCTGCACCTGTCGAGTTCGAAGAACAAAGGCGGCCTCGACGCCGGTGACATGTAAGATTGCGACAAGGTGCATGGAGTGCAGTCCGGACACGGCACAGAGATTATCTTCGAGCGACTCGATTGCATCATGCAAAGTTGTTGCGGAGTAGTCTCCAGTCAACCAGACTTTCGTCCAGCGGCTCAGCACATCCACCAGCGTCATGACTGTTTCAAAAGGGCACCAAAAGTTCCATCTTTGACCGTTCGCTTAACAGGAATCGGCGGAGTGTCGTACCGGCTTTATCAGGGACAGTGGGCGGGTGGCTTTAGAGGTGAAGAACCAGGGTTTGATAGGGCTGGGCTGGGCTCATCTGACCAACCGAGATCTGCCATGCGGGGCCGGCGGGCTATCTCGCATCTCGCATCTCGCATGTGTCCAAACACCCAAGCACCAAAGACGCGACTTACACGACAACAAGACTCGACTGGGCATAGAACGGCTCGGCAGCAGACCCTTTGAACAGAGTCAGTCGGCACGCACGAGCGAAGCACGGATCTCGAGCCTGTGCTTGTGCCATAGACGTCAACGTCAACGTCCATCTCGTGTCCAGCATCCAAGTCTAGACGTCACGACCCAGCGCCATGCCCGAACGCAAGTCTCCCTCCTGGTCCTGACCAGCATGATAGCTCTCGACTGACTCGAATGCGCCAAACAGAGAACCCCCTCTTAGCCCAGGTCCCACTGACCGTCTCTCCCTTCATCACATTACCAAAAGCCCCGACATTACCGCACAACTACGCCAGCCTGCCCTCCACACTCCCACCCTCCATCCTCAACTCAGACACCGATGACCCCTCCGCACCCCCAGCATACGTGACCTCAGGCACCGGCTTCCGCGCCCACCCCTCCACCATCATCGCGCAAAACAAAGCTCTCCGCGAGCAACTCAACACTGGTGCCTTGGAAGCCAGGACCAAAGTCCGCGACTGGCGTGCCGCAATTGATGAACGCGAGTTGGCCGAGAAGAGAAGGAAGGCTCCTGGCTGGTTGGACAGCGATGCCAAGATCTTGAGGCCTGCGACTACGGCTCCGCTGCCGGATACAAAGCCTGGTGCTAGTTTGTTGGATGCCGAGGATAACAATACTGATGCGTTGAGGCCGCAAGAGTCGAGGAATGATATGGGGTCGCAGATGGATCGTGCTTTTGGTTGAACATGTCTTGCCTGTTTCGACTATGTCAACCTGTGAAGAGCCCGTTTTCTAGCGCATAGAGTGGTCAAGTGGACAGTTATCCACTACCGCTCCGGCGTAGGTCATGAACGTCTGTTGTGAACAGCAACTATCTTCCATGCCCGAGGGCAGTCACCAGTCACTGCACCGCCAAGCAGAGCCGCTCGACATGTCTCCGAATAAAACACGAGGCACTGGACCATCGCAAGGATGTGTCGGACAAGCCAATCACCACCCTCAAGCTCGAGAGCTAGGACTAGGCAAAACAGCTCTCACCTAGTTGCATCTCTGTCTAGGTAAAGTTAAGCCCGTATGATCTACCATAACCTGCTTGTTCCCCATTGAGTACCTACACCCTACGTACGCTTCAACTTTGCTTTCGCAACATAGACGCCTAGCTCTTGTCATGTCAAGCTACAAGAAGTCTCCACAAGTGTTTAAGGCGAGTGTTGAATGAGAAAACATCAAATTTTGCAATGAAGAAATCGACATGGGAACCAGTTCGAGTGAAAGGATTCACAAAGCCGAAATGATAAGACAGTCTTTTCATCAGCGAATACAAGAACAGCCTTTTCAACAGCGAATACAAGAAAATTTCTTCAACGAGATTATACAAAGAAAGGTAGGTAAGAGTAAAACAAAACCATGAACTTTTTCGGTCATTGCCATCACTTCACATGCTTCCTATCAATGCCCATTAGTCACGCCATCAAGACTATCCACACTCATCGCCTCCTCCTCCAAAAGCGCCTCCAACGCCTCTCCAACCTCATCTTCTCTGACAATAACATTTCCCGTCCTCGCCGTAGACAAATAACTCATATTGAATGCACCCTCCCCATTGCCTCCATCCCCCAATCTATCCAGCAATCGTCCAGCAACACCGCAAATAATTCCCGTGCTCTCCTCTGGCAATTTGCGCAAGTCGAATACGATGGCGAAGTAGGTTTGATCGGTTTGAAGTAGAATACCTTCGCCGCGAGAGGGAANATGGGAGAGCAGGGTTTGGTCGAGTGTTAGGGATATAGTGTCTGTTTGGGTCAGGGTGATGGACATGAAGCGCGGATTGCAGAGCAGGCATTTAAAGATGCCGAGTTGAATTGCGTCGTGAATGTCCGCACTGTCGCTGCGGTAGCCAGCACAAGTGCGCAATTCCAAGCTTTCGTTTACCAGAGGAAGAATATCGTGGCGGTGGAGGGTAGAAAAGGTTTTCGTTTGCCATTCGGCGACGGTGGCTGGTGGGGGTGTACCTGGCGGTTGGAGGTCGAGGGAGGAAGAACTGCTGCTGTTGCGGTTGTGCGAGTGGAGGGGTGAAGATACGTTGGTCATGTTTGCGCCGTGGCCGTTGGAGACGGGTTCGAAGGCGAACCCGCGTTCTTCCAGAGCGGATATTACTGTGGATTTGGCGTTGTAGGGGACGAGCACAAAGTCGTTGTAGTAGCTTGTGATGAAGAAGATGGNAGCTGTATTCGCATGTCAGTATGTTTCCACAAGGAGCCTGAGGACGTCAACGTACATTCCAGCAAGTGCCAGAGGTGCAGTGAGATCTAACACTCGCTGTCCGGCCTCCATACCTTCACCTCCGACTTGTATCACAACAAAGTCGTCGTTGCTGATAATGACAGCTTGTTTCGCCTTTGCATCCAGCCTCTCAATCAACGGTCGAAACAGTTCGTCGACCAGGGGGCGTGGGCAGACCACAGAACACTCGATTGTTGTCACTGAAATGTTGGTAAAGGCGTTTGGGTATGCCCATTTCCTACGAGGCAGACCATCCACCTCATCTGTACTGTCTGTAAGCGTCAGGAGACGCAAGATGGGTTGTATAAAGTGGCAGTATAAGTGTAATGGGATATGCACAACTGCGAGTTTGGTTTCCTGTACGACAGAACCCTTGTTAGTATAGTCAAGCATGAATGATTTGATTGAGCAAAAAATTGGCCATTTCGGTAAACAAGTATTCAAAACTACTAAGCAGACTCCTAGATCTACTAAACCAGACAGAGGAGCCGAGCGCAGATAGTCCCGTATACAAGAGTGAGCACTTCCAAGAGACATGAAAGGGGAGACGTACCAGGAATTGAACCTGAGCGTTCAACAAGACCATGGAGTGATCCATCATGGTGGAAATCCTGACTGCGGGGTCGGAGGTGGTTTCGGATGGGTTGAGCTGCAACGAGCTGCCACCTCTGGTGGGTGTACACAGAAGAAGCAAGCTTCCGAGGTGATTGGAGTAGTGCGAAACAATGTTTGATACGAGTCGCGAGAGGGGTTTGAGGGAAAAAGGTCAAGGTCAAGGGCGACAGGTCAGCGGTTGATGTGCTCCTGTCCGGCGGGCCAATGAGAATAAGAGTTCTTGAAGTTCATAGTCCGAGTCCAAAGGTCAAGTGATGGAACAGTTGGGTCGTCCCCGAGCTATACAAGCAGTTTAGGGTTGAGGTAGACAAGCGGACGAAATACTCCAAGGATGGGAGAGAAGGTCCAATATATATAACACGACGCGGTCCAAAGCGGAGTAAGAATACGTCTTCACGAGGTCCGTCCTTACTAGCCTGTACTTTGTGAGGAGAGACCACCGATTCGAGGATCCCGCAAGTTCGAAAGTCTCGAGTGTCACGACCTGTAATGTCGCAGAAAGGTGTCAATGCTTCCAAGGAATCTGATAAAAGCACGGGGGCGTGCTGAGCGTGCGTATGTGCGTGATCGAGCGGATCAATATGCGTGACCAGATGAAGTCGCAATCGATTGGAACGTGAGGGTGTGATGCAGAGTTTCTGCTTTCACCGGATTGGCCTGAATTCCGCTGCACGCGCGCAGTGTCGGATAGCGTGGATGGTGATACGCAGTAAGAATAGGAAAAAGATTTCGAGTTGGCAGAGACGATCCTTTTCGTGACTTGTTCGGAGACCGCCGAAGCGAACAAAGACGTGAAAAAAGGGAAGGCTCGAATATACGACGGATGCGGCTACCTCTTCTAATAGGGCACCACAATGAAATTAACTAATAGGTAGAGGCTGGTGTGAACAAAAGTGTGTTATCTATCCAGCTATTTCCTTTACTTTCGGCGTGACTCATGAGTGTCAAGTCGGAAGTGTGTCGACGACGAAATCTCCCGGAGGCCGCTTCCTGCCGGAGCAGCGAGGCTCCACCAAACCCTCAATTGTCGGGAGTTTCTTTCTCGTGAACCACAGCTCACATCGACGTTCGCAGAACGGTCAAGTCTTTGCCCGTGGTCACGGATACACGCTGTGTGTGCATTGATTCCCAGACAGCATGAAGCCAAGCGAAATGCTTGCTTGCAGCCTGCAGCTTTCGTGTCATCCCACGACAAGACGACAGCGTGATTGCACCTCATTGATGAGCCTCAACACCGCACTCTCGCCTTCCCCACCCTGGATATTCGTGTTTTTGTTAGCGGCAGCGGCAGTAACGAAGCCTTGGGTCTACAGCTTTCTGCAGGTTCAAGCCACAGATATGGCCGAGTGACTCTGGACCTTGTACCTGCTCATCACCTTTCGACAGCATTGCCCTGATTCGTTTGATTACGGAAGCTGTAATCTGGAAGTCAGCTTCCGTATTCGCCTGCTCCAATTGTGGTTTCCTGGATTTTTAAATGCCTTGCAAACGACGAATATTGGGATGCACCCTTGTGTTTGTCGTTCATGCGACAAAAATCTCAATCATGAGTCGCATCCCTGAGTCCTTCCCGCTCTTGATTTGCATGCACACTGCACGGAGGCTGTTCGGCGCTCTGCTGCACGGGCATCCTTGACGATACGCCTCCGCAACTTCCCTTATCTCTTGCGCCATGTAGAGTACGCAATATCATTGATAAGTGGTAGCCAGCTCGAGGCAAAGCGCTACAAAGCGTGTGAGTGGAGAAAGACATAACGAGTCCTATACAGAATATGATCTATCAATCTCCAGTCACAAGTACAACGATTAAAGACTTGAGGCTGATGTCTAGTTCAATATCGTAGCGCCTTGCCGGATGACCCTGTCCGCTCCTTGGCCTTCTTACATCGCGGGATGTTCAGGTACGCAAACTCTCTTCATCAATTCTTTTGTTGCTTGGGACGCGCCACGCATCACTTCTGGCGCATTTGCACGGCAAGATAGTCGAGCAAAAAGAGGGGTGCATACGTGGAGTGGGGTAGGCAATCAAAAGGCATGTCGGTTCAAGCAGCTGGGTCACTGAACAGCTGGGGGCCATTCCAGCGGGTCTGGAGCTCTAGCCACCCTCATTATACCAGAACAGGACAAACCCACAGCCTTCAGGTGTCAGATGGACACGGCGAATCAAATGGGATAGGCTACCACCGTGTGCCATCCCACGCACCGCGTACACATGGTACTTTGTTGCTCGTCAAGCATCAAAGACGTCAGAAGTGATTCTGCATTGACTACGCTTCCAGTCGTGATACACCAAAGCCTCTCTACGGCATAAGCACGAGCGAAGACGCCGGCACCCGCCTTCGGATCATCAGCTATGCACTGGCATCACATCTTGTAGGCAGGTGCCGGTTTTAACATTCTGTGGCCTCAGGCTCATCTTGTTGTCTGCGCCCGGCGGGCTCAGCTAAGCTGTATAGTCGACTCAGTTGTAACGGCTCATGATGACAAGATCCGTGCCAGCGAGCTCATGGTCACTCCTATCGTGAATTTGGTATAGCCGAGGAACACTCGGTGGCTACTCACCACGATCAGGTTCTCTTGTTTGACGAGACCATGGTTTTCTCCCCTGGTTCGACAATGTTGCTGAAGATGCCGGAGTTGTCTGTACCTGCCTGTCAGTTCAGTGTGAGCTCGGCCAGTATAGCAAATTCTCTGTTGTCAAATGTCAACTGCCCACATTGAGGAAGACGACCAGGAGTTTCACTCCGAGTATCTTGTTGACCTTTGACCTCCTATTCACAGAATTTCAGTACACAGACTAGACAATACCAGGAGCGAAGTGAGTCTTGACGGAACAAATCGTCACTCCCGTTTCCCGAGGGTGAACCTCTTCTATCCTGTTTTCACACAATATCCTGTTCATACAAACTCTCTTTCCTCGGAACGCATACATCTTTTCAACATCCTCTACTACTTCATCCTCTCCTTTCTCCAACCTTCTCGTCGTCTACAACCAGATCACTTCGGTGCACCTTTCCTCCCGTGGATTTCGTTTACGCCAAAGGTTGTTGCTTGCTACCTTCTCCATGGATTCGGACAGTGTTACTGACTAGTGTCACAGCGAGATCATGTCAACCTACACCTCTCACTTAACTACGTCGCGCGAGAAGCCAACCTTCAGAGAACCACCTTGCAAAGATTTGGTAACATCAAGCCACGTGGTCTCCCCTGAGCGCACTGCTACGGATCTGCTCGACAAAGTGAGAGCTCAGGCCTACCGCGATGCTTGCCGCGCAGCATACTTCGGTGTCGAAAAAGTCTACAAAGCCGAAGAGTTCATCAAGGAGCTCGACCAGAAACTCACAGGAGGTCAGATCGGCGAGATGACTGCACTGACTGGCGGTGTAAAGGTGGTTTGGAAGAAGAGATTGACAGCCAAGGCTGGGCTGGCCAGATGCAAGACCAGACCTCTCCCGTCCGCAACTATCGAGCTCTCCGACAAAATTATTGATGATCAGGAGCGCCTAATCAACGCTATTGCCCACGAGTTCTGCCATGTGGCAAACAACCTGATAAGTGGCGACCTTCGCTCACACGGACCTGGTTTCAAAGAATGGGGCAGACAGTGCGAGGCGGCCTTCCCTGACCTCGGTATCAAGATCACAACAAAGCACAGCTACCGCTCTAAGTTTGAGTTCATCTGGACATGCTGTGACAAGAAATGTGGTAAAGAGGTTGGCCGCCACACGAAGAGCATCAACCCCAAGACTCAAGCATGTCGCTGCTGTGGTGGTCTCTTGGTGCAGACGAACCCAGTGGCCCGTACGCTCAAGACTCGTCTGGAGTGCGACGTTGAAGAGTAAAAGCTCGAGGAAATCTTTATGGCGGTCAGGCGCAACTGAAACGCCGAACAGCATGCAATCAAGGCGAGAACAGGAAACAAAACGAAGACATCCACGGTAAGTTAGTCACAACTTTCTTGTCAAGCTCTCATCAACTTACACGCTTCATTGCAACAGGCTTCCCATATAACATCCTTTGTCTTACAGCAACATCAGCACAGTGCAGCATCATCAATCGAGCACGACAGAAACTTCGGACGTGGTTGATTAAGGCTCCGGAGGTTTCGACGAGCATCACAAGAACAGATTGCTCAGGGATTGAAAGAAGGGAAGAGGAACAAGGAACCAACGAATGGATGTGGTAGGCAGGACATGACGATCCAATGCTTTTATAAAGTCATTACATCCACCATCAGATCCATAATTGCAGAGAGAATGAAGAAGAAATCATAAGTCATTTTCATCACGAATGTCTTTGAAGTCCTAGTTTATGCCGACCCTTGGAAGAAACGATCATATCTCTACAGAAAAGGCCATAGTACACAAAGCTCCTTCCCGATTACCAAACTCAGACAAATTCAGCTGTAAATATACACAGTAGTTTCTAGGAATCAGGGTAACATCCCTTGAGAGTCGCCATGTCCTCGGCTCTTTCTTGGAAAGTCTCCGATGCTGCGATACATTTGTGCATTTCTATAGTGACATCCATCACTTCACTTCATAGCAGAGAGAGCGTCTATGGGAACGAGTATTAATTCACAGCCTCGCAGACACGGCTTTCATCTTTCACTCGGACTCAATTACAACACTTCCACAGAGTCACACGAACTTGGAGCCACTTGCTCATCTCACTTACTGCCGATGCGCACATACAAAACCACTTCTTCCTTCTCCTTCCGTTTCTTCTTGCTTCTTACCACAACACAGCATCACTCGCGACCATGGCTCCCACTTCGGACACGACCACATCAGCTCAGCCTTCCAAGAACACTAAGGCCAAGGAACAATGGAAGTGGAACATCTGGAAGCAAAAGACAGTCGCGTAAGTCCCTGAGCAGATCCGTATTCATGCCCAAAACTAACAGGTCAGTCGTATCCTGGCCGATGAAACTCGATGATCGAACTCAAGTCAGAAGAGAAGAAATCGCCGGAAGTGTTCAATGTTCACAGAGCATTACTTTGTTTCTACTCGCCCTACCATGACAGACTCCTCAACGGGATTTTCGTCGAAGGATTGGTCCCTCCTACTGAGCCTCTCGTCGTACAAGCCAATTCCAGCATCTTGGAGCTCTTCTACACCTGGCTCTACACTGGCACAATTCACCTTGCCAAAGATCCAGAAAGCTGCCAATGGGATTTCGGTATGATAAAGCTTTACGTCTTTGCTGACGAGCTCAATTGCACTGCACTGCAGCGTTCGATCATCCCAGCACAGGTGGGTTTCAGCGAAAGTCTATCGTCATTGGCAGGTTTTGATTGTAATGCACTCTTGTCTAATAGCTCGCTTGAGTCTTCTGGATTGTACCGGTACCACCTAGATACCTTCGCGGAACATTGGAATGGCACGACCGATGGTAAAAGCAGCGATGCTCTTGCTGAAGACGTACTGCCGCGTAATTTCGCCTATCGCTTGCTGCTGAGGAAGTTTGATGAGTCTTCGGAAGATGATGAAGACTGTAGCTGCTGCCATGATCCTTGCGCATATCATGGTCACGAAAATGAAGAGGAGCGCAAAGCTAGTATGTTTGTGCGGTAAGATCAAGACCACATGCTGACAAGCCTACAGCCTGCGAAGCTCCTGATGATGAAGCGAAGACTGAGGAATTCGACTTCGAGACTGATACGGAGTCAGAATCAGAATCGATCGCCGGACCAAACAACAGGTCCGCAGGAGAGAAGCGCAAACATGATGACGGAGAGACAACCACTTCAGAGGCAAAGCGTGTCAAGACGACCTGAGTGATGAGATGTGATGGCTCAGAACTACATCAGCGACAAGAAGTGGCAGCATAAAGGAAGTTGGAAGGAACAAGAGGCTGCTCTTTCCAAACATACAATATATCCCAAGCACCTCTTCATTGCCACTCTAGCGATACACCATTTGCAGAAATACACGATACTCTTTAGAAATAGACATTGTCCGCTGAGAGCCATCACCTTCTCGACTCTCTGGAGATATCTTCATTTGCCGGATGATTGTGCATTCCTACAGCGGCAGTTGTGATAGATCGTGGTAAACAGGGGGCCCTTGAAGTCTTGCACGATACTCGATTTCCTGCAGAGAGAGGTCTCATCACAAAGCAAAAATTCAATGGTTGTGTTTTGTTCTTATAGTGAGAGCCCTTTGTTTCCCGCTTCCAGAAAGTATGTGTTGAAGAAATGGTTCACGTGTAGTGGGCTATTATTCACAGTAGAGCTGTTCAAAATTGTCTCAATTGAAGATGCTTGTGAAATCTCGTCGATTGTGTAGCGCTAGACCCTCTGGAGGCTTGTGAACGCTCTATAGCGAAGGCGGCGATGGGAGGAAGCTCAGTTGAGGAAGACGGTCATTTCCTTGATTCTGTATCAGCATCTGCCGAGTAAATGATCCAGTGGTTTTTCAATGATGACCAGGGGCGTTTGTTGATCAGACATGGTTTTTCTTTTCTTTTTTTTCTTTTTTTCTTTTTGAGAAGCGACGACTTCGAAAACTGCTTTTCCCTAACAGTCAGACAACCACCGATCGTTCGTGGAAGAGAGTTGCTCTTATACTCGATTTCTCTGCAACCAAGCTAAACTCAAAACTCCTCATCTCAACCCAAAAATCTGCAACAAATCATGTCGATGGAAGAACTTGCGACTCATCTTGCCAAACACATACATCGGCAAACTCAAAGCACAAATCGCAACCTCGATACTGCCGAATATGATAAACAAGTGCTCGATACCGCCAGCAAAGACCCATGTATAAGCAAAGTACGCCAGAATAAACGAGAACATGTTCTTGAAGATGATGAGACAGGTAAAGGATTCAACTGCAATGTCTCTGTGTGCATCGAGCAGATACTGGGCCGAAGCTGTGGCGCCCATAACCATACTGGCAACGATGAATGCGAGGAAGACTTCGGGGACAAGCCAGCCGTAGCGTGTTACATTAGCTGCTGTGATGCCAAAGCCGTAGAGCCCGATGGCGGCGAAGATAAGGGTCGGGATGACGAGAAGGATGCGGAACTCGGGCTCGTATCTTCCATGGTTGCGTCGAATCATGAAGCGTGTGGTGAGTTCAGTGTATACTCCAGCGATCAAGAGGCCGAGTATACTTCCTATGAAGGCGGCGGTGTACATCTTGCCAGCCTGTTCCTCGTTGTAAAACAGCGGTGGTCCGAGGAAGATCAGTGAAAGAATCACTCCTACCATCACTGTCCAGCCGATGATGACACCCTGTAAGAGACAAGCCCAAATCACAGCCGGGTGCAGAAAAAGAGGGAACGGTCGTAGAAACAGCTTCCAGAAAGATTCATCAGTCTTGCGTCCATTGAAAGGCGAGATGCGCAGAGGCTTCCAAGCATTGCCTCTGACTCTGGCGACCACTTGCTCGTTCGGCGACTTCTCGTCGTAAGAGACAGCGCTTGCACCCAAAGACTCGGAGCTAGCTGTCATCATATCGGTGTTCAGTCGATCCGGTCGGTGGTATGCCACTTCGGGGCACAAGAACAGAAGCAGCAGGAAACCACCGCCCATGAAAATGGCGATGAAGTAAAATGACCACTGCCAACCAATATCGTGGGAAATCATGCCAACAAACACAGGAGTCAAGAAGGCTCCGCCAAAGAGTGAAACGTTTGCAAAAGCCATACGCAGTCCACGCTCATGGACGAAAAAGAGGTCACCCACACATGCGTTGATGAGTGATTCAAACGGAGCCAAGGCGACTCCCTGGATTACTCGCGCCCATAGCATACTGGTGTAGTTGTATCCCTTGTGTGTGGATCCACCCCAGGCCGAGCTCGCGATCATGAGCATCGATCCAAGCAGAAACACATGTCTCTTTCCCCATACTCTTGCGAGCGGGACGAATAGCAAACTTCCCACTCCAACACCCGCTAAGTGGTAGGCTGTGAGAAGAGCCGCTTCTTCGAAAGTGCATTGGAATTTTAGCGCGAGTTCGACCGAGTCTGCGGCCAGAAGAGGGGAGGCAGTCGTTGCAAGAACCGAAACGATACAAAGGATGACGAGGATTATATCGCGTTGCCAGAGAGGCCAGTTCTGTATGATAGTCAGTGGTGATGACACAGTGACTTTGACGTGGCTGCACAAAAGTTGCACTGGAATCGATGTCTCTCGTATGTAGATATGTTATCGCAGCTGTCAGAAGGCATCATGCTTGTCATGCACAAAATCTGGTTCGACAAGAGCGCCAAAAGCAGTCACTTGTGAGTCGATGACTTTGTCTAACACCAAACAAGCCATGCCTGTTGACAGTCGCTCCATACACCAAATGAGACTCGGTTCTAGTCGGCTCCTGCGCATCCACGACTAGGTTATCTTGAGATGCGATACCAATGGATCATTCGGATCATCCGTAGGCTGTGGCACGAGGATTGTGGTTCGGGTTGTGGATAATTCGTTGTCGCTCTTGCGAGTGACTTGAACAGTGCCAGGGACATTTTCCGTCCTGGGCTCCAATATTCCCAGAGCCATTTCAAGCTCGACAAGGCGAGATGTTTCCACCAGAAATAATTGTCGACGCGCCTCACGTTGGGATGGGAAGATGGCAAGTTGGTTGCGACCGCACGGAAGGACGATAACAATTTCAGACACCACTGTCTCTTTTCGGAGTCATGTTTGCGAGGAGGAGCTGAGAGCTGAGAGCCGTGGCCCGTGGCAGCAGATGAGATACTTCACTGATGGTACCGACTGCTCGTACCCCTCTTGGGATCAAGCCATAGAACGTGGCTTCAGCTGAACATCGGACGTTATGCAACGGTAATTCGTCGTTTGCGTTTTATCATACACGCAAGCAGCCTTTTCAGAGCGCCTCGCTGTTGACCAGTACCGTTCGGCTTCTTCTTTCTGTCCGCATCCGACTCGGTCCATGATGGTGTTGAGATGAGAGATGAAGGCGTGAGCGACAAGGGTCTGAAGTTTTGACCGACTGATCCCAAGCGCCGTTGAACAGAGAGTTCACCCCACCATCCGCGGTTAAACTTGCTTGGCACAATATAACTCTCGCCCTGCACCATCGTCTTGTATTGAACTTACTGTAACGCACACCACATTAAAAATCCAGTGAACCCACGGCTCCAATCATGGACACGAATCTCGCCGGATTTATAACCACGCTGATCTTGCTTTAACGACGGCTCCAACTCCGTTCGAACTTTGCAACATGATATTCCCTCTGCAACACCAATCAAGACACAACGCGGACAGCTGCATGGGCTGGTAAGGCTGGGTCCTCCGCCAAAACTTGACTTCGCAAGTCCCGCCTGTGGCTTGGGGTGCATGTCCCTGAAGCGTTGATATAAAGAACATGGTCCCACCCGCGCCTAGAAGCAGTCGTTTGTATTTTCTAGTTTAGTATTCTATTCTCACCTTCGTTCACCTCGTCTTTTTGCTGCCATCATCAAAATGCGTGCCACCGTCTTGTCCTTAATTGCTGTTGCCACTCTGGCCACCGCTCAGTCTGGTTCCATTCCCAGCTGTAAGCACGTTCATTTATCAACGCTATGTTGATGTAGGTATTGATATGGTGACAGGTGCCACTTCTTGCATCACCCAGGCCCTTCCCGCCGACTGCAAACTGGACCCTAAATGTATCTGTGCCGATGCCAGCTTCATTAGCACCATCTCATGCTGTGTCTCCACTGCCTGTGATCTCAGTGGTCAGCAAGCTGCTCTCGCCTATGCCAAACAGATCTGCGCCCCCGTTGGCGTGACCAACCTCGTACGGTTTTTCTGCACGAACATATACCTAAGAATTTCGTGGTCTAACTCGTCTTTAGCCTACCGCTGCCTCCTGCGCCGCAACTGCTGCTTCATCAGGAACCAGCGCCGCCGCCGTCGCAACCGCTTCTGGAAGTTCTGCTTCATCCTCGCTCTCATCAGCAACCCAGTCCATTTCCTCTCTGGCCTCGTCTGCCAGCCAAATCGCTTCCTCGGCATCGAAGAGCGCAAGTAGCGCTGCAGTGTCTGTAAGCTCTTCTGCTAGCTCGGCTGCCCGCTCGGCAAGCAGCTCGGCCGCAAGTGCTGCTTCAGGGGCAACTTCGTCGGCTCAAGCACAGTCTACCGGCGCTGCTCCTACTTTGAGTCCCATGGGTTTCGCTGGTGTTGCTGCTCTTGGTGCTTTTGCGCTTTTGTAGAGAAACATGCGGCTGATTCTTGCTTGCTTGGTGTTTTGCTTCCACCTTGAATATCTGTGCATATGGAACGATCAAACATTTGCTTGAAGTAACGTGCCATGTATGGATGCTGCTGTGTTTCCATTGTTTCAGCTACTCATGTATGTAATGCTGGAGAATCTCTGCTGCTTTTGAGAAATGCACGTCTTGTGGTTTTCGTCTTTTGTCCTCCTATTCACCTGAATTTTGCTGTTTCACACACCTAAGAACAAGCTAGCCTGGTCGAAATCTGCCAGAAGATCATTCCATCCTGGAGCGCTCGAGTCTGGAACCATGTCGATGAACTCGTCCCACAAGCCGTCGAAATCCAGATCGGGCATGGCAGTGGGTGGAGCGTTGCGCTCTGGCGAATTCTGCGTCTGAGCCGTCATTCTCTGGTCAGGGCCCATTATTTGTATCCTTGGTGTCCCTGTGGAGTCAGATGGAGTCAAATACTGGTTCTGGGGCCCGGTGTCCTGCAATTGGATCTTGTGTTTTCGCAGCAGTTCCATCAATGGAGTAAGGAAGCGATCGGTGGCTGGCATCTCCGTCTTGGATTCCTGAAGCATCAAGCATGCTTCCTTCAATTCCGCTCGCCGAATTTGGTCTTCTGCCTCAGTCGCCGACTTGTTGAAGCATAAATCGAGAGCCAGTGTGAGTGCAGCCATGAATATATGATACAAGACAAAGTTGAGTCGTGATATAGGCAACACCATACCGCGCTTCTCCTGGTTCAATAGACGGCGGATCTCCAGACTTTTGCGAACAGACTCCAGACAAGCCTTTCGAGAAAAGTGGAACCTCACATCCAGAGAACCACGAATAAGAAACGGCCGGTGTATTCTGCTTCGATGACAGTGAAGTCCTTGTTGTAGGAGATATCTCTGCGTGGCCAGTTGCGGATATTTGCTGAGATATGGCTCGGTCCTTTTGCGACTTCCTTCGTCGAGCTGGAAATAGAAGGGCATGTTTTCTGTTAAGCCTGCGGTCTTTTGCTCGAGAGCAACAATCTCTTCATAGTCAACGCTGTTCACCCCAGAGGCCAAAGGGTGGACAAGATCAGCAAGGACACGACACACTTCCCCACCATGCGTCCTGACTAAAANATAAGACATCTCGGTTGGTTCTGACAGTGGCTTGTCGCTGGCATTCTCATCAACAAGGTCTTCGTCGTCAATGTTCATGGGTCTGTTGACGTGACTATGTCGAGGATTGATGCTGTATGTTCCTTCTTGTGGGCTAGGCATACTACCCAACAACCTTGTCAAAGGTTAGCATGTGATGTGTGTTCCTCGATCCGGACAGACATACCAGTCAGTGGTTACGAGATACCACCATATCCTTCTCTTGACCTCGTTCTCAACCAAATCATTAGATTTAAATCTCCCCGGATGGTCCAAGACATGTATGGACAAATCTTTAGCGAGTGTAATTGATGTACTGTGCAATAGCCAATATTTCTTCGAAAGACNCTTTGAAACTTAGTATGGCGATAACTCTGTCGGAACTGTGTATATACCTTCGAAGTTTTGTATCACCAGAGACATGATAATGGTAGCCTGTACCTGTTCGACAGTAGTTGATGTTGCAACACGTTCTAAGTGGTCCAACATGTCGAGTGTATTCTGCTTCCAGTTTATAGACAACTGGTTCGCGACTTGAGGATCAGCAAGGACGCAGTCAGATGATGTGAACGCTAGGAAGTACGCTCCACTCGCGAATATACTTAGCAGCAGAGCAGCATGTGAGAGGTTTGGAACATTGCCGCAAGCAATCTGATAGTAAGTCTTGTCGAGCAGCATCTCAATTGTCTGTTTGTGGTAGATGTGATACCAGGAACCGAGCGATTTTGCAAACGATTGGAATAGAGTATGAGCTTCCTTCGTGTCCGGTAAACACATCCGGCGTATTACTCTACTGCCGTTCACGGAGATGTTTGTCAGATTGGGTGCCTCGAGATTGAGGTCAAATGCAATGTCAGACACTTTGGCAGACGTGAACGTAAAGCTTGCATCGTCGTCAGCTTGATTCGTTGGTCGCGAGCCAGTAATCTCTGTGGCTCTGAACTCATCCTCGTGCTGCTCGATGTTGATGTTTGCTTGTGGTAAGGCATTGGACCTTCCGATACTATGGAATATATCGTTTTGTGCAACGTCCTCGTGCAGACGTGGAACATATGTTTGTCCAACCGCACTAATGGCTTTATTCCGAACGTCATTATCAGAAACGATGTTGTCGGACACGACATTGTCAGGTTTTGGAAGAACAACATCCTCAAGTCGTTGTAGTCGCTCTAAAACCTTTGCCAAGACCGAGCTGTCGGAGGCAGCTGGCATCACGGAGCTGCTCCTGCTGTTNNTCCATCAGTAACTACAACAGCAACAGATTGAATATCTATCGTCGTACCCCTCCAGATTTGAAGACCATCGTGTTGTACCAGGTGGCTGGCATTCTAGTCCTCGTGACACGCAGTTTGAGCATGGAAACGTACGAGAGCACTTGAGCTTCTTCTTGCGACAAACTTGGCAGGATACTGGATCTTGACGACGTCGGGCCGCCTGCTGCTCTTCATGAAGACTTGATGCAGGAGCAGACCGCTTCATTGCGAGATTCGCTAACCTTTGTGACAGATGTGCGAAGTCGAAGTCATGTTGGCGTGAGAGATGGCCTCGAATCCTTCAAAATCCGCGGAGAGTCCACTTCGGAAGCTCGTTTCACCTTCCCTCGTCCCCTCCTCCCGCCGCACCAGCATACAGAGATATCTTTGGCTATGAAAATGCACAATACCTCCCAGAAAAAGGGCAGCGCAACAGAGAGGACGGTGCTTCATGATGCTTCCGTGGCCACTCTTCTACGTTGATAATTATTGTGTATTTTCACACTCATGGGTTTGACGAACATTGTCCAGAGGAGGGTGAGAATCAGCTTCGGAGTGTCCATGAATAGAGCGACAAGAGTGGTGCTCATCAACATTATATATTTCGCCCCTTGCTGCTACACAACATATTTCCTGAATCACCATCGCTACCTTTAGCAGCAGTTTCATACCATCTCTTCTATCCCTCAAAATGTCTCAGTCCGACGAGAAGATGCTGCCCGAAGCAGTCACAGAGTCAACAAACACATCAACCCAATCACCAGCCAAAGACGAAAAAGAGCTTACCAATCGGTCGGCCTTCGTACTTATCGGAGCCTTCTGCGCCTTCTTCTGCAGTGTCGGATTCTTCAATGCATGGGGCATCTTCCAGGAATACTACCACGCCCATCAGCTATTGAAAAACTCCGAGTTTGACATTTTATGGATTGGCAGCTTCTCGATTTGCGCCATGTATCTCAGTTCTCCTGCGGTTGGAATCACCTATGACAAAGTCGGTCCAAACATGCTGTTAATCATAGGCAGTATTGGTGCCCTCTTCGCCATTCTTATGGTTTCGCTTTGCAACGAGTATTACCAAGTCTTCCTTGCGCAGGCTTTGGTCTTTGGTGTCAGCTCTGCTTTTCTGGTCACCCCTTCTTTGTCGACACTCACCAAATACTTCCGCAAGAATCGTGCTCTTGGGATGGGCATTATTGTTGCTGGGTCTTCTACTGGAGGGGTGATATGGCCTATCGTTCTGGATCAATTGTTAAACCACACCAGTCTTGGATTTGGCTGGACTATTAGGGTGATTGCGTTTATTATGCTTCCACTACTTACTGTCAGCTGTTTCCTTGTTCGATCACCTGCTGTTGTCCCATCATCGCTGGATGGAAAGAACCAATTTCCCACACCAAAGCCAAAAGCCGATCTCAGCATCATCAAAAACCCAGCCTTCATTCTCTGTTGCGCTGGCATGGCTGTTGCCAATTTCGGCATGTTTAGCCCTCTCTTTTATGTCAGCTCTTATGCTGCTTCCCTGCACATGTCGACTTGGTTTTCGTTCTATCTGGTTTCTATTGTCAATGCTGCTTCTCTGTTTGGCAGGGTTTTACCTGGTTTCTTGGCTGATCGCTATGGTTGCTTTAATTTGCTTTCTCATGCGGCTTTGGCGTCTGGTATAGTGGCNTTTTGCTGGACTGCAGCTACGAGTGTTTCTGGCGTTGCTGTTTGGGCTTTGGCGTATGGGTTTGCTTCTAGTGTAAGTGAATCTTCTTGATCCGACAACCCCACAACAAGTCACGAATACTGATGAAACAAAACANNGGCCATCATGAGTTTGCAAACTGCTTGTGTGGCAAGACTTGCAACACCACAAACTATTGGTACGGCTATGGGTATGGCTATGGGGTTTATTGCTTTGACGGCGCTGTTTGGAGCGCCTATTAGTGGGCAACTGGTGGGAAAGTATGGGTATCTGGCTCTGAGCATGTTTTCGGGGGCGGCTTTGGTTGCTGGGTCTGTTTTGATTGCGTGTGCGAGGTTTATGCAGGATAGAAGGCTCGTCGCAGTGGTTTGAAAGCTACTACAAGGGACCAGGTTGTCGGGCCTTTATGTAGAGTATGTGATATGAGTGGACGTGAGATGGAGAGGTGTTGGCTTTTGTCTAGAGTGTTTATGGTTTCCTCACCCATGCTGCATTTGCAAGCCATACGTATTCACGCTATCTTGAAACAAAACTAGAGTTCTGTTTACATGCTATCTTGGTCGTGGCATACTTGTTACCATAAATATCCAAGCTCTCTTCCTGACAGTCATGACCTTGGTATGTTGTGGAAGCAGCGACCCTGACCTTTGAGCAAATAATCATCGACATATTTCTGTTAAGCCTCTCTTTCACAAAAACACCTCAAATCCACACGTCTCACTCCAAAAGCATCGCGAGCAACCTATAGCTTTGCAACTATCTGCTTGTGTGCAGTATGGATCATTACCCTAAGGCCCAGAACATAATCCAGATGATGTTAGATAAGAAACCCTACTACATCAACTTCCAGATTCACCGGACCTTATCACAACAACATGGTTGACTGACAGATCCCCGACCTTGCTGACTACCTTCTACCCGCAAAAACATTCGCCCACCCCTTCTCCACACAAGCTTCCGACGCAAAAACCCTTCCCTGGTGAATCCTGCACTCGGGATCATATTTCGTCTTAACCTCCACTAATCTCTGCACATTCCCACCCCAAACCCTTTCTCCTGACACTTTCGGCGAGATGTAATTCGGATAATCGGCAATAAAGCCTCCAACCTTGGCTTGATGTGCATAAGTAATGTTGTTCAAGACCTCATTATGGTGGATGACAAACGCATCATCTGTGGCATCAGTCCAAGCAGGAGAAAANNAAAGTGTCTGGTGCGCGGAGAAGGCGTGGGGCCACGCGGTATCAGCATCAGACATCGGCGCATGACCGTTTTGGAATGGGTACATGTATTGCAAGACCCAGACCGCGGTGATAGGGACCTGTCCAAGGGCGAGAGAGGCATTGATGTAGTTTTCCATGCTTTGGGATGCAAGGGTTAGGTATGCAGCAGTCACCTTCGAGGTCTGGGCGCCCCAGAAGCCGCGGCGATAACCGTAGGGAAAGAATGGGGTGCTTAATTCGGTGGCTTGTCCATAGGGGACTTTGTAGATTGCGGCTTGTTTTAGCACTAGGTCACCGAGCAGTGCAGAAAATGTCTCGTTGAAGTTCTTTTGCTTTGTGGGCTGTGAGGAAGCGAGAGTACTGTTGGTTTTGGTGATTGCGCTGCTTGCCTGGCTCTGCGGATTTGCAAATCGCATGCCCACTATCACCATAGTAGTCGTCAGACGTCCGTGTGTAAGGTGCTCAGGATAATAACCCAGCGAGTAGTACATGAGCGAAGAAGGATCGTCGTTGGAGTTGAAAAACTGCACTGTGTTCTGTCGNNCCCGTTCCCAAGACTCTCTGGCGACTATCCAGATGCCAAACTCCGAGGGATCTGGTTCTGGCACTGCTTCTTGGTAGAAAGTAGTCACGATGCCGAACCGGCCACCTCCACCTTGGAGTGCCCAGAACAGATCCGAGTACTTGTTGGTCTTGGTGGCGAGTACGATTTCTCCGGACATCAAGACCACTTCCATTGCTCGGAAACGATCGATGGCATAACCGTATGCACCAGCCAAGAAGCCAATACCTCCTCCAGTGGAAAAGTCACCCACGCCCACATCGCCAAATCGAGCGCCGACAGCTGTAAAATCAGTTCCATTCGTGCAATCCATGACTTGTTTCCAGGTAGCACCTCCTTGATATGCAATAGCCGTAGACACCCTAGTATCTCCAAGAGTGACATTGTGCAAGATGCGAGCCGAGTTCATCCAGGACAGATCAATCGAAAATCCAGATGTGCTCGACGCGTTAGTTTGTCCATGGCCTCCACCCACAAAAGCAAGGTCTCTACCAAGTTTCGAGGAAGAAGCGGCCTGAACAGCAAACCTGACAACCTCTCTGGTGAGTGGAAAGACCACAAGCATCGCATTCTTGCCGTACTGTTCTCCCCAGTATCGATGAGCGTTATCTTGTTGCAGCGGAGAGTTGCGGCATGATATTGCTGCCCCGGGTGATAGTTGCAGAGCCAGTCTTGTCAATTTGAAGTCATATTTGATACAGTCGCCCTGTACAAAGCCATACGCAGTTGATGTGGCGAAAAGGATACCACTGAACAACGAATGCATTTGGATAAATGCTGGAGTAACATTCCGCTGGGGGCTACAGCAGTATAAAAGATCCAAGTATGATGATATCATCAATCAGTTTCTCTGTTATCAAGTCCCGCACTCCAGCTACGATGCTCATCGTCCACTAAGAATATGGAATTAAACTTGATAAAAGCCAGCAGTGTATGGTGGATTGGTAGTAGCGTGGCCATGGGTCACGAGAGATGTGGCCAGGCTGTTGGGACAGACAGCGTCGAAGGAGTCAAAGATGGCAATGCAGTCCGAAAATCCAAACAAAGAATTCATCCGGACAGCACAAACTCGGCCTCGTGGCATCCAAAGCGGATAGGACTGCAGAAGGTGGATGCCGCTAGCATCAGTTGACAGCCATGCCGTTCTGCGTTTGCTGTATTAGTTCCCATCATCTTGAGGGTATGTTTTTCAGCGGCCGTTCCCGTTTGCTAAAACATGACTGTTCTTCTAGGGGTCGCACCGGCGCACAAACGTGGTTCGCTGGCACGTTTTCTGGTTGCTCGACAGCTGCTGGAATCCGATGAACCAGACGGACCTTAATTCGCCACCATGTCCTCGTCATTTCTCTTACCATTATTCGCGTTCAGTAACTCTAGTCAATGTTTCCCACGCCGCGCAAGCTGAGATAGACATCTGTACCCCAGCCGAGTAAGCTCTGTACTCTGATACCACCACCAAAGTACTCGGCGTATGCTCTACCCAGCTTCAAACCATAGCCCAAGCCTGCCAGGCTGTTTTCATTACCTCCAGCATTTGAGAGAGCGTTCAAGCCATCGCCGTCGTTGGTGCCTCCACTCGTGATGTCAACGATTTCTTGCTCGTTGAAAGTGGTAAAGCCAAACTCCCACAGTTTTGCATAAGCAGCAGGAGGGATACCGCCTCCTCGGTCTCGGATGCGGATCGTGACGCCTGGAGTGGATTTGTCTAGTGGACGGATGTTTGCTGATGCGGCATTTGCAGGTCGCTGTGCGCCTGATGCAGCGTCGACACTGCCTTGGTCGTAGTTGGTGATGCCGTTGGGTTTGCCCTTGATCTCCTCTGGTGCGGGAGCGATTGTGACTTCGATTGGGTGTCGCTCGTTCTCTTTTTCAATGGTTGCTCGGAAAGCGTTCTTCAAGAGCTCGGTGATGATGTACTCGAGATGCATGGGAATATGTGCCAGAGTGGTTTCTGGCTCGCCACGGATGACGACGCTCGGGCGAACACCATACTTGTACTCGCAAATGTCACCGACAAGACCCTCGCAATGTCTGATGATGTCGACGGGCCTCAGTTTTGTATCGATAACTCCAATGTATGATGAGTCAATGTGGGTCTTTTGCTCAGAGAGTTCGAGATGGGGTTTCGAGGAGAAGTGCAGAGCGATGTGTTGCTCGGCGATGAGTCTTGTGCCTATCCTGGCTCGCAAATGTTCGTCAAGGAACTTTGTGACCTCGTTCGGGCTGATATACTTTCTCGCTTCAAGAAAGCCCCGGGCGAGAATCGAGATGGTATTGGAGTGGGTCTGGACCAGATCGGCCATGACGCTTGTGAATTGAATCTCGTCTTCCAGCGTCTTGATCTCCCTCGAGGCATAAGGCAACAGGGTTGACAAGGAGTGGACATAGTTGTTGTGGATCTTGGAGACATTCGGGTTCGAGACGACGATGAAGGGCAAGTTGCGGAGAGACTGGATGCGGTGGGCGAGGCGCGAGGGTAGAATGGAGAGGGTGAAGTTGGCCGAGTCGAGCAGTTGGTTGGCCGTGAGAGGTGGTCGTCCGAACCTACGGCTTGTTAGATCATGTCGACTCTACCAACTGCGTGCAACCTACTTGGCTAGATCTGCCAGAGTCAAGGGATGCAAGGGCCTGCCCGCCAGTCGAGCGACTTCTCCATCCGTGACCTTTTGCGTCTTGAGGCCATTGTTGGGTAGTCGAAGCGTCGGCGTAGTAGAGAGTCGTCTTGTAGCCCTTAGGCTTGTGCAAGGCAGCCTCGACAAGCGGCCACCTATGCGATTCATCACGACAATCTGTGTGTAGTGGTATCTAACTGACATGCGAGATCGAGGGGATTTTGTTTGAGCACCACAGCTATGACGCAGCACCACGCATTCTCACGTGTTATCAACTTATCGAGCCCAACAGACAAAGGACCGATACACAGTCCTGTCCATCTGGTGATTCTTATATCTTCTATCGCTACAGAGTTGATGGTCCGGCTTTGTCCTTTGGCTCGTTCGGCGTGGTGTAAAAGGCCATATCACACGACTTTGTACTTGTTGCATAGCATCGACATTGAACTGAGTGCACAGCATCGACTTTTGCAACTGAGAATATGTGTCATCTATCATTAATGTACGGTATCTGAAAGGACCCTCCATATATAATGTCATTCCTAAAGTGTTTGCTGCTCTACTGGGTTCTGACTTCGCCGTCGTTCTCAACGTTGATGTGGTCGTTGGACGAGAGGGTGTGGGCCTTGTCCTCGGGGAACTCGGNCGCTATGGACCGTCAGTCGCTGTATCTTGATGCAAAGGGCGTGTCGGTAGGATAGACGTACGTGAAGCCCTTGATCAGCTTGAACTCGGTAGTGATCTTGCCGCCCTGGTCGGTGACCTGCTTCTTGGNCACTGAAGTGGAGGTCAGTATCGGCATACTGGACGCAGAGAGGGGAGTGTCTTACGCATCAAGCTGAGATGCATCGGCACCATCCTTGAGAGAGACCTAGAGTCTGTCAGCTGTCTGCCTGCGGGTCGGCCTGTTTGCAGCTCGACTGACGTTGATTGAAGGCATGTTGAGTCGAGTCGTGTGAGTGAGATGAGCGGTGGATGTTGTAGAGGAGCTGTGTCTGAGAGAAGAGAGTAGAGATGTAGGTGTTTTCGAGAAGAAGGCGGGCATGAAATGGACAGTTGCCAATCTCATGTCCAAACCCGCCTCGACCCCTCGGCTGCGCGTTGACGTAGCCTCTCTGTTTACCATGTGCACGTGAAGAACGCCTCGAATCTCACCGCTGAGTTATATCCAACGTCTGTGGACACACTGTCGTCTTGACCAAGACTTGATTGGACAGCAACTATTCGCATCTCACACTGTTATTTGTGACGAGTCTGTTTACGCTCAGCAACTTATCCAGCATCTCACATACATGTCGCGATGTACCGTGCTTTGCTGATGGGCAGAATGGCTGGGGAAGCCTCGGTGATAAGACGATGCCAAGGTTTCGGCAGACATCCGGTCGAGGGTCTCGTGCTGATTAGGGCTTGTATCGAAAAGTTCAGATGCGTCTCTAACATTTTCTGAGCTTTGCCGCCGTCAGCACTCTTGTTACGCCGGACAAGATGTCAGAGAACCAGACCAACCGGCCGCATCGCGCCACCAAGGAGAAGAAGGCCGCACATACTGGCGATCGCAATCCGAAAGCCTTTGCCTTTTCACGTCCTGGAAAATTGCAGAAGCAGGCCGCTCGTTCTCACGATGTAAGAATAACTGTTCCTATACAGCACAGCAAGTCCTGACAAGACCTANNGGTCAAAGAGAAGCGCTTGCACGTTCCCCTGGTGGATCGCCTTCCCGAAGAGGCCCCTCCTATTGTCGTCGGTGTCGTTGGTCCTCCTGGAGTAGGCAAGACGACTCTCATCAAATCTCTCGTCCGCAGATACACCAAGCAGCCCATTACTCAGCCCGTCGGTCCTATCACCGTCGTCACATCAAAGAGGAGGAGACTCACATTTATGGAATGTCCGGCCGACTCTCTGGCTGCCATGATGGACGTGGCCAAGGTTGTCGACATTGTGCTGCTCATGATTGATGGCAACTACGGCTTCGAAATGGAGACAATGGAGTTCTTGAACGTTCTCTCTTCCAGTGGTATGCCCGGTAACGTCTTTGGTATCCTGACCCATCTCGACCTTTTCCGCAAGCAGGAGGCCCTCAAAGCACAGAAGAAGCGCCTGAAGCACCGTTTCTGGAGCGAACTCTACTCTGGTGCAAAACTCTTCTATCTGTCTGGTGTCGTCAATGGCAGATATCCTGATCGCGAAGTCCTCAACCTCTCACGTTTCCTTTCGGTCATGAAGAACCCTCGTCCCCTCGTCTGGCGCAACAGTCATCCCTACGCCCTGGCCGACCGCTTCCTCGACATCACTCCACCTACCAAAATCGAGGAAGACGCCAAATGCGATCGCACTGTCGCCTTGTACGGCTACCTTCGTGGCACCAACTTCCCAGCCAACGGCGCCCGAGTCCACGTGCCTGGTGTCGGCGATCTCAGCGTCTCCAACATCGAAGCCCTTCCTGACCCGTGTCCCACGCCATATCTGGATCAAGCAATTGCGAAAGCTACAGGCAAATCTGGCAGAAGAAGACTGGGAGAAAAACAAAAGCTTATCTACGCCCCCATGTCTGATGTTGGTGGTGTGCTTGTGGATAAAGACGCCGTCTACGTGGATATCAAGAGTCAGACTTTTGACCCCGAGGATGATGAGCAAGAGCGAGGATTGGGCGAACAGATGGTCGTTGGTCTACAAGGTGGTCGCAAGCTGCTTGGCCAAACCGAGGGAGGTCTGCAGCTCTTCGGCGACGGCGAGAAGTTGACTGGCGAAGATCTCGGTCGCAAGTCTGCTCGTGTACTGTCACGAAGAATCGACGACGACGAAGCAAGCCCAGAGGATGAAGGTTTCGAGAGCGGCGATGACGAAGACGAAGAGTTCCAGAGCGGAGACTCCGATGTCGACGAGGACGCTGACGAAGATATGCTTGTTCCTACCCCGAAGCGCAGGGAGGCCAGTCCTGATGCCATCGGCGAGGAGATTGCCTTTGCCGACAGTGATTCTGATCTAGGCTCCATGTCTGAAGCCGAAGACGTCAGCGACCCAGAGGACTACGACGAAGACGCCGAGTACAGCGAGGACGAAGACGGTAACCTTCGCTGGAAGAAGAACATGACCGAGCGCGCCGCTGCTCTCCACCAGCGCAAGATGCCCTATCGCACCGTCGAGCTCGCTCGTCTTTTGTACAATGACATGCTATCGACAGCCCAGGTCTTGCGCCAATGGCGTGGTGAAGACGACGAGGAAGAAGATATCGAAGACGAGGAAGAGGAGGACTTGTTCGAGAAGAAGAAACCTACTGAGGCCGAAGTTGCCCTCGACCGTCATATCCCCGTGTACAACAGAGCTGAGCTTGAGGAAAAATGGACCGATGAGGAGAACCTCGAAGCCATCCGCTCGCGATTCGCATCAGGGCACATGCTCAACGGAGGTGACGACGAAGACGGATCCGAAGCGGAGTTCAATGGCATCGAAGATGATGAGGATGAGGGTGACGGTGCTTTCGAGGATCTGGAAACCGGAGAAGTCCACGGCGCTGAAGATGAGGCTCAGGCCAACGGCGCTGACGGCGAGGAAGAACCAGATTTGGATGCCGAACGTGAGCGCAACGCCCGAAGAAAGGAAGAGCTCAAGCTTCGCTTCGAAGAAGAAGATAAGGAAGGATTCGCAAACGACAAAGGCAATGCCAAACGCGAGAGTGGCGAGGACGAGTTCGGCGAGGACGACTGGTACGATGCACAAAAGGCCCTCATCCAGAAACAGCTCGACATCAACCGCGCCGAATTCGATGCCCTGGACGAGCAATCACGAGTCAGGGTTGAAGGCCACAAAGCAGGAACCTATGCCCGTATCGTGCTGGAAAACGTGCCTTGCGAGTTTGTCGAAAAGTTCAACCCTCGATTCCCTGTTCTCATCGGTGGTCTGGCACCGACAGAAGACCGCTTCGGTTACGTTCAAATCCGCATCAAGCGTCACAGATGGCACAAGAAGATTCTCAAGACGAACGATCCTCTTATCTTCTCCCTTGGCTGGAGACGTTTCCAGAGTATGCCCATGTACAGCATCTCAGACTCGCGAACTAGGAACCGTATGCTCAAGTACACGCCCGAGCACATGCATTGTTTCGGAACCTTCTATGGCCCTCTCATCGCACCCAACACTGGTTTCTGCTGCGTCCAGTCCTTCTCCAACAAGAATCCTGGTTTCCGAATCGCTGCCACTGGTGTTGTTTTGAACGTCGACGAATCCACCGAGATTGTAAAGAAGCTCAAATTGACCGGCCACCCCTACAAGATTTTCAAAAACACGGCTTTCATCAAAGACATGTTCAGCACCTCGCTCGAAATCGCAAAATTCGAAGGCGCCAGTGTACGCACCGTCTCCGGTATCCGCGGTCAGATCAANAAGGCACTTTCAAAACCTGAAGGCAACTTCCGCGCTACCTTTGAAGACAAAATCTTGATGTCTGATATTGTTTTCTTGAGAGCTTGGTATCCGGTAAAACCTCACCGATACTATAACCCTGTTACCAATTTGCTGGATGCGGACACAAACAGCGAAGGATGGCAAGGCATGCGTCTCACGGGCCAAGTGCGCCACGCTCTCGACATCGCAACCCCCAAAGACAAAAACTCTGCCTATCGCACCATCGAGCGTCAAGAACGTCACTTTAACCCTCTACGCGTACCTCGCAAGGTCGCCGCCGAGCTGCCCTACAAATCCCAAATCGTGACTATGAAGCCACAGAAGAAGGAGACGTACATGCAGAAACGCGCGGTTGTGGCCGGCAAAGACGAAAAAGAGGCCAGAAGACTGCTGCAGCAAGTTCAAACGCTCAGGAACGAAAAGGTTGCAAAGCGCAGAGCTAAGCAAGAAGAGCGCAAGCAACCTTACCGTGCCAAGGTGGCTGAGAACATTGAAAAGAGAGCAGAGAGAGAAAAGAGGGAGAAGGAAGAGTATTGGCGCAGAGAAGGTAAGAAGAGAAAGGGGTGGAATGATGGTGAGGGTGGTGGTGGTGGTAAGAGAAGAAAGGGTTGAACATGAGTATGGCATTTCCTGTATATGTACACGTGTTTTATCTGTTTTAAAAAGCGAGGATGGTTTATATAGAAGCATTCTTCAGGCGTCAAACGATGATTCTTTGTTTTCAACCTTCTATGCATGACATGCTTCTGAGGATAGACGGTCACTGTCATCGGCAGACCTAATCGTCATGACAAACCTGTTTACAGTGATCCCACCATTTCCCGAGTCACATCGTGCTGCACATCCGCAGATGATCCCCCTTCCCGCATGTATTCCTCGCCTTCCTCGACACACCCACCGCCCTCAAGTCCAGCCGCCGCAAAGACACAACGAACATCATCTTTGTAAATCTCGTAAACCTCCAGCTTCTTCGCAACAAACAGATCAACATCCTCACACCAGAGACGTGAAAGCGGCGCCCCCTCCACATGAAGCCGAAATCCAGGAAGGAAAAAACTTTGGTTGCAAGTGTTGCTCAAAGATACCAGGAAACGCAATGATGGTGCTCAATGCCATGACATACCAAACCCTGCCAGTGTGCCACTCACTCCGCAACCACTTACTGTATGAGTGATCCAGTGATGATGCTGACTCTTCTTGCTCCATGTTGCTGTATGGGCCTTCGTGCGGAAGGACTGATAAGATTCGACTTGACGGCATGAGTTATGATGGTAAACAAATGTCTGCTTGTTACTGGTTGCGATGATCAAGTCGACAAGGACGGCATGAACAGGCAGAAGGCGCGAAGAACACGTGAGCAGCACCAAGCCGCCGGCAGCTCTTCCATACATGCACTACAGTCTGATCAGAAAAGCCTCATCTCTACACTCTGACACATCAACAAAAACATAAAAATAAGAACATCTCGCATTTTTTTTGTAAACTTTGAGTGTACACAAAAAGGAAAAAGAAAACATCAAGTCAAGATCAAAAAAAAAAAAAAAAAACCATAACCCATCACACGCTGCACGAATCAAACATTACCTTCTTTTACTTTTCTCTTTTCTTCTCCATCTCGTACATCTCCAACAACCTCCTAAACACTGCTGTCACTCTCCAAGCCTCCGTAAGTAGCTCTGTAGGCAATGCAGAAGGTTGATACAGAAGTGCTGGTAGGAGTTGGGTCAGCAGAGCCAGGTAGATTGCGGGTAATAACAGTCATAGCCTATGGGTGTACAAGGGACCCACGTGGGAGTTTCCAGCGCAGCCATGTCATCAGTATCAGTCTTGGAAGCAGTGGACTTGACCTTGGAAGTCTTGGAGGACTTCTCGGTTGCCTTGGAGGATTCATCGGTAGGCTTGGGTGACTTGGTCGACTTTCCAGTAGCCTTGGGGGATTTCTCGGTTGTGGTGGCCTTGTCACTGGCGATCTTGCTGGCAGCACGGGTTCTCCATAAAGTCGAGTAGGTATCGCTTTGGCTGGGAGTGATGGTGGTATGGACGGTGACTACTTCGATAGCCTCTGTTGCAGATGTCATTGGCGAGTCGCGACAAATCAGGGTAGTTGCGGCGGCTTGGTTGTCATTATCGTCGTCGTGCTTGCTCTTGAACTTCGATGTGGGCTTGGAAGTCTTGGACGATTTTCCAGTCGTAGCACCCTTGACACTGGAGGTCTCGCTAGCCTTGCGAGTTCTCCATGAGGTCGAGTAAGTCTCATTGAGACCAGGAATAACCGTAGTCTGAACCGTGACCACCTCAGTAGCCTCAGCTGGAGCAGTCAAGACTGAGGCCAGTACATCGGTGACAGCACGCTTGTCATCATGACCATGATGTCTCGACTTCTTGGCCATCCTGCTGCGAGAGCTGGAAAGATACTTTCTGCGGTAGCTGCTCTGCTTCATCATGTCCTTGTTGTGGTGCTTGCTCCACCTGTTCATTCGCTTGCTCATCGCCTTGTCGGGACTGCGGAACTTTGTGTAGTCTTCATCGGGATCGTCTCGGCGAGTGAGAGCTTGGGCAACATCGTCTGTGGTGGGCGCAGTTGTGATGAGTGGCGGCATGACATCGAAAGCAGAACTGGTCCGGGTAGAACTGACAGAAGATGTCTTGGTCGAGGTCGAAAGTCTGCTGTCCCCACTGGTGAGGGTCATGGTCGAAACCACCTCCTCGTAGCCAGTAGTTACCACCTCGACCACTTCGCTTGTGGTAATGACAACCACGGAAGACTCGGAAAAGACCTTGGACTTGGAAGAGGTCGGAAGAGGCGACTCGATCGTCTCGGATGAGCGATGCTTGGACGAACGAGACTTCGATGAGTGGTGCTTGGACGAGTGATACTTGCTGTGCTTGGAAGAGGTAGGTACGGGCGACTCGGTTTCTGACCAATGGTGCTTCGTCTTCTTGGGTTTGTGCAAAGACTTGGATGAAGAGGTGACATCGTAGTAAACGACAGTGGTGGCAGTGACGGTGACTTCGGCGGAGCTGGTAGGGACGACCTCCAATACCTTGGTGGTCGGCACCATGTCGACCACGGTGGTAAGAACCTTCTCGCCGCTGGATGAGCAATCTTCCGTGACGGTAGCGGTGTTGGTCTTCGTCCTGATACCGTGCTTGCCAGACTTTTGAATCTTGGTGGAACTACGATGGGGCCCGGAAGTCGAGTTAGAGGCATGATAGGAAGGAAGGAATTTCGAATACAAGCTTTGAAGCTGTACAAGGTCAGTAGTTGCGTCGTTAACATGTCGACAGTAGACTGACAACGGTATTGACGTCCTCTGTGGTGTGTTGCTCGACAGGAGCAGCAAGGACACCCATGCTACCCCAAAGGGTGAGCATAAAAGTCAAAGTGATTCCCTTCATGATCGGAAATGTCACGTGTGGGTAGAAGGCAGAAAAGAAAGCGCGAATGAGTCTGGTTTTGTAGCTGGGCTCAACCCTGCTTGTCTCTACCTACAGTGAGCCACGGTGTCCTGACCTCTCGATTGCATGACAAAGAATTCTCTTAATACACTCAATTGGGGTGGCCACGTCAGATATGACCTCTGATGCACGTGGCCACGTCCAGTTGGAGCCTGCGCAAGAGCCATTAGTGTTCTAGGTGTGAGCTATGAGGACGAGAACCAGGGAATGTGCTCGTCGAGCAGTCACCAGAGATCGCGCTTGGTTGGTAAGCAGGAGGAGTAGTATGATGCCACCTCATGTTGTGTGGGTTCAATTGTGGGGTGCTATTGGTGTTGAGAGAGGTAGAGTTATTTTGCTCGAACCTACGAAGCTTTCCTCTGGAAGGCAAAGAGAGCTTCGTCCTTGGCCGCAAAGCTGGGCAAGGGAATCTGGCAGACCTTCTCAAACACGGGCATTTCTCTGGCGATCCAGTCTGCGATGGTCTCTTTGGCAAAAGCGGTGTAGCCGTTGGAATTCTGGGTACCTGCGCAGATGATGGTATCGCNCCTCTGTAGTAAAGTCAGTTAGCTGCGTTGAGTTTGAGTTCTAGATTGGGACATACTGTATGCTTTGAGGATCTTGGAAGTGAATTCGAGACCGACTTGAGGGTAGACCAGCAACAGAACCTGGTCCTTGCCGTCATTGTTCTTCTTGAGGTAATCAACACCATCAATTTGGATAGTGTCGGGCACCCAGACAGTCCTCCACTCGCTGATGCCGTTGTCAACTGGGACAACAGTCAAAGGCTTCTGCTTGTTGAAGACTCTGAGCATGTAGGACCAATATCCATTTCCACTGCCCAGATCGATGACGGGACGACCCTTGGCCAGCTGATAGATGATGGAGAGCGCCTCGTAAGACGGGCAGACACAGCCGAAGTGGTGATATAGAATTGGCAGGATGGCATGCGAGAAGCGGACCTTGCTCGTGGCATCCTCGGGACCAGCCCACTCGAGATTCTGACATGACCAGGCCCAGACATCAAAGTAGGGATTTGTGTGCTCTTTCTTCAGCTTCGATATGACGATCTTATGTTCAGACGAAGGAGGATGGTATAGAGTTTGTAAGTGTTGACCGACAGAGGCACGGATCGAGTCCTTTTTCGCATTCGAAGCCAGACCGACGAGAGCCTTCTGGGTGTTTGTCGTGCTCTTGAAGATGTTCATATAGGCGGCTATATCGACGGCTGGCGGAGGCGGTAGCTGGATGGGAAGTGATGTTGGTTTCATGATTCGGTATTCGCGGAGTCTCATGGCGGGCTTACNTGGCTTGCCTTCGTCGTCTCTGTACCAGGCATGCAGTCCACCCTGGCCTCCAAACTCGACATAGGTCTGAGCTTGAAGAAGAGTCACCTCAGCGACCGCGGCATAGGTGTATGTATCGTCATGAGGTAGGCCGAAGGTAGTCAGGACGAACTTGCGAAAGTCATTGTTGTACAGCGGTTCGATGGCGCCCTTCCCCCATGCATCAAAGTAAGCATCCGGACTGAAGCTCGTCGAGTCCTCTGTCTGCGCTCTGTCTGGAATTGCGGGCATCTTGCAATGACTTTGTGTCGACGGCTGCGAGATTGATTGTTGAGCATCCCACTCTCTTTCACATGTCAATCTTGGCATGACGTTTGAGCTGCCCGTACACCTCGCTGCCATCAACCACTCTCAACTCTTACACATGTCTTTTGACGATTTTGAGCATAACACAACACGTGCATCTGTCAAGCTTCAGCGGTATATCATTCCATACGTGTAATGAACGATTGATGCTGTAAGTTGCTGTCCGCCAACATCTGCGCTCGCCGGTCGCGTCGAAAATTGCAGAAAGGATTCACCAAGCGAATCACACCATCGCTCCTTGAGGAGAGGACCAATTCTTTTTGGTCTTTCCTGCCGTCGATCACTATATTACGCCCTACAAAACGATACAATTGCCTAAACACCTCGTACATTCTACTGCTCTTGCCGTCGCTTGCGCCCGCCCCTTATTATCCGCTGTCATACAGAGTGGATACCTACTCTCGCGCAATATGGCACAATCGTCTCTACAACGACAAGTTCTTCAAATGTCGCATACACATATAACCTCGATGAATCCTTATATAGACTAGATATTAAGAGGTAGGTTGACGTGACTTTTTGTTATCTCTACCGTGTTCTTTTGCTACGAAAATGTCGGCTTCGACCAACTCTGAACTGGCTGAGAGCCATGAGGAGAACACTCATGTTGAGACAAAGAGATGGTATCGATCAAGCATGTTCAATGCCTGTGTGATCGGAACCGTCGGCTTCATGGCGCCAGGTATGCCTTCCTTGTACATCTTAGTTGGTTGATCTTCTACTTATCAAGGTCGAAAANNTCCAGGTCTCTGGAATGCCATGAACTCGCTAGGTGCTGGAGGTGCACAGAAGCCTTTCTTGGTCAACGCAGCCAATGCCTTGGTCTTTGGCTTGATGGGCTTCTTTTGCTTGTTCGGTGGTCCAATCGCAAATCGTATAGGTCTCAAGTGGACGCTGATTCTGGGCGCCGTGGGCTACCCAGTCTACAGTGCTGGTCTCTATACCAACAACAGATATGTACGCTCCTGGTCTTCTCTCGATTTTAGCCTTGATGGATATTGAATGACAATATAGGGCAATGTGTGGTTCGTTCTCGTCGGTGCAGTCGCTTGTGGTATATCGGCCGGGTTGTTCTGGGCTTCTGAAGGAGCTGTTGCTCTGGGCTATCCTCCACCAGCCAAGCGCGGACAGTACATGAACATCTGGCTTGTTTTTAGAACAGGAGGGCCTATCCTGGGAGGTGCTATCCTCCTTGGTCTCAATCAGTACGTTCTAACAAGCACCCATGACTTGCTGACTGTTCTAACCTCTGCTCAGNNCTCTCCGAACCAAAAGGCCAAAGGCAAAGTGGGCTACCGTAAGTCTTGCACTTCTCTGCTTGAGTGATGATCTTCTCTCTGACATTCGCTCNNAGAAACTTATCTTGTGTTCATCGCCTTGCAGTGTCTTGCTGTCCCAGTCGGATTATTGCTATCACCACCCGAAAAGGTAAAGCATCATCGAAATTGCACTGCTCACAAAACACAACTGACAAACACACAGGTCCAACGCTCCGACGGCAGCAAAGTCAAGATCGTCCAGGAAAAGTCCTTTGCAGCCGAACTACGTGCTCTCGTTGCCGCTTCCAAACGACGCGACATTATTCTCTTGCTTCCCGTATTCTGGGCCGCCTACTTTAATCAATACTCTGGAAGTAAGTGTGAATCCCATTTTGAATCATGAAATATCGCGAAGACTAACAACCCCGTCNNAGACTTTCAAACCTACTACTTTGGCCTTCGCGCGAGATGTTTGATTGGCTTCTTGACCAATTTCAGCGGCATCATATCTTCATTCCTGGTTTCCAGTCTGCTTGACTATAAGCCATGGCCCGTAAAGAAGAGACTGAATATCTGGTAAGTAAACTCGAAATCCCTGCTGTTCAGAGTACCTCTTAACTTCTTTGCAAANAGTTTCTTCTACGTGCTGTTTTGGCATCTACTGGCATGGTCCTACGGCTGGGCCATCCAAGAAAAATACACCAGATCCCAACCAGTCTGGGATTGGACAGACCCAGGCTTTGTCGAAGGCTTCTTCGTGCTCGTGTTTTGGGGTTTCGCTCAACAATCCCTCCAAAACTTTCTTTACTATTTCTTGTCCACAAAGACTGATAATATTTCCGAATTGTGTATGTTTCTCCACTCATTCTCTTGAACCGCTGATATCCTGACTGTTCTCACAGCACGCTTCTCTGGTATCCTTCGTGGCCAAGAGAGTTTTTCGCAGGCGGTGAGTTTTGGAATCAATACTAGGGATTGGAAGGGTGGGAGAGTGCCTCTTGCTGTCAATACTGTTCTTTTGGGTCTTGCTGTTGTGCCCACGTGGATTGCGCTGCAGGAACATGTTCCCGTCGAGGGGTCCAAGAAGTTTGAGGATGTTAGTGAATTGACGGAGGGAGTTCCTTCGGCAGAGGATAAGAAGAAACATGCTGTAAGGCAGACGGCTACAGAAGTTTGATTCGGGGAGCATGATAGAGGATTGGTAGAAAATTTTGAGAGCATGGCAGAGGATTGATAGAAAGTTATGAGAGCATAGGAAGCATGGGGTTCATGAAGGCTTGATTTTTAACAAGCACCATTCGATTAGTCTTTACAAAGGTTAGCCTAGAGGGGTACTCCTGATACAAGAGTGAAAATCACGAGAAGACGGCTCTTCCACCATTGGGGCTGCCCTTTCCTCTCTCGTACAGCCACTTGCTGTTCAGCGACACGGTTGCCTTTCCAGTGGCCAGACCTGACGAACTGCTTCCCAAGCTGTTGTCCAACGGCGAAGACGTTCTCGCAGCCGTAGCACCTCCTACGGCCTTCTGCACCAGGGGGCTAACAGAAAAGGGGCTGCCAGAGGGACCTCTGCTGACACCCAGGGTGCTTTGATCGAATGAAGATGGACTAGCCTTGTGTGACATGGGAGAGGCCGAGGCGTGTCTCTGAGCACTAGAGCGTGGTGTAGAAGAACGGGAGTATCTTGGGGGAGTAACGTAGCCAGGAGATCCAGCAGGTAAAGGTACGTTCTGTGGGGTCAGGCCGAGGAGTTGGCGTTGTTCTCTGGTGAGAGGGATGTCTGTCATTTCGTCGACGGGGCGGAAGAGCGGCATGAGCGCGAGCGAGATGTTCATGACGGGGATGCAGCGGACGAGGATAGAAGCCCAGGTTGCGTATGGATCCATGGACTGGATGAAGGCAGTCAATGCTGTGGGAGTGCTGTTGGAGTGTAAGTCGTGGGTAGGCGAGCTGGCATACAAACATCATCTTACTANGCTAGAGAGCATGCTAGGAGCAAGCAAGAATGCTAGCAGAGCAACAGCATTGACTATGATGGCGTGCATATTGTCGGATGTAAAGGTCGAGGCATTCTTGCGACGGTTGATGGCGTCCATGTTGGGGTGACGCCAGGTTCCAGGAGTGTCGACCTTGGTGGGTGGTTGCTGTGGCTGTGACTTTTGTGGTGTCGAAGGTGCCGACGAGGGTCGCAAGGGCGTTGTGGGAGCTACAAAGCGCGAGGCTGCCGGACTCGGCTTGAGGATTGCTGTTGAAGACATGGTGTGTTGTGTGTGCGAGTGAGAGACAAGAGGTGTGTAGAGGGTTGGCTGAGGGTGTCGCCGAGAGCTGCAGGGGTTAGTATTGTGAAATCCGGGACGACGCTCTTAGTAGACAAAGGGCATGGCGTAGCAACAGTCGATTTTGCTGCTGGCAGCTTAACGGTCGGTTGGTCGTGAGGTGACTTGGTCCTCGTCGTGGTTTGTTCTTCGCTGTGTTGATTCTCGAGCTTGGCACTGGTTTCCACGGCGGCTGATGGAGTCCCGTCGCTTGTGGCTGTGCTCAAGCCCCACTATCATCACGACTGCTGACATCCGACATACAGTATCGTTCCTTCTTTGAAGCTTTGCTCCTTCTAGGTTCTGGTCTTGCAGGACAAGTCCTCGATATCGACAAGATGGCCGGCGTGATCGAGCAGCTGGATGCTCTCATTGCAAATACTCTCTCCGCCTGGAACCTCTACACCACCCTGATTGCTTTGGCTTTGTTCGCATTTGTAGCATATCCTCTCGTGTTTTGGGCCGAGCCCGATACTCATCCTCTGCTTCTTGCCCGTCAGGCTGCTGCTTCTCCTGTCCGTCAGCCCCGCGAGTCCGCCGTCTACCGCTCGACCGAAGTTCCTCATGGCTACGCCTTGAAGACTGGTCTCTCGGTCCGCGAGCCCGGTGCCCCCAAATGGACTGCCGGTAGAGATGGTGATCTCAGAGACGTTTGGCGTGAGGCTGTCAGTTCCTCATCAGCCAAGGCCACCATCTCGTCTGTCCATGGAAGTGACGCTCCTGTTGAGCACGACCTTGCCCATCTCTCCAAACTTATCAACATCATTGGCTCCCATTTGCAAAAGTCAGGTGTCCAGAGGGTTGCCATCTACTCACCAAACTCGGTCGAATACCTCGTCACAATTTTTGGTAAGTAGCACTACGTGGTTTCCTGGTGCCTTGGTACTAACAGTGTTCAANNAGCATGTTCGTTCTTTGGCCTAACCCTTGTTCTTGTCCCTTTCAATCAGGACCATGCTGTGGTTTGCAAGCTTCTGGAACAAACACAGGCCCAAGCCGTAGTCGCTACTGCTGGTTCCTTGCCACTTGCCGGTCTCACTGAAGGCGTTTCATCTTTGCATCAAGTCATCTGGGTCACCGATTCTGCCAACAAGCACATGGACTGGCAAGGTGCCTCTGAACACGAGACCAAGGGCAAGCTTGCTGTATCTGTCTGGGACAATCTTCTAGTAGAGGCTTCCTCGACAAGTAGCGAACTGCCTAAGAATGACGAGAGTGTGGTTCCTGGCAACTTGATCTTCCTCTGGCANAAAAGTCCTAATTCTCCTGCCAAGGTGGTCGAGTTCACTCAGAAGGTACAAAGCCAAAGTCCACAATACTTTGAAACCACTTACTTACAACATGTANNGAACATGGTCGCTGCCATTGCCGCTTTGATATCAGCCTTGCCCCTGCGCCAGCGTCTGGGCCCTTCGGATCTTGTGTTGCCGGCTGATTCGTTCAGTCATTCCTATGTCTTGTCGCTGACCATGGCCGCACTCTTCAGTCACAGTTCTTTGGCCATCAACTCTGTTGCTAGCAGCGGTGTCGATCTTGCTCTTGCTTCTCGCGGTGTGGCGCCTACAGTACTCATTGCTTCATCGCAGTCTCTTGCAAACTTGCACCAGACTCACATGTCTGGAACGTCTTCTGGCCTTCAGAAGTTTGTACACTCAAATCATGGTCGTGTTCTCGCCGCTGGTCGCATGCCTGGAGAGGACATGTTGTACCGACTGTCCGCTCCTAAGGGTAAGGCTATTGGCACTTCGCCTGGCAAGCTGCGTCTAATTCTCGCTTCTGAGAGAGCGGGCACCGAGGCCGAAACGTTGAGCAGTGCTGCCCTTCGTGATCTTCGCATAATCACACGCTCTAGAATCTGCTATGCTCTGACGGCCCCTTCGGTGGCGGGCGCTGTTGCACAAACCAACATCTACGACTACAGGCACGAGGACCGACCAGGACACAGCCACTTTGGTGCGCCTCTGAGCAGTGTCGAGATCAAGCTTGTGGACAAGGACGATAGGAAGGTCGACGGTAGTACACCTTCAGGCGAGGTAAGTTTCTCGTGTCTCATCTCTTGTACATTCAACTGATTAGTCACTGTGTAGATCGTTGTCTCTGGTCCTGCTGTCGTTGGAGGTGAAAGCAACCTTGGAGTGAGGGGCGTCTTCCGCGAGGACTGCACCTTGGGTTATGCGTAAGCGTAGTCGCCTAGTTGAAAAAGTATTGATCATGCCATGCACCTTGAATCATCTTCTTGAGACGCAGTCGTGAATGCATTGCCTATTCGAGAGCACGTATGTGGCAGTAGGGCTCGTGCCCAATCGGAAGAGGGCTGCGGCTCCGTATTGCGGGGAGCGCGAGTGGGAGGGATCAGCGATGAGCGGCGGTGACATCGCCAAGACCGTCATATATGCCGCAGCGAAAAAATAACAGCGACGCTCACGACAGCCCGCTACCTCCAGCCTGTCTTCTCGCTGTTCCTGAGGCTTGCTTGTCTCGCTCCCATACCAGACCCGGTACTTATTCAGGGTATCCGGGCTTCATCGATCGTCAAGATTCCACGCCAACAGTCCTCTTTTATCCCTCTCTCGGCCAGGCCTCCATAACGTCCCTCTAAGGCATCCTAGAACTCCCGCTTGTTGCTGGCGTAAGCCAGCCTCCCGAAAAAGAAGTCATGGTCAACATCGATATCCCTAATGACTACACTGTCTCGCCCTCGTCGGCCACTCCCCACCTGACAATCAACCGCGATGTCACCATCGACCTCGACTCGACCAATGCCTTTGAAGGTCAGCTCGTGTGACACCCGTCTGCCAAGTGCTTGTCTGATTGTAGTTGCNNAGGTCCCGAGAAGCTCCTCGAAGTATGGTTCAGCCCTTCTGCCTCGTCCCTTCCTGAAGGGGCCAAGCCTTATGGTCTGAAGGCCGTCTCGTCAGACACATGGAAAGAGATGCTTGATCTGGTGAACTGCAAGGTTCTCTCCGTCATTGGACATGGACACATGGACGCCTACCTGCTCTCCGAGTCTAGCATGTTCGTCTTCCCTCACAAGCTCGTGCTCAAGACCTGCGGCACCACCACCCTGCTGTACGGTCTGCCAAGAATGCTCGAGATTGCTGCTCTCGAGGCAGGCTTCCCTGGTGTCAAGGCCGACCTCTCTGCCGCCGTTCCTGCCGCTGCCACTCCCCACCGCGTCTTCTATAGCCGCAAGAACTTCCTGTACCCTGACCAACAGCGTGGTCCTCACCGCAGCTGGCGCGACGAGGTCAAGTTCCTTGACCAGAGATTCTTGGGAGGCAGTGCCTACATGATTGGAAAGATGAACGGCGAGCATTGGTACCTGTACATCACTGGGCCCAACACTCAGCTCACTCCTCCTGCTACTCCTGAGAGAGAGACTTTTACCAAGGTCCTCGACTACCCTGAGCAGCTCGCTGCTGATATGGCCAACGCACAGATCGACGAGTCTCAGGATGAGACTCTAGAGGTTCTCATGACCGATCTTGATGAGCAGAACGCCCGCCAGTTCTACCTCGAAGATGCCAGTGCCATCGCTGAGGGCAAGTACCTCAAGCAGTCCCAGGAAGCTCGCAAGGATGCTATCTCTCACCTGGGCAACATCAATGGTGTTGATGATGTCGATGTCTTCGCGCAGACCACCTCTGACCCTTTCGAGAAGCTGACTTTCCCCGAAGAGCTGACCACTGAAGGTCATACTCTGGGCTCCGTCGTGTCCGAGGCCTGCGGCTTGGCCGACGTCTACCCTGTCTCCAAGTATCCCGAGGCTAAGATAGACTCTTACCTCTTCACTCCTTGCGGCTTCTCTGCCAACGGTGTCGTCCCTTCGACTGGAGAGTCGGCCTCGGCAGCCCATTACTTCACCGTCCACGTCACTCCCGAGCCCCAATGCTCCTACGCATCCTTCGAGACTAACGTACCTGCCCGCCAGACCGGGCGCGAGACCCACGACATTGTCGTACAGGTCGTCAACATCTTCAAGCCCGGTCGCTTCAGCGTCACTGTCTTCGAAGCCAAGACCGACGAGGACGGCTACGGCAGAGCAAGAGTCAAGAAGGACAAGAACATGGACAACATTGCCGGCTACCGCCGCGTCGACCGCATCGTCCACGACCTCGAGGGCTATGAGTTGGTCTTCAGATACTTTGAGCGTCTGGACTGGAAGGGCGGCGCCCCTAGACTGGGCGAATACATGCTGTAAGCAAAAACTGGGTGACGTCCTGTGAACTGCCCCTTTTGTTTACTATTGAAACAGCAAGAGTCTTCCCGACTTGACTACCAGCCAGTCCACTCTTGGATGATGGCCCTACCTTGTACACGCCTCAATTCTGTATATTCGTTTGTATAGTTCTGGTGCGGATGCATATATGAAAGGAGATGAGAGAGTGATAGAAGAGACACTTTTTTGTTATACGGCCGACGAACGAAGCGAACATATTTCTGTCATTTCCTCTTTGAATTTATCGAGCGGTTGCGTTTGCTTTTTGTTATCGTTAAGCAGTATCTAAAGACTTTCCGACTGATTCCAACGCCTGATTGCGCACACCAGTTGCAATCGCTGATCATGAACAAGCTCGTGTTCGCAGCAGCACTTTTTGCTGTTCACTCTCGTTGATCTTCAAGATTGTTCTGAGTCAGGAGGCCCAAAGCAGGGTTATATTACCTCCTCGTGCTCTTTCATGGTTCGATGTCGACGGGTACTGATCGCTTGACTCTCGATACTCAATTCTGCGACCAGTAAGTCTCAGTCTATTATATTGACAGACATGACCTTTTCGCACTCTGCTGTTGTAGATCTTACGAGTGCTGCCACACACATACAAGAGAAGCAAGCATGACCAGCCGCACACAAACAAAGACGATGATGGTCCAACACAACTGCTCAGGCACCTCGAGCCACCACTGTCTCACGGCGTTATGTAACAGCAGTCAGTTCTGAGACCGGGTGCCGTGATGTCTTGCTTCTGCTCGTAAACAACATCCCTCACTTTTTCTTCTAACAAACACCTGACATCATGACTTTTGTATTGTAATTTCGCTATTACTTGCTTGCTGCTATTTACGACGTGGATGCAGGACTGTTGTGCGGCTTTGACAGGGGGCTACGTATCGATGGCAACAGCAAAGGCCGTTTGTCTTGTCGATTGTGAGGAGATTGTCGGCAACGTTTGGGGGCAGGGGGAGTGAAATCAGCAGGCTGGGGTGTGGGAGTCGTGAAACGGCTCGTGACGATGTAGAGAACGCCTCTTGACGATGCCTTGTGAGAGACAGTAGAACGAACAGAGGTTTCAGGCGGAAAATAATGTCTAGGAAGCATGATGGACGGTTGGTTTGTTGCAGATGTCGAAAGGTGTCTCGGCAGAGTCGTGCCATGACACTCGGAGTCTTTTCACTCAGAATTCTTCCAAATCTCACCTCGTTCTTCGAGTCAAGCCGTGTGATGCCGTGCATGACGCTTGACGGTTGCGTCTTTGCTGCACCGGTTTCGTTGCTGACATGGAGAAAAAAGGGCTGAGGAAAAGTTCCTCGGTGGCAGGAGCAAGCAGGAGCAAGCAGGAGCAAGGGAGACACCACCCACCCGATTCCAGAACCTTTTTTCTCGAAAAGCCATCGCACAATCGATTGTCACGTATCATGACATGGCGCCGCTGAACCGTTTCGATAAGGACACACGCAACCCGCGAGAGCGAGGCTGCGCGCACGGAAGAAGTTTTCTCTCTACTCGAGTACACCAAGTGGAGTTTGCGAGTGTCGTGGTTCTTTGGGGACCTGAACCACCCCTGCAAATGCCAACCAGCGAGATAGACTCGAGGCAGGCGCGTAGAAGTACCCTCCGCCTGTCCAATCGGAGTCGAGGCGTGCCTTTGCGCATGCCCGAATCTTTGGTACGGTGCAGCACGATGATCGACTCTCCCACGCAACTTCTTCGATTAAGCTCGGCTGCCCGCTGAAACCGTTGGACAGGCACGGTTAGAACCAACGACTTTGTGCACTCTGTAGGAGAGTCCTACGTCCTGATTGCTCGTCTCAAGGCTTGTGCCTGCGGCCCAGAGCCGTAGTGTAGGGGTGGAGCAGTGGTGGTTGGGTTGTACGTACGGTTGTACCGTTTTCGACAAACGCATGGTATCTTCAAAAAGCGTCGCGTTGCCGCATCCCACGAGCGCAAACAAGGCCATCCTATTCATTTTGTGTGCACCCATCCGACGCACCACCCTGTGCTTTACCTTCCAACTGCTGACCGTCGTTTGATTGCCATAACGTCCTCCGACCTTGCCATTCTTTTCCGGACTACTTGTTCCCGTAGTTTATTCATATCTACGCGCTCCTGCCGCTCCTTTTCAAACCAAGCATCCCCACCTCAACTCTACCCGATACTTTGGACCCTCCGAACAGGCGAATAACCCGAGATCTTCGACCAAGCAACAAGCCACTACTGCGAACACTGCAGGATTCCTATTCACAACAAAACCAATTAACGTTTCAGGACCCTTTGGCTGGGCATTGCTCCTCCACCCACTCTGTCTAAAGTGTGCCTCTTTCCCTTCACCAACATTCGTACATCCTTTCGCTGTTGGTCAGCGTTGGTCAGCGTGGTCACACCGCCAACGAAAACATGTCAGCCGAGCCTGTGATATCTACTGGAGATGTGGAGCGCATGCTACACGCAACGTGCGTCAGGGGCGTCGATAAATCTGGACCCGCACCTGCACCCCTTCAGGAGAGGACGTTCGACTTCAGGATCCTCGTCGAACCTCCTCTTCTATCAGCCACCATCACAGATCTTTGCAACGAGCCTCTTTTCTTTTCTGGATACCTATCAGAAGAAGAACCAATGTCTTCCGACGACTCTAGTCTTTCATCAATGTCTATCAGCACTGTCGCCGACGAGTTTCTCGACGAATTCGAAACAAACTTTCCGGAACTATTGGCCGAAGACTGCACCTTTGTCGAGCAAGCTCAATGCAACCAGGCTGAGGTCGTGACTCTCGTCTCGCCGGGCAAGGCCAAGATGGTTCGCGTCTCTAGAGTCGACTCGAGTGCCTCGTCGTCACCTATCATCAAGAGGCCAACAACCTCATCAAGTCTGAAGCCTACCAACAGCTCATCACGTCTGAGCATCATATCAATCCGGGCACACAGCCATGACGGATCTGTACCTTCTCCCAGGGTGGCATCTCCCAAGATGCCTTCAACACCAGAACTCGAACCCGGATCTCAAACGCCTGAATCTAGCCACGGCCCCTCGACTCCAGGTTCTCCAGCCTCTGCCTACTTCGACGCTCTCACTAGCCCAACATATGTGATTCCATGCCCACCTAAGCATCGCATGTCTCGGAATGGTTACCATCTCAAGCTCCCAAGCATGAGCAGACAGCGCCCTGGCTCCTCGCAATCCATGGTGACAGCTCCGCTCTCTGCCCCACTTGCAGCGCCATCTTCGTTCTTGAAGCCGAAGATGACACCCCGCGGCGCTGCCGAAAGATTGATGCCCCGCGGTGCTGGCGAAAGAATGGCATCTCTGGATCTGCCACCCTACCCTCGCGACTTCATCCAACAACCTCCTCAGAGCCGATGGACCATTCGCAAGGACTCCTTCAGTTCATTGTCTTCAAAAGAGATGCCCAGATTCAGGCTCAAGCGGGCCGAGAGCGGTATCCTGCCGACCTGGCAATGATCTCCTCCACCATCTGACTAATGTTACTACGACCTTGCTGCATATCATGAATTGGAAAACTTAGCGTTGTTTTTTAGGCTTTTTTGCTCATTCGGCTTATTGGCCTTCTCGGGATGGATTGATCTTCGATACCATATATAGGATGATGCTTTGGAGAGTTCGGCTTTTGTTTCTACTGTGGCTTGCGCTACTACATCACATAACTTATCCTCCTGGTTGGACAACTCTGGCATTCTGCAACGAAGGAGGACTTTTTCTTGTAGCTAGACCACCCAGATCTCGGAGAAAAATGTATTCTTAGCCAAACATGTTCCTCTACATCCCTGCCTTTGACGATCCACAAAACTCCGAATAGGTACCTCTGCTAGAGTATCGGATCCGTATTAGGCTTCCCCGCTTCCCGTAGCCGAGGGATCTCAAGTGATCGACACTGGAGAAGCCGCGCGCCTCCACCAACTTGTCACGACTCACGACCTCTCTGCAAGACATCAGACACTTTGTATCTGTTGGCTCTTTTGAGATTTTGCAAGTGCTCGTATTTGTTTGAATTGCATACGAAGTGTCACATTGTGCACCAGAATCGATAATCGACATTGCCATCAATGGCTTCCCCATCCGTCATGCCCCGCAAGCTGTGGGAGCATTCGAATCCAGAAGCTACCATGATGGCTCAATTCATGAGGGATGTCAACAAGAGGAGAGGATTGGAGCTTAAGGTAGGACATATACTAATCTTCTGATATAACCAGAATTGACGTGATTGTCCCAAAAACTGACAAGTACAGACATTCCAAGACCTCCACCAATTCTCCGTCAATCAACGCACTGACTTTTGGTTCGATCTCTTTGAATTGCATCCTCTCATCCATACTGGAGAGTACACTCAAGTTGTGGACCCCGAGGCCAGGATGGATTCCGTGCCTTCCTGGTTCTCAGGCGTAAAACTCAACTTTGCAGAAAACATCTTGTACAGTGCGGATCCTAAAAACCCATCTGTGCGCACACTCACCGGCAAAGAAAGCGACAAGATAGCATTGACAGAAGTCCGTGAAGGATGCACTGAAATCAGACACTACAGCTGGAAAGAACTGCGTGCCAAGGTTGGGTTGCTCGCGCAAGCCATGAAAGCACATGGAGTAACCAAAGGCGATCGAGTTGCGGTGGTCGCATCTAACTCTACAGACACATTGACTGTGTTCTTGGCTGTGACAACGCTGGGAGGTATCTTCAGTTCGAGTTCCACGGATATGGGCAGTCAGGGTGTTCTGCAGCGGCTGACACAGATCGAGCCGAAGTGGATCTTTGTGGACGATTGGGCTGTCTATAATGGCAAGACTATTGACTTGAAGCCCAAGATGAGGGAGATTGTTGCTGGTATGCTGAAGAGCAAGGCCAAGGGATTCCAAGGTCTTGTTAGTCTGCCTAGATTCCAGCAAAGACCGGCTGATGTGGGTGATGTGCCGAAAACCATGAGTCTGGCGGCGTATCTCTCAAGAGCTGGGGGCAATTCTGAGCTGCCCTTTGAAAAGGTTGATTTCAAGGATCCGTTCTTGATTGTTTATTCTTCCGGTAAGTCCTGTGGTCGATATTCGCTCGTAAGATCTGACCAAGTCATTNNAGGCACTACTGGCGTACCGAAATGTATCGTGCATGGTTGTGGACCAGTCCTCATCAGTTCGATGAAAGAAGGCAGACTTCACCTTGATTCTGGACCTTCGACAGTCAACTTGCAATACACAACCACTGGCTGGATCATGTATCTGATGTCAACAATGGCACTCCAACACGGAGCACGCTCGATATTGTATGATGGTTCACCCTTCATACCCGACCTCACTACTTTCGTTCGCATGGTAGGAGAACAAAAAGTCACCGATCTGGGCATCTCACCTAGATACCTACAGACACTTGCTTCAGCATCTCCTCCAATCATCCCCAAGCAAGTCACCGATCTGTCCCATCTTCGCCGTGTATCAAGCACAGGCATGGTATTGCCAGAATCTCTCTTCCACTGGTTCTATGATTCTGGTTTCCCTCCCTCTGTCCACCTCAACAATATCAGTGGTGGAACAGATGTGGCTTCTTCGTTTGCGATGGGCAATCTGATGACTCCTTTGTATGCCGGTGGATGTCAAGGCCCGGGTTTGGCCATGAACCTTCAAGTATACGACCAAACCATTGAAGGAGGCAAGGGCATCAAAGGCAAATCTCTCCCCATCGGAGAAGCAGGCGAGCTTGTCGTCACCGCCGCTTTCCCCAACCAACCCGTCAAGTTCTGGGGCGACACTTCTGGACAGAAATACTTTGATGCTTATTACGCTCGCTTCGACAGTAATGCTCTCCCTCCGTTCCCTAGTGCTAAAACATGCAGCTAACATGATAAACACNNAGACGTCTGGACCCACGGCGACTACATCTTCGTCCACCCAAGAACCAACGGCGTATACTTCCTCGGCCGCGCCGACGGCGTGCTAAANCCCTCTGGCGTGCGCTTCGGCTCGGCAGAAATCTACAATGTGATCGAGACCTTTTTCGCCGAAGACATCCAAGACAGCATTTGTGTTGGCCAACGTCGACCTACCGATACTGATGAAGCTGTCATCCTTTTCCTACTCATGAAGCCCGGAAGAAAGTTCACAGAGGCATTGGTCAAGGATGTGAGGCAGAGGATTGGCAAGGAGTGTAGTCCGAGACATGTGCCCAAGTATGTGTTTGAGACACCCGAGATACCTGTGAGTTTAACCGATTCTTTTATTGGTGTGAGTGATGCATGGATGGATTGCTAACGACTTGGATACATANNGACGACGGTCAACCTCAAGAAAGTGGAACTACCGGTCAAGAGAATTGTTTCTGGAGAAAAAGTCACGCCGTCGGGGACGCTGCTCAATCCACAGAGTTTAGAATATTACTACAAGTTTGCAAAGGTGGAAGACTTGATTGGCGGTGTCAAGAGTAAATTGTAGATGGCTTGGAGCTAGATCGGACCACCTCTAACATCACTTCTGGAAATACGGAGCAAGAAAACACATGGTTATTTGTCAACATGCCAACAAATCATATGGCCTAACCCATAGACCGTTAACAATCATTTCTCTGAGCGCAATACTCCATCATCAGTGTTGGCTGCTCTTTCTCTATCCTCAAAAGCAGTAGTATGGCCTGCTGTCCATAGCAGCAGATGAGACTCCATGAGCTCGAAAGTGACTTGGACCGAACATGACTCTCCTTCATCTTCTTCCTCGGGCGTCTCTACAAGTAGGAGAGTGTGATCGCGAAGAGACCTTGCATCGACAACGACAAACATATCATCATCGACTTTTTCGGAACCTGTCTGCTCGCGTAGCTTTGTGATCAGGACATAACACTCATATAAGGATTTGCCACTGAATGGAGCCGACTTCGAGCTGATATTCATTCCGATCTCGTCGGGTCTGTTGTAGGTATGTGACAAGTCATCAACAAAAAACGAAATGAATGCCTTTCGAGTGGTAAAAGTCTCCACTTGATTGAAGTATACGATCTTTGAGCTGAGAAGGTATTTTGAGTCAATTTGGTTACAAAGAGGAAAGATTGTCACTCACTTCAGCGCTCAATTGTACGGCACAGCATATCGCAAACATGATCACAGAAGTAGTGATTGACTAGTGCGCAATGTGACAAAAGGGCGATGTAGAGGGTAAAAAGGAAGGATGACATAGAAAGCCAGGCTGTAGCTGGTCGAATCTTCAACAACTATTTCCAAGCACTGCCGGTTCTCGAGGTTATGGCGCGAGAGTGGATGCCACTTTAATCACTCGCAAACACTTTGGGGTGCTGGGGAAAGAATGTTAAAGCTGATTATGTTTCGAGAAAGCGACGTTTTAGATGTGTGCTCGAAGGCAGGCCAACGACGTTCATTAAGGATAGCTTAACAGTATGCTTAGAATTTTGACCAATCAAGATCGTCCTTGAACGGCAGCTAATTTGCATTCCATTAACCACACTTAAGCTGGATTTCTGAGCCGGACAACGGCATGACAAACATTAGGCCATGGAAGCCGTAGAATAAATATCATAATCAACGTCCCGTCGAACCATGAATATAAAGTATCGCTTCAATTCTTTTCTGCATGTCTTCTCCGTCATCAGAACCTAGTAACACACAACCCACTTCGTCAACAATCAATCTCAAAGCCCTTGCTGTCCTCGTCGGCATAGCAGCAATCACCGTGGCTATTCTCACACCTCTACGAACCAGTCTTTCGGCTTTGCTATCCAAGACATCAACTCCATCAATTCAACGCACAATGTCTTCTACCACCTCTCCCCTAAAGGTCGTTAAGCGTCCCTGGAACGCTCGCGGCCATGCGGATCACGGATGGTTGTACACTTTCCACACTTTCTCCTTCGCCTCTTACTACGACCCTGGCCACGAGTCGTTCGGACCTCTTCGCGTAATAAACGAAGACCGCGTCGAAAAGGGCACAGGCTTTGGCACCCACTCGCACGCCGAATTCCTCATCTGGTCCTACATCGTATCCGGCGAACTCGAACACAAAGACTCCATGGGCAATCTCGAAAACCTCAAGCGCGGCGAAGTGCAATTTACCTCTGCAGGCACGGGAATCAGACATTCAGAATACAATCGCAAAAAAACCGAAGACGTGCATTTCCTGCAGATCTGGGCAAAGCCATACACACGTGGCTTGCAACCCAGCTATGTGACCAGAAAGTTTACGGACGAGATGAAGGAAAACAAGTTGGTGAGGATTATGGAGGATCTCAAGAGACATAGCGGCAAAGATGCAGAAGATCAGCCTATCCCTCTGCATGCGGATTTGAGCATGGATGCTAGTATCTTGAGTCCCGGCAAGAGCGTCACTCACGATATAGTTGCGGACGGAAAGAGAAATGTGTTTGTGCATCTTGTCATGGGGGGTAGGACACAGCCGAAATCTGGAGGTGCAAAGATCAAGGTCGGTGGTGTGGAGTTGGGTGAGGGTGATGGCGCGTACATTACCAACGCCACTGGGCCAGGAAAGATTGAGGTTGAGAGCGTGGGCGACAAGCCCGCAGAGTTTTTGCTGTTCGATATGGGTATGTAAGAGGCGGATGAAGTTGTCTGTAGTTTCTATAGCGTCTGCATCACTTCCAATATCGAAACCTCTGTGTCGGATCAAAAACAGCATATTCCTCACATACAGCCCTGGTCACCTGGTACATGATCATATCGCCCGCACCGCTATAGACAAGCAACTCGAACGGTAGCAGCGGTAGTACGTTATGCTTTTCAGTTGTCTGTGTTGTCCTTTCGCCAAGATTCTCTAGATATTCTTTGCTTGCTAATTTTCACGCAGTAAGGACGAGAACACACTACTTCCCTCCTTGCCCACTATAGCTTTGTTCGAGATGCACAAGATTCAGTAGGAAGGAGCGATCGGGTCAAGATACAACAAGAAGAAGACTTTTTATGCACAGCATACAAGGAGAGGAACGATACAACCAACACAAAAGAGGTAGGAGCGACCCAGGCAAGGAGCAACGTAGGCCAGAAAGTGGAAGGAGCGATCTGAACCAAAGCATGAAAAGGAAGGTGTAAATGTAATCGAGATTCAGAGTAGAATTGATAATCGAAAGACTCAATGAGTCATAATCAAGAAAGTGACGAATCTGTATCGCAAAGCAAAGAAAGGCTCTTTAGCAAAAAATTGTGCCATAGAAGAAGAGAAGGTGTGGTCAAAAGACCTCAGAGAATGGAAACCCCATGCTCTTTCAATCGGCTCGAAGAAAGGAACCTGATAAACAACGCCTCGCCTAGTGAAGAAGTATAATGAAAACCCGGCCCATATTCACAAAATGTCCTCCCATATTGATCATAACATCACTCAAGTAGTCTTGCTTGTTTCTGCCTCTTCTTCGGCATCTCTCTTCTCCAAGGCTTCTCGCTCCCAATCCTGGATCTGGAGGCCATAGTTTGATGGCTTGCGCTGAGCACCAGCCTCTGCAGCCTCTTCCTTGGCTTCCTCCTTGTCCTTTTCTTTCAGTAGCTGTCTGGCACGAATGCTTTTCGCACCGTCACTAACGCTTCTCAAACTGGCTTCATCCGCATTGACGACACGCAGACGAGCTTTGGGGACTGTAAACATGACTTGGACATCGCGGTTAGCGGCTGCCTCTTCGATATCCCAGTCTTCGCGTTCGTCTTCGGGTGTCTGTTTCTCGGTTTCTTCTTTTGAGGCTGACGTTTCAGGTACGTCGCCCCAATCACCGGTATCAGGGTCATCGCGGTAGGGCTGCCAACGAGGATCGTTCTCGTTACCTTCCCAATCACGCTTGCCGCGTCTAGTACCCAGGAACTGCGAACTGTCACTGGCAGCACGACGAGGAGCAGATGTTGACATGGATGATCCAGTACGTGCATGGCCTTTGACAGGGCTGTTGCTGCGATCGCGGTATTGTTGAGTAGGAAGTGGCACCATAGGAGCGCCAACACGTCTTTGAGCGTGCGAGGCGCTCATGCTGCGGTCACCGCTGAACACTTGACGGATACTGCCCATCCATCCACGGCGGCGAGGCGGAAGAGGAGGTGTCTTTCCGACGGCGGCTGCTATGATCTCTGTCGAGGTCGGTCGAACTCTATACTCGAGCGGTGCTGTGGGTTGGCTGTCGGGCGTGTTTCCAAGGAGGGCTTCACCTTGAGCGATCAGTTGACCGAAGGTTGTACATTGAGTTGAGGTGGAGTCGGGGTTTCTCTCTAATCCGGGACGTAGGCTAGGCGGATGCAAGCTGTTTAACTGTTTGGGTCTGTTCTCCCAGTATGCAGGAGACATACTGCGCGACAAGGCAGATGCGCTGGGTGCTTGCGATGGCGTAATTGACGGATGACCCGACAAACCAAAGAAGAGTCCTGAGCGAGTTGAAGATGTGCGAGCAACAGAGCGACCGTTACTCGAGAGACCTGAGCGATCGGAGTTTTCACTCAATCCAGACGAAGTTCTCTCATCGATCTTGTCAGGGGAGCTAGACCTACTGGCAGGGTAGGGAGAAATCGTACGCCTCAGAGATGCAGCATATGAGTTGGTCCAGTGGTTGATCCAGCTACTGACTTGGTCCGTTCCGTTCGTTGTGCTCGTCATTACGCTAGTGTTCGTAGGTTGCCTATGAATGGGAGAGCCCTGAGAGCCTTCTGCTGCAGAACCGAGCTCCGGAGTAACCGGATGGCTACGCAGAGGGTTAGGAAGAGGATCTTTGAAAGGATCTTGCTCGCTACTCTTGAGACCAATCATATTTCCGAGACCTCTGAATGAGCGGTTACTATGTCTTGATGATAGTCTTTCTTCCTCTTCGTCTCTCTCTTGGATTGGGTGGATATTACCACTGGTCCTGCTGATTCTGCCGTCATCATAGCGAGGAGCGGCATGGTACTGGTATTGACTGCGGGTCAAGCCATTCTTTCGGAGGCCTCTTGTTGGGCTAGGAGCATTGATGGACAGACCAGATCTCTCAACGTCGTGGTTGCCTTCTTTGATTTGAGCAGGGCTATTCTCGACACCATGTGGTGTCCAAGTAGTGAAGCCATCATGCATATCCTCGTCCTTCTCTTGCCAGTTGCCACCAGAGGCATAGTCACCGTGGTAGGGCTCGTAGGTAGTGCTGCTACGATAAGGCTCGTAATCGGTATTGCCGAACCAAGCTTGCTCATAGCCATTACCTCCATTCTTGTACAAACGTTCTCTGTCGCTTTCGCGGGCTTCGCGTCTTTGTTTCAGATGGCGCTTGTACCAGAAGTAGAAGACGATGAGAAGACCGACAACGATTGCTCCAATAGCCAAACCGACACCAAGACCAGCTTTCTGAGATGTCGTAGTGAGTGCTCCTTTGTTCTGGTCTTGTGCAGATGTACCACTATCCGATGTGACTGCAGGCGGCGGGCTGTACGACTGTATCCAGGACCTCGAGGTGACGTTGTAGAAGAAAGTTTGTGAGTTCGACGAAGGCACTGAACGACGTAGGAAACGCTTGGATGATGTTGTGGGAATGTTGTTACCACCCATGATCATCATGACTCCACCAGGAAGCATGGCTGCACCGTGTCCGTAGATACCGGCCCCAGACAGACCAGAAGCTGTTTGGAGAGGTACTGACCACTCCCAATCGCCGTCACCTCCATAACCTGAGCCAAGTTCTAGCACGGCTAATTGAGGTGAGGCGGCGTTTGTGACATCCCCGACCCATCCACCAAACACAACCAAGCTCTTGCCGTCTTCAGTCAAAACTGCCGTATGCCCAGATCGTGGTTCAACCGAAGTGACAGCCCCTTTGACTGTGGAATCCGCGTTTGGGGTCGAAGGTTGATCCACAGATTGATAAGTCCAGGTCTCTTCCGGAAGCGAAAACACAGCTACCGAGGACATGTTGATGAAAGCAGCTCCGGTGTGACCTCCCACTAACACAAAGCTTTGACGTGCACTTTGAGTGCTGCTAGAGTTGTCTGAGAATGCAGGGGCCAAGGGAGTCATGCTGAAGCCAGCCTCAGCGACGGGTGGCCCTTTGCTTGATAGAAATGCAGAAGTGTAAGCAACCTGCTTCGAGCTGTCCAGTTCGGGAGAGAAGGTCATCATCTGGTTGGTGTAATTTGCTGCAGACATCCAGGTTTCGTCGGTAGCGTTGGCCAATGGACACATTCCTCCAAACACATATAAACTTGTCGTAGAAGCATTGCCTTTGGCCAAGTCAGAGAATGCAATGCCTGAGCTTAGAAAGTCAGGTCCGTGGATCTTGTTCCTTGCAGCTGCTGCAGGCGTGCTTTGTAACCATGTTCCATTGCCATTCTTGCCATGTATAGCTGGGATAAATGTCCAAACCTCCGGAGCATCGCCATCTGTGGAGCAGTCGCCAGCGACGACGGTTATGTTCTGTTCGCTGCCCTTCAGTGGTGTATATGCACGATTCGATGTCGCTTCCAGAAACGGCAGGGAGTCGTAGAGCGTTGTTAAGGAGAGTTTTGAAGCCTCAAGTGATTTGGTGAGGTCGAGCGAAAGTAGGCTGGCTTGGCCATTGGCCTTGGGTTGTAGAATATATGCGTAGGATACCGTCTGGTCGTCTTCATCGTTCTGCTCGGGTATCACAATATGTGTTGGGTTGTATGGCAGATCCAGTGCTGAAACTCGAGCGGCTGCCAGGGTAAGAAGTCCAACTACCGGTATCCGCCTTGAGAGGGCCGGTCTTGACATCTTTTCGAGACAGGATATCACAAGTCAGGTCCCTCAATCCATATACATTGTTAGAGTCGTGGTGGCCGCTTGTTTCAGTCGATCGGTCGCGGGTGCAATGGTTCACAGAATGAGCGGACGCGGAAGTGCCAGATAGTAGTGTTGTGGCGAGACAAGGAGTGGCTAGGTAGGTACCTTCAAGGTAAATAGATGGCGGGGATCGAGACAAAGGAAGAAACCCAATCAATCGAGGGCCACAGGGCTCTTCTGCAGCTGAACAAGGGCCACGCACATGCGACCGCCCGGTCATTCCGGTCCTCAGAGTAAACAAAGCTCGTCACGCAACATATCCACACCCACGTAGTAAACGAAAGGCACCAGCCACCGTTCGATACCAACGTCTGGGCCCTGTTTTAGTGACCCGTCGCTCGAGCAGCAGCGAAAAGGCATGCTTGGATAGATTGGAGCCACAGCTCCTTCGACCAAGTGTGGCGCCTTCCCATACCCTTGAGAAAGTTTGTTGATCGAGTTGCCAGAGCAACCCCCAAATCCGAACCCTTCTTTCGCTAGCTTCTGCCCCTCCAACATGATTTTATTCGACCGTCTCCGCCCTCGACGCGATCTTGGCATTGCGACAGTCATCCCGTCAGGCTGAGATCTGTAGGGAAAGGCTATGTTCAAGTACGAGGTTATCCACCCTGGTTCATGACGATAAGAGTCGAGGGCTCGACGCTTGCTTGCAGCCGACCAGCCACCTCGGACTCGTCGGCTGTGTCATCATATGTTTCTTGATTCTAGAGCAGTGCCAAGTGTTGCAGACTCATCACATTCTACAACTGTAGGACCAAACTGTTGTATATAGTACTCGGTTGCAATGTCTTAACAAGTCGTTCCGAGACGAAAAGCCGGCCGCTCAACCACGAAGATAAGACGAGCCGTTGCAAACATTCATGGCATACCGCAATCTCAGAGCTGTAGCAACCACCGTTAATATATAAGGGATCACGAGCAATTGAACGATCAACGATAGCAGAATGACGAGATGACTTGTCTCGAAACGAAAAATTTTGACCTGCTAATTACGAAAGTAATGCCTAGCGATTGGCGATGGCGATATTTCTCTCGTCTCCAGCAATGTCCCTAGTATAACACAGCTCGTGTCCTCCCAATAACGCCGTTTTTGCAGAAAAGCCAGAATAAGTGCCCTTCCTTGTGCCAGCGAAAACTCCTTCCATGCAAGTTCATGCGCGTTCGTTTCGTGCGTAAATCAATGATCCGTCCCTTCCCAGATGACGCCTCGCTACACATGTACATTTCTCAGAAACTCAATTATATGTCTCCTGCGTTGTTGATGCGTCTCTTGATCTGCTCAAACGAGGAGAAGAAGATCATGTTGATGAGAGCAGAGCGTCCGACACTGACTCCCAGGCCNNTGCCTTTGTTAGTTCATAGTCTTGCAAAATCGTCTTTGTTCCACATACCTCTGTAGGAGCCTGGCTGGAAGAACTTGATATCAGGACGCGAGACTTGAGCACGACCTGTCTCCAGCTGACGCTTTTGGAACTGGGTCTTGACGACGTCGATAGGGTAGATCTGCAAGTTCATTAGCAGTGAATTCATAATGTCCAGACTAAAGTAACCTACCAGTACCCAACTGACGATTCCACAGGTTGCGCCAGCAAGAGCGACGGCAGCAGGTTCGGCAGGCCCATTTCCGCGTCCATTCGAGAGAATCTGCTTGACAGTCTCGTAGGTGCCGAAGTATATAGCGGTGCCGATGGTGTCGCGCACTGTGTACCGCTATATTAGCGATTGCTTGAGATACCGGACTATGCGCTGTTAGGTCTTACCAAGGTGGAGGCGATAACCGCAGTACAAGCCGCGGATACCACGCTCACGGACAAGCTGTTGAGCAGTCCTGAAGGCGCCAGTGCGAAGATCGCTGATAGGCTGAGGGCGATCGGAGGGGTTCGCTTCTCTCTTCATCTTACCAGCAAGCTGGGCATTGAGCTTGATGAGTTCGAATGGNNGCCTGTTCTTGAGTCAGTAACTGTCCAACGACACGGTCGAGATGGACGCACAGGAAACAAAGGTAATGACAGCTCCAGCAGTGGCTCCGGCACTGCTAAAGCAGGCAATGGTTGACAGAGTAGGGTACTGTCCTTTCTTGTTGGCCAAGTCGAGAGGAGATTCTCCGGTCATGCGGGTCATGTAATGGTCAATCACGTGCTTAGAGCGTTGATACAGCCCGAACGAGATGGTGCGAACCAGGGTCACACTGGCCATGGGTGTGCCAACACCNNTGAGAGTTGAGGTTAGCGGATGTATGATCAATGCTCAGCATACACAAGGCATACCTCTCCAGAATCCGCGCAAACCTTCAACGTGGTAGGCATCCTTGACAGTTGCAAGGAAGCGGGTGTCGTAGCNTTGGGTTCGGTCAGCAGTGCTATGCAAAACGATTGTGACGCCTACTCACGACTGCATGCGGACTTTGGCGAAGTCGAGAGGGAACTGCACAAGAGTCGTTAGCGTCGAGGCAGGCCAGAACATGGACTATGCGACAGGGCATACCGCAATGAAGGTCGAGAGGACACTGGACGACATGGAAGCCAGCTCGGTCTTCCACTTCTTAGCCCATCTCTTGACATCGTCATTGGCTTCATAGTCCAGAATGCCAAATCTGTGTGGCTGAGCAGGCTGCTGCTGCTGCTCGTTGTGTGCCTTGTCCGAGTCAGAGTTGGGATCTCTCATGCTGGGTGATGTGCGGTCCAAGTGGTTCGCGGTAGAGTTGTTGCTGAAGACAAGAGTGTCTTTCAGTTCGCGCGCTTTTGAACCAGCGGCGAGCTGCGCTCCATTGGCTCTCGGCGAATTCGACGACTAAGCAAGGCAACGATATACGGGGTTCTCGGCGCTCTTCCAAGACCTCCACGAGCTGCCACCAGGACGAACAAGACTCTCCGTTCGCTCGTGAGCGAGTCTACTGGGTGATATACGGGGACCAGGCGCAGGTCAAGTTACAGACGACGATTCGGGCGGGCACGCCGTCGCCTGTCGAGGACGGATCTTTGGTACGACTATTCGGCAGGAGCAGGATGAGTGATATTTCGACACAATCAGCGACGGCGGCGTGGGCAGAAAGGCAGGATAGAAGTTGACTTTTGTAACAGCAAAGAGCGTGAATTACTGTACTGACGCTTGATTGGCCTGTACCCCGCGCCGCACCTTCTCTGAAGCCACCCCAAGAGCACGTCGCTTAGAGTTACTGCTGTAGACATCACGCGGCTGCTTTTGCTTTTGCAGAAACATGTGAAAGAGCGTGACACTAGCATGGCCTGCTACCGTCAATGCCATTCCTGAACCGTATATTACATTTCTGCATGTCGAGTCGTCATTATCAGCACTCCCATCCACGCCCAGCCGAGACTCTGGAGAGCTCGCTTACATTCATTCAGTTCCTCGGTCGGGATACTCGAGTACAAAGCGAGCTTCTCCTATCAAACGCGAGTATTAAGCCATCATAGCAATACCATGCCAGCTCCCGAGAGGAGAGCCAAGCTCAGAAGGGCCCATCCGCATGCTCTAGCATGTTCTGCCTCATTAGGCGCTCCCTTGTCAACGTTACTCTGTCCGCTGGCCATGGCTGTACAGCTGGTTCCACAGCCATAGCCGGATGGACAACATCCTCCACCCACACTGGCTGCGCAACTGAACCAGCCATTAGCACAATTTCCAGTCGGAGCTGCAGAGCTCGCGCCGCTAGGAGCCATCACCGTCAGTCCAGAGTTGGTGACCACAGCCGTGCTTTCAGAAGTAGGACAACTCGTCATGTCGCAATTTCTTCCTACTCGACAACATCCGCCGAGATAATATGCGCTGCACATATAAAATCCGGTCGGGCAGCCAGAATAGCTGACAGTACTGGATGCAGAGGTAGTCCTGCGAGTTGCGGTGCTTGTCGACAATGTCGAGGTCGAAACTGGTCCAGAGCCACTCGTTGGCAGGACAGGTGGAGCAGCCGTTGATAGCGGTGGACAGGTCAGAGAGCCACAGGCTCGATCAGTATGGCAGCAACCGCCTCCAAGGCTTGCTGGGCATGTTTGAAACCCAGGACTGCAGGTCAATGGACCTTGCCCTGAGGATGAAGGACTGATCGGCGTCGAAGGGACCAACGATGTTGTCGACACACTTGAGAGTTGGAAGGACGATTGTCGTTTGAACAATCGTCGTCGNNTCAAAGCGTTTCCAGATGTTGTAATGACCAAGGTGGTTGTCGAGGTGCAGACCGAAGCTGTATTGGGGCCAGAACTCGCTGGGATGACGAAGGTTTGTGTGGTTGTGCTATCAGACAACGTTGACCATGAAGCACCTGTAGTCACGGTGACTATTGGCAGCGTAGTGGTAGTTGTAGCGGTCGATGCATATACNNGCCTAGATACGTTATCAGTCGAATGGGCTTCATGGTAAATTCGTCTAGTCAGCTCACATCCGATACCCTGGCAGGCATATTCAGGGATGCAACAACCACCATTGTCGTTTTCACACTGAGTGTATCCCGCAGCGGTATCACATGATCCAATCTGCCCTCCACAGCTCGCACCATTCGGACAACAGCCTATCGTTGCTCCATCATTTTCCGGGACGGAGATGCAGGTTTCGCCAGTAGCACAGCAGCTGTTGGGGAACCCAACTGATTCACAGCTGTTAGTTCCAGTTGGGCATTGATATGCCCTTTCAGATAAGGTACGACCGAATAATCTGTGATTAGGAACAAATTGTTGAGACTCTGCATGCAAGAGCAGCGGTGGGAGCAATTCTCCAACGCTGGAGATATTCGTCAACAGTGCTGCAGAGCCGACCGAGCGTCGCGCATGTAGAGATTTATCCATCTCAATGGAAGCGAATGTCTGCTCATCAAATTGCCAGTAGTCCAAGAAGAACTTTTCGCCTTCATCGTCGCTCATCTTTCGCATGCCAGATGGTGTAGCCATGTTGAGTTTTTGCTGTATCTTAAAGTCTCGCCTAACATGGTGTTCATGTTCGGGATAATACTTCTGACCTGGCGGCAAATTGTAAGGCCAGTCATGACTGTAGACAGGGGTCGCAAAGATGATAGCGAACAAAGTGGCAGATAAGACGAGGAGCCCTGTCACTGTATCACGCATTTGTGCTTGGAGTGAGGGTGTCGCGTAAGCTCAAGACTGGGCGTCACATCAAAGTGGGAGGGACAACAGTGAATAGGATGAGGAATGGCTATCGTAATGGCCAGGTCGCGGTCGAGCAAATACGCAAGTTCAGACCGAAAGGAAAATAGATTGCCATTGCAAGTTATACTTAGCGTTGCCAGAGCTACAGTGCAGCAAGCAGGATGCTGGCGTGCATGAGCGACAAGTTGCAAGTGAGAAGGGAACCTGGAGTTGGCTTGCTCAAGCGTGGCTGGTGACATGTGGCTGACTCTGCCAAGAGAAACATCGTCGCTTGTCCGCACTCCGGAGAAATCCGCCGCCGCACCAGACGCACTCGAATTCGCAAAGCCTTCATTTGAATCTCTCGTTCGCGACCGACCTGTGATATCGACATCCACCGACATCGACAACCGGTAGGTGCTATTCCATATCCTCCTCGAGCCCGTCAGCAGCACAATCGTCATCGCCCTCTTCGCCGCATACAACGACTGCTCTCCTCGAATCGCGCGCGCTCGCCACTTCACACCTCAAACCTCTCGAACCCATCCACTAACACACGTCGTCTGCAGCAATCATGGGTAAAGGAAAGCCAAGAGGTCTCAACGCCGCCCGCAAGCTCCAGAACACCCGCCGTGAGGGTCGTTGGGCCGACCTGAACTACAAGAAGCGTCTTCTCGGTACCGCCTACAAGTCCTCTCCCTTCGGTGGTTCGTCGCACGCCAAGGGCATCGTCCTTGAGAAGGTCGGTGTCGAGGCCAAGCAGCCCAACTCGGCCATTCGCAAGTGTGTCCGTGTCCAGCTCATCAAGAACGGCAAGAAGGTCACCGCTTTCGGTACGTGACCCTACAGGAAGAAGCGCACACAAGACGAACAAGCCATTCTAATATCTAACCCCACCNNAGTCCCCAACGATGGTTGCTTGAACTTCGTCGACGAGAACGACGAGGTCCTTCTCGCCGGTTTCGGTCGCAAGGGCAAGGCCAAGGGTGATATTCCCGGTGTCCGTTTCAAGGTCGTCAAGGTCTCCGGTGTCGGTCTCTCCGCTCTGTGGAAGGAGAAGAAGGAGAAGCCCAGATCGTAAACAACTCGTCTCTGCGTTGTACGACTCTTACGCTTTCTTCTATTCGCGCGGGCGGAAATCAAGCAACAACAAAAGATTCTCTTTTCACATCACACTCGAGTGTCAACATCATCATGCTTGCGGGTTGATCGGCTTTGGCGAAAATGGGATTTCTGCGAACTCAAAAATGAAAAACAGTTTCCAAAAACACCCAACAACAACGTCTTCTTCCCGCTGCATGGGAGCGTCTTTTTGTCCGCTCTGCTGCTGCTGCTACTCCCTCTCTTTTTGCTTCTGGCATCAGATCATACGCAGCGTCTTGTGACATAGTTTACGGAATGCACTTGTCCAGCTCTGGCTGATGAACGAAAGATACCCGCATTTTGTCTACTCTTTTACTTGCCACTCCTTGATTTGACAGTCAATGTGCATTTCTCTGACCTCCAGCATTATTTTCTAACCGACACAGCATAACACCCTTGTCTACAGGTTGACACCTCTTTCCTTGTCCTCTCCTCTGTTCCTCTCTTCTTTCCTTACACCCCATTCACTTTGCCACACTCTGGACTCCGCCCATCTCCCTGTGGCCTTGTCCAATTTTAAGTGCAAAGAAGATCGACTCTTGTCCTACTACTCACCGGCATGTCTCCTCCTTCGGGAGCGTGGGCATATCGGTCCATGTTTAAGGCCAACATGCCTTACGTTTCTCCAAACCTCCTTAAATATAATGCAAAAGATGTTTTACTTGACAATCGATCCATTCACAGTACGCGTTTATTTGTTGTTGCTTCGTCTGTTCCTTTTGACACTAAGCTCTCAATGATGTATGGATGTCGTACTGAAATATATACAATCTTCTCATCTCTACTTGCTTTCTTTCTTCCTGTCTTTTAGTCCTTCAACACCTTGGCCCCAGGCACCGGCCTTCTTGCCCCATTTCATCGTGCCCCAGATATGCGTCCAAGAAAACTTTGGCGGTGGCTCTTCAGATCTTCTGAAAGGGCTTGCTCCATGTCTGAACAGGACTTCATCATTGACTTCATCTACACCTCTTGAAGCTCCCATCCTCGCATCCCCTGCCACTCCTTCTGTGAATGCAGCTGATCCCTGCGCAGTGGGGGTCAGCGAAGGAGCACCAACCTCCCAAGACCGAATGGATAGAGGTAAAGGTTTATGCCATCCTTCTTCTGTCCTTTGCCACCATTTTCTGCCACACATCTCCCAGAGTCGCGATTGAGCGCGCCGGTAAGCAAAGCGTTCGTCTTCACCTGTGAAACTCCTCACATTGCTGAAATCGGGAGAGTTTCCTTGGCGCAGTCCTCGCATTCTGAAATCGTCGTCTGGGTCTTTGGGACCGTGTTCACGTTCTGAAATACGTCTGATGCGGTTTGGTGGATCGTCTTCTAGGGAGTCTGCAGCGAGGAGGTTCTCAAAGCGTGAGTGGGTGTAGTCAGGTTCAGGGGCGGATTCGCGGTAATCGGGGTTGGAAGAGAGGATGTTGGGGCGAAAAGGGGCGGTGGCGTCTTGGTATGCTTCTGCAAAGGTTTCGGCGTAGACGGCGTCTTGGTTTACTCCTTCGCCATCCTTCTTCTCGGGAAAGAAGATTTCGTCGGGGCCGGCGGAGGCGTGGGTGATGAGGAGTTTGCAGCGGGCTTCGTAGAGGGCGTCGAGGAGAGTTATAAAGCGGCGGGCTTCGTTCTTTTGGAGCAGAGAGAGGATGGGCACGTCAGAGAGGATGATGGTGTGGTAGGTGGAGGCGAGGGTGATGTAGTCGGCGGGACCTAGATTGGAGGCACAGAGTTCGGAGAAGGTCCAGGAGGATATGCCGTTGTGGGATCGTGGGATGGGGATGTTGCGGCCATAGACGCGTATGCTGGAAGTTGTCCATTCGATTGAAGAGGCTGCTGTGCCTAGGAGAGTTTGTTCGGCTTCTGCGACTTTGGCTTTGAAGGTTGTTTGGTCTTGTTCTGAAGCTGTTGGGCCTGGGTTTATCAAGAAGTAGGTGGGAGCTCTTATGGCTTCGTTTGGCGTCTCTGGCTCTTGCTTTGCGATTTCCTCTGGGATGCCAGATATAGCAGAATCACTTTCAAACGCTTCCGCATCTGTAACATCTTCAAATCGATCTTCCTCAGCAATAGGAGGAGGTGCCTGAGAGCTGGCTTCGTATCTGCGATAGTCTTTGCCGTTGCTCATCTCCCAAATCTCGCAACGAGCCTTGAGTACCTCGAGGAAGCCAGCAAATTCACCCTGACCAGCAAACATGTTTTCACTTCTGCCTTTGGTAGCTCTTCCCATGCCCAGTCTCTGAGTCAAGCTCTGTAAGCGTGAAGGAGGTGGGAAAGCCATACCAGCAGCTTTGTGCAGTTCTTCAGGCATTCGGTTGCTTGTTGCGATGAGCACACCACCAAGCTGAAAGAATGAAGTCATCAAGTTGGTCATGATCTTCGAAGCGGCCCTATCTGGTAGTTGGAATTCGTCGAGAAAGAGAATGGGTGAAGTATTGATCATATCACGAGCGAGCCAGAGTAGTGAATGCTCTTCCACATCAGCACCAGCCGCTTGGGGCAATCTAGTCAATCGGTTCCGCCTCAGCTGCTCCAGTTTGGCAAAGGTATCGAGCATGAATGTGTTGAAGTGCCAGCGAGCCTTCTTCCTGTTTGGTAGACAGTCGGCGAAGAGATCGATGAGCATACTTTTGCCTGTGCCTACTTCACCATGAAGCATGAGGCCTCGAGGCGAGTCGAGGTTCATGGCGGCTTCATGGCTAGTGAGGACTTTGGTCAGAGCTAGACTGTCTCGTTTCTCTCTTTGAGCAATGAGATTTTGCCAGACTCCTCGTTTCTGTGGATCTGGTTCTACATTTGTGTTTACTGAAGGACCCACGGCGCGGGTTATCTGATCGAGTTTGTGCTTGTATTCAATGGTTGGTTCATAGTCTTTTAGACGGTCGTATAGTTTTTGCAGATGAATTGNCTATAAGAGGTTGGTATGCGAGTATTCGTGTCAAGGTCTCGATGACTTACCAAGTCTATGTTGTGCAGGGTCCTGAGTTATACGATTGGTTGCGAGCAGGGCTCGGTACAAGACCAGAGGATTGGTGATGGCAACACCAGTGTTTGGTATAGAAGACAACGACATCGATAAGAGACACAAGACATATGAAAGAAAAAGAACCTAACTTGTCAAGATATCAGAACAGATAGAAGAATAGAAAGATGTTGCACGATCTCGAGAGTGAATCGAGTCTAGACGCGAATCGACGTCACCCTCGTTGCGGCGGCGCACGAGCAGTCTAGAGCCTCATGAGCGACACATTAACAATTCATGAGATGTCACGATGGACGCTGAACAGTTCACGCCGGCGCAACTGTCCTTCTTCTCCATCTACAGCCCGCCGCTAGGACCGACAGACGAGACATTCGGAGACCAGGTCGTCTTCTACTATTCGCGATCAGCCCGCGATGGACGCACAATAGCCAAACCAACGGCCGACGAGACACGACTGAACGAGAATGAGAAGCTACGACAGATTGGCCTTGCCCAAGGGATGGCAGGTTTTGCCAGGTACTATTGCTTCTTGCTCGACCACATGTGTATTCGTGTTAAACATGGCCANAGGAACTTTTCCGACGGCGAGCCCATCGAAGCCGTCGAGACTGAGAAGTCGCGCATCTTGATGCACGAGCTGGAGAAGGACTGGTGGGTCCTGGCCGTACGTTCTTCTTGTACCGATCTAGGCATCTGTATTGACTTCAAGCAGTCCGTCGATCTCACACGTCTCCCGTCTTCCAACAAAGAGCACGAATACGAGTACTCGTCGCGAGAGGTCAGCCCGGCGCCGCTCCTCCTACAACAGGTCCTGACCGCCTACCGCGTCTTCACACTACACCATGGCCCCTCTCTCAGCGACATGTATGTCAAGCTCACAAAAGATAAATTCTCGGCCACCCTCGATCGCTTCTGGTCCCGCTTCTGCCACAATTGGGACGTCCTGCTACACGGCAACCCCGCCATCGACATCTTTGGAGGCTTGAAGCTTGCTGCAGGAGGTGAATTGGGCTATGGTGTGGGCGAGGAAGACTGGGGCAGTGGAGACCGAGAGGTGCTTGAAGACTTGGTACACCGTACCGAAGGCTTGGTCGACTTGCTTGTCCATCGTTTCGGTGAAGCTGCTCCACCAGAGGACGACTACATCAACGATGATCCCTCTCAATACACTCTTCACGATGCTCGTCAGGGTCTTCCCTGGCTAGGCTGTGGAACCGAGCCCCAAGCTCCTGACGGCCTCATCTTCAGTGGTGTGGGCGCCATCACCCGTCCTTCAATCCGTGACATCTCCACCTGGGTCCGCGATATCTATGCCTACGGCGAGCACGCTTACGGCGTAAAGGATAATCCACATCGACAGCGCCGTAAGAGACGCAGGCGTCAACCCATAAACGACCCGGAACCAGAACCTGAGACTCCGCCTGCCACAGAAGAGGAGCTCAAAAACAAGGCCATAGATCGATTGAAAGGCATCAAGCTCCCGCCAGATCCTCGCCCGCAGATGCATGACAGAGTCGCCTCTCATGATCACGCTACCGGTACTCCGGGCACTCAGGTTGCTTCGCACCCTGGCATCCCTCCTCCCATTGTCAACGCTGTCGAAGCCTCGCTTGATCGAGCCAGTGCTTCGGCCGATTCTCACGCTTCCAACCAACCGTCGCCATCCTCTGAACAATCGTCAAACTGGAATCTCGGAAGCTCTGACAAGTGGGTTAAGTATCTCACTTTTGGTTTGGCATCGGGAGGCAAACGATCAGAATCCCCAAAGCGACCAGAAGGCCCACGTCGTAGTTCGACGTCTAGTTCAAAGACCGTCAAGGGTGTTTCTTTCCCAAAATCCAAAGACGACAAGGATGAACCCCCAATGCAGCACCTAGAACCCAATCCGGACGGCTATCAAGCAATGGCTGCCCTGCAACGCCAACGCCGACAAGAAAACAAGGGCCATTTCCTCATCGGCTACCTCGGCGACCTCGAACGCGAGCCGACAGAGACCGACGATGACAGCGATACCACAATCGGCGGCAGCGAAATTCCAGAGGCCGAGCGCAACCTTTTACGTACTGTAAAGGTCGAACTCACAGACAAGGGAGACACTGCCAATGACGACTTGGACTCGCGAGACAGTTTTGTCAACAACGATACTTCGTCACGGTTGCGCGTGTTGGTATATGTCCATCGCCCTTTTATCCATGTGTTTTTGTTTGAGCAGAGGACGCCTTCGCTCAGCATCATGGGCTTCTACCGCGAATTACACAAACACCTGCGTCCACTGCACAGATCCCTACTCAACAGCACATCGGCGCAAAAAGTGGCGGAACGGATAGCAGCAGCACACACTTCGCCGCCCGAGCCCATGTCCATAAACCCGCAGAACCCTCCTTATGCACCGCCCCGCAACAGCCCTGTCTTTGACCTCGTCTACGACCCCATAAACCTCTCTTGCCACACTTCTTTGCCCAATATCCCCGAGCCAGGGCAAGTTATACCTTATGGCGGCGGCATCAGCACCACCAGCTCAGGCAAAGATGGTCCACCCCAATGGACACGACTCGAAGCCCTCAACGTGCACAGCCATATCCTCTTTACTCTGCAGCACTCCCTCCGCTCACCCCAAGAAACCGAACGCACCTCCAAGACCTCGCGGCATTGGTGGGTAGTCTGGCTACGCGTACCCCAACCCGGCGAGGGCGATGGCAAACACCCTCGTCCCGAGTATTGCAGAACCGCGTTTTTGGTTCGCAAAGCTAGGGATCATGTTGTCGAGCGCAGGAATATTAGTGCCAAGGGTATGGCGAGCAGGATGAGTAGTGGCATGTATAATCTTGTTGGTGCCAGAGGNGGTAACGGTGCAGAGAGTAGTGATGATGCTGCTGGGAATGGATGGGGTAGTGCTGCCGCCTTGGCTGGAGGCATTGGCATTGATGCTAGGAAGTATGTTGAGAATCTGCTGAGTTTGAATCGGTAGACCAGATGCGGAGGATACGTAATAGACAGTCAATGATAGGCAGTCGGTTGGCTTTTTTACTTCTGTGCTGCTGTTCTTGATGGTCGCGATGGTATTTTTACCAAGTCATCGTGGTAAGCAGTATCACCCTGTCCATAAAATAGCAAGGCCCTCGATACATCCATATGATGGCATAGAGCATCTTCCAATACACAATAGCTCGTACAACTGCTCTAAATCACTTCGAGAAGCTGTGTGCTTACCATTTACTTGACAAGAAGGTTGTTGTCGTCGAAATACATTTTGTGTAATTCGCTTCGTGATGTGACGATGAATTCACCAGACCATGTACATGAGAAGTAGTGATCAAACCCACACTCCACATAACCCATGGCCACAGAGAGAAAGAACGACGACAAGGCCGTGAAGACGTCAAAGCAAAGGACGAGTGGTAAAGTGGAACAGGTCTTCTTCATGCAAAAATCCTTGGTGAAGAGCCATACTCAGTCAAGCACATTAAAGTCACAATTTTGTTCAGAGGACACGGCAAGATTCAATGGACATTTCTCTTTAGACATTTATGATATACTCTGTCTTCATATTTGCAAGTATCTCAATAAGGTGCAATCCTCACTCGCACTCTCCAAAAAGAGAAAACACCAATGTCTAGCCCAGAAAAATGAAAGCCCGAAAAAAAAAACAGGCTAGGAGAAACAGAAAAAGCGCATACAGAAACAGGAGAAAATACAACTTTCTGTCTGTCGATAGAAAAAACAACAAAAACATTTCCATCTACGCGTTTCCAGGCTTCTCATCCGTATCAATATGCCACACGATATAATTCGGCAATCCGTACACCCCATAACCTGCACGCTTGGCCATCTTAGCAAATCCTTCCGTCTCGGCTTGGTTCTCGAAGGGGTAGGCCGGGAAGTTGATGCCGGAGCGATGGACGTCTGCCTTGACGAGAATGTTGACGCCGCCGATGCCGTCGAGTGGGATCTCGACGTCCTTGTCTTCGCGCCAGTCGCCCATTTTGGCCATGTAGGTGCGACCGGTGTCGTATTCTTTGTAGCCNNTGTAAATGTGTTAGCATACTGGATATAAGGACCGGTTCGGGATATGCAATGTACCTTCTGCCAGGACTGTGTCCTTGGAGAGGGTGGCGGCTAGCTTGAGGCCCTTCTCGGATTCTTGCCATGAGTTGTAGTCGAATCTTCCTTCAATGTCGCGACCGTTTTCGTAACGGTGGAACCAGACGTNCTGTATCGCTATCAGTAATGTGTTCGAGAGATGGGCTCAGCGCGTAACCGTACTAGGAACAAGGACGTCGCGGTCGTGAGCGATAAAGTCCTCGATGATCTTGGAAGGGCTGTCCTTGATGTCGACGTCGCGCCAGTAAACCCAACTGTGCTCAGGCTTCATGGCAGCACTGAGAAGGTAATTTCTAGCTTTGCCCATGGCCTTTCTGCGAGGACCCTGAGCAGCAAAACCGTGTCTGTCCTCGACGCTCTGGCTCAGGTGAACGCCGAAATCTTTCTGAACGACGGTGGCGCTGCGGAAGGGGATCGAGTCGGGGCGACTTTGGATGCGCTCGAGTTCTTTGGCGAGGACGGCGAGGGTGTCATCGGTGCTGTCGCCGACGAGGAAAGCAAGATCGATCAGTTCGTGGGGATAGGTCAATTGCGAGATAAGATCGAAGTAGTCGTTGATGTAGGGAGCGGCGTCGCGCAGGGGAGTAAGCAGGAGAACGCGCTCCTTGTTGTCAATGGCCTGTCTCGTGCTCTTTATGGGGTTGAGGTCGACGCTGTTGATGGTGGTGTGGTTGATCTCGACGGGAGCATGGTGGTTGAAGATGACGGGGGTCTGTAGGCTTCCGGTCCATAGCATCTGCTCATTGGGTGTCATTTGCATGGGCGACTTGGCCGGACCGAAACAGTAGAACCTGACGGGTCAGCATGAGGTGTTGAGAGACAGCTGGAGGCACAGCGCATAGCGATTGTCGAGGTCTTCGAGGCTACCTGTTGCATGAGAGGGTCGCAGCAGGAGGGTCAAGCTTACTTNTTGCAGGTCTTCGGCGGTGCCTGTGACGCCCCTCCATAACAAGATGATGAGGCCGACTATGGCAACGACCAACAGGAAGCGGGTGCGCGTGAGAAAAGTCCAGATGGCTCTGGTCGGCGGCAGCCTGGCCTGTGCCGCCTTCCAGGACACGCCGTTCTTAGGCAACAGCATGGCGATATGCAATTACGACCACTTCAAACCAGGCGGCCTGTCGCGGGAATGTCGAGATGACAACAACCTTGTCGGCGCTGGCTGGCGCTTCAGGAACCCGGAGAGCGTTGGCTTGCTTGGACTGACTACCTGCTTGGCTTGCCAAGAGCGATTCGTAGGATTGTCGAGGGTTGAGACTGTTGTCGAGCTTCTTTGGATATCAGCTCCTTCCTGTCTTGTGTCCAAGAGTGCGAGTTTTGTCTGCAGTCGTTGCTTCCTGTTGCGACGGGCTGGCCTCTCGTCTCTGCCACAGTCGTACTTTCCTGAAAAGGCAAAGATCAACAACCAACCCCAGCATCCTCTTGCTCAAAGCCACCTAATTATTGCGTACTTCTCCAGCCCCTGAGTCAGACAGGCCTTCACCTTATCGAACAATCCATTCTGCAACATTCGATCATCTATTCATTAATCTTGATACAATATATGCTGTAGACTTGGTAATCATGCTGCCGGAACATTTCTCCTCGTCTCTCTCCAATGATAAAACAATTTTGAAACGCTGCCAAACCCTCATCAAGAACAAAAAACAGGACATAGGGTATTCATCAGAATCATTAAACCATCTCCAAGAAAACAGTGTGCCTTCCCTTCTCACTCAAAACATAGCCCTGTGCTCTCTGGGCTTGCGAAAGAACATTTGTTGCAATACAACTTTGCCAAAGTCATCAGCAATGGGCATGAGCTTGTGCTGGACAATCTGAAGGAGCTCGTCTTGGCTTCGCACGTTCTTCAAGCCCAGCGGCAGATGCGCCTCTTCGATGACCTGGATTCGTGCTGCCTGGCACTTGAATTCATACGTCTTGTCATCGTCGCGTGGGTCTCTCATCACAACTGCAGGCTGTACATCTTCGGGCTCGAATAGATCAAGGATGTCACCAAGCTGTTGCATGCCTTCTACTCCAAAGATTTCTTGCAGAATGAATATGGCGAGAGCATTCAGTTGGGTGCTGGCTTGCAGTAGGTCCTTCTCCTCGTACAGCATGCCACTGCTTTTAGCATTGACAACCGTCTGGATCTTGCGACCTTTCCAGTTCAAGCCACTGACAAGAAGGCGTTGCAGAACCATCCTGGAGCCTCCCTTCTCAGCTCGGAGATGAGTCTGTGCAACATTGTGCCTGGTGTTGGGATCGCTGCTGCCAGTCGCAGATTTTGCAGGTTTGGCCTCGCGAGGCGCATGCGGACGATCAAACCGAGGGAAACGTTGTCGCCCATTACCATCGCTGGACATGAGTGGTGTTTGAACTCCTTCTTTGTAGGGCCGCTGGGCTGCATCAATGCGTCTGTTGTTTTCGAATCCTTGTGCTCTAGCCGTCGTGGACATGTCCTTGCGCTTTGAAGGCTTGGCCTTCTTCTCGACTCTGTAAGACGGGCTCTGTCTTTTGACCGATCTGACAGATAAACTCATTCTGGCCATGGCTGGCGTGACAGACCTGGACGGTGTGGGTGTAGGTGAAAACACAGACTCAGGAGGTGAGACATACAAGGACTCCGTTCTGGTAAGAGGGACTGGGATATATTCACTCCCAAACGAAGGAGCGCGCATGTACTGTAGGTTCGAATGATCGGCGACCTCAGCCATATGCTTGAATGACGGAAGCGGAACAGCCCCGAGACTCGGACTCTGCACAAGGGTAGGTGCTAGGCTCGTGGGTAGACCATTCTGATGATGCAGGAATGAGGGAGTGCTAGTAGTTGACTGTGTACGATCTGTAGCCATATCCTCTCGAGCATATGCGGGACGCGATCTCAGATGTTCGCTGACCTGCCCGACGCGGTCTACAACTCTACGTCTAAAGGCTGTCTGGTTGTGTCTACATTGTGTTAGTTTGAAGAACTACCATGATGCTCGGGTCGATAACTTACGATTCGTACATCATGCTGATTTGCTTGAGCAGAACAAGACGGTATCTTCGCTTCAAGAGAAAGGTAGTGGTGGAGTACGAGAGTCTCGTGTGGTGCTGTGTGGAAAATGACGATCTGTATCTGACTCTTGTCGATGTGGTGGAAAACACGTTCGAACCAAGCAAAAGTCAAACAAAAACCCAACCCAAGAGAAGAACAAGAACGATGAACAGTAGAGCAAAGAACCAAGCCGATTGATACACTGTATTTGCGAATGAAGGATGAAGAATGAAGACGAAAAGGAAGGTATCTACCGACCTGATATACTTACAGAACCTCAGGACATGGTTAGTATTACATCTTCCCCATCATGTCATCTTTCCGTCTGCCGAGCACAGCATGAGCGCTAGTGTTAGTATTGCAGCCACCACCACTCAGGGCAGTTACAGGTTGTGTCCATCAGACTAACAGGAGAAACCTACTGGTGCAGCGGCAGACGCTTGAGCCTATCTGCAGGGACGTCGTTCGCAAACCTGGTCAGCCTCCTTCCAGATCTTCTTTCGGTCACACAACTGTCCAGAAGCCTCCAATTTGGGGCTTGCTGGCATGCGTCATATTCCTTCACCGCTGCTTCTTGGACAACCTACTCTCATTCAACATGCCTGTAGGCTCTGCAGACANAGACATGAAGATCAATGTGANGGCACTCCTCTGCATGCTAATTCTGAATGCNNAAAGTGTCAAGGGGTATGTCGTGTTGAGAGATGCAACTAAGATCGGGACNNAGAAGAAGCCGGATGTNNACGGCGGCAAATATAGCGGGTCTGAACCCATGCCTTAGGCAGATGAGTCCTTTTGATTGGTCTAGGAAACGCAGCGCGATGGAGGTTCGAAGCATACTAGTCGGGCACGAGCGGCTATGACCAAAGCAAANNTCTGACATATCAGAGACTCGAAGGATCAAGGAACNNGACCGAGAAAAGTGGTTAGTTGGTAGCTTCCGAGAAGAACGAGCGCCATCCCGAGAGGTCCGACCAGATCCGTCGTGTTTCGCGCGGTAGTATGTTTACGATAGGCGGTCGTGGATGTGAGGGTCCGGCACCCAGGTTTTGAGTCCCTTGCCGTCGCGGAGCAGATCCGAGAGCCACTGTTGTTGACAATGAGTGGAGAATCCGTGCCGCATCGATCGGAGAATCTCCCTTGAACGTTTGACATCTTGGGGATACACAATACCTACATCTGCAAAGCAAGTGTCATGCGGCGTCCCTTGTCTGCCTGTCATAACAAGCAGAAGGTGTATACCGCTCTTTCAGCCGATATCACCATGCCATTGTTGAACGGATGGCTGCTTCAAGCATCAACCTTGCCATGCGAACGGCAAGCGGAAATGCACACCAGACTGCTTGTGGAACAGCGGGAGCGTGCACTTGTTCCAGAGCATCAGATGAACATGCTCCAAGCCAGCTAGCAACGATGAATATTCACAGGGCGCTCGACGTTGATCAGGATAGAGATAGAGAGACTGAAATGAGTCGTGGAGTATGCAGCAACCTAACCTGGGTACGCGCTGGCACTTGACTGAACAGATGGTCCTCTCAGCAAGCAAAGACCACCAGATTTGCTCCCCCGCTGTAAGGTGCTTACGCTCGGCAAGCTGCAGGTGTAACTTGTCCAATCATTGTGTGGGCATTGGCCAATTCGATATGCGATGAATCTCACTGCCGGAAGTCAATGATCAGTCTGCCAGAGCGGTTGTTGAATGATGAGCAGCTTTGTACGACAATGAGGCGTCAACTGGCGCTTCTAACACACGGTTGTTAGCATCCCGAGAGCCCCGGTTGGGTTTGCAGCCATTCTTTTGCAGAGAGGCGTCCTGCTCATGCACTGTGCCCCACTCCAATATACAAGCTCATGCGCAGCAGATATCTCTTATACGCCTGCTCTTTTCAGTGGGCACGACGGCAGAGCCAGGAGAACGGTTGTACCACGACGTTGAAGACTGATGAAACAGGTTCTGCGCGGCATAACATCAGATGTCCGTTGTCATGAGTCGGCATCTATCCCGCCGTCTCTGCTATATCGAGACGATGCAGACGCAGCGGTTCGTTCGCTGGCCTCGTGTTGAGGGGTCCCCAGCTAGATGCAAAAGTCATGGCATTGGCGCGTCAAGATCGGTACTGAACTGAGGTTGCTTCATCGTGAAAACAGGACCGAGTGAAAAACACAACTTGATCATGACACGAGGTGACGTCCAGAGAAGCTTGGGAGCCTCAGGGTATGGTTCCTCCCTGTGTCAAAAAGTTAAAAGGTCCCTGGCATGAGACATCTCCGTCGGCTAGTTATGCGCTGGCTGACTCAAGTTGAACGGCTTCAATCAACAACCGGCACACACGAAACCATCACGAAAACAGAAGTCTGAACGAACAGTTTTCGTTGGAAAAAGTATGAACACAAAGAATCTCATATGATAAGTGTTATTACAATAAACCCCATCCGCCTAACTCGTTAGAAGCCATTAGAAGAAAAAAGGAAATAAAGGTTGTGAGTAAAAGGACCATTCGATGCACGCTATCCTGTATTTTAAAAGAATGCTTTCGCTCAAGTGAAACCCGGAGCCGGTATGTGAGTAGAATAAACCTTCGGGCCATTGAGATAAATTGAGAATGTCCCATGGATTAGTCTACGCAAGACAAAAGAAAATGAAATCGAAACGCCATGCAACTTGATCAACACGAAGTCAAGAAAAGACCCGTTTACAGAAGACCGAAGAGGGCAGCAACGACACCCATGACACCAGCAGCAGCGGTGGGAATGTACATGGCGTTGGCAGCACCAGTGTTGGTGGACTTAGAAGAGCTGCCAGAGCCGGTGACGCTGGGGTTGGAGCCAACACCGGAGGGCTTAGCGACGGTGCCGTTGCAGAAGAACTTGCCGCGAATCTGAGAGCCAGACTTCAGCTTCTGGAAGGCGTCACAACCACTGAGCTCAGCAGAGGATTGGATGTTGAAAGCACCGTCAACCTCGTTAAGAGCAGGAACAGAGACGCTGCACGANNTGTTAGCTGGGAATTGTTTGCAGTAAATGCGATAGACTTACTTGGTGAAGTCACCGTAGAGATCGAAAGCACCAGTAATAGTGGCAAGCTTAGGGAAGCCGTCGATGACCATGAGGTCGGTGTTGTTCTGGATGGAGAAACCACCGCCAACCTTCTTCAGCGAAGGGAAGGAGACGTTGTTGAGGTTCTGGTTGGAGACGATGGTCAAGTCACCCTTGTTGGAACCGACAGTGGTAAGGTTAGCGCACTGCAGCGACGAGAACTCGTTGGAGTAGAAACCGAGGGATCCGTTGACGGAGACGAGCGAGTTGAGGGCAATCTGGGAGACGTTGCGGAAGGTCATGTTGTTGGCCCAGATCAGGTTGGGGAAGATGGCAGAGACGTTGCCACCGTTGGACTCGATGTTGAGCGAGTTAGTGATGTTACCGAGCTGCATGGAGATGTCGTTCAAGTAGTTGTTGTTGGTGATGAAGACGGTGTCGACGACGGCAAGGTTGATACCGTCAAGGGTCTGGAGCTGAGTGTTCTGGATGTTGAGCTCGCTGGCCTGCTGGACACCGGTGGTGAAGGACAGCTGCTGAAGACCAGCAAGGGCGTTCCATTGGATGGAGTCGACCTGGCTGAGCTGAGGGAACGACAGAGTCGAAAGAATCTGCAGCTCGTTGAGGATGAAAGCACCGCCAATGGTTTGGAGGCTGTCGGCCGAGATGGAGGGGATCAGGGAGTTGTTGTTTGCGACAAGGTCACCCGTGATTCTTTCAACACCAGGGATAGTGACGGCTTGGGCAAGACCAGTGGCAATGGCGATGGAGCCAGAGAAGGTTTGGCAGGCAGAGAGGGCCGAGGCATCAGCGGGAGAGTTGATGGTGGTGGTACCGGAGACGCTGCAAGAGCTCTGGGCGTAGGCACCGCCAACGGCAGCGAGTGCCGGAACAAAGTACTTCATCGACATTGTGAGGGGGAATTAACTAAGAGGCCGCGCGTCAGTATGAATGGCTTGTGGTGAGGTGTACAGAAGAGGGGTCGATGTGCGACGGAGGGTTCTGTCCAAGTTTCCAATGTCGAGCGCACAAGGCGGGTCATGTCAAAAGGTACCGGGAAGAACAGGTGGTTGTCGAGAAAATCAAAAAGGAGTCGGACACATACCTTGAAAGTGTATAAACTGTTGCAGGTGAGAAAGCGCTGGGATAAGTGTAGTGCAAGTGGAAAAGACCAGATGCAACAGTAATGTGAGAGCGAGTGTGTGAAGGGAAAGCGGCGTTTTGCGGTATAAGAACACTCGGAATGGAATCAACGAGAGGAAGGTGCGAAGGTGCTTGCAAAAGAGAGGGCCGGGCAGGGGTTGTTTTGAAAGATGTCCGCCCTGGGTTGAGCTTTAGCCAAGTCCTTAGTGCCATTTTAGTGGCAAACATCGTTACGCGGCTATTTCCTGCACAAACACCACCACCACCGCCAAACATCAGGTTTCCCCAGGCTCTGGCCGCCGTAGAGCGCCGCGGAATGGAAACTCTTCTCTTTCTTTAGCAACTAGACTGCGTGGCGAACGTGTCTCGGTCGCATGCTTCTCCACCCAAATCCAAGCATCCAAGCCTTCAACACAAACCCGAGTCTTTCTGCCTTCGTCTTCTACCTCGTCCACGGCCCGTCATCAAATGTGATGGCCGATCTCTTGCTTTCGCTCTGTCGTTGGCCAGGCGCTTTGACATGTCCCAGTGCCCGAATTGTTTCGGCTGGATGTCATCCCTGCAGCCACCGCAATCTCGCATCGTCCTTTTGGTCAATTACATGTCCGTTATCAGCAACGATTTGATTGCTCAACTCTAAAGCTCCGCATATTTCCTCTCGTANCTGCTGCCAATCTTGTTGGCTACCTATCTATTTCGCGTCAGGAGGAGATTCTACTGTTCTATTCAATCCCCCAGTCGTGGCTCAGATCAACGTCCGGGATGNCTTTCCCGTCCCCAAACAAACAAGATTTACCCTAACTGCTTCNNCGTGCTTGAAAGTGGTGGCGAGTTCGCGNNATTTGTGTGGAGCACACCAACCATTCCAGCTNNTGCTATCTGCTCAAGATGTTGCCCTCTCGACCAAGCTTGCATCTGTAAGCGGAGTCCCAGCCTCTAACAAACTGGACGTCGCGTCAAGGTTCCGGCAACACGAAGATTCTCCAATCTTGCTTTCGACTTTTACTCGAGCTTANNGCGGGTCCCGTGATACCCGTTGTTAGAGCTTTTGGAAACACGCATGATCGTCATGAAAATGTGGCTGCTCCCTCGGTCGCTCGATCGAGCCCTCCGACTTGGCATGCTCTGTCAAGAAAAGATCATCTCCAGGTTCCGTGGCAGGAAACCGTGCTGCATCCGTTCGAAAACTCAGAAAACAACTGCGCCGCTGTGTGCCTGTCTGTTGGGAGTTAAGTTTCAAAGACAGCAAAAGTGTCTCCGTTGCCACTGCAAAAAAACACTTGCACTTGCTGGCGATCACCATGTCAATACCGGATTTATCGTCCGGTGTTTTCAGAAGATTTGATGCATGAGTCCCTCTCGTGCAGAAACGTTAGCTGCTCATCACAATTCGTGCTGGGATATTGGACGGCCAGCGTGCCTCGCTGTCCTTGCTTTTAACAAGCGGTTTATCATGTTTCCCTGTCGACAGTGTTGTGTGACGCTTTGAGGTGCCAGCCTCTCATGCAGGTTTCTCTCGTACTCTGCATCTTGCCAGCGCCTACATTACACGGGAGGATAGAACGGGATCTACTCCGCACTTTTTGGGTCATGATTGCGAGTCGAGCCTGTTAGCACCGGACTTGATACAAGTATACATTAAAGAGACTCTCATATCATAGAAGTACCATGCCGGGACAAGAAGTCGTGCAGTATGGAGCAATACCAGCTATCACCCAAGCGTGGCTCTCCAGACGATCATCCGCAGCCCAACTCCATGATCACGAAATATTTGTGGGCTTTTTCCATCCTCACAGACCAACTTTGAGTAATGGCATGCAGAAGTCAAGACTTTGATATCATCAGCCAAGCAACATGAAGGTCGATAAAAGCATTCGCAAGGAGTCAAGTCTGCGGGTGGTCATCTTTGGCCGCTGCTGCTCTGATTCATTCAAACCGAACTCATGACTTCAAGGTTTGTTTCATCTTGACACAATCGATAGAGTGCATTTAATAATAAATCGGCCGAAAGGGAAAAAGCAATCATACCGCCCGACTTGTCACGACACGCCCCCAGATTGCGACCTGTCGTCTGGACAGAGTCGAGGACATCAAGAAGGGCAAGGCCACGATGGAATAAACTTCCAGATCTTTGAGTCTCAATTTCCGCGAACACAGACAACTGGAATAGGGCCAGTTGGCTCGTTGTTCATGCAGCCTTCCGCACTGTCAGTGCAAGCGGGCATGCCTTTTCACACGTTACCAGTTTCAAAGCGAGGTGAGAATAGATAACCTAGATATGCTAATCAACGAGGTTGCAGAACCTCGATGATACTAGAGCACGCTCTACACGACCCATTGAAATTGTTAGAAATGCTACAATTGCTATCGCCGACGCACTCTGTCGAACACACCTTTTCGGGATGCCCTTGGAGTGCCAACTTCAAATTGACAGCAAGACGTGGTGAGTACTTGTTGTGTGATAGAGTCAATTTCAAAGAGACATTTACACCACTGGAAAGCAACCTTTCGGTAGGCAAAGACGATGTTCAAAGTCTTGTGCCGGCAGTGTGGTATACAGATGCAGCCGTCAATGCGATTGCGCATGTGATGGTCGATACATACCCTTTTTCTTATACCTACCATCGCCACTGTATTTTGCCTACCGACCTTGTTCACGCAGCACGGCATAAGAATAGTATAAGTGCTAAAGTCATCACACTAGCCGTGAATTTGGCTACAGCAGGCCTCTAGCAGACCCCCAACCACCTTACAGATGGTGTCATGTCCTCACATGGATACTTCCAATGCAACACTTTATCTGCAACCCACGCAGATGTGACGTCTGCCTGCAATCCACCAGGTTTTTGTTGTATTGCCGTGCATATCACCAAGAGTGGCCACATAGTCGACTACATCTTCTGGCACCGAGCTCACTGACACAATACTCGATCAAGCCCTACCCATGTATGACACTCTCCTGCCGATGCACCCAGGCCCGGGTCAGGCTCCCATCGCCTTCCAACATATCTTAACATGGCACAGCAACATAACTCCCGCGACTGTAGCCCTACCACATTTACCACACTAATCCACACCATCAAGGGTGAGCGTCTTGGTGGGACATTGAGTTTCGCTCACCTTTACATCTCGATCAAGTCTATCGCAGAGACAGGTCTCGCAAACTCTGCCAATTAACAGCTACCGGCGGATTGTCAAAGGTACTATCTGTCTCAAATTAAGATAAGGTACAGGTCAAAGGAAAGTGCGACCGAGCCAAAATGCTGACTGATCAAAAACAATAGAGAAAAGGATTAGATATTAAGAAGTCTTTTTACTCTTCTTTGCGTAGTCTCATATTAACTTTTATACACTCATCTGCCATGCCAGTTTCCTACGCTTCACTCTCAATCCCTGTAGCCCGCTCATGATGCTCGAATATCCCACTGATGCGGTCTTGGAGATGTTCGGCTTTGTGCTTCATCCACCACATTGTCCTCGCGCTCTTGAACTGCATGACGCCTCGATGGCGCCTGTTGATTTGTTTGCTGTGTTCCCTGTACTCGTGATACGAGTCGAGCACGTTTCTGTTGCCTGTGGATGAGCGTTCGGCCTTGTCGTCATCGGTACCGGTGGTCAATTTGGAGATACTGCGGTGTCGGGTCTGGGACAGCTTTCTCTTGATGCGGGAGCCCATGTTTTCGCCTTCGGTGTCTGAGGAAGAGTCGGAGTCGGAGGAAGAAGAGTCGGCGGATTCTTCGTTGCTGCTGTCGCCTTCGGCGTGAGGACGACTGCCATTATTGGCGCCTGTGGCATCTGTGAGTTTCTTGTCGTCGCGGGTGCCTCTGTTCTTGACAGCGGAGGTGTCATCTTGTTCGTTGTTTGCCATCTGGAATCTCGCGGTCTCGACAATTTCGAAGACATCACTAAGATGTTTGTCGTGTTTGGCAAGGCGCTTGTGGTACCTGCTCAATCCTCTGCAGAACTTGAGCTTGAGGTTTACCTCACCCACTCTGTCGCCGTACGAGTCGAGTTTGCAGGTTGTGGCGCGCTTGAGATCTCCTTTCCAGACCGGCAGGGTGAGAGATATATCTTCGTTGTCCGGGATTTCACAGAGCCAGAGAACGGCGAAAGCGGCAGTCTTGTCACGTAAAGAAGTGTCTTTGCGGAACTGGATTATCAGGCAGCTGGCATAGCGGCGACGTACACCGAGATGAATCCCGTTGTTGTGTCGGCTTGCCCACGCGTGTTCGTCTTNTTGAGCTTTCATGTGTCCGACAGTGATAGCAGTTTGTATCTTGATACGACAGCCTTGAAGGTCAGAGGGGAAGTTTGGGCCGGAGGTGATACGCGGATCGACGATAAGGGTGCCCCAGTCCCAACCCAGCAGTTCCTTGGGCAATTGGCTCTCTATAGAGCGGAACACCATGCTGACGCGAATGCGACCGTAGCCTACACCACCATACAGAGGATAGCTGCCATTGACTTGGGAGCGTTTCTTTAAGATGTCAACCAATGGTAGACGCACGATGCCCATGACAGGATCATCCTCGTGCACACGAGCATCTCGTACAGAAATATAGACCTCGGCAGTCCTCCAGTCACGAACGAAGCGCTCAGTGCCTGCATTGAAGAAAGGCTTCGCATTCTTGGGTTTTACGCGTGTGCGATAGATTTNTTGGTGGTTGAGGATGATGTTGCAGTAACACGATGGAAGTTCATCGCCCTGCTCTTCATAACCGCTTGGCTCCGGCTCATCGTTGTAACGAGCGGCATTGTGGTGAGCACGTACTTCCAGTCCAGTAGCCTCGTGGATCTGAATGGCTAGTATACCGCTGGGTAAGTCGTGAAGTGGTGGTGCGGAAATGATCATCGAGTCTTCCACTTCCTTGTATTGCTGTAGTTTAAGTTGCTCTGTTTCTCTGCTTTCATCCTTCTTGGCCTCGCGCAGCTTACGATTCGCAGACTCTTCGACCATCTTCTCCAAGGCATCTCTGGAGCGAATCTCCGGCTCCTCGGTCTGACGTTTCAGTTGCTCGTCAATGATGTGAGACTTCGGGAAGTAGCCAACACTCCATTCGAGTTTGCCCGGGAGACCCTCGCCAGCGTGTAGAGCCTTGAATCCATCGACACGATCAGACATTCTGCCTCTTGTTTCTTTGTTATGGATGAGTTGCTTCAGATCCATCTCTATACGACCAAGATCATCGTCTGCAGTAAAGCGATCAGAGTCCCAGAGTTGCACACGAAGTCTTTCGTCTACGTTCAACTCGTCAGCAGTGACCAGAATGAACGCAGTCTCTTCCCAATGAGGATTCATCTCGGATAGGATGACACGAGTCGACCATAGTGGCTTGACGAACTTGGCCCAGCCTACAGTCACATATGGATCGGCCGAGCCTTCTCTGATCAGTGGAACAGCAGGGTCTCCTTCCTTGAAATCAAAGGCACGCTTGATCTTGGCGATTATAACGCCTTTTGCTGTAGTGTCCTTCTTGAAGTCTTCGCCAGCGATCATGTCTTGGAGATTAATGGTCATGCTTTTGGGTGCGACATACTCGGCCACGGCTGCGTCAACAGCGGTCTGAACGAAATGAGATATGACTGGCAGATTCATGATGTTCAGGCCCTTCCTTGTTAGCGGGGTGCAAGCAACATCGACGTTGGGTTGTCCAAGAAGAGTAAAGGTGCATAGAGCAAAGAAAGGTGGATCCGGGGTGAGCTGTAGTCTGCAACGCATAATGCCAACAAAGCCTCTCAGGTCGACATATACCGGAATCTTGATGTTACCAGGAAGGTAGAACGAAATATACAGGTGAGCGTGCTTCGCCCTGTCCTTGAATTTCTTCGAGGTAGAGCGAGTTCTGTAAGCAAAAGCGATTTCAAGGTTGATAAAGTCACCCTCTTCAGCCTCCATGCCTTCGGCGATTTGCTTGTCGTCTGCCTCTTCCTGGCTATTTTTCTTTTTGGGGCCCTGAGTGTGGTCCAGATCCTGGTCCTGGTCGGGTGATGCATTTCCATCGACCTGCCACTGGCCAGGTACATCGCGGTCATTGTGTCCTTCTGAAGCTTCAGGGGCGAGCTCGCCATCAGCGCCAACTGAACGTGCTGCAGCGCCTGTAGGAAGCCATCTGACACCCAAGATACGCATCGACTCGCTACCCTGACCAAGATCCTCGATACTGACCATGCGGACAACCGAAGGGAGCGAAGCCTGCATGACGTCCTCGAGCGTATCCGCCAGAGAGATGAACAAGTCCGGGTTAACGAGTGGCCACAGCGATGTGAGCATGTTATTGAGCCACTGAGTCGTTTCCTCCTTGCCATCTTGACTTTTCGCAGAATGCTTGTCGGCGTGCCAGATTTCCTCCTCCCATAATCTGTGAACTTGCCTATCGGTCCAGAGTTGAACCCAGTATAAGACAGCAACGGCAAAGGCAACCATCATGATGGTGGCGAAGCCGTTCGAGAGATATGGCCAAAGGAAACCCCAAGACACACCAGCGGGGGCGTCGTTGCGACCAAAGAGAAAGGCAGCGAAAGTCCTGTAGAGACCAACAGCAGAAAAGACAGCTACCACACCAATCGTTATTCCTAGCCTTTGAATCTTGTTCATGCGACTCCTGATGTCGTCGAACTCCGGCGGTGGGAACAGGTTCTCGAGTGCAGCATGGTGTCTTCCAATCTCTTGCGTCTCATCTGCCAGCATGTCCTGGCTCTTCCTCTTGTTGGCCAAGCCAGTGGCCGATCTAGACTCAGAGCCCGGTGGCCCTAGATTCTCGGGGACTCTTTTCAAGTCTCCAGGCTGCAAGTCGTGTATGCGCACAGGAAGGTGGGTAACGGGGTCGGTAACCTCTCGATAGGCACGCTCGCCTTTGCGTTTGCTCTTGCCTATAGCTTTGCGTCGTGTCTTGGGGTCTTGGTCTTGAACAGGAGCTTCGGACGTGTCATTCATCAAGTCGGCAGAGTCGTGTGCACCACCACCGACCAGCTTCTNTTTGAGGTGTTGGGTGTGGTCCTTATTCTCGTGCGCCGGCTTGTCGAGATCTGAGTTGTCGGATCCGGCATTGCTATGCTCTCTCGAGTATAGGTATCGATTTGCGCTGTCTCGATCTTCCTGCTCATCTTCTTGTCCTTTCGGTGGTGGGGCTCCACCGGCAGCATTTGCTTGACGCTTTTCCTTCTCTTGTTGATACTTTTGTATGGTTGGTATAGGTCGATGTGTGCTGTACGGCGCCTTGTATCGGCGCCGTTCAAGGTCATCATCGTGTACCGTCATCGAATTGCCAAAGCGCGACCGTCAAGGTGCGAGGGGTCCAGCCCTTGGAGTATAGGATTGAAGACGGATATGTATATGCAAAGAAATGGTACAGAACGATTCCCGAGTCTTGCTCAAGGGAAGAAGAGGGACCAAGAAAAGCAGACTACCCGAGCCATTGACGGCGTCGAAGGAAGACCTTGTCAGCTATTTTCCTGCTTTCGCGATGCCCCTCACTAGTCAGACCCTTTGACGTAGAATGAGAACGGAGGAAGGCTTCAAGCTTCACATTGATGTTGTTGTCATCGGGATGTTGATTGATGTCAACAGAGCTGACCAGACACATAGCACGCTGATCTCTCCTTCCGAAGAGTTGCCAACCGGCAACTCACGCAACGTGAAGAAAACTTGGAAGGTGCATGGTTTCGAGGCTTGGCGTTATGTATTCCATTCTCAGACGCGTCACCTCGAGTCTTGGTAGACCTTTGGCTTTTTACGTGAATCGACAACAACCTTCTCAGCAGAGCCTCGAAGTTAAGCTCAAATTCAGGTGGGAGGTTTCTATACGAACATCTTCGAGGAGGAGAAGTAGCCAAGTGATGTGAACAGCAGACATTAACTTTTCAAAATGTCTTTACGAGTCTTTGGATAAAACGTCAAATGCTGGAGACATGCAGAGAGGCACGTCAACTTACGCAAGCAAGTGGTGATCCGGTCTTCCGGTAAAATTGTACCATCTACACGGCTCTCGCCTAACAAACATCTGACGACTTCCTCTGTTTGAGGATCATCACGTTATAGCTATGATCACGTAGTACTCTTGAGAAACAGGATATTCAGCTCTCCCAGATCACATCCCTGGTTTCACGTACAACTATCTTCCAACAAGTCCTCATACTGATCTATACCTCTGTGCGAGGAAGGTCGAATCAATAGAATGTAGCAAATGGGAGGCTGTCGCAGAGACGGCAGTTAATACTATACAGATCTCTTCCGAAGTGTGCGGCACGTCATGCGTGCTTATCCAGCCAACACCACGCCTATCTGATCGGGCAAGCGTGCCCCTTTACCATCTCTTGACAGTATACAAGTCAACCCCCATAAGCTCTTGAGTATCTGGTAAAAACATTATGTCTGCTCCAAGCAAAACTGACCCCATCATCATCGTCGGCGCCGGCGTCTTCGGCCTAACCAGTGCACTCCACCTCTGCCGTGCCGGCTACACCAACATTCACCTCTTCGACAAGCAAGACTTTCTATCCACAAACTATTCCTTCGCTGTGGGAAGCGATGGAGCTTCTGCAGATGAAAACAAGATCCTTCGCGCATCCTACGGTGGCCAAGAACTTTACCAACGCATGGCATTCGCAGCAATGCAAGAGTGGGAGCAATGGAATGAGGATATGAGATCCGATGCGGGTATACCCGATGTCCTCAAAGAAACTCAAAAGCTATGGGATCGTTGCGGATTTTTGCGGATTGAAGAAGGGTTTGGTCAGCATGAGATTGATACGCAGAACAGCTTTCCTGAGGAAATCAAACACACTCAATATCGCATTACCGACGAGCAACGGATTAAAGAAGCCATCAAAGCTGGAATACCAAAGTCGAAACTCGATCCCTTTGGTCGTGCAAGTCGTGGACTGCCAACAGATGGTATACTCCACATGACAGCCGGGTACACTCTAGCCTCAAAAGCCTGCACCTATGCCCTCTATCTCTGCCANAAAGCAGGTGTAAATCTCCATCTTGGCTCTTCCATTGGCACATTCCAATCTCTCTTGCACTCTGACAATCGCATCGTTGGCATCAAGACCGCAGACGGCATTTCCCACGAAGCAACTCTAGTAATCCTAGCAACAGGCGGCTGGACACCCTCCCTCCTCCCAGCAACCCAACCCCTCCTCGAAACAACAGCAGGCACAATCCTCACAATCAACATCCCCCACTCCCGCCCAGACCTCTGGGACAAATACTCACCAACCAATTTCCCAGTCTGGAGTTGGAACATGGGTGGCTACAACCCCTCCTCTTCCACCATAGGCGGCCTCTACGGTTTCCCACGCACNCCCCAAGGAATCCTAAAATTCGGCTTCCGCGGCGCAAAATGGACAAACTATACCCACACCACCGCCTCCTCTGACCACAAAATCTCATGCCCAAGAACCGACATCCAAGAAATCCCCGAACGCGCATTCAATGTCGTAAAAGCTTTTTGCGCGGAAAATATGCCTGATCTGTTGGATTTGGAACTGGAAAGNGGGAGATTGTGTTGGTATACTGATAGTGTTGATAATACNTTTTTGATTTCGCATGTCCCTGGTCAAGTTGGGTTGATGGTCGCGAGTGGAGGTAGTGGGCACGGGTTCAAGTTTCTTCCTGTGCTGGGTAGACATGTGGTTGATGTCGTTGAAGGCACAAAGACGGAGTACACAGAACTCTTCTCTTGGAGGAATGTACCACAAGGTAAGAAGAACGGCTTAGAGGAAGGAGAGGAAGGAGAGAAAGGATGGAGGACTTTAGACAAGCAGAATCTTGTGCAGAGCAGAATGTGGAAGTTGTAGCTGTTTCAATGCCTTGTCAAATTGATCATGCAGAATTGGGTTTGCATACCCCTATAGACAGATTCTTCATTAGAGCGAGAACCATTCTCAAATGACCGACGACATGAGATAATTTTGAAAACAAGAACTCCAAGGTATGATCCCAGAAAAACAACAGACTCCAAAATATGCACCTTCACTCTTTTCTTTCTCTGTCTACATATTTGCCAACTCGAAATCAATCTGTTGGTCCAAGAAGGCTCTCTTCTGAGGATCCAGTTGCATTTGCAATCTCTGCTCCGTAAGAACCTTCAACTGCTTCTTGGTCACTGTGTCCAAGTCAACCTCTCTCAAGCAATCTCTGACTGCATCGACGATCTGGCTGTCGGCGACGCCCTGGGTCTGGAAGCCGGGAAGGCCGAACGTGCTGGCGGGTCGGGATGCGGTCTGAGACAGCGGGCTGCGGGAACGAGGAGGGAAGCCTGCCGAGGNGGGAGGTGAGAGCTTGGGGGAGAGCAAGTCGGGTTGAGATAGGTATTGGCCACTGTGGTTGCGTGGAAGGCCTGGTGAGGTGTCGCTCATATTGCCCATGGACATGAGACGTGAGTTCTCGTTAGCGCCGGGCATGGCGTCAGTGAAGCGCGAGTAGCTAGACATACGGTTGTATGCGTTGTATGGGCCAGGCGATTGAGTAGGGGGACGGTAGGGCATGTTGTTGTTGTTCGGAAGGCCGGTGAGGATGGTGGAGGCCGGGTGAACAGAAGAGTAGACTGAGCGAATCTCATCCATTTCGTATCCTCCATTGTCCTGGAAAGGCGAAAAGCCCATTTCCTTCTCCTGAGCAACCATGCCACGACGACCAGGAAGTTGGTTTGAGTAAGCGTAGTCGTCCCAGCGCTGCAGAGGAATGCTGCGAGGGTCGAATTCTTCAGCGTCCACAGCAATGACTTGCTTGGCACCTGTCTCTCCAATGACGACACGAGTATTACCCCACGAGAAGTCGTCCTGCTTCCAGAAGGAATAGACAGGCAAGACAAACGAGTAAAGAGGATAAGCAGCCAAGTAGCAGATCATCCAACCAATGTGCTGCCACTGTCTCTTGGCGATGAAGATGACGGCTTGCAGACCGTATACACCAGCCAACATGATAATCGAGATAAGAGGGAATTGACCACCGGTCGATGCGGTGATAATGAGGTAAACCAGGTAAACGACAGTAGCCGGAAGGATGACAGTACCGAACAGATCGATGAACACGACGAAGCGCATGGAGAAACAACAGAAGCCACACATGTCCTTGATGAGCATGAGTTCAGCCAAGTTGTGAATAGTCGAGTTGATCCAACGACGTCTTTGAGAGAGAAGAATGCTCCATGTCTCGGGCGCAGCAGTTTGGGCATATGCGTCAGGAATGAACTTGAAGGACATCTGAGGGAAGTTCTTGGTCATCAAGGTGGTCAACCAACGATCTTCACCAAGGGACAACAAGTTCTTCTTGTGCAAGGTATCGACATTGCAGTCACTGTACTCTTCAATGACGGCGTCAGCGATGATAAGAGGTTTGCCCTTGTCTGCTGTTCGGAGACGGTACATGGTGAAACATCCGGGAAGACAGGTGACACTGCCGAACAAACTCTCGAAAGCCTTTGACAAGTGATGGGAAATGTAGTACTCGTAGACCTGAATCATGGTAGTCCAGGACTGTTCCTCGTTTTCGAGACTCGTTTCACCACAAATACCGGCAATCTTGGAGTCGTTTGTACAAGCAGCAACGAGGCGGGTGAGAGCGTCTTCCTTGACCAGAGTATCGGCATCGACCATGAGAAGGTACTCGTAAAGTTCAGGGTCAACACCGATGACATTGTTGATTTGATGGAACATCTCCAACTCAAGTGGTGACATGGGAGAACGGTGGTGGACTCTGTTGAGGAAGCTCATGAGCAGAATCTGCGAATCACGCTTACCACGGTTACCGGGCTTGGCCTTAACCTGTTCAGACTCTTTACCACACTTGACGACGACAATGTAGGGAACTACGTTGCCTTCAAACTCGTATAGACCAGAGTAGACCTTTCCGTAGTTCAACTGTTCGGCACCAGCACCGATAGACTTGAATGGAAGAGCAGGAGGATCAATCTTGGGATCGACTCCAAGGATATCCAGAACAATCTTGGGCGTTGGGCGGTCGTTACCACCTCCAACAATCATGCCGTCGCAAATGACACAGATCAATTTTCTCTTGTTGTCGTATGCCAAGGATGTGAGTGAGTCGAGACCTTTCCTAAGATGGTCCTCACCTTCGGTGTAGGCAGGAACTTGGCAGATGACGAATTTGTCTTGCGGAGCGGGACGAGGCTTAGAGCCGAATTGCAGAGCAGCCAGGAACTTGACCACGATGACAGTACAGAGAATTATGGTGAATACCAGCAGGATGTAGTTGTTCACCTGGCAGCGAGCGGAATCTCTGAAATCGAGCTTACCACTGTAAAACATGTTGTCCAAGCATTGGGTGATAGCGGAGTGCTCGGTCACGTTGGTAATCTTTTTGTCGAACTCTTGCTTAATGTCGAGACCAGGATTGCTCTGAACTATTGCCGAAAATTCATCGGGGAAGAATTCGTAGGTGGCAAGGTCATTCATCAGATCCAGAGTGTGGAAATAATCAGTCATGTCGTAGATTCTTTGACCGAGAGTGAACCAATAATGGTTGTTGTCCTGTCCATCGCTCTTGACTTTGTTCTTTTTGACCACCAGATCACCTTTGTAAAATTCTTTCATCTTAGGCAGGAATGTATCACCATACCAGTTGATGCTGTTGAGTGCCGAGTCCGTATCTGGGGCAGCTATAGGACCTGAGCTATGGGTGGCCTGAGGATATTCCAAAGTTGTGTTCGATTGCAGTGTGAGGGTAGAGTTGGCTCCCACAAGACCATAACAAGCAACACTGAGAGGAGGGACAATGTATTCGCTGACGTCTGTACCGCCGAAAGGTTCCATGTTGGCAGTGGTGGTTAGTGTGACACCATCACTGTGCTGGGTTTTGTGGAACTTGGTAAGATCGTATACGTGTCCACGGAAGCTGACATAGTAGTCGTTCGATGCTGCGTGGTAGCCGACCTCTTTGGCGCTCCAAGCTTTGTCCATGTTGGGGCAGAGCAAACGACCAAATGCGACGATGTAGAAGACGACGGTAGCGTTGATAATGAAGATGATGATCATCAGAGCGAACTTCTCTCTCCATGCTTGACGAACATCGGGTCTCTTCATGCGACCGATATAGCGAAGAGCGGGCGAGGGAATATAGAAAGTCAAGGCCCATACGGCCCAGATCCAAGCTTTGCGACTGAAAGTGATGGGTACCTCGGTGATGACCTTCGCGTCGCCATCTTCAACCTCTCCGTAGTAGGTAACATCGCCGTATTTGTCGTCACCCTTGGTACCAAGACCATAGTCTCCGGGACGACCTTGCATAGTCGGTGCTTTTGAAGGTGCGATAGACTTGGCTCCGAGTTGACTTCTGCTAGCGAAACTCTGGTTACGACTGAGGAAAGGATTGCTAGGGTTGTCGTGGTAAGGTTGTTGGTAGAAGGCGTCCTCGACCATGGGTGTAGATACCTGGTATTGACCACCGAAAGGTCCGGCGGCGTCCATTGATGGGTCCATAGGGATGAGATCAAGCATNNACTCGGCTTCCCACCAGGGGGCCTCGCGAATCCAGATTCTCTCGTGGCCAATGACGACTTCTCCATTGCTCCAACCACGCTCCATGATCCAACTCTCGACACCATCGCGACCCAGCTGACAGCCGAGGCGTGCATAGCGCTCCTGGAACTCGTTGATGTCGAAGTCAGCAGTGTAGTCGAGCTTCTTGTTACGATGGTTGGCCCACTCAGNGAGTCTCCAGGAACGAATTTGGCTGGACACAGATCCTGCAGACCATGGGAAACTGTTAGGCGAGTGGTTTGCCAAAGATGCCGGAGACTCGTCAGTAGGATGAAGGGCGAGCTGGAACCAGACGCGACTGCTTCCCAAGAGGTTCATGAGGCTGAACCGGCCGGCTTTACCAAGCTGGATGCCCTCGCCTTCGACCGGGTACAGAAGACGTCTCAAGAAGCTGTCCGCTTCGGTCTCAACACCCACTTTCTCAAGGAGTGTCTCACGGCGATCGAGTACCTCCTCACGCTCTCGGGTCGCCACAGAGTCGGGAAGCTCGAGCTCTGCTGCGTTGTCGTTGACAGCGTCGGTCATCTCTCGAACGATCGAAGAACCGACGTGGTAAGATGGCACTCCGTCTTCTTTCATCTCGAGGTTGATGCCTGTCGAATCATCAAAGACAGTACGCAGGGCCATTGCCTTGCCCAGAGTGGCACTAGGCAAGTCGAGAATGGTCAGGTTGACGGTGTCTGCACCATCCTCGCCCGGAGGCGGGGTCAAGATACCTCCAGAGTTTTCTGTATCGCTACCGCTGGATGAGTTTGCAAGGCCGCCATTGCGGAGTTCCATGCGAATGGCTTCATTGGCGCGAGCGATAACCCAGTCGACCAATGCCTCGTAGATGGCGGACATCAAGGTCTGACGTTCCATAGTGTCGCACTTTTTGGTCAACACATCGGTGTCCAGATCGAGCAAATCAGCCACCTCTTCGCAAACATTCTCCAGTACATCCTCGTCAACCAGGAAACCCATAGTCTCCCCGAGCTTGAGGATAGCAGCAACAACAGAAAGCATGTTTCTGAGAGCAGCTCCCTTGATACCGATCTCCTTCAGCGAGGCACGGAAGTCATCGGCGGCGGCAGCATCATCGGCTGTGGGGAGATACAATGGAGGAGTGTAGGTGTCGGTCTNTTTCAGAAGGGCATAGGCCTTGGGTTCTTGTAGGTTCAGGAATTTCTTCTCGGCCGGCGAGGCGCTGGAGAGCAAGTAGTAGAAAACATCGAAGGCACGGTGGCCAATCTCGGCAGGCACATCAGTCAAACCTTTAGCAACGTTGATTCCAGAGGAAGAAAGGCTGAGGGAGGCGCCTGTCAGCTCGCCCTCGAGATTGAGGTTGAGCACAGCCGCTAGACCGTTATGTTGTGCTGTTGACGGATTACGTGGTGTGACTGAATAGAGGAAGGGGCGGACGGCGTTGAGTGCAGTGTACAGAGTTGTAGGTACCGCAACGGGCAGCGAGGAAAGAAAGGGGACGAGGAGCGAAGGTGTAGACTCGTGGAGAGAGCCCAAGACAACGCATCCATCCTCGGCTCTTCTTCTGGCGTGCTCCCATGCACGTCGACCCAGTTCAGAGTCGACTGTACCCCCTTGCCTGCCATCAGGCCCGACAATCATGCTAGTGACCCATGTGTTGACGACAAGACTAGTACTAGACTCTAGTGCATATGGCTGGCTGGCGGTCCAGACAGAATGTAGCGCGTTGAGCAGGGTTGTGGTCGAGAGTTGTGCGGATGGTTGGGCTGGTCGAGGGACGTTCGAATGGTTTGAGTAGACCGACATGCGGCTGCCGGGTCCCGCCATGTTGGAGCTGAGGACTGAGGCTCGGCCTCTGTGTTGGATGTGTGGTTGTAGCGAGTGTTAGGATTGTGGCAATGAGGAGTTTGTATTGTGGGTAAGCAGGAACACAGCAATCCCCGGTCGTGGAGGATGGTGGAAAGATGAGTCTCGACAGCGATCGAGTTTCTGTCTGTGTCGTGCAAGCGAGTGTCGAGAGAAGAGTGAAAGGCACGAAAGACTACGACGACGACGACGACGACAACAGCACGATGAAAGAGCAGAAGACAGGTGAGGCAACAAAAGTCGCTATGCAGAAAGCACGAAGAGAGGCTTCACACCTCGGACACTTAGGAGGCAGCGGCGGGCGGGAAGGCTGTCTGTGCACGACCACTCGAAACGCCCGCAGAAGACCATCGCCACTTTCACGACATTAGGGGTCTCAAGCAACACCGAAAGACGACTGCTTCCAGGACATGACCAGTATCGCCGACTCGTGGACAGCTATTCTTTTGCTCAACCAATTGCCCATTCTGCTGGTCCAATCTCATCGAACTGGACGAGGACATTTACCATTGTTGATGTTTACGATGCTAAATCGGGAGCAGAACACGGGCTCTATTTTTGGGTGGCTGGGGAGAAGGTTGACCCTTCGTGCAGCACAACAAAAATCCATGAGCCTCACACTCTGGTCGCTCAGTCAGGTACCTCTCGCCATCTCTGCAAGCATCACGTACACACCGCTCAAGAACAGGTGAACCGTTGCTCTGGTGTGACGCTGGCCGGTCGCGCATCAGACAACATCTTGCCGCACGAAACGTTTGTTTCGAGGTTTCATCACTCTCGGCGAGATTCAAAATTCGAGATTCAGGTGATGAATCCCCACGGGCAAGATGCTTCTATGATAACTCACCCGACTGCTCGTCCTCGGTCAGTCACCGAAAACACTCCTCTGTGAGCTCATGTTATCAACGAGTAATGCTTGACACATGCATAATCGAGTTGTAAAGATGTCTCTTACCACGCGTTCTCGGTAGGAACCCGATGACCGGAGGAAGGAACAAAAAACGCCGCCCACCACGCCCCTTGTTTAAGTGGTTGGCTTAAACTCTTAGCGCGTCTTCTGCCCCGGGTTCGTCTCTTGTATTTTGGCTGGAGGAGTTCGTCTATGATCATCAACGCACTCTTCACCACAAACGCGACTTCTGTGAATGGAACCAAGATCAAAAAGAAACTTCTTGGTAGAGGAGATTTCTGCGTTTCTTATAACCAAGAGCCCCAGCTTTGATCGGATCTTCCCATCCACCCTTCAAACATGACCAATCTCGCTAAAGACGTCACATCACGAAAACATGCCTGCTATAATTCTAACCAACGCTGGGTCTACTGCTGTCTTACATAAAGCTTCCAGCTCTTGCTGGAGGCGGCCTGAGGCCATTCTGTCTAAAACGCCGGCCGCCCTTTACATCAATCATCTGTTTGACTCGGCGGCCAAGGTTGTCTCTTTTCCTCACGTTTCACCATAACCAATCTTGACTCAGCCCCACAACTCTCAGCTCATGAGAACATTCAACGAGTAGCATGACGAATGGCTATACCACGATAGCTACAAGGGTAAGAGTGGTTGACACGCGGCTTCGTCCATACAGAGAAGTATCGGCGCAGCCCTCTGTCGATCACACCTGGAGATTTTGCGCTATGGCTCTTGTCATCTCTCAACCTGACACATTCGAGAAACATCTTGGCTAACAACAACTGGAGTGTTGACGCATGTTTGACTGAAATGATAGGTAGCACGTCCCTGCCATGACTTGACACAGCCTTCCTTGCTGTGGCAATAAAGCCCTGGGCATTGCCAACCATAGTCTTTGACCAGCCTGGTTGCTCCTGCCATACTCATCACACTCTCTTTGGGCTGACCCTATCCATTCGTTTCATGATCATGCAGTACAAGAATTTGCTTGCTATCTCGTCGCTCCTGTCGCTGGCGACTGCTGCTCCTAAGGGCTTTCTTTCCAAGCGCATTGAGCAGGATGAAATCACCTGGGGCCCTTTGATTGGACTTGGTCCTACTACCGACGGCATCGAGATTACAGGCGTTGTCGCTACAATCTATCCAGGCAATATGCCCAAGATGCAAGCCGGCGGCCTTTACAACTGGATCGGAATCAACAACGAAACCGAGTCAGGCGATCTTGTACAAGGTATTGTCGGCTCATATAGCCGTGGTGAGAGCGAATGCAAAGGCGCGAAGGCAGACTCGTTATGGTATGTTCGGTCGGCAACTCGACGCTATACAAAGTACTGATTGAACATCGTAGGNTGTATCTCAGCAGAAGTTTACGGATGGGACACCAAACTGGACAAGTGGAACCAATACGTCGGCGAAGAGCGCATGCTAGCCGCAACTCCCGAGGACGGGATCACCTTCAACTACACCCTGATAGATCAGCAAACCGGACTATGGTACCAAACTGCTCGCAACGCACGTACTGGCGCGCTCTACGCCGAGTACCAGAAGACATCACCGACCATGACAATGGTCAACACTGCAGTGGAGTGCCAGTCGTGTACACCTCCAACCGATGTCCAATACTGGAAGAACATCACCATCAAACTTTCAGGGGCCGACAAGAACTTTGGCAGCACCCTCTACCAGTCCAACAATGCCACAAACACAAAGCCTTTCACCAACGACAATGGCAAGATCTGGAAGATCCAAAATGTCACCATTCCTGTCGTCCCTCCGCTTGCCGATGTTATCGGATGAGCACTGTGTTATGCACGTCACACTTACATTCTGTACATAACTATTTCATCTCTCCATTTCTGCTTAGAATCAGCTAAAAGTCTACATAAGATAAGGAAGCGCCTCCAATTGGGCAGCGCAACATAGTCCTTCTCGCCAGGATGGTTTTAAACGTCATTTCCATCGGTCCCACTTCTCTTGATACACAGCTACCATGTATAATACCGGATCTTCCGGCCTGTTCACCGTTTGATTGCCCGCGAGTCAACAAACCCAGCGAAAAGCAGGCTCTTAGACACTTTCGCAAAGGTTTACCTACTCAAGATCAAGAAAAGGGTTGGCCCGATTGGAGACGTGGTGTACCCCTAGGAATCGACTGCCGCCAGTACTCAAATACGTGACTGGGTGCATCAAGGCAAAGGTAAAATCTTGCTCTGGGAGGCGAACTTTGATAGTTACTGGTCCTCAAGTAGAAGACAAAGAGCATGCAGAATGGTGAATTTGTTGGCCCGAATGTGTGAGAGTTAAATGAATTCCGCGACCCTGTCCTCTGGCAGCTAATGTTCAACCACGATAGGATTATATGCTATTGGATCTCTCATTTGCACGTCAGGCCTCTCAAGAGAGCAGCAGTATACAAGCCAGTAAGACACAATGATTTTCCAGCAAGCCAACCTGATACCGAGTGTCTCTGACACAAATCAATATACGCGGGACGCGTGTAGAAAGTTTATTTCATCTAGGCTGCTCTCATGACAAGAGCTTATGAAAAGTGCATGTAAGATAGGTTTGTTGCATCTTCAGAAACATCATATCAAACGGCTTCCTTGCTTGATCTACCAGCTGTCTGACGGTAACAATTCTCCCTACCATGTCTAAAAAGAAAGGATCGTTTTCGATAATGTTTTTGGTTTGCTCCATGCGATCGGCCAAATACTCGTCGAAAAGCTCTCCAGTGGTAGCCAGTCTGACTTGTGGTGACTCGGATGACGATTCTGCATTGTCGACATTATTGACATGATCAATACTACTCGCGTCGCTACCATCATCTTTGTTGCCGTCTTCGTCGGCGTTGATGTTCAAAAATCCACTGGCCTCTATTGAGTCATTCAGGACCTACATTTCATTCCGTGTCGTATCTTCGGGTTTGGCACGCTTCGAAACACGTTCTGCAGGTTCCTCTGCCACGGCTCCGGACTTTCTCTTGCTTTGTCGGCGAGTAACCGGTCCAGCCATACCGAGAAAATTAATCGATTGGTCCTATTAGATTAATATCTTGATGATGTGGAAGAGCTGGGGGTAGAGAACTTGATGTGGAGTCAAATATTGGGCAGCTGAGAGGAGAGCTAGGACCAAGCTTCACGTGGGGGTTATATAGCAGAACTACTAGAAGTACGAACGCTCACAGCCGACAAGGCTACCCAGCGTAAGCTCGAAGAAGAGCCTTTCATCAAGAAGAATTCGTAAAAGATTGGTTGAAAACATTCTACTCTTCTCCAGTAAGATATCAACGTTCCGGATACAACTATCCTACTTCATATACAATCAACAAAGGCATGACAACTAGCTTTTGATCACGTTCTCCACCAGTTTGGCTGCTCTCAAAAGATCCTCATCGTGATAGTGCTTGCCCACAAGCTGAAGAGTGATCGGAACACCATCGAACAGTTCTGGATCATCTACAGTATCATGTCAGCAATGCACCTTGCGGTCAGCCTGATTCAAACTTACNNAAGCTTCATATTCAGCTTTGTCTTTCTCATTGAGAGCCGAGTACCCTTCCTCTACTACATCCACATTCTTGTCTACAGCCATGCCAGTGGGGAACACCACAGCCGGTTGGTCAAGGATGTTCCAAAGACTGGTGTAGCCCCAGTACTTTGCGCCGTGCTGCTTAACACCTGCACCCATATACGCAGGACACAAGATGACATCGACACCCTTCTCCTTCATCAGAGCATGATACTCACGTCTATATGCTTCACGCATAACGTTGAGATCCCAATTTTCAGAGATTGAGATTGCTTTGGAATAGTTCAAGGCATGGCGGGTGAGTGGTAGCATGGGTTCGCCAGAAGCCGCGAGAGCCTCTTCGATACGTCTGCCGCCGTCGGGNNGGAAGTACAAAGCTGAGACAATATCCCAAGCATGATCGTGCTTGTAGTTATCCCAGCTGACAACTTTGACTCCAGCAGACTGGAGCTTGGATTTGGCGGTCTCGAGTGCGCGGATGATAGGAGGGTGCGGTTTGACTACGCCGTCAGTCATCATGATGCCGACGGTGATGTCTTTAGGTGTATCCAGGTCTCCCCTCCATGGCAATGGAATTAAAGTAGTATCAATCTCCTGAGGATTCTGGTCGATCAATGACTTTTGAAATAGCCAAAGATCATCGATGCTCTGACCCAATGGGCCGATGACTCCTTTGATACTCTCCTGTCCACCAAGCACGCCATGAAGACCCAGAGTAGGATTGCGCAGGGTGGTAGGTCGAAGTCCATAAGAGTTGTTGAATGCAGCGGGCGCACGAATACTGCCACCAATATCTGTGCCAACGCCGAGAACAGCACACTTGAATCCCATTGACGCTCCTTCTCCACCTGATGACCCACCAGGGGACAGCTTCAGATGGTAGGGATTTAGGGTTGTTCCAGTGATATTGTTCTCACAATCCAGGTGCATCAGAGACTGTGGCTGATTGGTTCGTACAGTGAAAACTGCACCTGCCTTCTTGAGTAGCTGAATAATCAGCGCATCTTGCTTGGCTACGTTGTCGATCTCGCTCACGAAACCAGCGTGAGTAATCTTGCCACCATACGAGACGTGTTCTTTGACGCTGATAGGAATGCCATGAAGCGGACCAAACAGCTTGCCTGTAGACTCAAAATGCTTGTCAAGAAGCTTAGCTGTTTCCAGCGCTTCATCCGTGAGAAACTCAGTGGCAAAGTTGAGCTGTGTGCATCATTAGACCACTGTCTATTTGCAGTGCTGAGTCAACTAGTGAACTTACAANNGTTGTTGCCCAATCGTTGCTCGTTTTAGAAATGCGATAGTAACATCCTCAACTTTCCATGCACCAGACTGATATTTGCTCAAAAGTCCAGCAGCGGTTTGTTCGGTCATGTGGAGCTCCTCAGCGGAAAGACTGCCACATGTATAGGGGATGTCAGTGACGTTGTATTGCTGCTTTGTCGGAAGTTTATCTGCAGGGAGAAGCCATTGCTTGGAGATAGAGTTCTCAAGAATATCACGACAGACTTGAGTCTTTCTTTCCCAATCTTTTGCTGCGGGCATGCTGTGTGGTGTATGACTTGATCGAAAGCAAATCGCTTGATAGACTCAGAGTTGCTTTGTTAGAGAAGGAGAAGAGAGAGGAAATAGTGCGAGAGGCATTTGAACACCAGTACTGCACTAATCAAGGCAGGATATCCATATCAGGCAAGTTGATGCGAACAGCTCGCCGATAAACTCTACTCCACTCGACCTCCGACGCATATCTTTGGCTACCGCCTCATGATAGGCCTTTGCACGGGCAACTTCGCAACAGCATGTCAGTTGATAACGAGAAGATAAGAAGGGTAGATCGAATGGAGAGGGGGCGGAGGATGAAGAATGAGTGGGCCCGAGGCTTGGCGTGGGCCTTTCGCTTTTCGCGGCGACATCTCATGAGGAAGGTGTCTTCGTCCGCTCTGCTCTCACCGAAGACCACAGGAGGGCGAATCAGCAAGGTCGTGTAGGGACGGGTGCTATCAGATATCTGTTGCATCGATATCTCTTGGCAGTTGAATGTCTCGAGTAGGCCTATCTTCTCCAAGAACAGTAGATAAACGCATTGAGACACGATAGGCATTCATGCATGTAGGCCGTAGGTAGGTCGTTCTTGCCATATGAAGGGGTCGCCAGTCTTCTCGAATCTCGGTCTTCCCGTTGCTTGATTTCTATCCATCAAGATGTCCGGTAACATTCACGACGACAACATCGCACCCGGTACCGTCAGGCTCATCGACGCCGAAGGAGAACTCAATGTCAAGCATTCTGAGGGCCGTGGAGACATCATCCTCGTCCCAACACCATCCGGTCAGCACACTGTTCTATGACTTCGTTTTGCCAATGACTTACTTTCGAAAGACGATCCAGAAGACCCTCTTAACTGGACAAAGAAACGCAAGCTGTTGCACACCGCCTGTATGGTCATGTATACGGTGATGATGGTGTTTCCTAGCGCGGCTGTTTATTCGGTCGCGAAGCCCATTTCGACCTCTACCGGCATCTCCATCACAACGATCAACAGAGGCACCGGTGTCATGTTTCTCTTATACGGATGGTCGACGATCTTTTGGCAGGCAATTGCGTTACAGTATGGCAAGCGACCGGTGTACTTGACCTCATCGGCCGCCTCTGTCGTTGTGATGGCGGTGGCACCATTCTGCCGGTCTTCTGGGACATATCTGGCAATCAGAATCCTACAGGTGTTTCGCCCTCTTCGTTGCAAAGAAGAAACGTTGTACTGATTATCTAAGGGATTCTTTGGAGGGCCGGTCGAGAGTCTTTGTGAAATTAGCATGACCGACATTGTCAGTGTGGTTGACATCATGGTCGCACGAAGAACCCACGATTAACAAGCTATAATANNGTGGTTCGCTCACGAGAGACCCCTATACATCGCATTATACGGTGTATCGCTTGGCGCGTCTGGCAAGCTAGCCCCAGTATTCAGTGCGTTCATCAATAGTGGAATGGGTTGGGAATGGACNCTTGGTTAGTGCTTGCCTGTATTATTTCTCTTGCTACACAACGCTGACGACATACAGTGGTGGTGTGCTATAGGTATCGGTATTGCGTTCATTTTTTGTTTCTTGCTCATGGAAGAGACAAATTATGATAGGCGCACAACGCAATCATCATTGCCCAGCTTACAAGCTAGCCTCGAGATTGCCAGCGAGCCTGGCCTCGTCTCAGAGAAGGTCACTGCCAAGGATGGTGTTCAAGTAGGTGAGCCTACCTCTACAGATAACAAGCAGCTCTACGAAGATCAGCACTCTATAGATGTAGCAGCTGCAGAGTTGGGACAAGTCACATATCCTCGAAAAACATACTGGCAAAAACTAAGCGTCATCGACAAAAAGCGACCAAACCGCATCTTGGATATCATGTGGGCGCCATTCAAATTCTTCACCTTCCCAGTGGTCGTCTGGGCAGGGTTTCAATACGGACTACAGGGACTGGTGTATCCAGGAATCCTGAACGCCACAGCCAGCGTCACTTACACCAACAGCTTCTACCGCTTCTCTAGTGATGCGGTAGGGTTTGCATACTTCGCAGCCGTTGTAGGCATGATTTTAGGGTCACTTTGGGTGACGCTCGCAGGTCCAAGGCTGGTCATCAGACTGGCTCGCCGTAGAGGCGGTATCTCTGAGCCTGAAGACATTCTGTGGCTCTTTCTAGCGTCGGCCGTCGTTGTGCCGTTCGCCCTGATTTTGTGGGGAGTCGGAAGCAGTCACCATGTGCACTGGTCTGGCCTGGTAATTGCTCAAGCCAGTCTAGCCATCTCGAGTACACTCTGCCTGTCGACAGCTATTCAGTATGCGACAAGCGCCTATAGAGACCTGAGTGGCGAATTAATCACAACCATTATCCTTATAAGGAACACTTTGAGGTAAGTACTCCCTGTTTGACACATGCAGACAGGAGGCTAACAGTAGCTCNNAAGTTTTGCCATCAACTACGGCATTAACCCGTGGATCGATACAATGGGCACACAAAACACATTCGTCACGGCCGCTGTAATTGCTTTCGTTTTGCATAGTACTATGTTTCTTATTATTCCTTTTGGGCATCGACTTCGGGAACATAGCGCAAGAAGATACTGGACATATGTCGAGAAGGCCAGGGCCAAAGGGTTGGGCCACTAAATATCGCGCAACTCAGTCGTACTTGTACTGTCCGATGATCTCCTCAAGCACATTCGGCGGAGTGCAGTCCGTAGCGTATTTGTTTATTCTTGCCATTTCCTTTGAAGTGGTCGGTATACCGATCATCTACTTCTGACGTCGGGCAATAAAAACCAGAACATACCTATATAGATGGCGTTCAGAAAGTGTAACACCGCGGAGCCAGCTCCCAGGTCGTCAGGAGAGAAGCATTCTGACGGATCCAGCTCCCTGGAGATGAGCTTGGTGAGGAGGTAAAGTTTGCCGAGGTGTTCGCAAGGGGAACGATTACAGGGTTCGGTTCCGTGACGATCAGCGTCAATAGCTCTCTCCCCACGAGCTGCAAGCTCCAAGCTGTGTGACACCGATGCACCATCTGTCTTTTTCTATCTGACGCCACCAGATACCAAAGTACCCACCACCCTTCCCTAGTAGGCAACTCTTGAGGGATTTCGATTTGCCACGCACCATGACGGTCGCAGCAGCAAGTTGCTGTGGAGCAAAAGCAACAAAGGCTGTCTATCATATGCTGACGAAGACAGCTGGTTGATCCTTCTAGAGACCCCTCATTGTCAACCACACTTGACACGAACTCTAACGAGCTAGTGAAACTAGGGTAGGTATTGGGGCTGGCTCAACGGCTTGATACCTATAAGAGTATCATGGATCTTTCTGAGGCGCGCTGCCCTTGATCTATTTTGCTATCCTTCCAAAACTTCTCCACTATTCTAACATACTACAATCCTCATCAACAGGTACGGTCCATTCTCAAGGACACCATGTATCAGAGATCAAGACGCTCAATCCTTATGTCAGGCTTAGAAGACAAGCAACCATGCATATCGATCAGATCATGTTCGGAACAATCAGAACTCTGAAACCCACAATTGTCTTCGTTACGGGAGCCTGGCACAAACCTCATCTCTATGCAAGCCTTCTCGAAAGTCTCCGAAAGAACAGCTTCCCTGTTATAGCACCCTGTCTGCCCTCTGTGGGTGGGGTTTGCGACAGCTTCTACGACGATGTGAACGTGGTTCGCAAAATCATTGCCGACGAAATATCCCAAGGTCATGAGATCGTGGTGCTCATGCACTCATACGGCGGCATGGTCGGCAGCGCAGCAGTACAAGGATACTCGAAGCAAGAAGTGCCCAGAGGTGGCGGAGTGATACGGATGATATACATGGCAGCGTTTGCGCTGGAAGCAGGACTCAGTCTCATGAATGCACTGAACGATACACCATTACCTTGGTGGCGATCAGCGAACGAAAAACAATGGCAAGCGGCCAACTCGAGCTACATCTTCTACAACGACGTAGATGCCAGCCTGGCAGAGGCGTGCACTGCACAGCTGGATCTGCAAGCAAAAGGATGTTTCAAGAGCAAGCAGACGTATGCTGCATGGAAGTACATCGATTCGACGTACATTGTCTGCTCTCGTGACAATGCGATTCCGAAGCAGGCGCAGGTGGCCATGGCAAGTCAGCCCGGAGGCAGGTTCACAATCGAGTACCTGGACGCTGGGCATAGTCCATTCTTGTCGGTGCTGCATCAAACGGTGGAGATGATCCGCAAGACCATCTGGGAACCGATGTGATGAGTTAGTGGTTAGTCGCGGCGTCTGCGGTATGTAGAGGGTATATTCATGATGTCGATAATGGCAAAGACTCGCGCAAAAGAGCTAACGTGCAATGACTTTGCGTGGATACTATGCCTTTCTATAGCTTTTGAACTCCAGATTCAGCATATGGAGATGATGGTTGAGATGGCAAGAGTGGTTGGAAAGAAGTTGAGCTTCGGGCGTGTCGCGGGAAGTGACGGTGGAGATCGGGAAGTGGGGCAGGACTGTGGTGGAGAAGCAACAAGAGGGCTAGCACATGTCCGGGCGACCGGACTGCACTTCGGACATGGTCTATTGCAATCCACTGATCCTCGGGCAGACAAAACAATTCCAGGGGTCTTAAGCTGCAGGTCGTGCTTTCCCTATAATCCTACAGAAATCTTTGCTTCCTGCTCGAGATTACCCACACCCAAGCAAACCATGTCGACCAGCATCATCACCCCTCCAGAGCCGCGGACCTTGTTCCCACCACTTCTGGCATGTCTTCCCACGGCCTTCATGTCGCCGCGACCTCCACCAGCACTGCTTCCTCTTCTTTCGCCCATTCTACGTCAACGAGTCAACCTCCTCGCTGGCAACACCTCCTCAGGTCAAGGCGGCTGGTTGAACCTGCTTTCCTGGTCGTCCTCTCGCTCCTCGAAACTCGGCGGTAAAGTCGAGAACCTGCAATTAGAAGCCCACCCTGTATCCGGCGAGCTCGAACTCGAAGACATCGACAAGATCAACTACCGAAGGGTCGATGAGGAAACACTGCAGTCCTGCTTGCAGGTCGAAGAGTTTGGATTGTTGCCAGTATACGTCTGGTGCGAGAACGATGCCGAGGGTGGTCAAGTCGGCGGCACAACAGGGTGGAGACTAGCCGAGCTGCGCGCTCTCGAGGACCTCAGCGACGACGTTGCCCAATGGACCAACTCCATCGCCGCTGCAAACGACGTCTTTGAGAGCCAGTCTCACCCCAACGCGCCTGCCACAACCATCCCTCAACAAGCGACAGCAGAGGACGATGACGACGATGACGATTACTGGGCCAGCTACGACCGAACACCCAACAACAGAACTCCCGCCCGCACACCTGCCAAACGCGCTAGTCCCGCTCCTGGCACTGGCCCTTCAAACCTCGCTCCCACAAACGACGAGCTCGAATACTTTGCCCGCTACGCCGCTGAGGTGCAACCCGCCCTCGACGACCACGATCCCGATGAGGAACACCCAGAGACCGCAGACTCGACCCTGCGCGGCGGCGAGCTCAGCACAAAACAAGCAGGGGAACCAAACACAAACCCTGCACCTCCAATGTACGCTGCCGAAAACAACGAGTTCAACAACACACTCCAAGCACAAAAACAAGAGTTGGAAGCACCGAGACCCACATCTCCGGGTAGCAGTGTTGACGTCCTCGAGCGTGGCGCTGAGGACATGACAAGAGCAGAGGTTGGCGTGAAACAGTTTATTAGCACGGAGATGAAGAGCATGTTCCGTCTCGCCAGGAGCGTGGGCATGGGAAGAGAAGAATTCGAGAGGATCATCAAGACCGAGCTTGACGTCTTGACCATGCTCGAAGCCGACGATTGAGGAAGAAACATCCTTCCGTGATGACCACTATTTTGTTCATAGCCGGAGTTCTGTTTGGATATGGGGTATACATGATATCAGCATCGACGGGCATGAAACGTCGTGTACAAGTTCTTTTCTTCAATCGTTTTGTAGGATACCAATCTTCATAGACCTGTGCTCCCTTCCTTTCCTAGTCCATCGCTTATATCGACAATCTAATCTCAAACCATCCCTGCCACCATAAAGCACCTTCCCATCATCTATCCAATGAAAAGACAACTTCCACATCCACTGCTTGCTCCAAACGGGTTGACCTCCACCAACTGCACTTCTCCACTCCTCTTGACCACGATATCGAATGTGAGACCCCATATCTTGAGCATCTGCAGGAGATCAGCCTGCTCAGCAGCAACTCCAAGAATCTGTTCTAGAATGTCGTTGGCAGCACAAAGAGCCCTCTCAACAGTATGCCTAGGCTGAAACGTATCGATCGGAAAAGCCTTGTGCCAGTAATACTGCGAGATTGCCGTGATTCGAGGTTGTGAAGTGGGAAGCAGATGTGCAACAGGCGGCACAAAACAGCGAAACTCTACCCCAGGTGATGGTGTGTTTGTCTTCATCCTTGATGTTCTGGCTCTGTTGGACCAAGGCAGCAAAGTGAGAGAAGGAGTAGATGTTGCGAGGTGGTGCTGTCAGAGGTGTGTCCGGTGGTACGATTTCACGTACAGCGTCAATCTCCTCCGCAGTAGCGTATACAGTGTTGTATCTTGGAGACGAGCACCCTGAACCCAGGGTTGAGGCAGGTGATATCGTGATAGTCAAGTGGTTAACGCAATAGACAGTGAGTGACGGATCCATGTTGTGTTATCGGGATGGCTCGAGGATCTTTGCTGGATTACTAATTCTAGATGTTTGGCGAGTTCAAACAGTCAATTTTGGCAAGCAAGCACGGAGATATGAGAAGACAGTATCTGGATCCTTTGATCGTGGCGGCGTGGCTCCAGTACATCGAACGTAACTCGCAATCAAAGTGACTCACATCAAAACTAACTCGCTGTCGTACGAAAACGTGCTATCCACGTGGCCATGAAGGGGAGCAAGGAGTTTCATAATCTCTTTTCGGTACTGATGCTTGTTTATGACCTTTGATCAAAGAGACATGTCAGATGAACAGAACCAGACCATCTGGTCGAACGAGATTGGGAACATTAAAGGCGTATGCCGCTATGTAAGAAATAAGGGGTATAGAAAAGTCATGAGTATCGTGTTGCTGAGTGTTAGCAGTGCATCATGCAGATGCGTCTGACATAGGAGTATCGTGCTTGCTAGAGCGGTTCGATGACTTCTCGACAATCTGAACACCGTTGCGAGCAATGATACGGTTGATCAGGACACCAGGATGTAGAATGTTGAAGGCGATGACAAGAGCCGCCATGGGTGCACCATCGAGGGCGATGAAGTATCTCTCGGTCTCGATGACATGTCCGGTCCATCCGCCAGCGAGCTCGATTGTACGGTAGATGCTTCTCATGATGATAAGAAGAATGGAGAATGAGGTGACGAGGACAAGAAGCTTCATGTTCCTGTCGTTCTTGAAAGCAGGAAGGCCGAGCTTAGTGGATGCTCTGTAGAGGAAAAGGAAGAACAGAACGCTGAAGATGACGACCGAAGCCAGTTGGAAGTCGATACCAGCAACCATGATGTTGGTGCCGACCTTGGTGTTACCTGGCGGGCTACTGTTGAAAGCCACAGCGGCACTCCCACCACCTATTGCTTGTACCACAAGAGAGATGACATCGACAGTACAGAAGATCCAAAGATACCATTTAGGTCCGATGGGTGAAACTCCAGGCCCAGCAATGGCGATCATACGTCCAAGGATGACATAGATTCCGGCGGTGAAGAAAGTGGGTGCTGTTTATATTAGCATGGATGCCGAACCGTGGTATGACTGTAACAGCTCACCAATGATCAATGTGCAGATTTGCATCAAGAAGGCGTTTGCATTGTAAGGACATTCATTCGACCAGGTTCGGGCAGCCCAGCCCAGTACTTCAGCTGCAAGAGTCAGTCAGCATGTTGGACTACGATAACAACATAAGGCGAAATTTGACGTACTCAAACAACCGACGGCAAAGACCAGATTCCACAGCGCTCTTGTCTTGATGGCCTGGAAGGTATGCGCAACCATAGACAATCCAAAGAGGACGCAATACACAATGCCAGCAGCCAGCGAAGGCACATATCCGTACGCTGTTCTTTGCGATGGGTTGTAGGCCACGCAGCCAGTCGATCCTATGGCCATGACAGCGGTGTGCTCAGTCAAATATCTTTATCTGCAGGAAGCCGATGAATCCGGTGGAGGAGAGTGATGTAAAGACCGGAAGCGACACAAGATGCTGCGATATCAATGATGTGAATGTGAAGAACGAAGAGTGAAAGCGGCGCCTAACCTACGTTTGCCATGGCACTTGCCTGCTTTTCTATAATTTAGGGCCATGCCCGTATTGACTGTTGCGCCTTCCCGAGTTCATGGCATGGAAACGGGTGACGACGCCGGCGGAACATTCGAAAATGGCATCGCTTGCGAGAAGACTAGGCCAGATCGGTGACTAGTGCTTGTTTTGACACTTGACACTTCTTCGCATCTCGTATACTCGCATTCGTGTCTGGCTATCCATGATGCATCTATAGATTTGGATGTTGTCATACTCGCACACTCCAATGTGCTCGCAAGTGTTTGCACCACTTGAGTGTTCTGCACTGCCTGTACGAGGACCAGCATTATGGAAAGCCTGTGCTGAAGCCTCAGCAGAAATACGAGTACTTCACGGCCCGAAGTCTAGTAAGATCAATTCTCCGACATTCATCTGCTCCACTCGGGACAAAAATCGTCCGATGAAGAATACATACTACATCTACTGCCACCAAGCTCAGCCTTGAGGACAATGTGACAAAGAAACGAGCTGATGCGATGCAGAGCGTGTTTGCCTTGTCCCTGTCACGTTACATCTGTGATAGATTGATGTTCGAATGTTGAGCGTGTGAAGATGTACAATATTATTGTTGGTTTCTAATTACAGCGAGACTAATCGTCTCTCTTTTCGACGCCCATCTCCTCTCTAAGCTTTATGATAGCGTCACGAATCATGTCAGATTCTTTCTGGACGCGCTTCAATTCTTCGAGATCCTTCTTGATCTGCGAATGGGGATCCTCGACCACTTTGCCCGTGGTCATGTCGATAGCGCCAAGTCCCGGGTCACGCAGAGCATCAGCAGCTTGTTGAGAGAGCATGTCCATTTCTGCACGAGCGACCTCGTTTTCGTGGTCAAAGTCATCGAGCAGGCGACGAGCATGTTGGGGCTTTGATTGGTTGTCGGGCTTTTGAGGCAACCATTGTTGGCCGTTCTCCAGAGCCTTGAGCTGCAGCCTTGTCTTTTGTGAGTCTGCGATGCACCAATCGAGTCGTGAAATTTCGAGGTAGGTCTGAGTGTGCAAATGACCCATGAGTTCGGCGTTGACGCGACGCTGCTCCCTCTCCCAATCATCCTTGTCGGTGAGATACAAGTCATTCTGCTTGGAAGCAAGTTCGTAAAACAGCATGGATGCTTCTTCGGCCAGACGAGATCGCCTCTCCTTCAGCTTCTGGATATGCGACTCGATCTGCTGGACACCGTCAGAGCCCGGCTGCCACTTGTAGTTTGGTTCTGGGAAGAAGACACGCTCTCCTTCGCGCATCTCACTGAAATGTGGTTGCGGGTCTTGCTCGTCGACGTCCTCCTCTTGAGCAGCCTGAGCGGCCTGTGCGGCGGCGGCATGCATTTCCTTGACCATTGCGTTGTGCGCACCACCAACATTCTTGAGCATGTCGGCCATGGAGGTCATTCCAGGCTGTTGTTGAATGGCATCGGAACTGAGACCAGCGTCTTGTATAGCCTTATTCTCGATGAAGCGCTTGACATCTTCCCTCCACATGTTGCGTTGGGTCTGTTGTCTCGCGATGGTCTCGGCCAGGGTGGCAGAGGTGTTGAAATGGTAGGCCTGGTTGAAGGACGCGCCAGCGAAGGCGCCGCAGCTAAAAGCACCGAGCCAGCGTTGCCAGCCGGTGATGCCCCATGGTTTGCGTACAGAGGCAGCACAGCCGAGGCCTATGAGACCACCGGCAAGAATGTAGTTGTCGGCATCGATGCTGAAGGGGCGGTCGATGATTTTGGACTTGGGAATTTCGAGTCCTTTGCTCTCGAGGTAGGGTCTGGCAATGAGGTGGCCGGCGTAGCGTTCGATACCAACAGAGGGAATGCCGAAGAGGAGGGTGGTCCAGGCAGCGGTCTTGAGACCTTGGGCAGGCGAGCGCTTTGTGAGTAAAGCGAGACCGGCGGCAAGGGCACCGGCGCCACCAGCCCAGAAGGGGGCTTTGGTCAGGGCAGACTCATTGAAGGGAGCGGGTCTGCTGGGATAGGCGGGATGGATCCCTTCCCAGTTGGGCGGTAGAATTCTCATGGGTTATGCTGAGACATGGAGTCTTTGTCGACAAACAATTCGAGAAGCAGCATTTCGGCGATGATGGAATCACTTTGCGCACTGACTCCCTTCGCGTGAAGACGGTGCCAAGCCCTGTTCTCGATCCGCAGCACGTGGCTCGAGTCAGCAATTGCTGTGTGCTACAGATATCTGTTTGTGGAAGAGTCTCGATAAAGACGTGAATATGTTTCGCCCATCTGAGGCTGTCCCAGATGTCTGACACTCTGCTCTTTCACAGCTGCTCAGGCACGCTAGAGAGAAGCTGCAGCGTTCCGGGAAGGCGCTACCGAGCGTTCCTGCCCGGTCGGCTAGATCCGAGATGTAGATCTATCGCATCTCCAAGCTGGTCTCGTCGCATTCTTCAAAAAAGCTACCTCGACGTCACCATTCTCACAGCAACAACCCGTGGCGAATCGCAATCATGTCTGGAGACAGTCACAGTCGCGGTCAGAAGCGCAAGCTTGACCAACAGGAAGGAAGAGAATTGCTCGGCATGGGCGCTACCCTGTCACGACTCAATGGCGACAGCGACGCCGACTCGACCACTCAACCAACACAAGGTGCTAGCGATGACGGCGGAGAGTGGACTACAGTTGATCGCAGTTCCAAGCGCCATAAGAAGAGCATACATCAAAACTACCCTCAGATCACCCATGCGCCGAATGCTCGTCTCCAGTCCTTCGTCAAAATCTCCGACTTGCAAAACCTCGTCCTCTATCTCCTTGCCGACGGCAGTGGCCCTCAATGGATCAGCGTAAAGCACAAGAAGGATATTGAACGTGTCGTGTGCCTGATGGTGCCTGGACTCGAGGCAGACATGTTCAACGCCAACATTAGCCTGGACCCCACTCAAGACACGCTCGCCAAAACTGCCACTCAGCAGCCAGAGCCCAATGTAGAAGACACGCCTCCGTCCAAAAAAGCCNNAAAGACAACAATCTCACCCGACGACTATTATCCTGTCAAACTCGTCTCACCGAAACTGCCTGCCCCGTTACAGCCTTTCGCAGAGATGTTCCCTCACATCTGGCCTGTCAAGACTCCCGGNGAGTTCAACCGCATGCACTCGCCGCTACAAGCACTGTTGACATCTCCTCTACCCAAGTCAAAAGACGAGAAGAAGATCAAGGGTCCCAAGCCCCCGAGAGAGGGCGCGAGATGGCAGAATCAGAGAACTCCCATCACTGAATTCTTAGCAACAAGAGAAGAGCTGTTGGACAATGGATACGCCATCCACCCTGCCTATCTGCGATCAGATGCCGAGCGTGCAGCTGAGAAGGCAAGGCGTCACAAGCACTGCCAGTCAGAAGAGGACGGCTGGATCAACTTGCCTGACATCTCGTCACTCGACGAAGCTATCGTGCCATCAGAAGAGATCGAGCAGGGCAGCATCCTACAAGGCCGTAATGTCTTGACTGTCGATTGTGAGATGATTTCCACGTCAGAAGAGAGATTCGCTCTTGCTCGTGTATCCTTTATAGACTGGGATGGCAACATCGTGCTTGATGAGCTCGTCAAGCCCCCAGGCACCGTGACAGATTACCTAACACAGTACTCGGGCATCACTAAGGAAATGATGGAGCCAGTCACACAAACTCTTGCCGAACTACAGGCAAAACTAAAGGACGTTCTCACACCTCGCACCATTCTACTAGGCCACTCTCTCGACTCTGATCTCCGCGCCCTTCGCATGTCCTTCCCTTTCATCGTCGACACTACCCTCATCTATCCTCATCCCAAAGGTCCTCCTCAGAAATCGTCTCTCAAATGGCTTACCCAGAAGTATCTCTCTCGCGAAATCCAGAACCGTGGTCCTCAAGGCCACGACAGTGTTGAGGACGCAAAAGCATGTCTCGATCTTGTCAAGCAAAAGTGCGAGAAAGGAAAGACGTGGGGTACCTCTGAAGCTACCAGCGAGAGTATCTTTAAGCGTCTCGGCCGTGTTGGCGTGGAAGACGAGAAAGACGAAGGCGGCATGTTGTCAGAAGAGAAAGAGGAGCAGGCAAAGACTGGCCGCACAGGCGCTGTCGTTGATTGGGGTGACCCGAAGCGCGGGTTCGGTGCTGCCGCCACTTGCACAGTGTCTTGCGAGAGCGACGCAGATGTAGTTGCCGGTGTCCAGCGCGTTCTCTCCGGTCCTCAGACCACTGAAGAAGCAAGTACCCCTGGCCAGCATATTCCCATTGGTGGCTGCGACTTTGTCTGGGCACGTCTTCGCGAACTCGAAGCCCTGCGTGGCTGGTGGACTCGCACCACCTCTGCCGACGCCGCTGCCCGTCTCGCCAACACCCTAGCCGACAATAACGCCTCTGAAGGACAAGGTATCAGCACATCTGCTCTCGCCGATGCTGTAACTAGAACCACTGCATCCGTCAAAGCCATCTATGACTCCCTACCGCCAAAGACTGCCTTTATCATCTATTCGGGCGGTGGCGATCCAACAGAGATGCGCCGTCTTCAGTCCATGCAGCAGCAATACAAACGCGACTTCCAGACTATGAAGTGGGATGAGTTGCCCATCAAGTGGACGGATGTCGAAGAGCAAGAGCTCAAGAAGGCGGCGATGAAGGCTAGATCTGGTGTTGGTTTTGTCGTATGCAAATAGACCAGAGGTTGTCATGGTCTGTCCACGAAACGATGTGCTCGTTGCTCCTAGTGTTGAGAGAAGATAAAGCAAAACAAGCATTGTACTGTACATAGCTATAGGCCTGTCGAACGGAAACCTCATTGCTTCTGTGTATATATCATGGGCATCTGACCAAAGACACACCGCACCCTTGCACAACGAGATACTGTGTAATGCATGGTATGATTGTTTTGCCCTCCTCCGCGCTCATACAAGGGCGACCCTGTCTCATTCCTGACTCAAGTTCATCACCAAAACAAACCTCTATATGCCGTCCAACCACCTCATACACCCACATCAGATAGCGATGTCTTTCAAACACTTGTATATGTACTAGAAAGCATGTACCTTGATCTGGGAGATCTCCTCTGGAGATGCAATGTGTTTCTGTCTTATCGAGGTCAGAATCACTTACTTTGGATTTGTCAAGCCAACATGCGCTCAGAGTGTGCATACCTTATAACCTTTCATATACCAGATTAACAATTGTCGGTTTCGTCGTATCACCACGGGTCCATGAGAACAAGGGAAACAGAAAAGTAGAAGCTAGTAGTAAGACCATGTCAATCATACTGAAATCTACCTAGGAGATTGAAAACGATACCAGAGCTAGGTACTTTGTCAAAAAGACCAGCAGACCCGGAGGAGAGCAGTGCCTTGATATGCAGAAGGATAATGATATATGGTGTATCCATGTGACCCGCTTCATATCACAAGATTCGAGGTATGCAGACACTGATGCATGTGTTCAACCAAATGATCGATAGAGTAGAGAAATCGCCATACTACGCTTCCATGCCATGACAGGGCATCATGAAGAATCACAAGGACACAAGGAGTTATTGAGGGTTTTTCTTTGAACATCTTCGTGTCGCAAATTAAAAATCATAGTGGTGACGATACAGATAAGTGGGTTGACCAAAAATGCTTGTACTCGTCTATAAGTCTCGTCAAGGTAAAACTACAAATCGTAATCCCGTCTTCTCAATCTCCTATTGATAAAAAGCAAATAAGCAAGGAGAGAGGTATCTAGTGAATGGTAAAGAACAAAACGCCACCCAGCCCAATTTTATGGTTGTTCCTCCCAAAATCATGTCGCTAAATCGTCAAAGCCAAAAGAAAAAGAAAAGATGAGGAGGAAAGAAGGGGTTTTATCACCTCTTCTCATTCAAGGCCTCGTCTGACTCGTCTTCTTCTTTGACTTGGCCGCGCATCATGGGGCTGGGCATGCCGTTCATACCGCGGATCATGGGTGAAGGCAGAGCGCTATTGTTTCCGCCGTTGTTACCCATGGGGGTGATCAGAGGAGACTTGGCACCGCGAGGGCCGTTCTTGGTGCGAGCGAAGAAGCTGGAAATGTCGCTGTGCCAGTCCTCGTCGTCCATGACGTCGGGGTCCATGTTGTTCTCCTTCTCGGCAATCTTGGAAGCCATGGTTTGTTCCCACTCGTGACGCATCTCCTCAACGCGCTGCTGGTAGTCGAGCTCGGCGTCGTAGTTCTTGCCAACGCCACGGAAGCGCTCCCACACGGAAAGGTGCTTGGGGTGGATGGCGACACCGTGGTATTCGTCACCCTTGCCAACGCGGATGAATGCCCAGCGACGCTCCTGCTCCTTGAGATCGAGGCCGGTGGTATCGGGGAGGAAGAGCCAGGTAACGATGGCACCACCGAGACCGAACCAGGGGACGACATAGAACTTGGTCTGAGTGTCAATGTAATTGTACAGAACAGCGGCGAGAAGAGCACCGAGCTTTCCGACAGCGGCGCTGAAACCGTGAGCGGTAGCACGGATGGGAGTAGGGAAGACCTCGGCAGCAACAAGGAAAGAGACCGAGTTGGGACCAAACTGGTTGAAGAACGAGGACAGGAAGTACATGGCCTGGAAAGAGTGGACTCCAGACTTGCTGGTGTAGTACTCAAAGTTGAAGGCGGGAACAACGAAGAGGATGAAGTCGAGCAAGAAACCAACGATCTGCATCCACTTGCGACCGTAGAGCTTGTTGTCAATCAAGAAAGAGGCGAGGTAGTAACCGCAAAGCGAAACACCGACGTTGACCAGGTTGTACAGCCAGCCAACCATGACGGACTTGTTGCCAGGAAGCAGGACGGCAATGAACTCGGCTTGGAAAAGCTTGTTGCCGTAGAAGAAGACGTCGTTGGCGAACCAGGCACCAGCAGTTGCGATGAGACGAGGACCGAAGTGGGTGAGGGTAAGCTTGAGAGACTGAGTGTCGTAACCAGTGACGTTGGACTTCTTCTTGGCGGCAGCGAGAACCTTGGAGGCGGAACGCATCTTGTAGGTACGGAAGTAGACGAGCCAGAGAGTTCCAACAGCGGGGATGGCGAACGAGACACGGTAAGTCCACTGGGTGGAGGTCTTGGAGTAAGGAGGGTTTCCAGATCCATGGAAGATGAGCAGCAGGATAATCAGGATGACCTGGTTGAGGAATTGACCCCAACCTTGCATCAAGAAAGCTGAAGTGACCTTGCGACCACGGTGAAGACGATCCTCCTTGGTCGAAACCTTTCCAGAACCGACGGCGTTCTCCATGCCCGAGGTGGCTGTCATGGGGTATTCACCACCAACACCGACACCGTAGAAGAACAGGGACCAGACGTAGCAGATGACCCAGCCGTTCTGGGTAACACCCCAGGAGGCAGTGAGCATGAGAAGACCGACAAACATGATGGTGGCATCTTGGATCAGGCCCCAGCGACGACCGAGCCAATCACCAATGATTCCGACGAGGATCTGACCAACAATGATACCAACAATCTCGAGGTAATCGAGGGCAGCAATCCAGGTGCCATTGCAGATGGTTTCATGCTTCCAACAGGCGGCGAAAGCAGCCTGGAGGAGAGGCTTAATGTTGCCAATGGAGAAGAGGACGTAACCTTCGAGGAGCAGACCCATACCAGGGATGACCATGTTGCGCATGTAGTAACCAACGGGACTGAGAGGATCCTTCTTGATCATGGCCCACGTTGCGCTGATCTCCTTCTTGGTCTCGGCGTTGTTGACCTTGTTGACAAAGGCAATTCTCTTCATGATGGGCATGTCAGCCCAGTATGTGCCGTTCTCGTCGTAACTGTCGTCGGGCTTGAGGATGGTCTGGAAAACGCCCTGTTCGTTCTGGCTCATGGCGTAGAGCTGCTCGGTCGCGACGTGGTGGCTGTCCATGTTGGGCCCATGGGGTGCCGCGAGACCGTAGTCGCGTAATGAAGACATGTGGTTGTTGTCCTGGAACTGTAGGACTGCAGTTGTGTGATGTGCGGTGTCGAAGTAGGACGAAGCGTCAAGAGCTTCCCTTAAAAAAGATATGCTTTGAGCTAGAAGATGGCGAGCGATGACGGATGTGCAGGCGATGGAGTTTCTTTTGAGAAGCCTACGAGGTTACAGGCAGGGCCGCTGGCTGCACGAGGTGCTTGTGGAAGAATCGACTGGAGTAGGATGCACGATGCCGTATTTCAAGGAAAGAGAGGTGGGCAGGGAACGACTGAGGTACCGGAATAGACGGAACCTCGAGGAGAACGTGCAACACAACGGAACGTGAGTGGTCGGGAGGAAGAGAGAAAGCACGGCGGCGATCTACATTTGTANNGGGAAACCAGCTCATACATGTCAGGCCGCGGGTGAAGTCCAAGCACCCTCAACCCGAGCTCCAATTTTTCNNTTCTCTGCGCCAGAACGCTCGCCTACCANNCGTACCACTGGCGGGCACGCGAGCACTTGCCAACTTCAGCTGCCCAAAGCGCCTGTCTGGTGGGCCGAACAAGCGCCAAACAACCCAGCGACCATACGAAAATGGGGGCCGTGGGGCAATCGCGTTGAATTCTAACGGACAAGTGCAAATCGAGGTCAGTTTGCGCNNTGCAAATCCATGTCGGCCTTTCGCGACCGCCAAACTCCGACATCTTCTCTCTCAGCAACCAAAGCTCATTTTCGACTGCTTTTTCGAGAAGAATTCTGATGCAGACAAGCGTTTACTACTGACGCCAGAAAGCTTTGCATATGACGAAAACAAGAACGACCGCCGCGCCATCCGCAAGCCTCAACTGCCAAGTGAGTTGAGAAGGTCGGCTTTTGAGGTCGAAGGACAGAGGTTGAGGCCAGCCAATGAGAAGACGTTGTGCCGACAACGTGCTCGAGTCCTTGGTAGGGAAGGCTTCCAGGCCCTGCATGTCATGTGGGGTGGCGTTTGGCGCCGTGCCGATCAATCGTCTGGAGACATCATCCCTACTTTTTTTTTGCATCCAGACAGACGAGCAGCGACAATCTCTATTGATCCGGACGAGTCCTCTTGATATTATCGGCACCTTCGCGGGTTGCGAATCTCGACATCTGTATCATGTTGTCTCGATCATCCGTATATCTTCCCACAACGTCGTTCCACACCTTTGTCACTGCGAACACGCGAACATATGGAGGACGAACGCTCGGTCGGCTCCGCCTAATATATGGTGTTCCCGGGGCTCCCTAGTGAGATTGAGGGGAAAGGTGTTGGTACTCGGCAGGTCAAACCCTGAGACTCGAGTGACATCCTCGTTCGGGCTCGGCTTGATCAGTTTCGAAATTGATATCCACCTCATTGCAGCGACCGCTGGTGGTTGGTTTGATTGAGCTTCCACATTTCATCTCGAATGTCGCAGACTCAGGGTAATTAGCGACATGCTCAGGCGAGCACTCTTTGGAAGGAGCATCCGAGCATAAACTGTCTGTTCGAGGTAAAGGATGCCCAGTTAGAACGGTCCGAGAACCTACCCAACAGTAGCCCACGTGTTTGCGCTAGGCTTGATGCCGAGTCGTCTGCCTTGGAGTCATGGATTGAATCCCTTTTGCATCAACCCTTCGGCAAGGACGGCAGAAGCTGCAGATGGTATGCTTTGTGCGAAGATCAGGGAATATTGAATCCTCATGTAGTCCAATTCCGCGAAGATCGGGCTCGCGAATCGATCAATCGGCCATGTGATGCCGAGGGCATCACAAGAATGCGTTCGAATCATTTGCCGGCTGAGGCGTTATCACGTTCGAAGGTCTGAGTGGCTCTGCAGCATGACTTTCGAATCCGGATATCTGCACATTCCTCTTTCTGCTTCACTGGCAGCATACGTGTTACTGCGCACATCTCCATATACCAGTATTTGAATGGCAGATTGTGTATGACCGCGCAGAGGATGCGTCCTCTTCGTCATGCAGCGGTCTCGAGATGTCATGTTGCAGGTGTTGAACTTCCGGAAGCCAATGACAAGCCTGGAAACGCCCACCTGTTCGGGCTGAAGAACAAGCCTTCGAAGGAAGCAACCTACACACGTTTCCATGCAGAAGTCGTCAACGCAAGGCTTGACGATTAATTGACACGGCGCCGACAACCTTATCTTTGACCAGTCAATCGTCCCTTGGGCCCTCCTTGGCGGAATGGAGACAAGCAATGCGGCGTGTACTTTGCTGTCAGTGACGGTAAGAGGCGCCCGGTAGGCGGCATGGGCGGCAATGTAGGTCAGCCTGTCTGGTTGGCACTTGTACCGCTTGTTTCGACTTCACTCCATCATCTGCCGTTTGCTGTACATCTTCAAGCTCCCTTTGTTGGGTCAGATTTGTCAACCTCGCTTACGCAGAGCTCAGGAGGTGGGCATACTCGACGTTGTGGACACACTGGAAACGCTGATGGTGTGAGCCGTGCTTATATACCAGGGGTATATGTCGACCCGTTGGCCTGAAGTGACTGCTGACTGACGCATTCCATGCAAGCGAGCGTGGAATGTTCATTGAAGAACAGCCCACCTCTTTCACAACAACCAATTCCAGGCGGACCACTCGGGTAGGTAACACTTGCTCCTTCTCTTTGGACTGCGTCTAAGTATGTCGTGAACAGCTAGTCGTCTTATCTTTTGACCTTTAAGGTAGGGCTTGAACATAGTAATTCGTCTTGCGCGCCCCAGTGCAGGCCGCCGTATCCTGCCATAGACACGACAGATCCCTACTTCTTGCTTTATCAATATGTCCTCTACTTTCACCTTTCCCACTCGACCGGAGTGTGCTTCCATCCATCGGCGCGAAGTGAAAAGCATCACAGATCCGAACTTCACATCTCACAACACTCTGCACCTGACCGTCGATTCACACAAAGGCTCACCTATTGGGACTGAAAGAAACTCGAAAAGGCTACAGGTTCCAAATATCATGTGGAAGTGGAGCTTTTATCAAGGTTAACTCATGCAAGACTAAATCTCGCGGCGAATTTAGGAGATGCTCAGTCTGCCGACCCCGAGGCCGACAAGACGGACGATGAGGCTGGCAGCGCTGAGAACGAGGGCACTAAGAATCAGCCACCTATCACAAAGACAACCATAAGACGCCCACGCACCGACAAGTGCTATCTGGAGAAGGCCAAGCTTTTGCCTTTCGGACATCAAACAGATGTGTTCTATACATTATCTTAAACACTGATGGAGACATCGGAGCACATCTAGAACTCAGGCTATACTCGATGTCTACGAAGAGGGTGTACCTCTCGATAGTAGCAACGTCGAGTATGGCAAGCTCAACTGCACCCATCAGCTGACCCAAGGAAGGAAAGGAGGTGCAAGCCCTCCTCGTACGATGGTAGGAATGGGTTGCCGAGGAAAGGATCCCAAGAAACGCAAAGCTAGCGCTACCTTCTAGCTTGTACACTGGATGGAAGCCATTTATACATGTGTGGGCTATGCTACGCTTGCTGATACCATCATCACGCAAGCCATCAACCAGATAGTCTGACCTCGAAGCGTTCTGCAAAAACCGCACAAATGCATATGAGATGCCGACAAAGATGTTCGTGGTTTGTGCAATAGTGAAGGCCGCATATTTCATCCTCTATAATCAATTGCAACCATCGACAGGACAGATATCATCGTCCGATACTAGGATGGAGTGCCCTTGACCGCATCTTCCCAGCAATTCCTCTTGTTTCTCCATGATTCTCTTTATGACTCCTAGTGTTGCTGCTCAATCGCTTCTTCTTTCGCACTCGTTTGCCAGAGAGGTCTCCTTATTTTGAAGTTATCCTGCGATCGAGATGATTGATAGTTGACCATTTGATGGGTTAAAGCGATGCCTACACCTGAAGATACCGTATAACGGAATTACTGACAGCCGTTTGTTCATGCCTTTGCTGACATCGGTATAGAGTTCAAATCCACTGATCAATATCGTCTCCACTAACATAAAGACTTCCAGTGGTGTATCGTCCTTTGCAAGCCAGAAAACTTTTGCGATTGCCTTGAGGTTGAGGTCTTCCGTAATCTAGTAAACTTTGAGGTCATCGTTCCGGTAAGTCCTTGGGTGTGTCTGCCTGCTCTCAAAGAAATTCTTTCCCAGCTGGTGGCTTTTCCTGCATATAGTGCTCACTTGCGCTCTGCATTTGCCTTTTCTGCTAGCCAACAGAATCTTACAAGAACGGGAGAAGGAAAGGCCAAGGCTAGCGTAGTTTGGACACGGGTCTTCAGCCTACCTAAAACTAGATATGTACCACGTCTTCCCGTCCTAGGTTGGAGTTGCTTGTCGGATGCGATTTTTATCTTTCTTTGGACAAATTTCTGGGTCTGGATGCTTTTGTGGATTTCTATAGCTCACTGTCACTTTCACTATCTATGGTTTGAAGTATTGATGCATAGGTAAGAGAAGTGTTGTTTTTCATTCATAGCATAGCGTGGCATCCAAGCACACGTATTCCCTTAAGGATTCTTGTTGGTCATGATCTCATATCATCCAGGCCTACCACCCTGCACCAGCCGTGAAGGGGTATTCCGTCATACTTGTCGTGATGATTGCCCTTCTTCTAGAACTTGGTCTCCTTGTCCTTGATGGGGATGTCGGAGCCGGTGGTGGTCTTCCATTGCTTGCGGATGAAGTCGGAGATTTGCTCGTCCTTGGCCTGCTCAATGGCGGACTCGTTGTCCTNGGTGCAGAGTCAGCGTATGGTACGTCAGCGAACAGTAGAGGATATAAGTACCTGGGGACCTTGGCCCATGAATCTCTCTTGAACGAAGTCGACACNCTGATGATGTGTTAGTATGTTGAGACTAGGTGAGAGTATGGCAAGCTTACCCTTGTCAAGGTAATCCTCGTTCTTCTCGCTCTCGGGACCGCCGCCAGCAGCGGAATTGAGCTTGTTGCCAATGCCACCGAGGAAGCCGCCAGACTCGCCCTGCTGGGTAGGAACTTGCTGAGCGCTTCCTTGCTGAGCAGACTGCTCTTCGTCGTTGCCGCCGGCGAATTTCTTGACAAAGTCCATGATTGATGATTTGGTTGATTGGTGTGTGGGGTGTTTGTGTGTGATTGATGGTAGAAAAGAAAGATCTTCAGGTACAAATTGATGAGGTCGTGTGCTTTATAAAGAAGAGGTGGGATTTATAGTGACGTATCGGGAGCTTGCAGCTAGAGCTGGAGGACCCCGCTATGATCGAGGGAGATTGTGGCAGTGCTCTTGTCGTTTCAGCAGGCGCACTTGGCACTGCTGCCAATCATTTGGGAGTTCTTGCATCCCGAGGGGGTGGATCGTCACAGTAGTTATGGAATGCACAATACTTTCCACAACAGCGTGAGATCCACGGAGAACAAGTTATTCTTATGCATCTCTATGGTCACGTCTATGTATGGAAAGGAACTGTGCATTTTGTAGCATATGATAACATCACATGCTAGTGTGGGAAGAGAGTCGATCAACGAGAAGGAAGTTGGACACAGATGGCGGTCTAGATTTTGGCACAGCCATCCCAGCTGTCAGCCACATGTCATAGCGACAACCACTGTATCGAGACGCCATGCCAACAAAGCACACTCTCCAGATCCGTTGCAGGTTACACCGCTACATAGACTCTTCCTACTCTTCAATCGATCACACTGCAGATATGGTTAGGTGAAGAGAAGAATGAAGTTGACATGTGCTTGCCCGTGACGCAGTGTTCAAACAAGACAAACACAAAAACATCCAACCTCGGTCTTGAAGTCTGGTGAGAGATAGGAATTATTCTGTGTATATCATTCGTTCCAAGAGAACAATCTCCTCGTCTACTCAATTGTCGAGCGACATCCACTCCACCACCTCGCAAACGCCAACTCTCGCTCGATCCACCCACTGAACTGCACAACCACCACCCAAACCGCAAACATGTCAACCCCCAAAATCCCCATCACAGTAATAACCGGCTTCGTGGGCTCGGGAAAAACAACAATGATCTTAAACCTCCTCCCCCAACTCCGCGCCCAAAACCCCTCCTACAAACTCGCCCTGATCAAAAACGAAATCGGCGACTTGAACGTCGACTCCCAACTCGCTGCTGCCGCCGAGATGACCGGCGTCTCAGAACTACTGGGAGCATGTATTTGCTGCACAAATGTTGGTCAGATAGGAGATGCGTTGAAAGAGTTGGATGAGACGTATGCGCCAAACAGAGTTATCATTGAGACGTCTGGGTCAGCGGAGCCCATTAAATTGATGGTCGAGTTGAAGAGGTTGGCGGGGGAGACGGGGAGGTATGCGTTGGATGGTGTGGTTAGTGTGATTGATGTGGAGAATTGGGATGGTTATGCGTCCACGTCGTATACGGCGAAACTGCAGGCTCAGCAGACCGACTTGATTGTCTTGAACAAGTGGGAAGGTCTGTCCGAGATGGCGTTTGAGAGGACGTTGGATAAGCTTGGAGATATGGACGTGGATACACCGCATGTCAAGAGTGACAAGGGCTGGATCAGCAAGGACTTGCTGTTTGGCATCGACGAGAGAATGGCTAGGGATTGGGTTGCTCTGAACCAGCAACACGGCCACGATCACAAGCATGAGCATGGAGATGGACACAAACACGATCACAACGAAGAGATGGAAGCTTTGAGCATTACTCTCACCTCGGCCTCTCCTTCAACTGCATCTCTGGACACAACCAAGCTCGCCAACCTCCTCAAGTCAGCACCCAAAGACGAAGTCTACCGCATCAAGGCTGTCCTACGCACGACGCAAACACCCTCGAACAGCGATGGCACACCCGCAGATGAAGGCGTCGAATCCACAACACTCAAGAGATATATCCTCAACTGGAGCTTCGGCCGCTGGATGTGGACATTGGATCAGACGGAGACGAAAGAGGAACATGTACTGAGGATGAGCATCTTCACCGGCCGCTACGAGAGCAACAAGTGGCTAAAGAGGATTGAGGCCAAGACCTACACCGCTCTGACCGATGGTTCTGACTTTGAGCTCGAGGTCAAGCGTGTGTTGTAGAGCCATGAGAAGTGTTCATTGATGATTGGAAGCTATAGACTTGGTGCACACAGCGAAACGAAGATACCCCTTTCTTTCTAGTCTTTTCATGTTTCTTTCAACTCGAGCAAACGTCGGTATCGTGAGCTGATGTCGCAAACAGAACGGACCCGCCTCCTCCTCACTTTCATGTGCCCTTTTCTCGTGACTTGAAACACCGCCAATTCGTGTACCGAAGAGCCGTGCAGCGTCCTGGCACCACAGATATACGACTCCCGTCTTCGAGCACTATCTGGACTCTGAACAGAAGTCTAGGACACCGCATTCAACCCACCCCTAAACCCTGAACGTGCCATCGTGTTGTGTCGAGGATCTATAAGTTGTGTTAGGAAAGTAGACCTGACAAGTGTTGATCGACTTACGAGTCAAGGACCAGCATTAACCATCGAGTCGACAGAGCCTGCTCTCTCAATTCTCTCGGTGTGGTTTTTGAGTCTGCTCAATCACCTCGCAGAGATTAGAGACTATAGCGCCGTGTCTGGTTGATTCTTCATTGTGAGCATCGATGAGGTTCTGCTCACGGTTTTCAATCGTCCTCTCGAACTTCGGACGGCTTTGGCGGATCACTCCTGCATACTCGATTCCCAGTGCTCTTTGAGGGCCAGGATTCCCTGACGCAGACGCAGAACTTCGATCTGATCTTCCTCGACTACCTCGTCAAGGTACTCGATAGTCTTCCACAAAGCCTCGTTGCTACGTTTGAGTTCCTGATGTTCAGCCTTGAGAGCTTGAGATTTGATCTTCTTTGTGACGAGACAATCTTCAAGGTCTTCATTGCACTCCTGGAGATCGCTCACACGAGTTTCAAATTCGTCTGTATAAAGATTCAACTTCGCAAGCTCGTCTCGTTTTTCGTTCGAGTATTCCTCCCACTGATCCACATTCGCATTTAAAGCAGTAAGATTGCCGCGAAGGGTGTCGTTATCCTTTGACAATGTGTCGATCTCTCCACGAAGCTCGTTGATTCTCTGTTCCTGGCGCAGGTGAACAGTTCTGAGTTCCACGTTGTCGGTTTTGTGTTTTAGGTTCTGGGCTTTCCAGCTTTGAAGTGCGTTCACGCTGTCTCGAAGTGTCTTGACTTCTTTTTCGAGATCTTCCTTGGACTTGTTGCCTCTAGGCATCTTGGAACGCTCCTTGTGTCGGAGTGATATGCGTTTGTGCAGGTGAAGGCCAAAAGATGCGTCGAAAACTGGACAGTGAGACTCGACCAAGGCAGCTGAGTGGTGAACTTGTGGTGAGAGCTGCGTTGAGGTGACTGGTGTTTACCGTGCCTTCCTCGTGAGTGTGATGGTTTAGAAAGAAGGAGCGAACGAACAGGTGAACTGAAAACAAGATGGGCAAGTGCGATGTGCGTGAAGAACTTCGAAGAGAGCCAGAGCTCGCGATGATGTCGTGATGAAGAGAAATGGCACCAGAGTCGTCAAGGTTCAGAAAGAAACAAAGCTGACGAGAGACTCGAAAGAGAAGAGGTAGAAGAGTCAACAAATCGACGTTATGGCTTTAAGACGGAGAACGAAAGAGGAAAGCGCACTCGAATTCCTTCCTAACATACGCGCATGTCGAGCGTTTAATGGCGAAGAGAGAGATGGTTTCTTTGTGCTAGCTAGCTTTTCTCTCCTTCCCTCTCGAGCTATCGTGTACATTGAGCAGAGTTGATCGATATCAGTCTTTCCTTCTCTAACACCATTTCCATGACAGGCTTGAAACATCTGTCTGCTATCCCTTCGGTACATGATGTTGCTACGCCGAGTGTTGGCGGTTTGTGCCAACTCTGTCACGCTTGAGCAGCCAGTCTCTCGTGTCTGGGCGACCCACTAATCTTGTTAGTCTTCGACTCAATGAACATGTGCACAAGGTTGAGACTTACTGAAGGACGAATACCAGGAGGATTGATCGTGCGAGACACGGCAGTGCTTGGACCACTGCTTGGCCGCAACGTATCCCCAGTACTCACTGTCATCTTCAAGGAACCTGTGCTCCGTATGGTTCGTGCAATCAAGGCATAAACCATCGAAGCGCGTTCTGGCCTCCCTGATTGCGGTCACCACGACCTCGACCCAGTCTTTACGACACTTGTGGCACTTGTTGCGAGACTTGGACAAGCTCAGCTGTCCAGAGAAGCTGTCAAGGTCCTGACAGACTTTGTTGACCGACTTGTACCTCTGCTGGTCAATGGGATATCCTTCAGTGTTTTTGAGAGCCTTGAAGTACTGGAAGGAAGTGTCTTCCTTACAGCTGCACGAAGACTCCAGCACATCACTGATTGGGTTCCAAATCATTTTAAAGAGAGAATCTCTAAGATAGCCACGAGCTTGATTAAGGGCGCCTGTATCTACCGTTAGTGGGATCAAACAATCTGATGGATGCGATANCTTACTAAAGACGCGAGGTGGAACGCGCAGATCAGGGTGCTTCTGGCTCTTATGCTCCTTGCTCTTGTGCTCCTCGATATTGTGAGGGTCGTCGTGGACCATCTTCTTGGTGATTGTCATGAAGCCTTTGGCGTGATTGAAGACGAAGCATGGATACAACAGGTTGGAGCCACGTTCGTGGTAGCGGCCATGTCTTTCATACCAGGCTCCAAACCATTCGTTGAGGTAAAGAGACTTTATCTTGAGAAAGCGGTTGGAGACGACAAGTTCCCACAAGTCCTCCCAGTCAAGATCGAGGCTGCGTGCGATGATCTCNNTACCGAGGACAGATGACTTCCAGATCTCGTCCTTACGGTACACGGCGCAGAGGATGACTTCGACGGCACGAGGATCGTGTTCGTCAAGGTTGATGGTGCCTTTGCCTGCCTTCGCGAACTCAGAGGTCGTCAAGAGCTTCTTCATGAGATCAGACTCGGAGTTCTCAATCAGAGTCTGACGGGTGACGTGGAAGTCAACTACAGCATTGATCTTGTCACGGCCGTCTTCACCGGCCTTGAGCGGCTCGGTGTACTCGGTGGCGCGGAGGGTCAAGTCGTGATTGTCAGTGATGGTGACAACTCTAGGGACAATGCCGTCAGAAACTGAGGCGATGTTGGTTGCCGAGGTGTCTTCAAACAGTTAGAAGGAAGGGAGGAAGGGAAGGAAAAGGAAAGAAAGGCACGTACTGTTATGATGGCGAGAGTGGGGTGGAAGGCGCGAGTGCTGTTCAGACCAGCGCGCGGAAAGCATGACTGCTGATTGAGAGTGTGATTAGGCGCAGAGCGAGAAGAGAGGCGTTTGGTCCTGACAGGAAGTGGAAGAATGGTGGCAGGCAGCAGAAATCATTGAAGAGGGATGGCTCAGAAACTAATGGAAGAGGCAGGCAGACGCATGAGGATGGAAGTGACGAAGTTTCAGTTCTGACAGAAGGTGAGAGATAGACAAAAGAGGTTACCTAACCTCAAATAAGCATGTGAAGAAACATGTGAACATGGAAATTTTGAGTGAGCCTCCTACCAAAGCCCTCACAATGCAGTTTCTATGCACAGATGGTCTTGGTCACTCAAAATTCGTCGGAACAGAGTGCTCGATGGGCGACTTGGGCGTTACGGAGGCTCTACGTCTTGTACAATCACTCACGAGATGCGAGAAATGATCAAGGCCAATGTTATCATGTCATCATCAAAGGTTGAATTGGAAAGGTTATGCTACCTGTACAGCCCCATGCCAGCAGAGCTTCTTGTGCTCAACGCCCAAACGCCATCCATGCATGACGATTGACCGCTTACGGGCAAGCGACAGGCTCGTCGTCCTTGTACTCCTCCTCGCGAATGCCGTCCTTGGTGACGACCTTGACAATCATGCCCTTGAAGTCGATGGGCAATCTTCTCTTGAGCTCGTCTGTACACATTCTCAGAATCTTCATGCCCTGCTCGAAGGAAATGTCGGGGTGGTGGTGCTTGTCGAGCGTTGAGAGACAGTAGTATTGTGCGTAGCCGTGGGCGGCGTATGGGACGGCGGCAGACGAGGCCAGGTAGTCGATCCAGTGCAGAGTGGGCTTGTCGTTGATTGTGTCGTAGCCGCCGAGCAGGAGGTTGACAGTGTATGGGCGTTTTGATCTAAGAGCTTTTGCGAGCTCTGTGCGAATGAATGAAGCGGTGGCTGCTGGGTTGAGCTCGATGTCGTTGCGCATGCCGTAGAGCTGGACGTTTGCCTGGACGTATTCGGCGAACTGGANCTGCACGCGATGGGTCAGAAGGGGCGGGTGACATAGTGGATGGTTCAGAGGTGACATACTGGTGTCACCAGCCTCGCCGGTCAGGCCCATCAGTATGTGCTTGCTCAGCGGGCGGGTCTTGTCGTCCGAGGCCTTGAGGATGGTTGCGCCGCGCATGGCCGCCTTGGAAGCGGCGATGATGGTGAAGTCCTTGCCAGTGATGCCGAGAAGCACGTCCCTGATGTGTTGTCAGTACAGAGTGATGAATAGGCAGACAAGCTACTCACATGATGCAGGTATTATGAGATGGTTATTCGATGGAGAGAAGTGACTGTTGTATGCGTGCGACTTCAAGCTTCCAGCCAGGTCGAGCTCTTGGACAAGCGGCCGGCCGACGATGATGCGCTGCTCGGGGCTTTGGCCGCCGACATTTTGCTTGGCGCGGCCATCTTTTTGGTTTGCTTCCTCCGCATTATCAACTTTTTGCGACAAAGGTCAATTCTTTTTTAGTCCCTTTGTATTTCGACTAGAGTCTGTCTGGCTCTTCTCTGGATTCAACATGGCTTACAAGGCCGAGTACAAGACGACTTTCGAGCCCGGGCGTGTCATCCAGCCCATCTATACTGGAGGAAGTGTCGCCCTCAGCCAGGATGGTCGCATTCTTGCATCGTGTCTCGGAGAGGATGCTCTGCTGAGTGATCTGGCTACTGGTGAACATCTGGCTAGAATCGAAGGTGTAAGTTGTACTGCCGGGCCCTCTCAGCGTGGCACTGACGAGTTGACACAAGATTTCTGCAGNGACGGTGAATCCATTACCACTCTTGCCATGACTCCCGATGCAAAGTACCTGGTCCTGTGTTCGCGCAACCTTTCCATGCGTATCTTCTCCCTCAGAACATCTCCCACCGCCGACAGAAGCATAGACGCCACTCTACTCAGGACCCTCAAACCGCATACCGCTCCCGTCGTTGTCGCAGCAGTCGATCCTACTTCTACTCTCCTGGCAACTGGTGGCGCCGATGGTATCGTAAAAGTCTGGGACATCAANGGAGGCTTCACAACACACACTTTTCACGGCCACAGCGGCATCATCTCTGCCCTCCACTTCTTCCACGTTGACTCTTCAGCATCCACGGCCGAGAACAAGTCGCGCAAGAGAAAGAGCAGGTCAGGTGACGAGGATGCTGCGGATACCACTGCTGGCTACCGCCTGGCATCAGGAGGTGAAGATGGGAAAGTCAGAATTTGGGACCTCCATAAGCGCAAGCCCGTTGCCACTCTGGACTCGCACGTCTCGGTTGTCCGCAGTTTGGACTTCTCCTCTGAGCAGCAACTTCTCCTTTCTGCCAGCAGAGACAAGACCGTCATCACATGGGATGCAAAGACATGGCAGTCCAAGTTGACCGCACCCATTCTGGAAACTGTTGAAAGGGCTGGCTTCGTCGCCAACGGTGACTTTTTCTTTACTGGCGGAGAGAATGCAAGAGTTCGTATCTGGGACATGGCTGGTCACGAGAGGACAGAAGAGCAGGAGCCCGGAGTTGAGACAGAGGCTATCTTGGACATCATTCACCATTCTGATCTTCCCTTCTTGCTTTCAATTCATGTCGACCAAACGCTGGTTCTGCACTCCCTGGAGCCCCTCATCCAAACGAATGTGGACGTCACCATCCCACCGCTACCCATCATTCGTCGCATCTCTGGTACTCATGACGAGATTATCGACATGGCCTATGTAGGTACGGACAACTCGATGCTCGCCCTGGCAACCAATCTGGAGGATATCCGCCTGATTACTCTCAACACCAAAAGCAAGAACGAAGGCTCGAGCATTGCAGATGCTGCTTACTTTGGTGCCGACGTAGCTCTTCTCAAGGGTCACACCGACATCATCATCACAATCGATACGGACTGGTCAGGTCACTGGCTCGCAACCGGAGCCAAGGACAACACCGCAAAACTCTGGCGTCTGGACCCTGCAAACAACTCATACACTTGCTATGCCACCTTTACCGGTCATGCTGAGTCGATCAGTGCCGTTGCTTTGCCTCACGCCATTCCCGTTGTCGGCTCAAACGCCCACAGCAAGCCTCTCGAGCATCCGCCAACATACCTAATTACCGGCAGTCAAGACAAGACCATCAAGCGCTGGGAAATCAGCTCAGCCAAGTCGGGCTCAGAAGCCAAGGCTGTTCGTGCATCCTACACACGCAAGGCTCACGACAAGGACATCAATGCCATCGACACATCTTACTCTCAACAAGGCACTCTCTTCGCTTCTGCTTCTCAGGACCGCACAGTAAAGATCTGGGACTTGGAGACTGGTGAGTCTGTTGGTGTGCTTCGTGGTCACAAGCGTGGTGTCTGGTCTGTGGCATTTGCTCCTCCTGGTACCCCCGCCATTACAGGCGACTCTGGCTCAAGCAGTGGCACAAGAGGCATGGCTGTTACTGGAAGTGGTGATAAGACTGTCAAGATTTGGAGTTTGAACGACTACACATGTCTGAGAACATTTGAAGGCCACACCAACAGTATCCTGAAGGTCATTTGGCTCCCCATTTCTAAGAACCCTGGAAAGCGTGGTGAGCGTAACCTGCAAGTCGCCAGTGCAGCAGGTGATGGTCTCGTCAAGGTTTGGGATGCCCAAAGTGGTGAGTGCGCTGCTACTCTCGACAATCACATTGACAGAGTCTGGGCTTTGGCCGTCAAATCCGACCGGTCTGGAACTGCCAAGGCTGCTTCGACAGAGGATGATGAGGAGGCACCCGAGCCTCCTGTTGAGCTCATCTCTGGTTCCGCAGATGCCACCCTCACATTCTGGACCGATACGACTTTGATGACATCGCAAGCCTCAGCATCTCGTGCTACCGCTCGTGTGGAACAAGACCAGGAGTTGCAGAATCACATCCATGCCAAGAACTACCGTGAGGCCATTGTGTTAGCTCTGCAACTCAACCACCCCAAGCGTCTACTCGATCTCTTCACTCGTGTGCTGGAATCAGAGGACAAGGATGAGGATAGCTTGACTGGTGCCAAGGGTGTTGATGAGGTTTTGGGATCGTTGTCAGAAGAGCAGCTTTGGAAGCTTCTGCTCAGATGCCGTGATTGGAACGCCAACGCTCGTACTGCACATGTCAGTCAACGCATTCTTTATGCACTCTTCCGCTTGTATCCCAAGGAGAAGTTCGTCCAGCTGCGGCGAAAGCGAGCACCTAAGCCTCCGGTGGCCGATGAAGATGAACTGGCTGAGGGTATGGGTGCGCTCGAGGTCAAGGACAAGGTCAAGAAGAACGAAAACGTCAAGGATGTGTTGGAGGGTCTCAAGGCATACACAGAACGACACTACGGACGCTTAGAAAAGATGGCAGAGGAAAGATGGGTCTTGCTCTGGACTCTGCAGCAGATGGATTCATGATGGAACTTCGTATTTATCTTCTGCAAGGTGTTTGGAGTTTAGGTCATGTCTAGGATATCATGCATCGTAGGGGAGTATTACCATGTCAAAAAGCATTTTTCTTTCTTCTACTACCAATACTCTTCAATCTTGTTTCAGCTGAAATTTCACAAGGCATGCAAGGGCTCATGTCCGACTACGAGAAAGCACAGGATACTTGATGTTTGACGAGCTTCCAGAGGAGTGCATTTCATCTCACGCTCTCTTTGATCAAGACTGCGCTTTCCTTGACATTCTCCGTTGAGACGGCCGACAAACGAACTTGTAAACAAACGGAAGGTTCCCGTCCGTCCGACTGAAGCAAGCACTATCACAACACTTCGGCGTTGGCTCCTTCCACCAACACAGCTCTCGGCTGACTCCAGATGTCAACACTGCACTTTTGCATGCGCGTCTTCTCTTTCCATCACATCACAACCACCAACATGTCGCACGACTTTCCCAAGGCCGCAGGCCAGCGCTTCAATGGCCATCACATGGCTACCACCAATCCCTTCAGCTTGCCGACACGTCCAGCTTCTCAATGGGAAGACACTCGTGATCGCACCAGCGAGCAGCTTCACGAGTCTGCCATGTACCAGTTCGGCCTCGCAAGAGTCCCAAGCACTTCCACTTCTACTACTGGCTCGAACAAGACGCGTGCTACCCACGCCTCTGACCCGTTCGAGACCATGCACCAGAAGTGGGAAGAGCGCGGTTGGCTTATTCAGAAGCACGAGCGTCGCCTCAAGGACAGCAACAAGCTGCTATCCAAGATGTGGCGCCGTCTCGATCCATACGGCCGCGTGCTCGAGCTTCTGGAGAACAACATGACTGTTCGTCGCCATGCCGAACGTCGCGCTGAGCCTGCGTTCAGCGAGCACCATGCCATGCAGGATCTCTTCTATCAGCTGGCTGCATATGACTACGTTCATGCCATCGACCCAAGCCTTTTCATGGCAGCCCCTGCCTCCCACACAGATCCTGCTTTGACCGAGAGACGTCTCAACAGCCTGGCCAGTACCGTCAAGATCCAGAGTGGCCTCCTGCAGGAGAAGAACGACACGACCGAGAAACTTCGTACCCAGCTCGATACCCAGCGCAGGTCTCATCTGCAGCAGCTCAGCGCGCACCAGAAGGACGGGGACGATGCTCTCGATCGCCTTGAGAAGCAGTTGCAGAAGGCCAACACCAAGATCTCTCGCCTGATGAACACTCCTCCGATGTCAAAGCCTATCGCAGCGCCTCGTGCTCCTCGCCCTCGCCCTTCCCGTGCTCCCATCGCGAAGACTCCCGTTGCGAAGGCTTCTGTTGTGAAGGCTCCTGTCGTAAAGGCGCCTGTTGCCAAGGATCCTGTTGTGAAGGTACGTCGATCGTCAGTCGATGCTGGACGATATTGATTATTCACAGCTTCCGGAAACTGCATTCGGCGGTGCACCCGAGAACCACACGTCCCTGACCTTCGAAGGATTCTCCGAGCACAATACCTTCAATCCTGCCCGTCTTCTGATGTTGACCGCGGTCAACCCTCCGTCCGAGCGCGCCACTTCAATGACTGAGGACGACTTTGACGTTGGTCCCCTTTCTTCAGGGGCCAACTGTGCTCCTCTGGGGCCTCCCAAGAAACGCTACGACTCTGCTATGCAGAGTTCGCGTAGTAGTCAGGCCCCTACTCCGATGTCCTTCCAATGGTTGTCCGGTGGTGACGCTCCTAACCATGTGGAGCGTGTCGGCCCCAAGAGAGCCGTCTCCTTTCTGAACTACGATGATCCAGAGGATGAGCCGGAGGACACCACTAAGGACTGCAAACGTCTCAAGTCTGGCGCTCTTACTCCTCCATTGCCTGAGGATCTCGTCATGGCCTCCACCGAAGAAACCGGTGGTGGAGTTCCTATCAAGCATGAGACTGATCTTGAGATGGGTGAGGTCGAGGAAGCACGTGGTGGCAACAAGTACGCTTACGAGGACCTGGATGAGATGATCGACCAGGCTCAGACGAAAGCTATGGATTAAAAGGTGGTGTGAGTCGATAGGCGTTGAGCCTAGGTACCTTAGATACCAGCGCAGTTTTAGCTAGCATTATATGTAAATATAGATAGTGTTCATACAGGTTTCTTCATCGCTTCATGTCATGCTTGTGCACATTTCAATTATATGGATGAAGAGAGCCATAGGAGTCGGTAAATCAGACTAGGTGCAACGATATCTTCTTCTAGCCCTCGTACATTCTTGAGAGGACTCCCTTATGTATCTGCAATGGTATATGGTAAGGATGGAGTGATCGAGCGATAGTCATATGAACAGGCAGGGTCATACATACAGCATTAGCATGGCGAAAAGGCAAGTCGAGCCGAAGCGCGCGGTGTTCGTGTAGCATCGCGTCTTCCAACAACATTTTACCCATAACAATTGCGACCATACAAGGCAACCTTCGATTATGCAAATGAAACGGAAACGAGGCAACAGAGAAGCCTCTGGAATCGTCAAACGTACCAAAATCAGTAGTGATGCTATCGATCGCGATCCTCAACATACTCCTTCCATCCTCCGGCTATACTATCCTCAAGTCCTGACTCTACGGGAATATCTTTTCCAAGCCAAGACNAGCAANAAAAAAAGACGACTGATTCTCAACTACGGATCTGATACGGTGAAGAGCTCTCAAGAGACAGATTCTGCGTTGGCCAAACTTCTGGACACTATTCTTGTTGGATGCCACAATGTGAAGACGGAAGAGGATGATACTGTCGAATACCAGAATGACCTCAGCATATTTTCAACGCAAGTGTCCGAGTCTACGGCCAGGTCTTGTGGCTCACAGGCACACCTCCCCTTTGCTGAGATCGTCGAGTTTGTTATCTGGCGGCTCTTCCGTCAACATACTTCTGGGCATCGTCCGCCTCATGTTCTTTGTCACGGGTACTACTACGATGGTCTTGGAGATGTCAGGATCTCGGTAAAACCAAATCTTGAAGATGATCGTGAAGATCCCTTGCTAGACAGGAACGAGCATGTCGACAGACTAAAGGGAGAGGGCTGGGCTGGCTTGACGAGGTTGGTTGGAGCAAAGGGTACCGTCACGCTTATCCAGCTTCTACAACATTGTGGCATGTTTATGCCTCTCGAGGGTGGAAGAAACAACTTCATCCAGATCAGTGGCGTAGATCTCTCTGAGCTTCGGACCGTGGACAAGAACAACCCCTCGGGGGGTCCAAAACCAGATGGTGGTGCAGCTTTGGCGATTTCTAACGCTAGCAAAAGCAATACTCCACCCAGCCGTGAGGCCAATACCTCAAACATGGTTCGGTTTGTGCGACACCGTATGTTGTACGGAAAGCCTGATCTCAACGCGAAAGGAGGAGCGTATTTTGGTCTTCCTCATATTCGTATGTCTTCCATATCCCACAACTCAGATCCACGTCTGACTTCTGCTAGATATCTTGAACCGTATCGGAAATGACGAAGAGGTAGACAAGAATGCCCACCTTCTGAAGTACATCTTTCCACGACAGTTTGGACTGCACAATGTCTTCACTTATGCAGTTGATATGAAAAACTCAGCTCAGCCATTCAAGGACTATACCCTACGCGAGCAGGAGATCAAATCAGCGAGCCGAACTTCCAAGCAGCAATCTCTGCCAAAGCGGCTACGTGGAGAGTGTGAGACTCTCGTCGGCCATCTGCGCACCCGGCATGGCAGATGTGCTTACTCGGCATTGCTGCAGTATTACTGTCCTGATATGTGGACACAGGGCGACAATACGAACAGCGAAGACCACAACATCATGAGATTGGCATCATCCCCTTCCCAGGTATCGGCATTCTGCAGATCGGTAATAGCCAAAGTGTTTCCAGGCAGATTTTGGGGCGGGGGAGGTGGGAGCTGCGAATAAAGCGCATATCATGCGTCAGGTTGACCGCTTTGTCAAACTGGGCCGGTATGAAAGTCTGATGCTGCACGAGATTACTCAAAGCATAAAGGTATGGAAGACAGATATTTAAGCAGACAAATACTAATCACCAAGCAGATCTCAAGCATTACTTGGCTCAGACCGCCGAATGAGCCAACAGGTAGCAAGATGTCAGCCTCCGACTTTGCAAAGCGCAAAGAATTACTTGCCGAGCTTCTCTATTATCTCTTCGATTCTTTCCTCATCCCTCTGATCAGCAGCAATTTCTATGTTACAGAGTCCTCCACTTTCCGCAACCGGCTCTCGTACTTTCGTCATGATGTTTGGCAGAAGTTGTCGGAACCGGCTCTGGCTGGCCTAAGAACGTCCATGTTTGAAGAAGTCGGGCAGGGCAAAGTGAAAAAGACACTCTCAAATATGTCTATTGGTACTGGCCGTGTGCGATTACTTCCCAAAGAGACTGGCCTTCGACCTATCATCAACTTGAAGCGCAGAGTACAGACCAAGAGAAATGGTAGATTGGTACTCGGCAAGAGCGTCAACAAGATTTTGACTCCAGCTTTTCATGTTTTGAATTTGGAGAAGGTATGTCCTTTCTCCGTCGGCTTGAATATGCATATCTGACCAAAGGTAGACAATTGCGCCAGAGAGGCTTGGTGCATCGATGTTCTCTTCCGACGAGATATACCCTCGCTTGTACCAATTTCGGAATCAGTTACAACAATCTGGGAACGCCAACAAACCACTATACTTTGCAAAGGTTGACGTGCAGTCTTGCTTCGATAGTATACCTCAGAAACCATTACTGAGATTGCTAAACGCCTTGATCAGTGCAGAAGGATACACAATCACGAGATATGCCCAGGCCAAAGCCCTAGGAGACTGTGGTTCTTCCGAAGACCAGCCTACAATCATGCCAAAAGCTTCATGGAAGTTCAAAGGCAAGGCACAAATCACTGACCAGAAAGAGATGTTCTCCGATCACGCTCGGAAAGAAGCCGAGGCTGCTTTAGGTACTGTCTTTGTGGATCTCGAGGGCAAGACACATATGAGCCGTGCTGGTATCCTTGCGTTACTCAGAGAACACATTGAGCGCAACATCGTGCATATCGGTAAGAAGTTCTACCGGCAGACTACTGGCATACCACAAGGCTCAATCGTTTCGAGTCTGTTGTGCAACTTCTTCTACGCCGAGTTGGAACAGAGAGTATTGGCTTTCTTGCAGGATGGTGAAAGTCTACTTCTCCGGTTGATCGATGACTTCCTGCTCATCACCACTAACCACGATACTGCAACCCGCTTCGTCCAAGTCATGCATCGTGGACTTCCCGAGTATGGACTAAAGGTGAAAGAGGACAAGTCGAAGGTCAATTTCGATGTACAGGTTGACGGAAGAGTTGTTTCCAGACTATCTGCAGCTACCGAGTTCCCATACTGCGGTAATGCTATCAACACGGTCAATCTCAACATCACCAGGGATGAGACCCGACGACAGCAAAACAGTACGCGCTCGTACAACACACAAGACCACATGCATACTGACAAGCTCACAGATATGGCGGCAGCCACGACAGTCGACTTTTCAAGATCCCCAGGACAGAACTTTTACCGCAAGACATTCAGGTGAGTCTTGACACGACATATATCAAAGTCGCACAGGGCGGCAGAGGGGAGACGTTGAAACCAGCTGACGTACGTTTGTGCGATAGCATGTTGAAACTGCATATGCACACCATGCATTTGTGCACCCGGCACAACCACATTGGAACCGTGATCGCCAATGTATCCCGCATGTTTGCAGACACGGCGGAACGGTGCTTTAACTACATCCGCTGTCTCTCTCAGACGAAGAAGCCATCCACCGCTCTGATAATCAGTAAGTTCGTTGATTGATATCGCTGTTGGTCCAGACATCACTATTTGTTCATGGCTACGTTTCTGTGGACGTTGAGCGCCGAGAGATTGTCAGAACCAAGCGTTGATCGACATGTCCATCCACGGCATCGTTGATCGTGTGTCTTGACTCGATAACACATCACTGATTCGAACCGCGCACTGCAGAAACCATTGATGACTTGATACGTGTTAGCTACGGGCTCATGAAGCGCAAGAGAGAAAAGAAGAGCAGTGACGTTGAATACGCATGCGCTCTGAGCAAGACACAAACACGTTGGTAAGTCATTTGGTGATGCAGACGATATTTCCTCGCAACGGCGATCACGGTGAATGATGGAGGAGACAGTCCGACAAAGAACTGGGGCAGAGCGAGAGCTTTGACACCGTCCTTCGATGCTCTGTTCTCCTCCTTCTGCATCTGTTCCGCCCGCGGGATGGAAATAACTCTATTGATCGCTGAGGCTTGTGATTGCCATGAAATCTTGATGTGCTGATGACTTGAACCACCGCCAAACAGGCTGGCTTGTCACTCGTTCGAAAAGACATTTGCAAGACGTCAGACTGGCTTTTGTGGCTTGCTGTCTTGGCTACAGCGGGAGATGGCGGAAGCGGGATTAGCTTTGAAGGCTAGAGAGAGGCAGGCGCTTCAGAATGCGGGTGTGTAGAGGCAAAAGATATCACCTCCGAGGGCATCTTCCTGCTTTGCAAAGACAAGGCGCTGAACCAGATGAACAAGTGCATGCCGTGAAGACAGGGCAGAGGAAGAGGACTGGTTGCATGAATGCACCGTCGAAGAAGCGCAAGCCCCCGCGTTTCGAGACACGGGTCGTGCGATCGCGATACACACGATCAAAACGGTGCTGCGGTGCTTGCCTTTTGCGGGTGCAGGTTTCCTTGATAAAATGGCGGGAACCTGGCTCTGCAGGTGGAGGGCGCTTCGCATCATCATAGAAATGACAGCGCTTTCATGCCACCCATGCCACCCATGCCAGGGTTTGGCAGCAGCATGCATGATACTCAAAGCTAGATTTCGTGACAAGGAAAAGGCAATCAGTTTCAGATACGGACAGTCAAAAGCCATGCTCCCCTCTTCCCCTGACAGGAGGATCACCTATATAGCAACACACACAACAAGCAGTGGCCGTTTTTCATCTAAGGAGATTTGCGCAGCGTGCAGCAGTCTCGGCACAAGATTCACAAAAGACCCGCAGGCACAACTCCCTTTGGCGCCAGGAACGAACGGCCGAAGCCCTCTTGCACCCTAAGGATGGCTAGCGCTTTGACATATTTTGTTGATGATCCATGCCGCCGTCTGGAGGCCGTCGAGGAAGCCTCTGGACCGGACGTCTTTCTTTTCAACCAGCCGCATCATCACCACCACCACTGTTCTTCTGTTTTTCCTTCCTCACCCAGATTTTTGACGTCCCATTCCCTGCATCATTTCCAGCTGCCCGTCGCAGAGGCCAAGCATGATTATTGGGCCTTTTTGAAGCATAGCCAAATTCCATCAACAATAGCAACGCCCCGGCCTTGCGTCCACTCTTTTCTCCCTTGCGCCAGCCCCAACAAGACAATGACGACCCATGTAAACACGACTTCTGCCACAAATACCATCACCAGGAACATCGACCGAGATACCAGCCCCGGCTCCCCACCAGAATTGACTGGCTCCAAGTCTTCCAAGTCGTCGGGCTCGCTCCGTTCCACCTGCTTGACCAGTCAACCCAGCCACGACAATCTGTCTCACTTCGAGGACATCGCTCTGGCCGACTCTGGCAGAGATGAGGTTGACGACCTGCACGTTCGAATCACACAGAGGAAACTCTCAAACCCGCGTGTTCCTCCACCACGTCGAGCCGTGTCCGCCGCTCCCCACAATGGCCGCAGCCCTTCTGCTCCTGAAGCCTTGCGCGATGCGACCAACACCCACCGTCCTCGCTATCCCAGTCTGAAATCGCATGTCAATGCTGCCACCAACTTCAATGCTCGTCCCATCCGCCGAGGCTTTACTAGTCCCTCAACGCCTTCGCTCGTCATGGGAGCAAAGACTCGTCCCTCGAGGTCAATCTCTCCCAACGGCCAGGCTCTTAGCGACGGTGGCCGTTCNCCCACATCTGCAACACAAAGATCGCTGGCCCCTAGGCCGCCATTGAGGCCAAGAAAGTCAGTAAAGGAGCTCGAGGCCGAATACCACGATTCCGACGAGGAGGTACCCGAAGATGCCGTCATCTGGAATGTCCCCATCTCTCCACGCCCTCCAATGCAATCGACTCCCTCGAGTCCCACCAGAATCGTTTCTACCAGTTTGACCCCAGAACTTCAGTCGACAGACAGCAACAAATCAATCAAAGAGGANAGCCCTCGCTCTGCCACACGGCCAAACATGCATCACAGTGCTACTGTTAGCGCATTTCCACCGGAGCCTGCCTCGCCCAGGCTTCAACGTGGCAGAACGTGGAAAGAAGATCTCAGCGAGGAAGCCCGAGAGGTTGCCGCTGCTTTGGAAGAGCACGCCGAGCGCGTGTCGCAAGAAAGACGTCGCTCCACCCGCAACAGCACCAATGGCAGTCCTCCTCGTCCCTCGATGAAGCTCAGAACGAAAACAAGCGTTATAGAACTGCCACCGCTGCAGAAAGGAAATGTTATGATCGACCCATTGCCAATCAGCAAAGAGAAGGAGGCTGTACTCACAAGGACGCGTCCATCGTGGCTTCCACCAAAAAGCCAGAAAGAGGAGAAGAAGCACATCAAGGAGTGGGAGAGGATGATGGCCGCAGCCGAGGCGGCCGAGAGGAAGCGTGTCGCCAAAGAAGCCGAACAGCAGCAACAACGCAAACACGTCGAATCCAACATTGCACGCATCTGGGAACAGCACGTTATTCCTAACTGGGATGATGTGGTCAAGGAGCCCAGAACTCGTGAGCTTTGGTGGCGTGGCGTCACACCTAGAGACAGAGGCACTGTCTGGAGCAAGGCTATTGGCAATGAGCTGTCACTGACCGAGACTTCGTATGCCAACGCTCTCAAGCGCGCTCGTACGCTGCAATCTTCAGTCAACAACCTTCCAGAAGAGGATCGTTCCAAACACGCTGACGCAGGTTGGCTGGCTGCCATCTCACGCGACGTTCCAACTGTCTTTCCCGAACTCGGTATCTTCGGCCCTGGTGCACCCCTTCACTCGACTCTGGAAGATGTACTACTCGCCTACTCTGCCTACCGCAGTGATGTCGGCTACGTCTACGGTGCCCACACGATTGCAGGGTTGCTTGTGCTCAATATGAGTGCTTCGGCTGCGTTCATCGCCCTTGCCAACATGCTGAACCGACCACTGGCTCTCGCCTTCTTGATCAACGATCAGGCAACCGTTTCGCGAATCTACTCGACTGTTCTCTCTACACTGAAGTACAAGATGCCTCGTCTGCACGAACACCTGACAAGTCCCGAGACTGGATTCAATGGCCCTGAAGAATGGTTGCACCCTTTCCTCGCCACCCTCGGCACGCAGCTTCTCAGTCCGGACTCCTGCAGTCGTCTCTGGGATATTGCTGTCTTCGAAGGCGACAAGACCTTCGTCCGTGCAGCTGTTGGAGTGCTGGCATTGCTTGAGAGCAGACTTTACGGGCCCAGAGAAGAACTCCTATCTCTTATCGGCTGGGGCGCACGCCCACTGGACTGTGAAGAAGAACAAGTCATTGTTGCCATCCGCGAAGCTGGCAAAATCTCTCCCCACAACTCGACTTCTGATCTCAATGGAAACAAGCGATAGGGCGCTGACATTGTCATCAAGAGACGAAGACTTTTAGCACGAAAGAGGAGGCTGGTTCTTTCCCTAAGGTAATGTGTTTATGAAATAGCAAAAAGGGGTGTTGTTTGTGGTGTTTTGTTGTTTTCTTTGCGTTTGCGTTTGCCTTTTTCTGTTTTTACACTTCATGTTTATTCTTTATTTCTCCCTAGGCCCTTCTTCACAACCACTTTCGCGAGGAATGGCCAGAATGGGCCAAAGGAAGATCACCAACCTACCATTGCTCCATTTTTCCCTTTGTTGCTCATCACCAACATCATCATCATCATCATCGTTCATCAGCACCACTGCGGCATCGTCATTTGTTTCGTTTTGCTTTGTTGTCACAACTCATACACGGGTCGTTGTGTGGGTGGGGATCCGAAGATACGCGGATCCTTCTGGTTTTCCATTTCTCCATTGCGGGTAACTTGTAATGGACAGGGGGTAGAGGGTCGGAGGAAGGAGCGACCGGTGTATAGCTTCTTTCCCAGTCTGCAAAGACGAATGAGATATTATTACCTTGAGAGAGTTTTGAGCCAGTTGTTGGTGCTTGTGAGACTGCAGAGGCAAGTTGTGACTACGCTTGTGATTGAGTGAGATCCATGCATGCATTCAGGGCGCGTTCGCCTTCCTGCTTTCACTCAATGGGTGTGTACCAGTAGCTGCTTGCGCGTTCGTAAACTCAATTGCAAGGGTATGTTGATGTCAGGAGCGTGCATATGTTGAATGTTTCTCTCCTCCCCATGTGCTAAAGCTTGTGATTCCACCATGAGAGTGTAGAGCGAAGTGTACACTATAAAAAGACAGAATTCTTTTCCGCAGCAGAGGAGTACCCAAAGAGAGTCGCTAAGATGTTGGCTCTCAGTTGATACTGCCTGGTTTTTCGATAGCACTGTGCAATTCTACAGCTACGCGCGCTACATAGTTTAGCATACGGAGAGGCATAAGCTAGCTACCAAGCAGTGCATCATAATCTGGAGGTTGAGGCTGCTGACAATATCTTCGAGGCATCATGTCGTATTTCTCGCGTGATGGCTTCTGCACTCATGATTTTCTTGACAAGACCAATGCCCGTGCCGGCATAAGTCGTCAACCTCGCCCTCTCGCCCTCCCAACCTTGATCCCCCGATGCCATTGCCTCATCATACAATTTCTTGTTGTCCTCGAAACTCACGCCAGCCTCGTGGTCTCTATAACTGGCATTTAACACACCACGGCCTCCGTATCCAGCAGGCCATTCTGTGGTACCGCGCAGTTGATCGTATACTGATGAGCGTATTGTAGTGGTTCCTCCGTCAGAAGCACGGAGGACAGCGTCGCGGTATCCAGGTGCGATGGTGGCTTCGTTTGCGGCGAGATATCTGGTTCCTAGACAGATTCCTTGGGCTCCTAGACAGAGGGCTGCTGCTGCGCCTCTGCCCTCGCTGATGCCGCCTGCAGCCACGAAAAATGGCAAGGGTATAGATGGAGAAGAGGTGCAGAGTTCTGTTATGGCATCGATGGTTTCGGGGATTAGAGAGATGATGCCGGCACCTTGGACTGCACCGTGGCCGCCGGCGTCGGTGCCTTGAATTACTAGCACATCGGGGCTTGCGAGTTTGACCGCTTCGAGGGCTTCGCGGACGCTGGTTACTTGGATCCAGATTTTGGTTTTGTTGTGTGTAGCTTTGCGGACGCCTTCTGTCCAGTCTTTGAGTTGATTTGGTTCTCGCGGTGCAAAGAGCCATACTGCTGCAGGTATGTTCTCAGGTTTACTGAGGATGGCTAGAGTATCTGCTAATGGTGCACCCCAGATGAGGAAGCCTACGCCTATGGGTAAGACGCCGGTGCTTGTGGATACGTTGGCTTTGGTCAGAATGTCACGAGCTTGGGAGAGTTCGGAAGATAGAGCGCTGATGTCGCTGCCTGCGCCTATGAAACCGAGACCACCGGCTATGGAGACGGCGGCTGCAAGAGACGCGTTGGCTATCAGGCGCATTGGAGCGCAACTGATGAGTGGAGATGTGGTCCATGGATATGTTGCAGTCAGGGATGAGGCCATATCATCGTTGCTGTTATGTAGCAGAGAAGACATAGTTGATCGGTGAAACGATACTGGCCAGAGCACAAATTCACATGCCTTACCTTTCGAAGGTTATATGTCTTCATATCAAGTCTACCTGCCTCTCGACCGTGCCTCGGGAATGTCGTTGTTTCTCCGCAAAAGTGCTGATGATGTCGGCGAGAGCGGGAACGGCAGGTGTGCCGTTCCCGGGGTCAGACCGCCCGGCAGTATCTTTCGCGATCGTCAACGCCGAGCTTCACTTGGTTGCAACCTGAAAGAGAAGTCAAGTAACAAAAAAGTATCCCATACCAACGACTACTGCCATCACCCGCGCACCTCCTACGCATAGCATACTTAACAAAGAACATCGATACACGCGACAACATACCTCTTCTCGAAGAGCCGACATATTCTTCCTCCCGATAGCAGCTTCCCTGTGCGACTGCAAACATGAACGCACCAGACAGGTATGCGCCGCTCTTTCCTGTTGCTCGCTCCTTCCATGATTGAAGAAACTACGCTATTTCTCCTTGGGTCCCTTGTCACGCGCGACTGCTCAGTTTCTTGCCTTCACTTTCCCAAAGCCCGCTGCCTGGTCGCATTCACATAAATGGCTTCCTTTACACCTTCTTCCCTTCGTTGCAATCGCAATCCACGATCTATCAGTTTATGATCGAGAGACTTGATTCTTTTCTATACACACACCCTCTCTGTCGCACTCAATTACACCCCACATCCACATCACAAAGATGGCACCCGACCACTACCATTTCATGGGCACCCCCGTCACCACCCTCCGCGGCCCCAAAGCAGACCACGGCGACGTCGCTAACGATGTACCCTCAAGATTTGAGCTCTTCCTCCTCGGCGACGGCGAGAAGAAAGTAACCTGGGCCCCGAAACCCGTAAGCTCTTGCCCTCCACCTTAACATCTCCCACGATCTATTCCACCTCTCTGACTATCTCTTTCCACAGGTGTCCCCGACGCAGCAGTCTTCACCTTCAACAAAGAAGACCACACCTCGCCAACCTCCTCCGCTCCAAACTCGCAAAGTCGCCCAACATCCTCTTCTCCGCTTACAAGGTCCCTCACCCCCTGTTTGCGACCTTTGAGCTGCGTGTCCAGACCGATGGTTCCCTCACACCAAAGGATGCCATCATCAGAGCCTGTGGAGACTTAATTCAAGAGTTGCAGAGACTGGATCAAGAGTTTACAAAGGAGTGGGAGCTCAAGAAGATTGCTGGTCAAGGTCGTGATGGACTTTGAGAGTTTTGCGTCAAAGAGAAGCGACAAAAGATGGATTGAAGAACTGAAGCGCTGGAGGCTGCGCTGAGCAGAGCATGACAAAACTGGAGTTTCGGGAGTTTCTTGCTGCAAACAACAAGGGTAACGGAGGGAAGCACACTACACAACTATGCATGGCACAGAAGAGAGATTCTCTTCTTTTCTTTACAGAAGGAGGCCATTTCGAGCCAATCAGGTATTATTCTTAACCTTGCTCACATCACACAAAAAGATACCCACGACACAAATATCAAAGAATCTGACAATGATGACCGTAAGATTTCGTTCTCTTTTGCATGTGACGAGCAAGAAACAAGCAACGTGAGAACCTATAAACAAGGCTCTATCACGAGCCACTTGAGAGAAGATGTGTTAAATTATAGAAACCATGTGGTCAACTTCGAGATCTTGTGTGCTCAGGACAGTCAACAACCTCTCTTCCCGATGCCAACAAGTGCTATAGTATGCTATAAAAATGCGCACTTGCTTGCTGAAACAGACAAGTGACCATGAAAACAGCTCTAAGATGATCACTCTTCGTGGAAACTTTCTTCGAATTAGAAAGTATCATGCATTCAAGGCTGTTCAATCCTCCCTCTTTTAGCATGGTGGCAAGGAAAGATTATATAACATCAGATATTTGTGGTTATTCATCTTGCTATAGCATGAAAAGAAGTCGAAAGACACAAGGACGAAATCAAAGGGACGACTCAGAAGATCGTTGGCCATCCTTCTCTATGGAGCAAGGTCGATAGCTGGGTTCCTCTTGCATCAAGAACAAACCAGTCCTCCTGCCTCTATTGCAGCAAGACTCGCCACGAACTGTCGAAGGACGAGAGTCAAAGCCAGATGAAAGAAACGGCAGTCGTCAACAACCTTAGTCCTCTTCCTCCGAGCCGGTAGCCCAGGAGGGAGACCAGCTGGTCTGAGTCCAGTCAGATTCGTTTCCGCTATCGCTGTCGTTGTCCTCTTCCTTCTTTCCAACAGGTGGCTTTGCCTCCTCGAGAGCTTTTGCAAGCTTTCTGGCTCTTCTGGCCGCCCTCATTGCCTTCTTCTTTGTGGCTGCTGTACCAGCTGCCTCAGCAGCAGTCTGGTTTGCGTCTTCCTTGGCCGAAGTGTCTTCGAGCTTGACGCCGCCGGCCTCGTCGTTGTCTTCCGTGTTCAGAGGTGCTTGCTTGTCGGCGTCGATGCCATGCTTCTTGGGTTTCTTCCTGCTGACAACTTCAGATGCACTGCGCTGCTGCTTAGGGGAGGATGTCTCTCTCTTGACTTCCTGAGCCTCTCCGTTACCACTCCAGGTATACACCAGGATAGGGACGTCACGCTTGATGGGGTAGCATTGCTGGTGTCTGACAGCCTCCTCGACGGCAATGCCGCTGCGAATCTTGTTAACGTATGTTCATTGAAAGGGCCTTTACCAAACTTACTCCATAGCACGGAGTTCTTCGAGGACTTTGGGAGCCAGACGCTTGATCTCTTTTGTACGAAGGCTGAGATTGAGGGCGAGTAGCCACTTGATGACGAGATCTACGTCGAGATCTTCGGCTCCTGGAAGATTGGGTTCGGAGTTTAGATGGATTGCGATACTCTCGGCAGTGATGCTGTCTTTGGAGCCCTTAGACCACGAGGCAGACATGTTGATGATCTTCTGATGTTGTGGTGGTATTTTGGATGTATGGTGGTAGAAAGTCAAGCAAGGAAAATTGACGCTGGATGGTTGTGTTTAAAGGAAGAAAGGGAGTGAAGAAGAAGGCGAGAGTTGTGGGAAGATGATGCAAGCGCCTTGGAAGCTACTGCGTGTTGGCTGAGAACAGAAGGTGTGGAAGAGTATCGTGACTTCCAGGTTTTCTCTTGCGTCGTCTGGACGTGAAGAGACGGAATTGGAAGGCGTGACGGAGTGAGGGAAGCAGTGTTGCTAGCAATTCGACTGTTTGGTTCGTCGCTTCCCTGAATTGCAGCTGTCTCAGTTGTGAAAGGCCTTTGACGACTTCTTCGTGTCAACAAGATTATGGTTGTCGAAAGAGGAAGGAGATCCCTTCCACAGGCATATAGTGCTATGATGTGCTTCTAGAATGCACAACCGCCAAACCAGATTGAATGTATGTCCACAGGGATGGCTATAAGACAGTATCTCTCCTTTGACACCGATTGACCTGGAAAGGTATTGTGCATTTCCATAGCTACACCATAACAGTCTTTAGCACATATAAGAAGGACGAGAAAGGGAGAGGATTCAACAGTGACCCTGAGCTTGCCACAGATTCGTTTGAGTGCACTTTCTCTCTCCATCATGAGAAGAACTGAACAATTAGCACGAGTGATTATGCCAGCGAGCTATTCAAGAACCGAAGTAAAGCAATGGGAGAAACAACATACTATATAATGCAAGAAAGTCGATATCCTCACATCCCTCCTATAAGTAGTCTGGCTGAAGGGAGAACCCCGATCCTCTGTACAGGAAGTAATTTACCGCCAATTGCAATGATTGTATACGCCGGGAGTAGTAGCGTCGGAGACTCTACTTTTGCACCGTTGAAGGTGGTGGGTTCGACTCCTGGCTGCGACCATATCTCTTCTTGTTTTGCAAGAATTGACAGCATTCTTTCATTGTTGTTGATGACTCGGTCTGGCATTCAGAGGTTCTGGTGATTGATCGTTTATCTGTTTATCATCACCCTAGGCCTTTCCATCAGTCTTCTTTGCGCCAACAGGTCGAACCATAACCATGAACTCATGCCGCGGCTCATCCTTCGCCGCCGGCGCATACTTTGCAACATCAAAATCCATGTACTCCCTATCCTCAAACCCATACCTGGCATACAATGGTCTTCCCACCTTAGTAGCTTCCAGATAAGCCTGCACGCCACAGCGATCCGCAATCTTCAAACCTTCATCCAAAAGCAAAGATCCGACACCTCTACGCTGGTACGCAGGATCAATGGCCAGAACTCTGAGATACAGATATGGCTCCAAGCCAATGTACTTCTTCTTACTTGCCGTCATGGCCGCATCCATGGCATCCAGTAAAGTGCCATTGGCGCCAGGTGCATGACCACGAGGAGGCTCCTCAGCAGTTTCCTTGTCAATTTGCTCTTGCGTGCGCGCAANAGGCTGTAAGCCCCAAATCGCAACACCGACAACCTTCTTCGCAACCTTCTTCTCTTCGTCACTCAACTCGTACTCTGCTCTGTGTTCCCAAGCCTCTGGAAACAAGAGGTCGGTTGGATCGGCGGGTGTATCTGTATCATAGGCCACGAAAATGCGTTGCCCTGCTTGAGTGTCCGAGGTGCTCAGGTTGGTCCTGTAACCATGAAGATTTTCGCTGAAATTGTGGATGAGATCTGCCTCAGAGACACCATTAGGAAAGATATGAGGACGTAAACCAGCAGAGAAGGCGCCCTTGAAGATGCGTTCGCGGGCTGGATAGTCTGACGGCGTTCCCTGGCGGACTTGGATGGGCATGTTGCTGGTGTGTTGCGTTGGTTTGTGGTCCTGAAAATATTATGTCGTTGTTCCGATGACGAGAGATCTTGTACGGTCCTGGAGAACTGAGAATCAAGATCCAGATATGTTTCCAGGCGCTTTCCAGGCGATTCCCTATGTCTTGCAAAGATACAGATCAAGGTTGATTCTAGCGTCAGAATCACAGATTCTAGAAAGATGATGAATGGTTTCTTTGCTAATTGGATGACAGGGTTCTAGTATTTATCTTCGAATTACAGTCCACAGATAAGTCACAGAAGCATAGGACTTGGTTGAGTCATGAAGGACAAAAAGTCGTTGCCTTGATGATAATTAGTCAGAAAGATGAGGAGATGAGGTCGTCCGGCAGTTTGGCTGTTCCTTCTCGCTTGCACTTGCCGCATACAGCCACGTCCGCCAATGATGTAACCTTCCTATTGTGTACACCGCTGCGCAGGGGAGAACTATGTACAGCTCGTCTGGTAATCTACAGTAGCAGTGAACATCAGACGCACAACCATTATCAAGAAAATAGTTGAATCGACATTTATTCATCGCTGTCTGCATTTTGCCTGTATAATACAAAAAAGGAAAACCTGTTTATCAAGGCCAAAGAAGTGCAATGCCGAAGAAGGGAACAGAAAAAACATCTTGTCATCATGTGAATGTGGAGAAGAAACAAACCCCAAAAGAAAGAAAACAGTTGTTACACTCTGAAAATGCCTCCAAAGAAACCATCTCAAGAACGAAAATACGAAAACTCCTCGCCAATAGAATGAAATGTTCGTCAAGAACAACAACGCCGCTTCACAATGGAATGGATGACCACCAATCGCTCAATGTAAACATCTTCCAAACTCCCCAGAAAATATGATGAACGAGAATCGAATGTAAGAAAGGAACCGGTCCGGTGTGGTTTATGGTAACAATGGTGAAAGAAAAGTATGCAGAAAGGGCAATGTTGACGCGTGAGAAGAAAGTCAAAAGGCTGGCGCGACTTCAATAGTATGCGCAAGTGTCCTTCAGACAACGATCTGGATCAGGACGTCCAATGTATCCTGGTCTGGGCTTGACTGGGGATGGTGTCTTGGGCGGCTGGTGATCGCCAAAGAAGTCGGGCTGGAAGCAGTCCTTACGCTGGCCCCTCGATGACCAGACGATGCGCCATGTCTTGGACTGAGCCTGCTGATACAGCCAAGGAGGTGTCCAGGTTGGTCTTCTTCTTCTTCCATAGGAATCCACCTAAGATTCTTGGGAGAGGATGACAAAGTGCTGTTCCCAAATCCATCCAAGTGAGTTGGTCGGGTCATCTTGGTTCTTTGCAAGCCAAAGCTCGCCCTTCTGCGCAACGACGTCAAAGACTTCGCCTTCGACGTAGGTCATATATGGGTAGCCTGCTTCGCGTCGGGCTCGATCGATGTTGAACTCGAACAAACTGGCGGCCACAAACATTACTGGCGCATCGATTGGTGCATGCTGTGGCGACATAGGACCAGGACTGACAGGAGCATCGGACATAGGCATAGCCGAGTTGAACATTCCAGAGAAGCGCGGTTCTTGATGCTGTTGTTGAGAGCTCACTGCAGAGCCAGGGCGTACGCTAGGACTACGCTTTGCAGTGTCCAAGCTCATGCGCGAAGACATGCTCTTCAGATCCGCAGGACGCTGCGCAGTCGAAGGTCTGTTGGCAGAGAATGAAGCCTTGGGTACGATGCTGGGCATGCGCGAGGGAGGGAGACTGCTGTTTTGGCTCGCACCCACACTAGGAGCGCGACCACGAGTAGACAGAGATGAGCTGGACCGCATCCTACCATAATAGCCGGGTTGGCCAGAATCAGGCAGTACTGGAGATCCTGTCGCTGAGGTGAAAGACTTGTTGAAGTCACTGGGAGTGAACAAAGGCTGGTTCTCGCTGCCGATGGACATGGTCCTATGACCGTTGGGCAGAATCGAGGGACGTCGTGTCGAAGCTTGAGAGGAGATAGTCTCATCACCAACCAGAGTGGTCTGAGGTGACAGGAAGTTGAAGCTGTCGGCAAGCAATGCGCCGTTGCAGATACCAAGGGACAACACTTGTGAATGGACAAATTCGTACTCGTCAGCAAAGGCTGGCCAGATCTCGTTATAACCAGCGTATGTGAAGTCAACGACCGGCGCGAGCTTCTCTTTCCACAACCACCACCATTGAGATTGAAGGTAGACATGGGTGTTCAGACAAGCTCTGACCAACTCCGACTGCAGCGTGTAGAGTCGGGGCAAATCAAGTTTGAGTTGCTCGTTGAGCGCTTCATAGACTTCTGCGGCATCGACGGTTTTAGCATCGGGTTTCTGACCCTTTTGCTGCATCGCCTGAAGTCGGGCATAATCTGCGACGCGCTTCTTGCGCTTTGCTATCAGGTGTTGGGGGCCAGCATAGAGCTTGAGACATTCGAGCATCGGATTCACGACATGTGCCTGGACCCGGGCTTTGTGATCTGGTAGAGCAACAGTGCAGAGCTCGTTGATAGCAAGGATGAACTTGCGGAACTTGCTCTCGATCTCAGGGCAATTGTTTGGCTCGCATTCTATGTATTTTTGCAGAGCGTCGGCAAATCTCATAAAGTGAGCAACGGGCTTTTCGAGCTCTTCCAGAGTGTGTTGAATGTCTCGCATGCAGATTTGCAGCTTCAGATAGTGCCCGTTGAGCGCTTGGACTGCTTGGTCGAACTCAGGATCCTTGTGGGCTTCCTCTGCTCCAACGCGATCCTTAACGGTGTCCTTCTTTGCGAGGAAGACGGCAAGGGCACTACGGGCGTTGGACTTGGCGCGTTTCCTATGTACTTCTTGGACGTATTCTGAGCGCTTCTTGGATTCGTTGATTCTTTTGCAAACTGCAAGAATACCCTCATGCGAATGTTTCAACGGTTTTCGGTCAGGATGATTCTCAGGCGTGTGTTTGAGCAAGTCTCCAAGCAAAAGACTATACTTGAGAATGCGTTGCGTGGGCTTTACTAGCAACGAGTCCAGGTTCCAGGCACCAGTGATATCGCTAGCCATCTTCTGACACTCTTCAAGCCAAGAGCTTACGAGAGGTTCTGTCTGGATCCTCTTCAAACAGTTGTTGGCGTTCTCATGATTCTTCAGATAGACCTCGTAGACGTGCTCCATGCGAGCCATGTGCTTGGCAAAGACACCACCAATCGTGGTCAATCGGTCCTTGTCGTCGTCTATGATCACAGATGTTGAATTTCCATCGCTGTTTGAAGTCGAGAAGCTGCCCCTCTTGGGTTGCCAGCGAGAAGTCTTGGGCGGAACATAAATTGGCGCGGCGGCCTTGCGCAACGCATCGTAGAATTCGAGTGAGAACTTCTCGACTTGGTCGACGTTGCCAAAAAGGGTCTTTCTGTCCTCTTCAGAAACGTAATCGCCTACAGTGTCCTTGTAGATGTCCTCAATGATTTTCATGTCTTGATGATGGGAGTACTCAGTGTCTATGACCTCTTGGACAATGTGCCTGCGCTTGGTAAGGCGCTCGGTCTCTGGATTGGGAGATGGAGGCATCGTTGCAGGGGGCGGGCCATAGTCGACAGACGGTCGAACAGAAGACGACTGGAACGAAGACATTGATTGTGAAGGAGGTAACGGGATCATCTCAGGCTTCATCGACTCCATTGATGGACGTGAAGGTGTTGAGAAGTTCCTATGGCGTTCGTCTTGTGTCCTCGACCGCGTTGAAACTGGACTTGTCGGATGACTGGTGAAAGTAGGTCCGGGAGAAGCGTCCGTGAGAATGACCTCGAACGGCAACTCCTGTCCGTTTGCAAGTGGGGGTAGAGGAGGTGCGTGTTCTGGCAGTGGTGGTTGGGGTCTTGCGGTGTCCGCAGAAGAGTTGGACATGGTGAGTCCAAGCCCAGTACCCATAGGAATTTCTGGCAGTCGAAGTCTATCTGAGGATCTGCTGCTACGAGACGAAGGCAATGCTTGGCTCAGTGATCTCATCGACAGCTGGCCGATACTTGATCGAGGTGAGTAACCATAGTCCTTGGGTGGGGGTGGAGGTCGATAGTCATCGTCGTCGTTGGCTGCACCAGATGTAGTGTCCGGCAGAGCTGGAGTCGTCGTGCCCGAATACTCGGAAGCAGGAGTGCCAAGTTCGTATTGAGATGCAGGAGTGTTGACCATGATGCTAGAAGGAGAGAAAGACTGCAAGTAAGAAGTGTCGTTGAGAGCATCCTGAGAAGCTCTGGGCAGACTCGCAGCAGACCGTCTGTATGTAGTGCTGTAAACAATTGCAGTGCCGCGAATCTCCTCTTCTGGTGTTTCCATGTTTGTGCGATCGGAAGGATTATACGAAGTAGGGGACAGATAATCAGTTACCGATTTCCTCGGCTGAGGAGAACCTGCCTGTTCTCGCAGTATGCTATCCAGAAGGAATCCTACAGAGTCCGCATCGTTGGCTTCAGCTTTGGAAAGGCTGGGAGAGAGCGGCACGACGTGCTGCTGGAAGTCGTGGAGCATCTGAGGCGATACGGAGCCGACCTCCTGGTACTGGCTGGTGATGCGGTCCACAGCCTCGCGAGCTTGACCATGCTCGTTCCAGTCAGGTATGATAGCCAATGCTGAAGCTCGGCCTGCACGCTTCGACTGACGTGGAGTTTTGTCTTCGTCCGGAATGAGGTTTGCGGACGTTGTGGCTTTAACGAAGTCGGACTTTTGGGCGTCTCGGGCTCCGCTTCNTTCCAGATGTGCAACATGCGGCAACTGGCCGATCCAGGGCGACGAGAGTCCGACCTGAGCGACGTCGCTGGCAAAACTGTCTTCATCCGAGTCAGGAATGCGGTAAGGCACAGAGACGCGCTGACTGAGCAGTGATGGGGNAGAGTCAGGCTGCCCAGAAGCGTGGTAGGGTGCTGGAGAAGAAGGCAGATCGGAAGACCAGTCCTCAGCCTTTGATACCGGTGCGACGTCGTCTTGAAGCACGATGTGGATTGAAGCACGATCTCCATTTTCCGAGGGGGTGAATGATGAGCCCTCTTCAAAGTCTGTATGCGAAGCACTCGATACGCTTCTCTCCCGCATCTTCATGACCTGACTGAGAAGTGTTTCTGGCGCCATGTCCTCGGTCGTGTGCTCTCCAGTCAAAGACTCATCGCAGCTATCCGCCACAGCCTCCTCCTCTTCGTAGATAGCATCGCTGACGAAATGGTTTGGCGGACTAGAATTTAAATCTGAGTAGGCAGGAGCCTCTGGAGTGCTGACATGGTTAGTCGAAGGTAGCGGCTCTTCGTCGTCGATGAAAGCACCAGGGATATTGCGTGGGGTGGTTGGAGACAATACACCAGAGGCCTCGGACAAGTCTGGATCGGTGTAGTCGACTTCGGTTTGTTCGGTGTCGGTGTATTCAGCGTCTGTGTGCTCGAAAGAAGAGTCCATGTCCTGGCCGTTGCCGCTCTGGTCTTCCCGGTCATCACTAGCCGTGTCATTGATGTTACTTCCACGTCTCGAATCGCTACCACTCAAGCTGTCCCTTCCAAACGCATCAGCCGAGTTGACGCTGAAGGCACGTTGAATTTTCTCCTTTCGCGCGGCAAGATCGATATTGTCCAGCTCTGGAATCTTCTTCTTTCGGTATCTAGCAGGATCGTTGCTCTGCGAGGCAAGCGAGGACTCAAAACGCTGACCAGATCGAGCACGTGAAGCGGCTGTCGAGGCGGAAGAAACAGGAGGCCTAGGGCGTGAACTTCTTAGCGGAGGAGACTTTAAAGGAGGGGGTGCATTTATGAAGGCTTTGAGGCTGTTGCCCACAAGAGCGTGTCGCTGATGCAAAGAAGAATCGTACCGTGTGTTGCCGAGAGTGGGCAGGCCTAAAAGACTCGAGCCGGAAGAAGAAGCACGTTGGGACGATGTGTGGCGGGAACGAGGCGATGAGGGAGCGGGGAAATGATTGACTGACTGGCCCATCTGCGAGATGTGGCGTGAGGTGGTAGGCGAAAGAGGCTCCACGCTGACGGCACGTCTGGAACTGCTGACTGGGATACGCGAGGGGCTGATCAACGAAGTCGAGGCATTGCGAGGCAATGAGTTGTAAGAAATGGGGCGGATTGACAGTGCAGAGTCGGCTCCAGGTCCAACATAGTCGCTGCGCACACGCCTGTGGGCAGTGCTAGGACGCGAGCGACTTGAATGTAGAGGAGCGGGTAGATGGTACTCGACGTTGGAATGCGATCGCTTGTGGAGGCTCGAAGAGTGTGCCGAGGAGGAGCTTAAGCTACCATCAGAACCTCGACGAGGTGCTAGAGAGAAGAAGCTGTCATGAGCCGGGTCATGGGGAGCATGGCTGTGGGCACGAGATTGGTCAGGAGCAAGCGAGGCAGGCGTACGGATCTTGCTGCGGCGAGTGGGGCTCTTCAGCGGCGAGATGGTGTCTTGGGNGGTGGTAGAGCGGGCCACGGGAGAGGAAGCGTTGCGATTTCTGGTGGGCGAGCGCAGCGGGCGCTGGAGGCGGGAGCGCGGAGCGACTCGTGGAGGTTGCACGGGTACTTTGTCTTTGGTGGATTGCTGATTGAAGCGATTGACTAGGTCTTTGATAGATCGGTGGGACGTGGCAGTAGAGAGCGAGCGGGGCGCATCAAGACGAGGTGAAGTCGTCGCAGCTGCGACGGGGTTGGACGCTGCACGTGTAGACTCGGACGACAGCGGATCCATCGTGTCGTGGTTCGGGGTAGTTGGCTGGAGTGGAAACGGGAGCAGTTGCTACAGCGGCGCCAGGTGCATTGCTTTCTGCTCAGCGGATGCTCATGGCAGGATGGCAGCACAAGAAGCGTGTGCAGACGTGTGCGTGGTCGTGGGCGGTGTATAATAAGAGGCTTGTTTGCTCTGGCGTTGCGTTTGTAAAGCCTTTACAGCTGCTGGACGATGATGTAGTCTACCGCGCGGGCCGTATTGCTCGCGATTGCTTTGGGTAGACAGAGGGCTATGCGTAGTTTGTGGTGTTTATGGTCCCTTGTCTTTCTCGGTCCTCGTCGGCGAAGAGTACAAATTGTCGGTGGTTGCACGATGGAGATGGTCACTTGTCTACCTCCGGACGAATTGCAGAAGGAAAGNNAACGGCTGCTCTTGCCTGTGGTGCCAGTGCACTTGCNCTCGACTCTATCACTACAAACGGCTGCTTGGCCGCCCCGAACAAGNNGAAACTGCCGCCCATGGGCCATACGCCGTCCACCCGTGCCCCCAGTGCTGTCATCCATCANAAGACAATCAATTTTCATTTCCTTCAACCCTCCATGGTTGTGCCCAAGACGTCTCGGACTACTGCCCCTGCATTCGATTACATATGCATCTTGACCATCGACTGGGCANNTTTCTGTTTCCGACCTCTACCAAGCAGTCTTGCTCTATCTCAAGCATTCGGCATTCACCCCATCTGTTACAACGTTCGCGTTTCACTTCCCTCGCTCAACTCTGACCTGTTTGCTCTTTCCCCGTCTCGAGTAACCCTGAGCCCCTAGGGCTTGTACGACTCAAATGACCACTCAGTTGTGCTCCGCTTGCTTCCTGACCTCCTTTCTTGTTTCTGACACATCTCGTGCAGCAAGATTGTTTCTTTTGTGCTCTGATGGCTTTGACCAAATTACGTTCGCTCGAAGCTGAACGCTTGCATGTCGACTTTCATGACTCGAAGTCAAAATGTTTAACGTTTCTATAGTCCCCGCGGCAAGCCAGCCACTAGTTCGGTGCTCCAGCCTGTTGCTTGGAGGGAACACTCGCCTCGGTCCGCTGTCGGGGATTTTGTCCCCCAGTCTTTCATGCAACACTTCACGTTTTCGACAACTATTCCAGTTTCTCCAGTAGGAGAACGATGGGTGGTGTATGAAGTTGAGTGTCTGATTGCAAGCTGTTGGAATAATTCTATCGAAAGCAGTCAACTCGAGAAACGCCATCTTCCTTGCTTTGAGGCCCCCTGCATACATCATTTCTTTTTGCGCCGCCAGCTTCTCCGGCCTCCATCAACCTCAATTCGTTCTCGATCTTTCTGTGCGCAAACTCGAAGGGCGGATACAGGAATGGACGAAGATCATAGCGGTTGTCGTCGGGTGCATATTGCTCGGCATAGTATGCTGGTGTGATGGTCGTCATCTTGTGTCTGTTCACACGGTAGTAGAACATGAAGTCGCGGACCTTCTTGTACACCTCTTGGGGAGTATGCTGGTCTTGCCAGTCGACGCAGAGTTTTTCCCACATCGAATAGAGACCGAACTTGCGAACCTTTCTGAGATATCCGTAGACCGATAATTCCTTGTATGTCATGCCCATGTCGACTTCATCGGATTGGACATAGTCGCTTGTGATGGGCTCCAGTTCAGCGGTGGGAGTTGCGTCAATGAACTCTTGCAGGATCGGTAGCTCGAACGCATGTTCAGCCCATGCTATGAAGCGGATCAAGTCTGTCTTACTGATGCCACCGATGGGGTTGATGTCTGCGCTGCTGCAGTCGTACTTGGTGAGATAACCACGAAGAGCTTCATCGACGTTGGCCGATCCGAGTACCAACAAGCCTCCTTCACGTCCCCGAGTGGTAGGCAGGAGTTGGCCAAAGGCGTATGATAAAATCATCCTCGTACGGCTCTGGAAGTTCTGCAGTGCGAGATTCTCCGCCTTGCTTCCTCCGTGGACTTTGAACTTGGGTTCAAAGTTTAGAGTGGTAGACACGAGGTGCTTGACAGCATTGAAAACTTCGTCGATATTACAATCAATGTGATGGGCACCGATCGCGTTGGCGAATTTTTCAGCACGACTACGGGTCTCTTTGCTGGACTGCTCCTTCATACCCATGAAGGCGGAAGAGAACACTCTACCGCAGAACTGCTGGGCCGACATCTTGGTTACATCATCGTTGGGACAGAGGCGAGATGCGTCTTTGATGACCTTTTCATCGCCTTCCTTGATGGCTGCAACGACTAGCCTGCACATAGAGAACACGATGGTTGCAGTTGCGCAAGAGTCAATACCACCACTGAGAGGGACGAAGTAGCCCTCAGACTTAGATCTTCGCAGATAATCCCAGAGCCAACAAGCAGGGCCAAGAGCAATCTCTTCTTCGGGCTTGTGGTAATGTGGCTCGATCGCCTTTGCGATCCGAAGGTTGCGGTCGGACTGGCTTTTTTGAGTCATGGCGAAGTCGACCTTGACACGCTTGAATTCGTGAGCCTTTATTGCTTGCATTCCTCTGCTACGAGATTGGCGTGCGGACCAGATGTCATCTAGGTCGACGGTAGATGTGATGACTTCGATTTCGCGCAGGGAAAACTGGCTGCCCTGGGCGACTGTCTGGCCATTGATTGCGATAAGGGAGCAACCATCGTAGTACAAGCGATCGCCGTCGCAGCCTCTCTGATTCGAATACATATAGACTCCGCCTGACTTGGAGGCATTTGTGATCAGATTGATGCGTGTGTCGAGCTTACGCAGCTCATGGTGAGATCCACTAGAGTTGAGAATGATCTCCGCGCCATTAAGAGAGTACTGTATGTGGGGCGAGTCGGGTGTCCATAGTTCTTCGCAAAGTTCGGAAGCGAAGGTAGCGTCCAAGGTCTGGAAGATGATGTCTCCAATGGACACTTCGGTCTGCCCGGTGAGTTCTTGGATCTCTGAGGGCAGTGTATATGTATCGACGCGGTATCTGGTCCAGGGAGTGAAGTAACGCATCTCTCGGTAGTTACCGTCATTGCAGAGGTCGATTTTGGGTCTGATGGCCAGGATCTTGCCGTTTAAGGCAAGCACTCTAGCATTGTAAGGAACATCGTTGTGACGGACAGGTAGGCCCAGATCAATGATGATGTCGTGAGTATCGGGGAGTTTGATGATCTCGGCCAAAACCTCCCAGGAATGAGAGAATGTATCAAGCTCTTGAAAGTGGTCAAGCAGGCCGTATCCCGGAATGCAGAGCTCCGGCGTGAGTATCAGTTTAGATCCAGCTGCCTTGGCTTGACGGATGGCTTCTACGATGCGGTCACGATTGCCATCAAAATCAAGCGCCCATTGATTGAGTTGACAAGTCGATATAGTAGCCAAGCGACCCATGATGGAGTGATGCGCTGTGTTGTCTAGGACGATGGGGATTGCTCGCGAGGGAACAGCTTGTAGCTTTTCCGCACGGGAGTTTTGAGTCTTGACGTTGTGACTGATTTGAAGCCGCAAAATTTATTCAATTGACCACAAACAATCTATTCATCTACGTTTATCTTGAAGATTGCACTTGAGAATGAACCACTTCACACCACTATCTAGGAGAAGGCGTTCTACAGCTAACAATCGCTCGTGACAACTATCGGTCCAAGTAATTCACGAGCTTGTACCTACCTCTTGACAAAGGCGTTGGCCGGATATATCACCAGCACCTCCGGCTTGGCCCCCAGAACACCCGACAGATGACTTGCAGATCGCGATACCGAATAGGGCATATTGCTCGGAGCAAGATCCTCTTGATACGCCAAGAACTTCACGGCAATAGCGGTAGCAATGTGCTAGGCGTCGCGGTGAGGAAGGCGAATGCTGTCGTCGCATTCTTAGACGACACGACGAAGGCTGGGAGGCTGATGCGGCTAGAGTGGCTGGATGCATGTGTTTCTCGCACGCTTCAAACCTTACCGATGCATCAAGTTGACAGGGCCGTTTCAACCCACGGACTTTTCACAGATGGTGGAAGTTGGCTTGCAGCGCTTGCATAAAAGCGACAGCTGTGCGACACAATGCGTAACAAAAGGCTTGACTTCGGTCGCTCATCGATTGATGGTCACGCAAGGAGAAAATCGTATTGGCAGGATCGATCAAAAGTAGGTAGAGCTCTTAAGCTCAGAGCCGCAGATACCAGCAACTGCCACGCGTTTGCAAGTTGGACGTCTAGCTACTCGTAACTTTGCGCGATAATGGCCGCCAAGTCCAAGACCGAGGTGCAGATCCATTGGCAGGAAAACAGGATAAAGTTCAAAGTGCATGCAAGGCAAGCGGGAAAGATGGGGGTGTCATGTCGGCGAGCTTGGAGATGCAGACGTCCTGGATAGATCAATAGATTTGCTCGTGTTATTGCGAGGTTGACAAAAGGGGAGGGCCGGTAACAGCAGACAATTTCAACGCAAAGACTAGAGGGCTCAAGTGTTGAAATACAGGTAGATAGGTGAGGGCGGAGATGAGAATAGATGAATCTTGGTCGTTAGCGCGGTTGCCACGGTCTGGCGCCGCGGCATCCACGATAGTTCCTGCCATGTATTTATGCGTGGTGGCCCCGTCAACCATTCTCTTCTTCCCTCTCGTCCAATTCACTTTCCATTAAGTTTCTGCCTCTTCAAAAGACGACAGCAGATCATTGACTCTTAATCAACCAGTAAGTGTTTCACAGATCCGAGCGCTTGCACATTATCCATGCTGGTTATATGACTCGCATGGACGCGCAATCCTCCAGGTCCTCCCCCAGAGCTGTCGCATCTAACGCTTGAGCCTGCGTAGATCTTCGTTGCAAACATGCACTACTCCGCCATCCTCTTCGCCGCCGTCACTGGCCTCGCCGCCGCTCAGGTTCAGACCGGCAACTACACCATTGACCCCAACTCGGTCGATTCCACCACCAGAGCCAACTGGTGCCGTGCTGAGACCAACACCTGCCCCATTCTGTGCGGTGGCAACCTCTACAAGTCCAACACTTGCGAGCAGGCGAGTACCATCTTGTATGCAATTTTGAGCATCCTGCTAACTTGATTCACAGGCTTCTCTGACTTACACCTGCGTCTGCAACAACGGTCTCTCGCCCGACTTGTCGCAGTACGAGAACACCATCCCCTCGTTCGTCTGCCAGGAGTACAAGGGCCAATGTCTCGCCACCAACGCTGGCAACGCTACCGCTCAGGACCAGTGCCAGGAGATTACCTGCGGTACCAAGACTGCCGTCAATCTCGTCACCTCGTCTGCCGCCTCGTCGTCCAGCTCGGCTGCATCCAGCGGCTCCAGCGCCGCTGCTAGCGCTACTTCCGCTATGGCTAGTGGCTCTCAGTCCGCAGCCTCCAGCGCCGCCACCGCTTCCTCTACTGGTGCTGCCAGCGCTGTGACCGTCGGTCACGGTGCTCTCGCTGCCTCTCTGTTCGGTCTCTTCGCCTACGCTCTGTAAGCAGGGTTAGTGGACGACTTTGGTGAGCTGTGTGACAGCGACAGGGACTCGAAGGAGAAGTAATCACGGCACATTATACGAATGGGCATATGAGAAGGCGTTTTTATTCACCATTACCAGCGACGGAGTTGTTCTTTCGGGACACAGGGCTTTTATATTCTATGCATCTATAGCGATGCCTCTTGTTTCTCAGTAGTTAATGATCCAATGAACACCATTGATCCGACCTTCATGATTTCTGCTTGCAATTGTCGTGATTAATGCTCGCGACAATATACATGACCGAGCCAATCAAATCTTAGGAGCACAGGGCAGCGGGAAGCCGGGGAAATGTCTGGGCAATGTTGCACGGGATGGAAGTTGGAGCACGAGATAACGGTGTCTGTGAGATTGTATAGATGGATGTGAAAATGCACGCAGAAGGTGCAAATGATTGACAGGCAGGCTTGATAAGAGTAATGGTGGAGTACATTCGAGCAATGAAGTCAGAATAAAGGCATCTAGATCTGTTCCCTGCGACGGCGATCCTGACCAGCAGGTCGGCACGCTTGATCAACTCGAGTGTGACGTCTTGTGGAGATGGGTGTCTGATGTGGAAAAAGTTCCTAATCCACGGCAAAAGCAGTGAGGTCTCTGTGCTACTACGTATCAGCTAGTCCCAACGAACAGCTGGGAGGTCCACCCGAGTGGGAATGCCAGAGATATTTATCGCAAGAACTCGACTGTCCTGTCTGCGTCGCTCCTTCCTCAGCTGTAATCACCGCTTCCCCAGCAATCTCCCCGTCCCTCTCGCCCCCAACTTTGCAGCTCGATTCCCTAGAAACACATTCCTACGATCGCGAACCATGGCAACACTCGGCGCATACCAGAAGAAGCACAAGGTCGCCATTGTCGGCTCTGGCAACTGGTATGTAGACAGTGCCCTCCTTGATGAGAATGCTGTGAGAGAGACTGACGCTTTCCAGNNGGGCACTACCATCGCCAAGGTTGTCGCAGAGAATACCCAAGCCAACAGTGACCTGTTCGAGCAAGATGTTCAGATGTGGGTCTACGAAGAGGAGGTGCCCATTCCAAAAGAGTCGAAACACTACGAGGGCGACGATAAGCCGCAGAAGTTGACCCACATCATCAACAATGTCCACGAGAACGTCAAGTACCTGCCCAAGGTCGCCCTCCCAAAGAACATCATCGCCAATGCCTCGCTCGAAGACACAGTCAAGGATGCCAGCATCCTCATTTTCAACCTGCCCCATCAGTTCATCGAAAAGACATGCAACACGCTGCAGGGAAAGATTCTGCCTTATGCTCGTGGTATCTCTTGCATCAAGGGTGTCGAAGTGTCGGACAAGGGCATTGAACTGTTCTCCGAATGGATTGGCCGCAAGCTGAACATCTACTGCGGCGCCTTGTCAGGAGCCAACATTGCTACTGAGGTGGCTCTCGAGAAGTTTTCCGAAACAACTGTCGCATACGACCCTCCTACTATGGACAGCCAGCAGCCAACCCCCAAGGGCTCACCTCGTTCTTCCGAGATCGACCTTTCTCAGCTGAGCGGTAAGCAAGACCAACATCAGAAGATCAAGCTTTTCCCCCTGCCTACCGAGTACCCTCCTCTCAGCCACGACAACGTCAAGAAAATCTTCCATCGCCCCTACTTCCACGTCCGCATGGTCTCGGATGTTGCCGGTGTATCGCTCGGTGGTGCGCTCAAGAATATTGTCGCTCTGGGTGCTGGTTTCGTCGATGGCTTGGGCTGGGGCGACAACGCCAAAGCTGCAGTCATGCGTGTCGGCATCTTGGAACAGGTCAAGTTTGGCAAGATGTTCTTTGCCGACTCTGTCCGTACAGAGACATTCACCGAGGAGAGCTGCGGTGTAGCAGATTTGATTACCAGCTGCAGCGGTGGTCGCAACTTCCGTTGTGCAAAGATGAGCATCGAGCGCGGAATGACTATCAGTGAAGTTGAGGAGCAGGAACTCAATGGCCAAAAGCTGCAGGGAACTAGCACTGCTGCCGATGTCAACAACTTCTTGAAAAAGCAGGGTCTCGAAGACGAGTTCCCTCTATTCACTGCCATCTACAGTAAGTTCATGTCATTATGCTACACGATTGCCTGGCCAATGCTAACGTGATGTNNAGATATCCTCGAAGGCAAGGACAAGGCCGAGAACATTCCCGAGCGCATTGAATCGAAAAAGTACCCATGAAGCAACGACCCTTTCACGTTATCTCACGACCAAGGTTGACTGGCTATTAGGAGTTATTCGGGGCAAATCCGACCAAAGCTATAGAATTGTCTTAGGCAACGTTCTTGTTGTGTAATAGAAAGCGTTCGTGTATGATTAGCAGTCATGGTGTATGAACACAGTGCATACGTCTTCGAGGACGAGGCTTCGCATTCATGATACAGCTATGACAGTGCAGCCAAATATCTCAATAGCTAACCTGGGGTGCGCAAATATCTTATACCACATAAGCCATCATGTCTTGATGGTCTTGTCAGTATGTGCTCTAGCACCGCCGATAAGAGGTGGTTGAGCTTCCGCCGCCCTCCGACGAGGGGATAGAAACGACCCTCGGCGACCGGAACCGCGACTCCCGAACCATCTTGGTAACAGTTACATCATTTCGAATCAGTCAAGAACAATAAACGATGATGGAGCATAATAATCGACCAAGAGTCGAGGATCGTCCTGGTTATCTAGATGGTAGTCCCTGTCGTTCTGCTTCAATCTTGTTCATTTCCTGCACCTGTAACTCTACTGTATGATGTTGGCATTGAGGAATTCGACTCTTCCGCGAACGCTAGGGGTGACGCGCCAGTATGAGTCGACTGCTGCCGCTGCTGTTTTGAGAGGTCATGGCCAGGAAAATGTCTCGAGGAAAACTAATGCTGGTCGATTGACTCCAAGAACACAAACGCGGTTCCTTACGAGAGGCATTGAGAGTAGCAAGGGAGGTATGTGATTGTCTCTTGACCATCAACCTTGAAGCCTTCTAATCTGTCAGTCTNNAGATCGTGAACGTGTCGTCGTGCTAGGTTCTGGTAAGTATTCATCCTGCCATTCGATTGCTGTTACTGTATCTGACTTCGTTCGCNNAGGCTGGGCTGGCTACACACTTGCCCGCGACCTCGACCCCAAGAAGTACCAGGTCGTCGTCGTATCACCTCGTTCTTACTTTGTCTTCACCCCTCTCCTCGCATCAACCTCCACCGGCACCCTCGAGTTTCGCACAGCTCTCGAACCCGTCCGTTCCCGTCGCACCAAAGTAGAGTTCTTCCAAGGCTGGGCTGATTCTGTGGATTTCGCAACCAAGACACTGAAAGTAGAGGAAGCTGTCGAGAACCCATGGCAGGCTATGGCTTTGACGGCCGATGGCCGCGAAGATCAGAATGCAAATCAGTTGGAGCAAGAGAAGGGTGCAAAAGCCAAAAAGGGCAAGATGTTTGAGATGAACTATGACAAATTGGTCGTGTCGGTCGGATGTTACAGTCAAACCTTTGGAACCCCTGGTGTCAAGGAAAACGCATATTTCCTCAAGGATGTTGGCGATGCCAGAAAGATCCGCAACAGAATGCTTTCGTGTAAGACTTGCATCATATCGCCAAACCTTTCTTTCTGCAATTCACTAACAATACCACAGGCNTTCGAAACAGCTTCCCTCCCCACCACCAGCGAACAAATGAAAAAACAACTCCTCAACTTTGCCGTCGTGGGAGGAGGTCCCACCGGCATCGAATTCTCGGCCGAACTCCACGACCTCATTAGCGAAGACATGGCAAAAATCTACCCGGAACTCATGCAATACTACAAAATCACCGTCTACGATGTTGCCGAAAAGGTGTTGAGTATGTTTGACGACAAACTTGCCAAATTCGCAATTGAACGCTTCACTCGCGAAGGCATTGATGTAAAGACTTCTCATCATGTTAAATCGCTGCGCAGAGGTGCGCCGAAGAAACTCAAGGAAGAGGGTGGTGAGCAAGTGGTCAAAGATGATTCGAGTTGCTATACGCTAGACCTTGAGGAAGAAGGCGAAGTAGGTGTGGGCATGGTGGTCTGGAGCACAGGACTAATGATGAACCCATTCATCTCAAAATCGCTCGCAAAACCCTACACCATACCCATTTCCAGCGCTGCTGTCGAGACATCTTCAGACGCAAAGAGCTGGGCAATTGCAACTCATCCTCGTAGCGGTGGTATAATGACCAACGATCGTCTACGCGTAATCATGCAACCCTCCACCTCAACAGCAAAAGACAACGACAAACCTAAAGGCAGAGCAATAATCAACGACGTCTACGCTCTAGGCGACTGCGCAATCATGGAGAACTCGGCTTATCCAGCCACCGCCCAAGTCGCTAACCAAAAAGCTCGCTGGCTGGCCAAGCAACTCAACCGCAATACCATCGACAACAATGCATTCACCTACAAAGACTTGGGAGTAATGGCCTATGTGGGAGACTGGAACGCGATCATAGCCTCCTCCGGCGGAAATGTCAGTGGAAGAGTCGCTTGGTTGGTTTGGCGTGGTGCGTACTTGGCAAAGAGTGTCAGTTGGAGAAACAGAATTTTGATCCCTACATATTGGTTTGTTAATTGGTTGTTCGGAAGAGACATCTCGAGGTTCTAAGGAGGTCTTGAGAGGATGTACCTTCAACTTCTATCTACTGTTTAGACCTGCCTCTCTGAACCCTCAACACTAGCACTTTTCATTGCTATCTTCCTTGCGCTCGTGCTTATAGTCTAGCTATAGAAATGCACAGTAGTTTCAGAATCAAGCAATGTTCTCGTGGAGAAACTTCGTCTTAGAGCTAACTGTAGGGTCACTCGTCTGATTTGGTAATCAATTGTGCATTTTTATAGCATACTATATTATATTACTGCTGGGCAGGAGAGCAGCTGAATCTCCCACATCCTCGTTGAACGAAGGATGCGACGTGTCTAGCTATAGAGATGCACAATCGTGTCGGGAAACAGAGCAGCGTCCACTGAGAGTCGTAGTGGCGTCGGCTCTCTTTGACTACTTCTCTGCTTACGGAAACAATTGTGCCTGTTTATGGTTTACACTTCGCTCTATTTCATCGTGGGAGGAGATTAACTGGAAGTTACAGGCTTCAGCTCAGGAAGGGTACGTCCACGAGAAAAGTGAGAAAGTTATCGAGTCTAAAGTGAAGCCTCTTCTTGAGTATTGTATTTGTACAGAAACCATCTAAGGTAGTGTGTCATAAAAACATGCTAAGTAATGAAGTGATTACATTATAAGTTTGCGTGCTTTTTGTCTTTCGTTATGCTGGACTTGAAAGAAAAAGTGTCCAACAACAATAATAGCCAATTAATGTGTGTCAAAGATGATACGCTTAGCAGGCGCGAACGTAAAGACCAAGAGGCGAGGGGTTGTAGTCGTTGAACCACTCGAGATCAAGGCCGTTAGTGGAGGTAACCTCGAACGATACTCTGGTGCCGGCAGGACAGGCATCCTGGCTAAGAGTGTAGGAAGACCCACGCTGGAGGGAGTCGACCGAGCCGATCTGCTTAGCGACAGCAGGAGCGTTGGCGTAAGTGGTCGACTGGTCGGCAACACCGTTCAGGACAGCGATGGTGAAACCACCCTTGTCGTTGAAGGAGTAGCTGGAGGTCTCAAGCTGGTTAAGCTGAGGGAAGAGGAAGACGGTCGAGCAAGTCTTGCCAGCGTAGGAGGCGGGGATGTCAAAGTTGAAGATGGTGGAAACCTTGGAGTTGACAGTGCCGTTGTACTGGGTACCGTAGGCCTTGTTGGGGTTGGCGGAGTCGACGGGGATGATCAGGTGGGGGAACTGGTATGCACCGTTGATGTCGGCAGGGCATCCAGAAGCAGCAGCACCACCGCTGGGAACAACAGACGAGGCGGCAGCAGAGGTGACGCTAGGCTTGGCAGAAACAGCAGTAGACATGCCAGTGCTGGTGCAGTCCGAGACGGTGGATCCGCAGTTGGTGACGGTGATCAAAGTGGTGGAGTAAATGGTGACGGTCTCGCCATCATCGGCAACGGAGGTGGCTGCCTCGGTGGTGACGGGAATAACAGTGGTGCCAGCAGCAGATGAAGCCGAGGGGGCAATGGATGCGATGACGGAGCTGGCAGCGGACGAGGCGGAAGAGACGGCCGAAGNAGACCGAGGGGCGATCGAGGCAACTGACGAAGCAGCCGACGAGACGGCAGCCTGGCTAGTGACACCAGATGCAGCGTAGCTTGCAGAGGGGACGGCGTTGCTAATGACGAGGGTGGTGCTGGCAGCAGCGGAGGTAGGCATGGTGGCACTGGCTACCGAGCTGGTAGGAGCGGCCGAGCTGCTAGTGGCGACGCTGGGGCAAGAGAGATCGTACTTGGGCTGCTCACCAGACTGGAGGACACCAAAGCTGGGAGAGGCAGAGTCCTGGAGAATGTACCACCAAGTGGGGATGTTGCGGCTGATCAACTCGCAAGCAACAGACTTCCAGTAGGTCTCGGCGTTGTCAACGCTGGGGATGGCGAGGTTCTCAGTAGGACCAGAGGTAGGCCAGCCAGTCTCGGTGATCCAGATGGGCTTGCCGTTGGCAACACCAGCGACGGCGTCGTACTTAGAGAAGAACAAGTTGTTGGCGTTGGAGACAGAGTTTGACTCGGTGTTCTCGTAGTAGGGGTACTCATCGAGTCCGATGAAGTCGGCAGCAGCGACAACAGCAGAATTCGATCCATTGGTGTATGTCTCCCAAGTATCAACGTGTCCCACGGGCTTAGAGCCAAGAACAGTGCCAGAGATGGCTGATCTGACTTGACCAATGTAGTTGACAAGAACGTCAGGAGACTGGCCAGTACCAGCGTTGGAGAGAATGCCAGTAGGCGAGGTGCGGTAAAGGTCTTCGCTACCGACCGAGATACCGACAACAAGGTCAGAGAAAGCAGAGCCATACTGGTTGATGGCGTTCTTAAGAGCAGTGATCTCGTTGTCGAAAACATCCTGAGGCGAGGATGCCCAAAGACCAAGGAGAAGAGTGGTGTTGGTGGCAATGGCAGCAGGAATAGCACTGATGACAGTGTTGGCTGTGCCATCTTGAATCATGGTGTAGAGACGGGCAGATCCCCAACCGCTGGTGGTTTCAAGACCTTGTGCGGTGCGGAACTGGGCCTCGAAAGTCTCCAGAGTGTTGCCTTGGGAGCCATAGTTGAAACCACGGGCAGCAGCCAGGACGGTCGAGGCACCGCCGACGAGAGAAAGGATAGCGGATCTCATATTGATGATGAATATCCTGATGAAGATGGAATTGCTGATGGAAGAAAAGGCAAGTCGAATGGACGACGGAAGCGAGCTGTTTTGTACCCTGTGGGCCTCTGTGACGACGACATAGGAAAGTGTACGATGTACCTCGATCCTGCCGTGCTTCCGCCAAAGAGCGTGAAGTCTGTTGTGGGGAAACAATGGGTTAGTCGCATGATGGTGCAAACCTAGGTGGTCGTGGGTGGTGGATGGACGCCGAAAATAGGACCATGACGCCCAGCTCTGCAAGGTACGCCATCATCGCATGGAGGGCACAAGAGAAAAACTCAGATCCGCGCGGCCAAGAACCAAACGAAGGACAGAACTGCCTTTGTTGGGCCGCCGCTGTCCGCCAAAGGTTGTCATGTCTCAACCCCAGTCGGGCAAAGCGGAATACGACGTGCCCAAGAGAAGGATGTCAAGAAGGTCGATCCTATGTGATAGCGTGACGGTAAGGATCGTATTCGCGTCAATGGTGTGTCTTATAGTCTTGTGGAGCTATATATGGACAGTGTCCTCCTGACATACCAGCAAACGCTTTGTTACATGGCAGGCACCACCGCCATGTGGTGGCAGAATCTGTAGGACAGGCTGCGCGCACGCTCTGCTGTGCGACGGCAAGGTTCATCCACGTTCTCGTAGTCTTCGATGACGCTGCAGCTCAGCCGCTGTGTGGCGGCGGCATGGTCTGCCGGTTGATGTCGCAGCAGCGTTGGACATCGATCCGCCCGCGTTTGCTGATCAGGAACGCCTTTTCCCTGTTGAGCCAAAGGCGGGGCAACAGTTTTGCTTGGCGCCGGAAAAGTCTTGTCCTCCAAAATCCTGTCCATCACCGAGCGACGATGACAAAGAGAAAGAAGGAAGTGGTTTGTTCCTACTCATGGAGAACCATTATGAGGCGTTGGGCCTAGGTCATCGCCAGTTCGACGGAAGTTTGAATGCTCAGGACATCAAGCAAGCATATCGGAAAGCTCTGCTCGAACATCATCCGGACAAGGCGCAGACCGGAGACGCATGTCGAACCGTGGATTCCATCACAGTCGCCTACAAAACTTTGTCCGAGCCTGAGGCCAAAGTTGAATACGATCGTGAATTACGTTTGCAGCATGCGCGCAACAAAGGCGACGACAAAATCTTTCATACCGGACTTGATATTGTAGATCTGGATGACTTGGACTACGATGAGCAGACTGGTGTATGGTGGAGAGGCTGTAGGTGTGGCCAGGAGCGTGGTTTTGTCATCACGGAAGACGAGTTGGAGAACGAGTCGCGCTACGGAGAACTCATCACTGGCTGCAAAGGTTGCAGTCTCTGGCTCAAAGTCTTGTTCGGAGTCGAGGAAGACGAAGAGCAGAATGTCAACACTGCTGGGTGAGCTTCTGTAGCAACATGAGCTTCTATTCACTAAAAGCTTGTCTTTGTTACACAGACTTGTGGTGCCTTGCAGCAAGTCGGAAGTCGGAAGTCGCATCGTGGTCACCGCATCCATCGAGTCTCACGAAAACCCCTGCACCTGGGCTTGCAAATGACCCGACTTTCAATCGCCTTGGAAACAGTCAACTAGCGACTGGATGCGAGGCTTCTTGGCTCTTGAGTCTTGATGACTACCACTGCCCGAGCAGTGTCAACGATTGACAACAAAAGGACTGTCCCTGGCAAAACAGAATGGCCGACGCTCTGCAACAAAGAGAGAGACTGCAACACAACAATTCTTTTTACGACCTTACTCATATACAGCGACCATACAATGTGTCCTCTGCGCCACTCTTTTGGTTTACGCTAAGAAATTTGCCTTAACATTATGTCCATGTAACATCGCTATGTGGAAGGGCAACCATATGCGTACAATCAACAACAAGGCTTTCTGCCTCCAGGTTGGAATCTGGTTAGAATACAAAGCAAACAAAGAGTTCAAGCTATGAATTTGTGGTATCACCGGCGACTTTCTTTGTAACATTCGCTTCCGCATTCGGTCGAAACGAGATATTCATCGACTATGAGGGAGATTCGAAAAATTTCATAGCTATGAGAAGATTGGGCGATAGCACACTTTTTTCTATTTATCTGTGTTGATAACTGGAATTTACTCAGCATCAATCATGTCGCCTTACAATGTCCCGGATCCGCCACCAGGAGTGCCTCCAGGCTTCGATCTAGACAATTATGTTACAAAACTGAATCCTGCAACGAACCAATTCGACATACACCCTCGCGTACACGGCAAGTACTCGCAGCAGGAACTTACCGCAGTAGACCCAATCGCTGGAAATAGGGATCTCAAAGTTGGCCCACCTAGTCGAGCTCCAGATTGGCATCCCATCGTAGAGCAATGGGGACTTCAAGTGATGGGAGCGGCTGGCTTTATCGACAGCACAGCTTACCGTACACCGGGACAGGGACAGAGGCAGATGCCTGAAGGTCGCCTTACTTCTACCCTGGGTCATGGTCCAATCCACCCCCTGCTCAGAGAAGACATGTGGCACGGACTTCGGGCTGGCGAATACGCCCTCATGGAACCTGCGATACGTCTGGCTTCCGCTATCCTGGACGATCCAGAAACTCTGCGCTTCTTTGCTGGAATCACGGTTCCCAGCGACCAGATGCCATATGTGCACCTTCCACATATCGGGAAGTGTCCCATATACGGGCCTGGCCAACCACTCGACGCGGCTGCACTGGCAGACATATANCAAAAAGTCATGGATATGCGTGCATACATGGCGTGGGAAATGCGGGATATGAATATTATCATAGGCAATCACAGCGCTTTTGGCCTTACGAAGCTGTGGGTGGAGAGTGATGGCAAAGTTGCTCGAGGTGCGAGAGGAGTTGGGTATGTGATGGTTCTTGCTGTTATCGAATTTGACTGACAATATTTTGTAGANACTCGGGCCAGTGTCATCCAAATGAGCCGAGGATACACTGACATTATGCGAATGTACTCCAACACTGATCCGACACTAACTGAACTCGGAAGGTTCATCAACGACACACAATGGCTTGCATCGATACCTATAGAAGACAACATTCTCATCTGTGAAGAATCAGCAATTGCACGCAGTACAGTTCTCTTTGTAGACACCTTGATCCATGAACTCACGCATGCAATCTGCGGTGTCTACTTCGACGTAACCCTAATGGCAATACCGGGAATGCCACAACACAGCCACGTCTACGAGCCCTTCTTCGCGGGCGACCGCTGCAACGAGACCGGACACGCTATCTCGTCCTATATCTTCCTCGGCAACCCCGTGGGCACATGTCACTGAAACATACCTCAGAACCACTCGTCCCTATGGCTACAACAGCACATTGGCCCGCTAGGACTTCACTGGGCTGACAAGTGGGACAAATGGAAAATCGACCCAGGTGCTTTCCCCACTGGCAAAACAAGAGCTGTGAACGATGTAGACTATAACGTTCTGCAACGTTACACCCCTGTGCCTCAATCGCATGTCAACAAGAGGTTGTCTACGCAGTTGTGGCAGGACGAGATATATCGTTTTGGTCTTGATGCTCTTCGAACGCCTCGGTTGGACAATTGGTCGGTGGGATGGACACCTAGNGGAAATGAGAAGGGCTGCTGGGGTACGGGACGTGATAGGTGGAATGATGGGCCGGCTCCTGCTCCTCCCTCTTCCAGTACGGATAGTGATGCGGGAGGAGTTCCATTGTGATGTGTTCAGATGTTCGATAAACTTCATTGGGCACGTTTTAACGTCAGGGTCATGCCCTTGACAAGCTCTGTAGCATCTAAAAGTGCAATATCTACGCCGTAACTATATTTTTTCCGGTTGCTCCCCTCATTTGACACTATTTGAGAACGCTATCATGTGCTGCAGCACCTTTGAAAGCATCGTTACCTCTTATCGTTGGTCGATGGTCAGATAAAGCTTTTGGTGAATTTACTTGAGAAACCATAACAGAGAAACATACTATTCTGCATTACACCCTCCAGTGTGAAAGCCAAGAGGATCTAGGAATGGCTCACAGGTGCATGATTACCATGTGATCAACCACGTTCGCTGTTTCTCAGGGATCGAAGAGACGAGAAACAACACGACAGACTTCTCGTAGCCGAGCAGGGTGGCCTCTAGAGTGTTGAAAATTTTCCGTCAATAGTCGCCTCTCCTGCAGATAACGAAACACTGGTGATGCACATTGTGACAGTACGCTTATATGTGTTATCTCTATCTAGTCATGTTCATTCCTTACTATTACATGTGGTATCGTGGACGAAAGCTCATGGCCAATCCAGGAAGTGTGCTTAGTCGACAATCATGCGGACCTTTAGCAAGTCCTTCTTGACAATTTCATCCTTCTTATCCAAGAATTCCTCCATGTCCCATGTCACACTCACGTATCTGCCAGCCAACCACTCTCTCTTCTCGTTGATAAGCCACGAAACAGTATCACCAGCCAGTGCTGGCATGTCCTGGAGCAGATGGTGAGATTCCTGTGGCATGCGGGACGCCAGCTCGGTCATCACGCCTCCTGGATGTATACCGTAACAAAGAATTTCGCTATATTCTGCTCCAATGAATTCGCCGAGTCTGAGAAGTGCGAGTTTGGATGATTGGTATGAGCTTGCTCCAGGCATGATGACGTGTGCACCAATGGAGCTGGTGTTGATGATAGTCTTGTCGCCATCCTTGGTGTCGAGCAGAAGAGGAATGAAAGCGCGAGCTACCAGGTAAGGGCCCTTGATATTGACTTCTTGTGTTTTCCACCACTCATCAGGGTCACTCTCTCCTATTTTCTTGAAGTCTTCGAGGTATCCGGCGTTGTTGAATAGAAAGTCCAGACCTCCGAATTCGCTCTTGACGGTCTTGGCTGCTTGCTCGGTGCTCGAGACATCTGTTACATCAAGTTTGATGCTAATAACCTTAGGGACAGCATGGCCAGCTTCCTCAGCCGCCTTCTCAACCTCAGTTGCGAGGTCTGACAGTGAGCTGCGAGCACCAAGAGCGATACTAGAAGCACCAGCACGAGCGAGGGAGAGAGCTGTCTCCCTGCCGATGCCCTTGGAAGCACCAGTCAGAAAGACACGTTTACCTTTTAGGTTCTGAGATTTTGTCGAGATGAAGTCGTAAGTATCATTGTGAATCGTAGGAGTAAACTTGAAGCCTATCACAGAACCTAATTAGATTTGCCTTCATGTCATTCGCATTTGAGTGATCCGTACCGGCATGGTAAAGCATGGAGTCTGACATTGTGGCGAATTTATTGGAAAGCAGCAGCTCAGGTCTCAAAACAAGATTCGGTCAGTGTACTGAAAGAAGGATTGAGTCGAGGAAGAGGAACAACTCAGGTTGATGTATGTGTATTTATTGGACACGAACATGCATGGTTGATTAAGCACTCGGCGTTATGTGATTTCAGCTCCGTAACTCCGTCTGACATCATGGTTTCGCAAGTTCGCTGCATGAGTCGAAGGCCTTTGTGAATGGTTATATTAATCAGTATAGAAACCGCTTCTGTTCGGGTATCATCTGGACGAGACGATAGTTGTACATAAGTTCCCTGACCATTGGCCTGGGGGCACCAGATTTTGGTATATCTCGACCTACCTCTAGAACTACATCTCCACATCATCGGACTTAACTATGTCCACTGCAGCTGACCGGTCCCAAGCCAGCCCTTCACAGTAGCATGAGCTGGCGCTCACCATGTTTCGTGTATGTCATCAACTTCTTCATTCCTCCTCTTGTGCTTCATCAACAGCCGAACATTTTTGTGGTGCTGACATTGATCCGGCTCCATTTGAAGCTTGTGACCAAGCTCTTAGCAAACTGGAACGGCCAGTAGACGTGATACAGCCACCAAGCTGGAAGCGGGTCCCAGATTTCATAAGTGCCGTCTCTCCAGAAGAAGAGATGCTCAAGGAAAGTGCCAAAGTGCTCGAAAGCCTTGACAAAGCTGTTACCGTGGATCTTGAAGAGTGAGAGAGCGGGCAGTATAACACATGTTACCAGGTCATGACCGATCCAGTAGTATTGTCCTGGCTTATGAGGGTACACTGGAGGTGTGTACGAGGCCCCGTTGGCTCCTTCTTTGCGAGGTGTAGTGGACTCTTCGAGGACAGACATGTATCCTTTCTCGATCATCTCTGGTGTACTGTTGAACAGAGCAACGGCGGTATGTGCGCGAGGATTGCACTCGATAGGGTAAAGCGTGACAACCATGTTGGGATCTCTCCGTGCACGCTCAGCATCTTTTCGGTCCACCAGGAAGTCGAAAGAGAGATGGCCTGTGAAGTTCTCGGGGTCGCTTGCCGCATACTCTTGTGTGAAGCGCAGCATACTGCGACTGAGGGAAGAATCTGGAGAGAGGGCTTCGTAATGCATCAACAGTTCGGCAGAAGGACAAGCAGTGAAAGCCTTGACTTCACCACGAACGACCAAAGCATGAGTGCAATACTCAGGACCATCGATAAATTGTTGGAGGATCCAAGGGCGGGTTTCGGAGATTTGGAGGCGAGAAATGTGCGCCTTTGTCGCGGACACCGAGTCGAATGGCAGCAGAGTCATGTCACCTCGAACAGAATCATCCGTTCCGATGAACTTCATGATGAACTTCTTACCCGAGGGTCGCACATCTTCGAGAACCCTCAATGCAGCGGTTTTTGATGTGATGGTATGGGTCTCGGGGACTGTGAGTCCAAGAGACTTGGTGTACTCGGTGAATGAGTGCTTCTCGTGCAGCTTCTGTGTTGTGGCTACATTGTACTGGACGGCTTTGCACTTTGTGAGCAACTCGATCATCTCCTTGGCCTGACCATCTTCAACAGCGCTCGCTACACCGGAACAGCTGACCCACAGGTCAACCTTTTCCTTTCGGACAATGTCCAGAATACTTTGGCAATATCTGGAAGATCCTTCTCTGGTGCCATCAGGCTTCGCAAGACGGTGGAAAGCCTTGATTGAGCGTGACACGTGCCCGCAAGTGATTGGCAAGAATGGCGGCTCGAAATCAGCACCGATAACGTTATGACCAGCGATAAAGAATAGGCGAGCGAGGACAAGGCCCTTGGTCATGCCGACGCCAGTCACCAATACTGTGCGGGGCTCGAAATAGCGTGTGTATGTAGACCGCACTCGGGCGCGATGCGAAGTCGCTGGAAAGGCGACAAGAATGCGGATCGCATAGCTGAAACAGAGGATGAAGGTATCGAGTGGCAGGAAAAAGAAGCTCAAAGCAATCAGCTTCACATTCTGCAATGCATGCGCAAAGCGCGACGACTCAGCAGTGAGCATGGTGGCTGCGAGAGGGAAGGAGCGAGAGACGCCTCGAGGAAAGAGCTCCAAGCAGCACAGCACTCGCAGGAGGTTAGCGAAAGGATTGAGCCTGCGTGTCGTTGTCACGACTAGATCATGGCATTTCACAACCCATGCAAGCCATGTTTTTTGATCACGATAGCTTCGCGATAGCTCGGTGGATAGCTCCCCGTTTTCACATGCTTTCCACTAGCTACTCGTAGATAAACGTCATCGATCTGAACACCTCGGGAATGTCTTGAGATGCGGCTTAGACGAGATACATTAAGTCTTGATTGGATATAGTTGAGTTCGATCGCGTCAGTGCTTCCTCCAAGAAGACAATTGACAGTCAAAACTTCCGATCGTTGGGATGGGATGGAAGGTAAGAGAAACGGCAGTTCAACAAAGCCCAGGAGGAAACAGCTCCGGCGGGATGGAGGGGCAAAGAGCTGCAGCTTCAGCGGCTTGCACAGTTTCACAAATATTTGTTTACAGCTTGTGCAAGTATGCATGTGAAGATTGGAGCGCAAACAACTTTTTACTCATGATACATTTGGGTATCTCTTGTAGTCCGCTGAGCCAACTCTATATGATCCATTCCATTGACATTCATGCTCTCTACCAGACTCGTATAATAGGACGTATGGCGCGTATATACATTAAATCGTCGTGGTCGATCCGGCAGCTCTGCTCCCGCAGGATCGGTTGCTATGAAGCAGCACGGGCTTTCTCTAGGAGGACTCTTCGCCAGTGCAACGAGTGATTTCGACACCGTCCTGCAAATCTGTCAATGCCATTTCTTTGAGAACTGCGAAACAATGATCGACTTACCGGTACCCCTGAAGGCTCGTAGCTGTTGATGAGCTTGCTGTCGTAAACCAGGTTGGGGTTGCCTCTGGACTGTTGCAGCTTCTCCTCCGTCTGCCTGTTGGCGTACTGTTTGGCGGTTCTGTCGGCGAATCTAGCATCGGGGTTGCTCTCGTCCGAAGAAGCTTCTGCGGCCTTGCGCTTCTCAGCAACACTGCTGCGAACGTACTCGAGGTAGGGAGGGTTGCCGGGCTTGATGACGTTATCGGCTGCCAGCACGGTTCCAGGAGTCACAAGCTTGAGTTCTTCGCAGAGCTTCAGGTCGGTCTTGTAGGCGGGCTTGTAATGGTCGAGGAACATCATGTCGATATGCTTGAGGGTGCCCTCAGTATGCAATCTCTTGATTGAGACAGCGCTGGAACCGATGATGACCTTGACCAGATCACCCAGACCAGCCAAGTCAACCAGCGAGGAGATGACAGCACCAAAGACGGGGTCTCTTTCAAGACTGAAGTAACGCTTACCACCAGCCTTGCGAACGGCGTCGGCGTAGAGAATGCAGGAGTAACCAATGTAGCCTCCCAACTCAACCTGTGTATATCGTAAGTTTTTCAATGTTTCCATGATCGATTTTTGCTGGACAGTAGTACCATAGTCTCTGGCTTGACCTCCGAGATCAAGTCGGTAACAATCTTGCCCTTGTCCTCTCCCACGTTCATGAGGTACTTCTTCGTCCTTGCAAACTCATCAATGGCGGCCAGGACCTTCTGAGGATTGCCACGAATCTCCTCGATCTCTGGCTTGCCGTAAACAAAGTGCAAGAGCTCGAGTTCACGGCCATCGTCAAAGAAGACTTCCTCCTGCTCGGCGTAGGCCTTGGTCTGATCAAATTCTGCCATTGTAGTGTTTCCTGTGGTGTTTTCGAGGTTCACGAGTTTCCAGTATCGAGTCGACGACTTTCGAGAGCAATTGCACAAACTAAACGGTTCCAATTGACTCGGGTTCCAAGCGAAGCACTACGTGGCAGAAGCTCACAAAGCTGAGCTGTTGGGGTGACGCGACGTGCCCCACTGAACCAGAGGAGATCTCTCGCGACAACGCGATCTAATGAGCTAAGAGGAGGGGTAATGCTGCAGGTAGCTGCTAGACTCTCAAACGGGAGAGTCCAATCATCATGCAAGCGTCACCCAAAGAGGAAGCACTGACGCAAAAGTCAGATCTGCCCCTCACCTGAGCCCCGCATCAACACATCCAGGAAGCATCATCGTTGTAATTCCAAACAGCTCGACCTCGCTGGCAGCATAGATTTGGTTTCGGATCCACTCTAGCTATGCAGCTTCGCGAGCTCCAAGGCGATATTATCAGATGATCGTAACTCAATGGTGAGCACCGCATGTTTTTTCACCATCAATGCTTCCAGGACTCCGGCGACATTTTTGAGCCGCAAGACGGGAAACCCCAGAAAATGTCTCAAGAAAAGCTCCGAGCCTAAAAGCCTGATACAATATCAGGAACTCATCAGATCTGTTGTGGGTCACTAAACTAAACATGGTTTAGACGGATCTCATGCCCACGACATGAACCCCACGGTCCAAGCCAAAGGCGGAAGCTGAGCTGCTAGTCTACGATGCTCATTGGATGTTTGCCATGGCCGCTGTGATCCAAATCCATGGCAGCAGAAGCCTCATGGGCTTGCATGTTGCAGAGGCTGACAGGTTTTACGAACCTGAACGGTGCAAGCGGCGGTGCAGCTCCATGATGCTAGTCTGTGCCGGCCAAACGGGGCTGGTCTTTGACGCACGCCCGTCGAGGCAGAGGTGCATCGGAGCGATTCGCCTGGAGACTTCGTACCTGGATCTGATCTAGCGTCGGTCTGCTCAGAGGTTCGTTGACGTGATGTACTCGAGCGTCGAGTGCCGTGCTCCAAGTTATCCGCCGATCTCGTAGTTGGCGAGGATATATGAAAACCCCTCTTCCTCGACCATCTGCTCTTCCCAATCACATTTCTTCTTCCACTCTCATCAATCCTCATCCTCTTTTCAACTACCCCTCTGCGTTTGTTCAACACGCACACAATACCTCAATCATGTCTGACTTGAACGCTACTGTCCAGGAGACCAAGGCTGGTTTCCACGTCTCTGGCTATGAGAAGATCGAGTACGACTTCGAGTTCATGGACGGTGTCTTTGACCCCAAGAACAGCCAGCTTGCCGACTGCTACCAGCGTTGGGGCAGAGCTCTGGCCGTCATGGACGCCAACATCTTCGATGTCTACGGAGACCAGATCCAGAAGTACTTCGACCACTACAAGCTCGAGCTTTCCATCCACAAGACCATGATTGGCGAGAAGGCCAAGTCCATGGACACTCTCTTGAGCATCGTTGACTCGATGAACAAGTTCGGTGTCTACCGCAAGGAGCCCGTCCTGGTCGTTGGTGGTGGATTGGTCACCGACGTTGCCNNGGGTAATACACACACAATGATCCACCGCCATAGATCTATAAGGCACTCTGGCCAATATCTCCTAAGCGGTCAATTCCTACTTCTGAACCAGTTACTAACCGTTTACAGTTTCGCTTGCGCTTCCTACCGCAGAAACACCAACTACATCCGTGTTCCCACCACCGTCATTGGTCTCATTGATGCTTCCGTCTCGATCAAGGTCGCCGTCAACTACGGCAACTACAAGAACCGTCTGGGTGCCTACCACGCTCCTATGAACACCTTCCTTGACTTCAGCTTCCTCCGCACTCTTCCAGATGCTCAGATCCGTAACGGTTTCGCAGAGTTGATCAAGATCTCCACCTGTGCCCACCTCGACACCTTCAACTTGCTTGACAAGTACGGCGAGCAGCTCATCTCTACCGGCTTCGGTCGCCGTGAGGGTGCTCCCCAGGAGGTTCGCGATGCAGCCGACAGAATCAACCGCAACGGTATCCACGAGATGTTGAAGCTTGAGACCCCCAACCTCCACGAGATTGGTCTTGACAGAGTCATTGCCTACGGTCACACGTAAGTCGATCTGTATCTCATGTATCATACTCTTACTGACAATACCAAAGCNTGGTCTCCTCTTCACGAGCTGATCCCCGACCCGCCTCTTCGTCACGGTCACGCCATCTCCATCGACATGGCCTACTCTGCCACTCTTGCCAACATGAGAGGTATCCTCAGCGACGAGGAGCACAAGAGACTTCTCAACCTGTTCTCTCGTGTCGGTCTCTCCATGGATGACGACCACTTCACTGAGGATGTCCTCGACCAGGCCACCAAGGCTATTCTTAAGGTAAGCTGATGTTTTTCGCATCCGTCGAAAGTTCAACCCAACTAACAACCCTTTTCTAGNACCCGTGATGGCAAGCTCCGTGCTGCTGTTCCCAGNCCCCTCGGCTCATGTGTCTTCCTCAACGACGTTGAGGCAAGCGAGATGAACGCCGCCTTGAAGAAGCACAAGGAGATCATGAAGTCCTACCCTCGCGAGGGCAAGGGACTCGAGGCCCACGTCGATTCCAGCGACACTGGCTACACCCGCAACGGCACCGCCGAAACCAACACCGCTTCTAACTCTGCCAGCAAGTCCGTCATCAACGACGATGTCAAGGATGGTGTTCAGCCCGCTAGCAAGAAGACCGCCGAGAAGATGGCCTCCGGTCCCGAGGGTGTCAACGGTGTCTCAAACCCCACCACCAACGGCAACAACAGCCTTGCACAGGGCGGCGAGTGCTGCTAGATACATCATCTTTCCTTGACTTGGAATGTTTCCTTCGATGAAAAAAAGCTTTTGATACCACGGCACTTGAATGTGTCGAAACAAAAAAGACATTATCTCTTAGCGCAAATGAAGGCGCTCATGTAATAATACTTGCATAGATGAACCACCCTGCACAAGGGTTGGCAAGCTAGATATAGCTACGAATATCCAATTATTGACGATTTATCTGATAAATATTGTTCTTGCTGTGTTTCATGAAGTGGTGTTTGGAGAGTTGTTGCACGTGCCTTCCGCTGTGGCGCAGTGCCTCAAGCCCCCTTGACTCTCTATTGTCTTCGTACATGGATCGGTTGTTCTATTTTGTTGGCCACCTATCCAAGGCTGATCATTGCATCGAGCTCCAGGCTGAGAGAATACTTTCGCTCGAGATGAGTTCTTTGTCATTGAATGTACAAGCGATGCATCGCTTGTGATCAAAGTAGCAAAGGCGATTAATGCGATGTGACAAAGCCGCCTGCTTATTGAAAGATCGACGTGCACTACTTTCGAGACTTTGGGATTTGGCACTTGTGATATAGATACTCTTGCTGGTGACAGTATTCCCATAGTTGATTGTAGCTGAATGATTGGATAGTAGAGTTCTTGACCGAAGGATAGTTCAATCGTTCTTCTATGGATATCAGGTCACGGTGCAGTCTCTACTCTGCTCCTGCTGTGATGTGCTTCTGCTCCAGCTCACGGACCATCAAGGACAGCATGTATTGGCGGGCTAATATAGAGTGATGAACCAATCTCATTGCTAGCCGCGTGTCGCATCGCGGCGCTGTTCGTAGCAGCGTCTCTAGAGTTTCGTTCGTTCAGACTGTATTGCACGCAAGGACACGGCGGAGCAAAGAATGCTTGGCTCTCGTGCTCAACAAAAGGCTACTGGGTTTATGACAGATACCTGGGCGCACTGGAGAGCTGAGTCGAAAGCTACCACGAGCTCGTACGAGGGACATGACGATTGTTGCTTTGTAGGTGGCCAGACGTCCCAAAAGATGGTGGTCGCAGAGCAGTTCGAGCGGCACGGCTACAGACCGATGAACGCTCGATGAACGCCCGCCCACGGCACTCGGGAAACTTGGCTTTTTGTTCGGCATCGGGTGAGTGCGGACTACTGTTGCAAGTACCTCTGTGAGTTTAATACCTTTGTGGGTTGAGATGACTCGAGCAAGCACAACCAAAGTCACGCCGGAGGCACGAGATATGACGAGGAGACCAATGGCAACAGCGGCATGTGCGGTCGGCGGAGCGGAGGTGCAGGACGTGGAGGACTGGATGCCAGGTTCATCCGGAGGTTCATCAAATTCATATAGAGACAGAAAATCCTCGGAGGCTTTGGAGATCATTGCCTGTTCCTGTGGAGCGTGGCTGCTTGTGGGCGGAGCATGGGTCGCGGGTTGCTCAAATTGCACATAAGGCTCGACCATGGCAAAGTCAGGGTGTTTAGTTGGGTTGATTGACAGAGTTGGCGACGGGAAGGAATGAGGGTGACGAGCTATTGTTTGATGACCCAAGGGAGAAAGAAAGTAGATGGATAGCAATCTGATGTTTCCCTTCTACGACTCAAACCCACGCAGCAGAAACGTCGTATGCGTGCCATGCGCTGAGAGCGTTGTCGTTGCTCGCGAGTGTGATTAACCAACGGCGTGCAGAAGATAGAGATAGGAGCAGGGGCATCTGGCCAGCATGCCTGAAGGAGGAGTACGACTGGTGCTGCAGCTCGACCAGGAGCAAAAGGCACAACGACTCTCGCAGCAGCACTATCTGTATCCCCGGCCTGAACCATCTCAACAACAGCAGCATCATTACCAAGGCCAGCAGTTCCTCAGCCCGCAGGCGCATCCGCCGCCGTCGATTCCGCTGCCGCCGTTGCCCGCTATGACGAGGACACGAGGGGCCGACCCGACTGAGGAAGCGCCGTCGGACAAGGAGCGGGAGGGTGCAGATGGTGTTTCAGCAGACCTGCGGCCGCGCGCAGCCACGGGAATCCCTCGATCCGTCACATCGTCGCCATCTATTCCTACCCTACGCACCCAAGCATCCTCTCCCTCGCCGTCGCCGTCGCGAGTGCCGACGCCCAACTTGCGCAAGGCCGTCAGCATCGAAGCCTTCCCACGGCCCCCTGGCAGCGGCATTGCCAGCCCCCTTGCGCAACTGGCCTCGTCGAGCCCTCGAAACTCGTCGCAATCCTCCTCTTCTCTTGCGCCCAATTCCTATTCTTCCTCGACACCGCGCCTAGCCCTAGCGCCCTTACAACCGCCGAGCGGACTGCGCAAGCCACAGTCCAAACCGTCTCTCCGAAACCTGCGCTCAAAAACATCTATTGCCTCGCTCGGCACTACCGCCGTCAGCGCCGTCCGCAACTCCAAGAGTGACAGCCTGCTGAGCATACCATCTCCCCCTGGGAGCCGCTCGTCCTCGGCACCCGTTTCCCCGGCCACACCCCTGACGCCCAACACCCCTGTGGCCGACACGACCATGCTCGAAGCAACGAATGGCGACAAGGACAAAGAAGCAAAGGGAAACATCACAGTCAGTGTTCGCGTGCGGCCTGACGCAGCCGCAGATACACAGCCGGACGGAGAATGGTTGGTCGACGGTCGACGCTCCCTCATAAGCTACGAAAGTGGAGAATATCGCTATGGTGCGTCATGCATACTCAATTGACATCAGGTTCCATGTGCTGACCCTGTCCTGCGCNNAGACAATGTATTCTCACCACACGACCAGAATGCCCGCGTATACGAATCCGCTGCCAAACGCCTGGTGCGGCGTGTCATGGAAGGCTACCACGGAACTGTTTTCGCCTACGGTATGACGGGCACTGGAAAGACATTCTCGATGCAAGGTACCGCCATGTCTCCTGGTGTTATCCCTCTGGCCATTACCGACATCTTCTCCTACATCCGCCAAAATCCTGCCCGCGAGTTCCTGCTGCGTGTCAGTTACCTCGAAATCTACAACGAGAAGATCTACGACCTGCTCAACCCCGACTCGAATGAGGAGATCAAGCTGCGAGAAGACCCCCGCCGCGGTGTTTATGCGACGCCCCTCAAGGAAGAAATCGTACAGAGCCCTAATCAGCTGCTCAGAGTCATTGCTCGTGGTGACCAGCAGAGGCGTGTGGCAGGCACGCAATTCAACGCTCGCTCTTCACGCTCGCATGCTGTCGTTCAGATTGTCGTCGAGTCGCGTGAACGCACCGCCGCTCCTGTTGGCGACCCGAGGCGCGACAAGCTGCTACCCGGCAGTGTTCTGGTGTCAACCCTCTCCCTGATCGATCTTGCGGGTTCTGAAAAGGCAGCCGAAAGCAAGGAGCGACGTACCGANGGGGGTCATATTAACAAGTCCCTGCTTACACTAGGCACGGTCATCGCTCGTCTGTCTGGGGACAAAGAGCTCGCCGAAAAAGATCAAAAACATCTCCCCTACAGAGACAGCAAGCTCACCCGTCTTCTCCAACCCGCTCTTTCCGGAAACTCACTGGTGTCTATCCTTTGTACTGTTCAGCTCTCCTCAGCATCAAGTAGCGCTTCTACGACCTCCTCGCACACAACCGAAACGTTGAACACACTCAAGTTCGCAAGCAGAGCTAAAAACAACCTTGTCAGCCATGCGAGACGGAACGAGTCCAACCCTGCTGATGGCGCTGATCCACGTAGCCGAGCTTTACTGGATAGGTACAAGCTAGAAATCATTGATCTAAGGGCTCAGCTGGACGAACAGAGCAAAATAAAAAATGAGGCCGAGAAGGCCGAAAAAGCAGAGGTCGAAGAAGAACGCTGGAGAGAAAGAGAACGCGAGAGTGCCGAACGCCACGAGGAGCAAATGCTGGAAATGCAGCTCGCCAGGACTGCTCTGAAGGAGCGCATCGCTCATCTGAACAGACTGATTTTGAGTTCCAAGTCACTGGGAGTTAACTCGGGACGCTTCTCCAATGCTAGTTCGAGCATGCCAATCCTCCAACGAACGAGCACACACAGCACACTGGAACGACCGAAGAGCCGGAGACCGGGCAGTAGTGGGAGTCAGACCACCTCGAGTCGTATCCAATCTGGCTCCACCATAGCGGGTATGCTTCCCATAGCACGGACCTCGCAAATCGAGTTGGCCTCTGCATCAGAAGACGAAAACGATGATGAGGATATGGCAGCTGATGAGGACGCCTTGGATCCCGGGAGTGCCACCTCGGCCCGTCGAATCAGTGCTCTACAGGCTGATCTCGCGGACAAAGATCGATACATTGCAACTCTGGAGAAGCGGCTGCTGCAGACTCGTAACAACTCTTACAGCAAAGCGAGTAGTGCAAGATCGCCTCTACAGAGCCGCGTGCCTTCTCGAGACGGGCAGAACACTGATGCCATTGTCAAAGAAAAGGACCAAGAGATTGAGCGACTTCGGCAAAAGCTGGAAGACCAGACTCGTATGGTGTCTGCGCTGAGGAACGCCGCTAGGAAACGTGACATGCTCGACACATCCGGAGCATTGTCACAACACCCTGCCTTCAGACAAAGTCCCACAACCTCGCCGGAGAATAGGGAGCCACGCACACCATTCCGCAGCATGAGTCGCCCAGAGCTCTTCCGGAGTGCCAGCGGGCCTGCCAGTGCTGTCAACCAAACGTCACCACCCAGTTCGCCGCCTCCTGGGGTACAAAACTTTTCTCGATTGTCAAAGCATCCCGCTTCCCTTGTCCCGACTGACACGGAAGAAGTTGAGGCGCATGAAAGCAACGAATCTCCCAAAGAGCCGATCAACAACGTGGCAAGAGTCACGAGCGCTAGCAACGTGCCCGGCACTAGGAGAACCGTGGACGAGATGACAAAGCTTTTGGATGAGATGATCCAAGACAAGGTCAACACTGGCCATGTGATCCGCGGCGACAGAGGCAGCTTGCGGGTAAAGCGTGACACTGTCATGAGCCGCGCCGGCAACGAAGACATGCCCCATGACGCTGAAGCAGGCGCTGCGGCTCATCACTACGAAAAACCGCAATTCATATGATGAGCGTTGGTTGCCTGATCGCAGTTTTCCTCTCGACTGCAAGCAAGTCCGCGGAAGGAATGGAGTATCTTTGTTTGTGTTTAGGCGTCGAAGCGGGATGGATAATGGGTTCATCAGTTGGACAGAGAAGATCATCGGGGTATCTAGGTCCAGGGTAATAAGACCCAAAAGGAGGGCTGGGGGATTGTGATGTTGATTAGCGAATCATTTGTGGGTTATTCTTCTTTTGATACCCTATTTACAAGGCATGCAAGATGGGTGGAACGCCTTCTTCGTTTTTCTTTCGGTTCTCGCATGTGGCTGGTGTCTTTGTGTTGGGCATTGGCGATAACAATTTCCTAGGAGTGTTTGGTGGAAGGCCTCAAAGGCAATTTTTCTTGTACTTTTTGAACGACCATAGAAGAATAAGGACAGGAATGATTCAGAAGGGGAAAAGGATCTTTACCATCATCCATCGTACAACGACTTCCAAAACAAGAAGCTGTTTCCGAGTAGATGTCGTCAAACACTGACAAGAAGAAAGGTTATTACCACAATTCATGGTTCGCAGCGGCACAATCGTCGATGCACAAAATGCCATACAGCCACTCGGTGGACACGCCCCAAAATGAGGGTGGACGTAAGGTGACTGACAAGTGTTTAACATTTCAGGGCCTTCCACATGATGTTATTGGCAGAGCCGGCTAAAACCACGACACTGTTCTTTGGCTTCTAGAAGCGTTTTTAGGGTGTTAGGCCTGCCGCTTCTGGAGTCAGTCGTTGCTTGTCTCTCCACAGTAATGAGGTTGACTATGAACAGAGTTTTGGACCAAGAGGCATGCAGTGCGGACATTGTGGTGTGCCTGATTGATCGCTGGATGATGTGATCACTTTTCAATCAATTTCGGATATAGTTAACCGTAATGGAAAGACGTCAATAGATGTTTGTGTAGCATGGCATCTTTGAGTATTCAAGCTTGACCGCATTGCTGGGAATTTCTGGGTTGGGAGACTGAGACGTCTGAGCTCTGGGTTGATGCGGGATGTGTGTTTTGGATTGCAAGAGAGGTCGCTTAGCGCGCTTCAATTCTTTACTCCTGCCGAGGGAGGGCGGCAGCAAAAGACATTTGTTTGGGCTTGCCTGTCATGTGTGCAAGCTCGACGGGTTCGCCGGCAAAGGTCCCCTTCCTTCTAGAAGCCTTGTGGAAGGTCGATGCTCCCCGTCCTTGTCAATTTCGCGAACAGACCCACGCACCCGCTGCAAAAGAAGAAGCACTGAGGGCTGGCTGTTGCTTTGACAGCATGGACCTTTTTTTTTTTTTACCTTGTGGCTTCTTTGCCCTGTTCTGTGTGTGCTTGTGGCATCGCGACAACATTGCACAATCCAACTGTGCCGTGTGCTGATGCTGGCCCATGTCTTCCTGATCGGTGAAGCAGGGAAAGGCAACTTAGAGTGGCAGCAATATCGGCGACTAGATTTAGGTGTCTCGTGGTTTATGCTTGCTCGGCAGACCAAAAAGAGGGGTCCGATTTTTGCCAGAGTTTGGTGTGCTTGCTGCCCAATCACACTTGATCGATACCCAGCAACAGATCTTCCTCTGAAGACGACTTGGAGATCGTGGAGCGCTAACAACCTTGATAGATTACGACGGGGACACGAGGACATGTTCAATCACCGATCGTACGTGTTCGATTCGAAACCAAACTTGTCAGTCACTGATTCCTACATTCCAAGGGGAATTTTTGGTAGGAATCAGCTCTGCTCCGGGTGAGGGTGAACATGAGTTCTAACAGCGTCCGGGCGCCGTTTACTGTCTTGCTGACCTTGTTCCTCTCCTCCCTCCTACCTCGTCAAGCCCTTCCCGGTGCCGCCGTCAGCCTTGCCCGCACAAGCCGTTACGCATCCAAAACGTGTCCCTCGAGTCATGATGAAACAACCTTGTCCCCCGAGGCTTCTCCCTCTTCCCTCCACCTCACGGCGCCGCCGTATCAGTGCCACGGTGCGGCCTCGTGTGTCCGAGATTGCCGGGTTTCGACTTGAACAAAGCGACCCGAAGGCGTGGTGATTGGAAGGGAGGCAGAAGCCGGAGGCATCGCGTGGATGTGCGTGTTTCCAGGGATCGACGTTGGACGTTGCGAAAAGAAAATCGACGCTCGGCCCTCGCTGTCTGCCACATTTTGGCTTTTGCTCGGAGCAGAACTGGTTGTTGGCATAAATCGCACGCAGCAATCGCCCAGCCGTGACCGACAGCGGATGTGTCGTATTTGGACCGGCGGTGGACATAAATACCCACGGCTAAGTCGCTGGGCATCTCTCGGCCTGGTCCGGCGACCCGCCGTGACAGTAACCCAGCTGTTCGTCGGGCAGCACCAAGCATGCAAAACATGGAACCTGCGTTTTTGATCCCAGACCGCCGTGGGCGAAGCTTTTTGGCTTTGCCCTCTCTGGCAGACGTGTGGTGCTTGCTCGCGCTTCTGGTGCACTGCGACGCTGACGCCCATCTCTGAGGCGTGCCTGGAGTTGTGCACACACCACACCCGTCCCCTGCTCATTTCAGTGCGTAGTGCACCGTAACAAGACAGATCCCTCTGCTTTCCTTCACATGTTGTGATGACGAAGGTGCCCGCAATTGCAGCGATTGGCACAGTTGGGAGGGGCTCCTGTTCTGTTTATATCAGCTAAGCACTTTCCTCCACTGCCGTAAAAACACTTTTTTTCTTTCCAACAAGCCATTGATCCACAATCTGACTCCCCACTGCCTCGACCCCCCCTTCGCAACACAAATAGTGGCGGTATGTCATCGGTTATGATTGCTCGGCTTTGTTCAGAACCCTCTCTCAATCCTGCATTCCGACTGCCCGACACTTCTTCCTCTCAACCCAGTGCTTCGGTTAAGCCAACCAANAAATACTCGCCTACTTCGACTCCCATCATGTACACTGCTCGTAGTCCGCTGGAGGACTCGTTCAACATCCAGCACTCACAGCCCACTTCTCGGCCAGCTCTAAATAGACGCCCGACTCTGCTCCAACAATCTGGNCTTGTATGTTCATGACGATAACTGCTTTTCTCACCGCCTGAAGCCTAAAATTAATCTTATCATATCAGGTACACACCTGCTTCGCCAGAAGTTCAACGGGCATCCAGGTCATACTTTTCTTCAGGTTTGCAGAGTGATCGCTCGTGGCCTTCATCACCATGGCCGGCCACCAACCCGAGAGACTCGGGTTCCTCAGTGGGCTCCTCGAGGATGTCTTCGGCCGGTGGACTGGCAGTTGGCTCTCAAAGATCACCAAACCTTCCTGTTTTTCCTCCAACGCCGGATTACTACAACTCATCCATCTCATCAAACCCTTACACGACAGCACCACCCCCAGGATTTAACACAGTAGACTTAACCAACACCCAACAGCTGCAACAGCTCCAGCAACTCCAACAGCAGCAGATCCAGCAGCAGCAAATGCAGCAACAACAACAACAGCAGCAGCAGCAGCAGCAATCGGGAATGCTTCACCCCAACTACAACTCGGCCGCCATGGGCAATGATGGAGGTGCAATGCTGCCCGGTAGCTCGCACCGCCGCTCCTCAGGCCGTGACGAGTTCGACGGCCCCCACCAACTACTAGCCAAACCCACAAACTCGCACCTCGAGACGGCCGAGTCTGAATTGATCCAGCTGCCAGTGTCTCTCTACGCCGAAGAGCAGGACTCGATACTCACACGCGTCAACGACCGTCTCTCACAATGCGCCTACGACTTTGTAGCCAAATACCAATTCCCCATCCCTTTGGAGCCCGACAAGCGACCCGTGCGCGTGCCCGCGGACCGCGAGTGGACTGAATGGTGTTATCTGCTCAAGCGCCTGGCAACCAAACGCCGCATCCCCGCGCGCGTGCTCTACAACGGGCAAATCAAGCAACTAGTTACTGTGCTCGAGAACTCGTTGGAAATGAGACATGCAGCAAAGCATCAAAGTCGGCCCCTCAAGGACGACCGCAATGTTTTGCAGCTCATTTCTGCAGGGCTGCAGGTTTCGAAGATGCTCAAGGATCCGGACGCCATGAGGTATTTGGATGAGCTGTATGTTGCTGCCGAGCGCTTGATTGAGAGCAGACGTGGCAATGCTGCTTCTTGAGTTGCGCTGTGATTCCAAATTCAGACTTTGGGCTTTGTAGGCAGGCGTTTTGGCAGCAAACCTTGTTTGTCCACGCAAAGTCTTGCTGTATGACATACACTCCCAAAGGAGTTTAAGCGAACGCGCATAAAGCGCGTAATCGCTCCTTCCACAAACCATTTGGTCACACAAGTGGCCGGATGTTGGGTCCCTCCTTTCACATTTCAGCCTCTTTGCAAGCCACTAACACACCTGGCCGGCAGCGAACCGGCAGTTTCTTCTTCATGATCGACAGCTTTGAAGGCTGATGTCTTTGTTTCGTCTTGCACTGTACGCAACCCTCTTCTGGATGATCAAAGGAGATCAGTCATTTTTTCTTCTTCTTCTTCAACTTTCCCCTTTTGATCAGTGGCTTGGTTGGTCTTCGAGAAGGGCTCGATGCATCTTGAGTACGCATGACGGATGTGGTAGTGTTGATTTTTGTCTTTTTGTTTTGCATCTCATGGCAGTTCAATTATTTCTTTACTTTTTCTGACGGGGCGCTTGGGCAGGTTGCATTGTATTGCATGGGTTATACGACCTTTGGGACGAAAATCAAGGTGGGGCAAAAGAAAACATGTAGAAAGAGCTTTTTGCAGAGCGGACAGTATACCCTAGTCATTTTTATGTAGATTCAAATGTAGAAGTACGTCTTCTAAACCTTGTATTCTTCTTTTGTCTTGTGGTGCAATGGTGACGGTCATTCAGCGACAGTAATACATATATCAAGGGATAGAGTGGGCAGTCATGAAGACCACATTCTCACTGCACTTTGCACGGCAAGAATGTTCTATCGAGACCGAGGAAGTCATGATACAGGGGATATCCCACCCGGCCACATGTTCTACCGTGACGTTTACCAGAACAGTGCCGAAGATGACAGAGCTGACTTGACTGACATGACAAAGAAGGAGACCAGGGGCTGTGCAGTGCAAAGTGTCGAAAAGACTGATTCTAACAGCAGTGGTCGCCTTAGGCAAGATAGTTTGACACCCTTGGTAGTAGGATTCAAGACTTGACGCCCGCAGAAGCCAGCAGGACAGACTCGATGACGAACTTTCTGGCAGAATCGAAAGCAGCGTCGTTCTTGGTGTCAAAAACGGTGTGTATAGCAAACAAGGCATTTGCACTGCGCATTCGATTCCCACACTAGTCGAGCACAATCAAGAGACACCAAACAGGGAAAGGGCAGTAATTCGAGTACAACAAGAGAAAGATATGCTAAGTATGCACGTGGTGCCCGCGGTTTTCTATCTCTTGTTGCGACTCGTGGATCGTTCCTTCCTCAGCGATAGCCCATGACGGTGTTTGGTACCACGCCTCTACGGTTCCAATGCTCGTCTCCTGCAATAAAGTCCGACCGCACAATCTTCGCGCGGTCAATGGTCTTGCCGTCCTTCTGTCTGCGAAGATAGACTCCTTCTATAACGCCCTCATAATAGCTTGACTGATGTGTTCGCACTAGCTCAAGCAGTGACTGCTCGTTCAGACACTCTACCTCAAGGCGACCGACTTGGTGTATGTTTGTACCTCTAATCCTTTCACTCAATGCATCTCTACTCAAGAAAGTACCTATTTCGGAGTCGAACAGATCGAAAGCGAGGAACAAGTCTGGGAGGTTGGTGTAGTGGATAGAGTGTTTGGCGAAAAGCCACTCGCCGTATAATATCCATCTTTCAGGTTGACTGTTCGAGGTCTCCAGTATAGTGCTCAAGGCTTCATGATGATCATCCAACCACTTATCCAGCTTCTTAAATTGAGCATGCGATTTGCTGTTAACATAGTGCGACCGATTTTGCACTTTGAAAGCGCCAGACGAGTCGATACTAATGCCGAGGTTTGCGCCATCCACTTTCTCTTCGACAACAATCGTTGTGGATGGGTCAGATGAATGAAGGAAGGCTTGAGCGTCAGAAGAGGATAGAATTAGATCGTCGCGCGATGTAGAGCCGATGTTGAAGAGATGTCTTGTTCGAGGAAACTTGTGGATGAACGGTCTCTGGGGATTGTCCGATGCTGAGACGGGGTTGGTTTCCTGAACTGCGTCGATTAGTTGAGGAACAACATCTGCTTGAATCAAATCTTCCTCAGAGACGCCAAGCTCTAAAAGAAGTTCAGAAGCAGCGCCACTTGATGATACTCGGGCAATGCAAGCAAACCTCTCCTTTCTGGTCGGTGGGACAAAGGTTTTGACGAATGAATGCACAATTCGCTTCGCTCTCCCTGGCGCAATGGTTGGATGATTTGTTCGGGCGTCAGCTCTTCTGACACACACCTCGGGCTCGACAGCGAAATGGACACAAAGCGCGTCATTCGGGTGGAATGCATGTGCCAACCATTGCTCTCTATCATCAACATATGGGTTGCATCTGTCTAAGATTATCCTCTGCTCATTCTCCAGGGCATTGGACAAAGCATTGAGACAAGCAGATTTGCTGCCTAATTCATCTTGGGATATGATAGTATACCCAAGAGTTGCGAGCTTTGATGCAAACGTGCTTTTTCCCGAACCAGGTATGCCGCAGCATACAATCAAGGAAGGAGACTCAGGCAGTTTTCCATCCAGCTCGAGTGGAGCTTGTAGCTCAGGCAGTGAAGTCTCTGAGATGGCGACTTTCTTCCGGCCGCTTATGAGGTACTGGCAATAATCCCTGATAAACGTCTCTTGTGCTGTTGTCTCGATACTGCCAGGTCGCATGTGACGCAAGAGCTTCATGGCATCTCCAGAATACATGTGAACATATTCCTTGCCATCATAACTGCGCACAGGCGCTAGATCAAACCCTCTAGCCATGAGGTAACAAGCAGCAAAAGTGCCAGCACGACCCTTTCCGCCACCGCAATGAACCAATGCAGCTTCTTCGATTGGTAAGTCATCCACGGAATTGATGAACGTATCCACTTGCTTGTTCGTAGGTGCTTGGTAGTTTCGTACGGGCAAAAATAGATTCCGGCAAGGCGTGTCCTCGAACCATTCCGCTGGTAGTGGTTCTTCTTCCGTCAAAGTAACAACCAGTGTGATACCCAGAGCTATCAGTGCATGAATATCTTCTCGAGAGCGTGGCGTACTCATTACAGCAAGTCTAAATGGTGTCAGCCAACGAAAGAACCTTGGCAGCCTGTAAAGTTCTCCTTGAAACGGCGTGAATACATCCTGATTGGAAAACATGGAAGGCAGGTTTGAAGTCAGATCGGCTTCTTCGTCGAAGCTCCTGGCCCTGTATACCTCCCTTTGAATGAGGTTGCGTAATGCGGGGTTCCCGAATACGTCTCCATAAGTATTGTAGAAGGTTCGATTATCCTTCCAGTCTTTGGCTTCGTGGTCTAGGAAGAATGGACCAAATTCGGTGTGTTCTGAGCATCTGACTATGGCCTCAATACACTGTGATCTGACAATGAACTGTTTTTTGACGATTTCATGTTCGCCGAGCAACAAACGTGCTGCTTGAGCAAACATAAACATAGCTTTCTTGGTTTGTTGTGACTTCTCACAGAGGTGTGCCACACGCAGCAGTGCAGCAATACTGTCCGGATGGGATTCCAGATATTCAAAGCCGAGTTCGAAACTCTCTGCCCTGCTCGAGACTTTGAACAACGACTGCCATGCTTTGTCGAATGAGAATTCTGACAGACATGAAACATGAAATCTTGTAATGAATCTGACCAGTTCCAATGCATAGTCTCGGGATTCAGTATGATGCAATGCTAGCGAGTAGCAATTTGACACGATACAGTCCGCTTGCTCTGTTGTAAGGGCTTTGCAACGAGTTATAGCATGGACGCCTTTATCGATGTCATGATCGTCTTTTGGCGTCAAGGTGATATGGAAGTCTTTCCTGGGTAGCCCGTACATTTTTCTGAGCCAATCCCCATGAGGCCAGAATAGCACATTGAATGCAACAGAGCCATGTATTCCAACTCCCAGATCAATTAATGGTGGTGCCAGATTGGGTGGTTTGCTGAGGTATTGATCAATTTTCGTCTTCCGTTTGTCATTGAACATTTGAAGTTCAGCTTTCGTGAATACCGTGACATGGTATGGAGTATTTGGCTTCTGTTGAGACGGCGAAGGCGAATTTTCAACAATCTCATCAACGTACTTGCCTCTGAGGGCAATGCATCCAAGTGTCCTGACCAGTTCCATTTCCATATCTCAGAGTTGTGCGGTCAGATCCAAAACTTGCTGGCAGTGTCCATACAGAAATTGTTGTGGGCCGGTCTATAAAAAGGAGACTGAAACAAGGAAGGCGGTGACTCGGTAAAATTTGCCGCGAGATGGCTGCCTTGGACACCGCAGTCCCAGAATGGGAGCCTTGGACAAACATAGGATCAACGAATGGAAGGAGAGATCTTCAGACAGTGCCTCAAACGCGAGGTTGTTCCAGTCGACATGCTGCAGTGCGACCACTTAGGAGCGTGATGGTATCGTTGGTCTGCACAAGCGATAGTAGAATTACCCATTCGGTCTGGACGTGGCAATGGCTCCATGAGGCTATTGGTCTGCCTTATAGAAAAGACATGTAGGTGAGCACGCCATGGACGAAGCTGGAGCTTACTGAAACACTCCTCTCAAGAAGGTAGTCGTTAAAGACTGGTGGACAAAGTTCTTGCCTGTCGACATGCATTGCAGGGAAGGTGTAGCCGAACGGAGGAAAGTGCTCATGGGTCTGTGCGGCTCCGCCTCAAAGTGGTTCGCGTCAGTCGCGTACCAGCGAGCACGACGCGTTTCGCCATCTACTGCGCTTGCACATCAACTTCAACAACCCATCAAGACATTGCACGTTCTGCGTATCTTTGTGTGCTTCATCCCGTTTTTGGGTCACTTTGAGCGTAAGAAAGTTAGCATCACAAAACACCACATACCTACACACCATGGCATCGAGACCGGAGCTCAAAGTGGACGACGAGTACGGCTTTATCAAATTCTTCAGAAACCTGTCCGGTACAGACGACGATACGATACGACTATTTGACAGAAACGACTACTACACAGCGCATGGGGATGATGCCAAGTTCATTGCACAAAACCAATACAAGACAACCTCGGTAATCAAGCAACTTGGCCGTGATCCTGGTCTTCCATCCGTCACACTCTCCCAAACGGTATTCCGGAACTTCCTACGCGAAGCTCTGTTCCGTCTCGGCAAGCGTATTGAGATCTGGGAATCCACCGGCAAGAACAAATTTACTCTCGCCAAACAAGCCTCACCAGGAAACCTCCAGGATGTTGAAGACGAGCTCGGCAGTAGCATGGAAGCTGCACCAATCATTCTTGCCGTCAAAGTGTCAGCCAAAGCATCAGAAGCACGTAATGTTGGTGTCTGTTTCGCAGACGCAAGCGTACGTGAGCTCGGTGTGAGCGAGTTTGTGGACAACGACATTTACTCAAATTTCGAGAGCTTGATCATTCAACTTGGTGTCCGAGAGGTTCTTGTGCAGTACGACGGATCGAAGAAAGATGGGGAGCTGGCTAAGCTACGAGCTATCGCAGACAACTGCCAATGCGCTGTGTCAGAACGCCCCTCGGCAGATTTCAGCAGCAAAGATATCGAGCAGGACTTGAACAGGCTGCTGCGTGAGGAACGCACCTCGACTCTGCCGCAGACCGAACTGAGATTGGCCATGGGAGCTTCAGCCGCCCTCGTCAAGTACCTGGGGGCCATGTCAGACTCTTCCAACTACGGCCAGTATCAACTATACCAGCACGACCTGTCGCAATACATGAAGTTAGATGCATCTGCGCTGAAAGCTCTTAACCTCATGCCTGGACCCAAAGATGGCTCAAAGACGATGAACTTGTATGGCTTGCTCAACCACTGCAAAACACCCATCGGTAGCCGACTCCTCGCCCAATGGCTCAAGCAACCCTTGATGAACCTGGAAGAGATCGAGCGCAGACTGCAACTTGTCGAAGCATTTGTCAATGACACCCAACTGGCCGAGTCAATGTCTTCAGATCACCTCAGGTCCATCCCTGATCTGTACCGTCTGGCCAAGAAGTTTCAACGCAAGAATGCCAACCTGGAAGACGTCATTCGTGTTTATCAAGTCGCTATTCGCATACCTGGTTTCATCGGTACCCTTGAAGCGGTCATGGACGAACAGTACAAGGATCCTCTTGACAGAGAATATACCAACAAGCTGCGTGAGTGTGCTGATGCTCTTGGCAAGCTACAAGAGATGGTAGAGACAACGGTGGACCTTGATGCGCTTGAGAACCACGAGTTCATCATCAAATCCGACTTCGACGAAGGCCTTCGCGTGATCCGAACAAAACTCGACAAGCTTCGTTACGGTATGGACAAAGAGCATGGCAGAGTCGGTGACGATCTTGGCCTCGACACGGAGAAGAAGCTCTTTCTTGAAAACCACAAAGTTCATGGTTGGTGCTTCCGCGTCACAAGAGCAGAGGCTAGCACGATTCGCAACAAAAAGCAGTACCAAGAATGCTCGACGCAGAAGAACGGCGTCTACTTCACCACAAACTCCTTGCAAGCAATGCGCAGGGAGCATGATCAGTTGTCCGAAAGCTATAACCGCACTCAAAGTGGTTTAGTACAGGAAGTCGTTGGAGTAGCAGCCTCATACTGTCCCGTTGTTGAAAAGCTTGCAGGCATCCTTGCACACATGGATGTTATTGTATCATTCGCTCATGTCGCTCTCACTGCGCCTACGCCCTACTGCCGACCAAAGATGCACCCTCGCGGCACCGGTGATACCGTTCTCATCGAAGCTCGTCATCCTTGCATGGAAGCTCAAGACGAGATCACTTTCATGCCCAACGATGTTACTCTCAAGCGTGATGACTCTGAGTTCTTGGTCATCACAGGACCCAACATGGGCGGTAAGAGTACGTACATCCGCCAAATTGGTGTCATCGCATTGATGGCTCAGATGGGCTGCTTTGTACCCTGCACATCAGCCGAGCTCACGCTCTTCGACTGTATTCTTGCTCGTGTAGGTGCTAGTGACAGTCAACTCAAGGGTGTCTCAACATTTATGGCAGAAATGCTGGAAACAGCCAACATCCTCAAATCAGCGACAAAAGAGAGTCTGATCATCATTGATGAACTGGGCAGAGGCACCAGCACATACGATGGTTTCGGTCTGGCTTGGGCCATCAGCGAGCACATCATCAAGGAGATCGGTGCCTTTACTCTCTTCGCAACACACTTCCACGAGTTGACTGCACTGGTGGACACATATTCACAAGTTCAAAACCTGCATGTCGTTGCGGATGTTAGTGATGGATCATCAGCAGACTCTACGCCTCAAGTTCTGCTCATGTACAAAGTCGAGCCCGGCATCAGTGACCAAAGTTTCGGTATCCACGTTGCCGAACTCGTCCGCTTCCCACAGAAGGTCATTTCTATGGCCAAGCGCAAGGCAGATGAATTGGAAGACTTTGCTGGCAAGTACGAAGAGGCAAAGTCCGAGCTGAAGAACGTAAGCAAGGAGGATGTTGCTGAGGGCAATAGACTTCTTAAGGAGCTACTGTTGAAGTGGAAGAACGAGACAGAAGGTCAAAACATGGATGGCAAGGAACAGGTCAAGAGACTTAAGACCATGGTCGCCGAGAATGAGAAGTTGAGGGCTAACAAGTTCTTCGAGGGTCTGAAGGGATTGTGATGATGCAGTGCATGAGATGATCTTGATGTGCTGATAGCTCTTTTGCTGCAGAATCCAGGGCGGGATGCAGTGTATATAATTTCGAAAGTCGAAACTCATGGCTTCTCACTCAGAAGGCCATATTTACTACACAACTCCTCTGCTGAATGCCCAATGGTCCATTTAAATCTGTTCATCTTAACCAGGCTTCACTAATTTCGTTTTTGGAAGAGGCATTATCAGCCATCTAGACAAGATTTCCCTTTGTTGATTCAAGAGTTCTTTTTGTGCGTTGTGTGGGTATTCAAGGTCTAGTTCGGGAACTACACGAATGCTATTCGCTTCTTCCACTTCAATATACAGTTTTGCCAGCCTTCTCGTTCCCTACAACTTCGGTCTCTTCTTCGATCTCTACATGTGGCGCACTAGTAATGACCACATCTTCACTGACACCAGGGCTTCTGAATTGTCCTTTTGCTGTCGTAAACCATGTGATCAACGCAACAAGCATGACTACGCCCACAGCTGCAGAAGTATAGTTCATGTTCTCCGAGTCCACTGGCTTGAGAGTGGGAAAATTGAATGTGATGGATGTGAAGAGCAGGTATACCAATGCCATGATGTTGATTGGCATACTCCAGCGTCCAAGATTCCAAGGGCCTTCGAATTTGGTCGCTGCTTGTGAGTTTGTGAGTGGAGCGATGACGCGGAGGAAGATTGGGATGGCGTAGGAGACGTCTATACGAGAAGTCTGTCAGTAGGTAGCATTATGTGAGAAAGAGGGCTCGATCTTACAGAAGCCTTCGGTGGCGATCGATACGACGGTGTTAAAACCTGTCACTGTTCCAAAGTAGATTGAGTTCAGAGCAATTTGCACTACAAAGGTGAGGAGAATGCCGTAGACTGGCACTTGTTTCTTTATATGCACTTTGCTGAGTACGTTGGAGAAGGGGAGACCGCGGTCTCTGGCGAACGCATANNCTAGAAGATAATCAGTCAATAGAGCTTAGTCGTAAGAAAAATTTGCACTTACGACTGCACGACCACCTTCTGCGAGTAGCGAGATTGCCGAGAAGAATTGTATCATAACCATCAAGAAGGTCAGACAGGAAGCCCCGGCAACAGACTGGGTCGAGTCGTAGAAGATCTGAACGATTGGGTCGCCTGTGGCGCTCTCGGCCACACCGTCGATTGAACCCATGCAGAAGCATGCCGCGATCAAGAAGGCAAATCCAGTGACGGCACCAAGGGAGACAGAAAGGACGATTGCTTTGGGAGCAACATTTCTGGCGTCGTTGATCTCTTCTGTCATGTGTGAAGGCGCATCATAGCAGCACATGCCAAAGGCCGACTGTAGCAGACCCAGTACGGCAGCGTACGGCTTGTTGAAACCCGTAAAGTTCTGGAACTCTGAGAAGACAAAGCTTGGGGTTTGCTTGTGGTCGTTTGTGGCTAGTATGGTGATGAATATGATGAGAAAGGACCCCATGTTCCAGATGAGGAAGAAGTTGCTCATTTTGTGCAGCATCTGCGGACACAAGACGTTGAGCGAAAGAGCAGCGATGGCAATTGCATAGGCTACCAACGTCGAGTGCCAGCGGGTAATCTCATACTCTGGGTTGTTGAGAGCAGCCATGGCAAGGATGAATCCAGAAGCGATGAAATTGACTACAGCACCCATCGCGATGATGCCGATACACATGAACCATCCACAGACGTAGGATAGACTTTTAGACCAGCTCCGTGGTGCTAAGATGGCAGCCCATGAGTACTGGCCACCAGCCAGAGGATAAGCTGAGCACATCTCGGCCATAGACAAAGCGACGGTCATGGTAAAGACACAGACCCCAACCCATGACCAGATCATGACTGGAGGTCCACCACTTTCTGCTCCAATTATGAGTACACCAGACAATGCTGTCCAGCTAGAGACGATTGAGAAGCAGAATCCAATCATGCTGACCAGGTTAAATGTCCGCTTGAGCTNCTGGAGCGAAGTCAGGAGCTGTGGTATAACTGTCATATCTGAACAACACAGACCTTGTTGGTAACCAAGCTGCTCGAGAGCAACATCGTCCGCGGTCGCTTTGTCAAAAACCTTTTGATCCATCATATCCGACATTGTAAATAGGGCAACCAAGGGAATTCTGTCGTGTCAAACAAGCTCCGATACTCCACATGAGATGTAGACCAGAATATATACTATCTAGTGCAGACTTATAGGCAGGAAGACGATAGCAATGTCGTTGACATTCACATAGAAAAACGATTTCTCGGAGAGTCAAGATTAGATACCAGATAAGAAAACATGAGAGGCTTCGGCAAGCTGCACTTGTATACTTCATTGTTGTCAGCGAAATAGGTCTCCAAATTGAACAGGCCAACGATATGCCAGATCCTTATCTTCGGAACTTCACTCCGGCGACGGATGCGGACCCATTTTCGAGAAGAGTCAGGTCTCGACTTCTATGTGTCAATCCGTCTCCAAGGGTTTCCCTTTCGGGCAATCAAAGCGATAAGATAAAAAGTACATCAATACTCCAGCTTGTGTCCTGGTTTTGACGTGCTCTAAAGACGACGATGAGAGAAGGGAAGGCTGAGGAAACTGCTTGCTTGATTCCCTTGGTTTGGCATCGGCACTTGCCGGGCAAACAATCCCGTGGTTTCCCGACTTTGAACAAAGGCTTTTGCAACCAGACATGGATTCCTTGACGTACATACAACCACAAAATCGTTCTTGGAAAGTAGGACGATCTAGTGCTTGATTTCTCTGCTGCTAGACTGACATGGAACTGATCAGTCCAACACTACCTGCCGCTCTCATGTGCAGCAGTTGGAACATCAAATCCTGTATCAGAAGCGATGGAGCTGGTAGTCATTGAGTACATGGCATCGTATACGTCCAATGACTTCAAGGAGTCTCTGAAGAAATGACAACCGGACATTCATTGGAACCTTCTTGAAGGTGCATGTCGAGTAGACGCTGGTGAAATTGACAATTGCAACGAGGGAATCCTGTGGAGGCTAGTGAAAGCGGAGGCGGGTCGACTTCTCACTTGGCTGAATTTATATTGACTTGCAGCACGATGGGCCTTTTGATGAAAACGCGGTCAAGTGAGAGCGAGACACGAGCTGTGCCACATGCACTTCCATCTATAGCGCGCGTGCTGTTTGCAAACCCCGCTCGTTCACTCGCGCGCATCACAACACTTTGTTACACTAAAGTTGTCGATTCCTGTTGTTTTTCTTTCTTTCATCGACATTGAACACGCTCGCCATGGCCGCGCCACAGGCCTGGAGCAGTCACATATGGACTGAACAGACTTTGACGTAGTGCCTCCCATCCTCTCATGTGCTATGGCAGCCACAGTAGCATTGCACAGTACTTTACAGAAAACACTAATGTCCACTGAGAGTCGCGATAATATCAGCTCTCGTTGGACTTGTCCTTTTCTGAAGACTTTTGTGCATCTCGATAGCTACTCTGTGACAGTCTTCTGCACATGGGGAGGATTGCACCTTCCTCTTTTCTCAGCGCTTACACAGTTTCAGGCGCCTAATTGGCAGTGACCAACAGCAAGTCGAAATCCGCACCAACGAACGCATGCCACAATCGTTCATGGTACCTCGTTCACTACTACACCACTATTGTCCAAAATTGCAGCCTTCAAGCCTTCCTGGCCAGCCTTTCATCTTCGAAACCAACCGACCAGCATTGACACTGTTCTTCGGTTGGCTGTACACCGGAAAGGTTGACTCTGCCGATTGGCATAACCTCACTGAGCTCTACTTTCTGGGCAGTTCAGCCGGTTGTGTCGCCCTAACACGCTCCGCCATTTCACAACTGCAGAAAGCCTGTAGAAATGATCAGGCTAACGATATCGATCTGTTTCACTATGAACATATCTCGGTGATTGAAGAGACGGTCGGCGCGTCCTCTTCACTGTTCCGCTACGCTGAAGACACGTACTTCAACCATTGGCGCCCATCCGACGACGACAACATCAAAGATGATCCTTCCAAGCACCCGCAGTCGAGCCTTTTCTTCAAGAGGTTGTTCGAGCGCTCCTTCAGGGAGCAGAGAGAAGGCGAAAACTGCTCGTGTTGCCATGACTACTGTCGATACCATGACCATGAATCAGCTGCAGAGCGTTTGGCAAGTAAGTTGTCCCTCTCGCATCTGTGTTGCCACTAGGTTTGGCATGACTACCAACAGAATTCTAACGGTTGTCAGCANTGTGGACGTTCGTCGGTACCGAACGCAGAGTCTTCGATCAACCATCCCATGACTGTCGTCAAGCCAGTTGCGGAGCCTTCAATCAACGCCCCTAACACTGTCGTCAAGTCGGTCGTAGAATCTTCAATCGATACCCCTGTTGCCGTCGTCAAACCAGACCCTGTGGTGCGCAAAGCCCGTAGAAGCAGAGCTGCGCGCGGATCCATGAGCAACGAGCTTGTAACAAGCATCAATGATTCCTTTTCGCACGAGACCCGTGTCACCTCCTCCCGCTCTGGAACACCAAAGGGCAAGGCTGCTGACGAGACTTGGCTCACAGTTCAGAGCCGTGCTCCTGTACACTTCCCTGCCGAGTATCATGGTTTGCTGACGTCTCTGTCCCAAGTTCAATCAATCAAGCCACCCAATTGGCTGGAGATTGGCGTGGAGGCTGAAGGGATTGACCAGCTGCCAGAACCGGACAGGATTATTGCTGCAGCCATGAGCTGGAACGCCGAGGACTACGCTCAAACAAAGTGTACGTTCTTCAATCAGTACGACCCGGCAATGCGCGACCGCAATCACTGGCGCAACACGCTCAAGTTCGGAGGCAGCAAATCGAAAGAGAAGGCCGAGAGACTCCTGGCTATGTGGGAAAGTTTAGGATGGTTGGAAGATCCAGAAGCGACCCCCAACAACGCACCGGAGCATCGCAAAGTTTCGGTCGCGCCCAACCCCCGGAAACGTACCTCATTTGGTCCCAGAAAGGCCTGGTCTGCAGATGAAATTGATGCTGTGACCGAGATCATGAGCGACATTGACAAGTCGAGCGCCAACTTGGGCGTAGTCGAGCGCGCCAGAATGTGTAGTGAACGGCTAGCATCTCAACACGGATATAGCCGTACCGAGTGTGCCATTCTCGGCCACCTGAAAAGACACAAGAGCTTGTCGACATCGAAGCGGAGGCCCAAGTCGATCGAGGTACTCAAGCCGAACGAGATGTCCAAGCCGAACGACCAACCAACGGCGAANGACGAAGATTTGACTGAAGTTAGAGGCAAGAAGGCCAACTCATGGTCTTCCCAGGAAGAGGAAGCTATGCTGGAAATCATGGACAACCTCGAAAAACACCCAGCTCACGAACACATGACCATCAAACAGCGTGCCGAGATGTGTCAGCTGCGTCTGAAGACCCTCTTTGGAACCGATCGCACGTCTGTGGCCGTCAAGGTCCGATACAACCTAATCCGACGTAACAAAGAGGCTGACCAGATGGACGACAACAACAACAACACTAATGCCTCCGCCAATGACTCTGTTATGAATGGGGTTGTTCCCGTTATCCTAAGGACCCCTCTTACTGGTGATTCCGATATCAAGATTCCTCTTGCTGGTGATTCTACTATCAAGATTCCTCTTGTCAGAGACCCTGTCATCAAAGACTTTACACCAATCAACCATGCTGTCAGAAACGATCTCATTGACAGCGCTGATCCCAATGCGAGCAGCGTTGTGAGCAAGATTCGTTGGAACGATAAAGAGGACAAAGCCTTGCTCGAAGTTTTCAAGGAGATTGAGCAAGATTCAGGTGTGTCAACTGAACGCGAGAAGCTCAGAGTGTGCAGTGCACGACTTCTTTCCAGGCACAACATCAAGAGGAGTGCCGAGAGCATCAGAGGGCGTTGGGAAAGGCTCAACTCTTCAAACAACTCTTCAAACACTTCTTCAAACAACTCTTCTAACAACACCCCAAACAGTACCACGAAGAGAAAGAGGGTCGACATCAGTAGCTCCAGCGAGGGCCTGTACCCATTGAAGAGCCGCACGAAGCGTAGCAAGACGGAGACAAGATTTGTTACCCAGCTGTTTGATGCTGGAGAAGAGCGAATTGAAGGAATCCGAAGCTAGCTTGAGGGGAATTAGGAGAGAACGAGGGAATGGCACCTCTCCGTATGCAAAAAGCATGTAATGTGTATAGCTGACAAAATGCACAATTGTATCAAGAAGCACAACAGTATCCATTGAGAGGCGACGTATTCTAGGCTCTCCTTGGTAACATCTCCGATCTGGAAATCTTTGTGCCTTTTTATAGTTCAAAAAGTCGCTCTATGCTGGTATGGAGGAAGTCATATGCCGCTGAAATCAGGATCCTCCTCAACGGCCTCCCCACAGGCCAAGCACGTAAAACATACTACTATAAAAATGCACGATAGTCTCGAGAAACAAGACGATAGCCATTGAGAGACGACACATTGTAGGCTCTCACTGGCTACATCCTGGATTGAGAAACATTTTGTGCATTTTTATAGTTTGCAGGCCGCTAGATAAGTCGCCTTGAGAAAGTCTTATTTCTTTGCACGACGAACGCAAGACGCTTTTTCTACACTTCTGGACAAAAGAGATTTTGGAAACTTTCTGATGGATGTGTAATTTGCCTTTTGAAGTAAATTTGATTGTGGTGACCATTCTTAGTTGGACCGTTTTCTTGCCACAAGTTGCAAGAAAAGGCGTTTTAATTACTTGCTTCCAGCTAACTTTGTGATTGGCAGCACACCTGGGAAGAAGCTCGCCGGCATGGTGGGGATGGGGATACTCTGTGTTGTCCCAAAGGCGGTTTTGAGATCCGCAGCCATGGTGGGAGCAGCATAGCCCGTAGGCGCCTTGCTGACCCACTGTGTAGTGGCCGCATAAGCAGCATAACTAGTCCCAGATTTGAGGCAAAACCCACTCCCATAAGCGTTCTCGCAAGAGTAGAATTGAGAGGTGCCAGTCTCGGTCCACATACTGAAATCAGTAATACTGATATCGTGGCAAGGAGCTTTGGCCGCACAAGCAACCTTGATAGGTCCACGAGCTTTGCCGTTCGCTTCCGTGCCCGTCCAATTCGAGATTTGGAAGTTGGAAAGCTGGACTCCGTTTCCAGCAATCGTCGTCATGGAACTCCAGGCTTCGTCTAGAGTTAAGCTGTAGGCATTTCCATGGCCGATGAAGTTTTCGAGCACGACGTTGGATACAGTGCCAGAGCCGCCATTAGACTTGAGCATGAACATTTGGTTGCTGGACCAGGTGTAGATGTTTCTGTAAGTGATGTTGGAGACGGCGGTGTCGGTGCCGAAGGAACCCATGCCGCAGCCGCCGGACCAGTTACAGTAGACGTTTTCGACGAGGATATTTGTGGAGGGGCTTTTGACTGTTACGCATTCGTNCTGTGAGGGTGTTGGTGTCAATACTTGGAAGGGTCTCAAGAGAGAGGATCTTTGGGCTCATGACTGACCTTTGTTGGTGACCATGACATCGTGGATCCAGATGTTGTTGCTCCAGACATCGATGCCGTCGAGACCGCCTTCGTTACCACCGCGAATAGCCATGTTATAGACCTCACCATTCGTGCAAGTGTCGATGGAAAAGTGGAAAGCGGGAGAATCAACCAGAGAAATGTCGTGAACAGACCAATTGGTCACATCCCACACTCTCAAAAGCCTGGGACCTGAGGTACTGCCCTGCTCGTGGAATATGTAGCCATTACCTTGAATGGCTCCTTTGCCAGTGGACGAGAACATCTCGAAGCNTAAGGGACACAAAGTCAGCATGGTTTCTCTCCACGCGAATAGAAGCATGACTTACTTGTCACTGTGTTCAACCATAATCATATTGCCAGCATCAGTGCCAGTACGAGTAATGATACCATCAAGTTGCAGTGCCCAGTTGTTGCCATTGGCCAACTTGACCCACTGAGACATGGCATAGTTGCCAGCGGGAATAACGACAACACCACCTGCTTTGCAAGCAGTAAAAGCACTGTTCAGAGCAGTGCTAATGTCAGTCTTTCCATCGGCGACAGCGCCATATTTGGTGATGTCGCAGGTCTTGATCGCAGCCTTGGTCGCATGCGAAGTGGTGGGGCCGACTTTGCCAGAAAGCTCAGCTGCGACCAGCGCAGGCAGAGCGACAGCAAGTGTCAAAAGAGAAGAGAACGAATACATAATTGGACTGGAAAGAAAGTAAGGGAAGAGAACGAGAGACTCGACGATCAATGAGCGGGGGCAGGGACAAAGGGAGCACAGCAAAAGACAGCGAGTAGGCACGACCTACCTAATATCATATCTAGTAGACCGCACCTCCCATTAGGGCTTGACTGGTCAGCCTATCTTTTCGGACGCGACACTGACATAGCTCTTGTTCCGTGGTTGTCGACGACGCCTCCAGATTTCGATGAAACGGATCCAACAGACCTTCCACAATGCGGGCAGTCAAGCACGTGTCCGGGGCGAACGATCAACATGAAACCACTCCTTCGTGCCGTCTCCATGAACAGAAAGACGACACGGGCTGGGAAATTGTTACGGATGGCTGCCAATCAGCATGTAGCATGTATAGACGATGGCATACTTGAGCGGGCTTGAGGAGGCTGAAAGCGACGGCTCTCTATTGAAACAAATCCGGGTCGCTTAGCTTGACACGATGAACGACAGCGAGATGAAACGCTCAATGCTTGAAGATACACAGGGAATTTTGCTTGTGCTTCGAGAACAAGCCCTAACCCTGAAGTTGGAGTTTGCCTGAGGCTTCTACCAAGTGCTCTCTCCACAGCCGAATACTAGTGAGATGAGAGGAATAGCAGGGCAGAAAGACGCTCTAGAACCAGTCCAATTGTCTATCAAATGGGGCCGCACGCCATCTGAATGCCTTCGCTTCGTGATGCAACATAACCAATGCCCAAACCAACGCCCCGCTCAAATGCAAGAAAAAGAAAGGTTTGTCCGCGTGTGGTCGATGAAATTCACTCAGCTCAAGATCTAACTCATCTTTGAGTCCTGCTGAGCGCCGTTCTCTTGTTGCACGGGTTCGTCGCCGCCTGCAAGCACTTTTGTCCTGGGCACGCTGCCCTCGTTCGGGTTGCCTCCCGGTGTCACGGCTGAGACCTTTCCATTCTCGTCGACGAACTCGAAATTGTAGCGGGAGAGTAGATGAGGAATGGCAGAGAGCTGAGGACCGTAGCGCTGAGCGTTATCGTAGAGCTCGAAGAGGGGCACGGCGAGCAGCTTCATGTTCTTTGGTACGCTCAAGANCTTCTGTAATTGACGTGTCAGCGTTTATCGGGCAGATTGATTGCATATGCGCAACATACTGCTCTTGGGTAGCTGAATGTAGTATAGCTTCTTGCACTCTTTCGGACGAGAGACATGCGGCGGGATGAACGGGTACATGAAGGTCTCGAAGTTGGGCCTCCACCACTGCGCAAGAGTCTCGCCAATCTCCCATTCGCCTTCGTGGCCGTCGTTGGAGAACTGGTTGCCTGAGGGAGCGAGTCTTTCATTCAGCCTAATCTTGAAACCCTCAATCTCGTCGGCGTCGTGTGGGAGATAATCTCCAGGAAGCTTGAAGAAGGCGTTTGCGATTTGTAGCATGAGGACGTGTGGGTGATTGTGATCATGGCATACGAGGATACCTTCGCAGGTTCTTCTCATGCCGTATGCATCGTAATGTTCTTCCAAGCGCTTTAGGCGAGCGAGGACTGAGGNGTCTTCTTCTGGTTGAGTCTCTTTTGTGCCGAAGGTGTAGTTGCTCAAGGGATATAGCCTGACGGTCTTTGGTTGGTGTGCATTGAAGTCTGGCGGAGCTATCGGGCTGTGGAGCAGCGATTGTCGTCAGTCGTGCGCGTGATATAGCGGTTGTCCAGGACATACGGNGTAGGAGCTCTGCTGAGCGTCTTTCGAGATTGTTGTCATGATTCAACAGATGGGAGTCGCACAATGTTGTGGGTGTGGAGAGACGAGTTCAAGGATGCAAAGAACCAAGGATAGATGGCAAGAAGATAGAAGCGATGGGTTGCTGGGAGAAGAAAGTGATTGGAAGCAAGACAACAAGGACAACTCGAAGCTTGACGCCGTCTCGGTTGGCGATGCGCGACGACGTGGGTTTTGTGGGGAAGCTCGTTCCTGCCATCTTGAGAGCTTCTTCGCTCCCTTCCTTCCTTCTCTCGACTTGTCTTTGTAACCTGTCGCCTTGTGACAGGTAACAGTACTGTCAGCAAGTGCGACCCGACATCTGCACCTAGACATACGGCCAAGTGAACCCCTTTTCCTTACTTCTACCACCCCTGCCATTGACTACTATACTGCTACCCTACCTGCTTGACCTGCAATCATCGATAAATCTGTATAAACTAGACCTTCCTCCGGTCCAAAATGTGCCGGTAAGTATCTCACTGCATAGCTGTAGTGACAGAGACCAATACTTCATGCAGCTGGTTCGCATACATCTCGCCAACCGAGCCATGTCTCCTGTCGGACGTCCTCATCACACCTAAACACTCTCTCACCAACCAAGTCAACGATCACTACCTGCCCGGCCTCATCGCCCACCTACCAAACAAAACTACCGCAGAACACGAAGCCAATGCTCGCAACCGCATCCTCAACGCCGACGGTCTTGGTGTCGCCTGGTACACTTCTTCCTACAGCGACTTTGAAAGAGGCATCACAGACGAGAGCGAAGACGGCAAGCCCCACGAAGGCCTCAGACCCGCCATCTATAAGACCATCCAGCCCCCGAAAGGCGACATGAACTACCGTTCCATCTGCACCAACACCGAAACCCGCTGTGTGTTCGCTCACATCCGTGCTACGTCCGAGAGCGCTGTCGCTCACGTCAACAACCATCCCTTCATATTCGGAAAATTTGCTTTCATGCACAACGGAGCAATCTCGGACTTCACCTCGATCAGACGCGCTATTTGCGACATGCTCGATCACGACACATATGCCAACATCCAAGGAACCACCGACAGCGAGCACATTGGTGCGCTCTTCATGCACTTCTTATCCTCAGGAAAAGGCAAAGACACCTGGGACGAGAACCACTCCGTCCACGCCATAGCACACGCGCTCCACACAGCCATCAAGACCGTCTGCAACCTGCAAAAGAAGATTCTCGGAGCCAAGAGAAGACCGAACAGCTTGAACCTGGCAGCCACCGACGGCACCCAAATGGTCGCATGCCGCTTCCGCAACCACAAGGAAGAGCAACCNCCAAGCCTGTACTTCTCGACCAGAGCCGGCACCACTCTGAATCGCAAGTACCCCGACCATCCCGACGGATACGACAGACCTGATGAGGGTCCGAGAAAGAACGAGCAAGAGCACGGAAAACATGTCATTGTTGCCAGTGAGCCCAGCACATACATAGAAGAGGACTGGAACATCATCAACAAGAACCAATACCTCATCGTTCACAAGGATGGCAGGTTTACACTGCAGAATATGCTCTACTCTGAGTCATGGAATGCTGATGATGCAGAGGCTTACCAAGCAGCCATGGCCGAGGCCGAAGATCAGAAGACAATCACAGCTGAGATGGAGTGTCTGAAGGCAAACATTGCTGGAACAGAAGGTCATTAGGTGCATCAGAGTAGGTATCTTTTATAGGGTCGTGGTATCATCAATCATCTTCCCATAACACTCGTGTTCACTTTGCAGCGGCCGCCGGGACTACGACAACAGGTGGTGCGTCAGGAGCCTTCTCTGCTGCCTTCTCTGGAGACTTCGTGACCACGACCACTTCCTCCTTCGAAGTCGTAGCTGCGGCTGCGGCTGCGGCTGCTGGTGCGGGCACAGGTGCTGGTGCTGCGGCTGGTGGGGAGGAGGCGGCGTCTCCTTCACCTTTTCAACGACAACTGTGGTAGGTGGAGCAGGTGCTGGTGTTGGAGCAGGCGCGGGAAGTGCAGGTGTGGCCTTGTACTCGATAGCCTGAATGACAGGAGGAGGACTGCTGGCAACCACAGCAGGAGGAATGGTAGCAACCCTCTTGACCTCAACAACATTGGATGCAGCAGCACCTTGAGGAGGTGCACCGACAACGACAAGCTCGCCAGACCTCTTCTTCTTGTGACGGCTAGCGATGAGCCAGTAGGCATAAATCCAAGCAGGAAACATACTGTCCATATCGAGGGTCAGCAAAACAGCTGATCATGAAGAAAGTAGAAGAGTCAACGGACAAGGTGAGAAAGAGAAGGGTGCAGATGAGGACTTCGATACCACAGCCTTTCATCATGAAGACGGCGATCATAGGGTTGAGCATCGCAGCCAAGACGAGGAGGAGGGTCTCGTTGTCGATGGTAGTATTGTCTGGAGACATCTTGATGACTTGACTGAGGTGCTTGTTGCTAAAGACGTGTCTTTGCTCTGATGAAGTCGATGCCTTGATGGTTTATCGAATTGAGATGGCGGCTGAATGCTCTTCAAAGGAAGGGAGAGGGGTTGATGTTGGAAGATCCGCCCGAGAGAAATTTGAAGAATGGTTTGCCGATAAGGAGTGTGAGGAGTTGGACTGGATCTGGTAGAAGAGTTGTTGAAGCTCGCGTGCTTGGGATTGCAGTATCGAGTATTTTCGTTGGTAAACATTGATGGAAGGAACCACCAGGGTCGCTGGGCGCGTCATTCGTGGCTGTGTGCTGTGGCTGCAGCTTTCTAGTTTAACGAACGCATGAGACTTCATGTATAACGCATCTCCAGAAGTCAATGTCAGCAAGATGGCCACGTAACGACATATTCTCTATCTGGGACATGACGAGACGCTTGCTTGAGATGTCAACTATGTCTCTCTTTTCCTGAGCGTTGTTTGCCACAATGGAATCGTTCTGTTCATCGTGAATGCACTCAGCACAGCATCTACTGCTAAAGATCACTTTTGTCATTTAGCAAATCTCGACCGCTCTCTATCCACTTCCCCAATGACCCCTTCATGTGAAATAGTGACGTTATGCTGTCCTCAGACAAAACATCAAAAGACTACCCAGAACAACTAACTCTCCATACCTACTTACCTCTATATCCCTCAATCCCTCAAACTCAGCAACAATGCCCGACCCCTCCGTCCCCCAAAGCTACGAAATCAGACCTAATCCCCAAGCCCTGACTGCCAACAAAGAGGACCCAAGCCAAAACGCATCTACTGGCGTCGACTATGAACCCCACCCCGAAAAGAGCATCAAGCTCGAACCTGAAAGAGAAAAGATTGTAAAGTCGATTTGTGCACTCTACTCGGGTGGTGCGAGTGAGGAGCTCATGTCGGTTTATGCTGAGAAGGCTGTTTATGATGATCCTTGGTATGTACTTGGAGAAACGCTTGAGTGGGCATTCGTGTCGAGATTGGTGGAAGAGGCTCAGACATGGGGTGTCTTGATACCTGGAGTCTTTTGAGTATGGCGGAGTTGTTCTTGGAGAGCGACTATTCAAGGTCTCTCACTGAGCTTGACTCTGCTTGTCCAAGCATCCTACATCATGACACATCCCCATGGCGAGACTCGATCCTGCCGGAAGCTTGACATCTTCATGCCTACCTACCGATCAGAGGTTATATACTGACTAGAAACAGGTCATACTGCGACACCCGCTACAAGATCGCTGGCCAATGGTACGGCATCCCCAAAGTAATGGCCAAGTCGCAAACCCTCAAGACCGAAGTCGTCGACTCGCAACCCGACCGCATCATCTTCAAGCTGCAACAAGAGTACACGCCCAGAGTTGTCCACTTCTCCAAGCCAGTCAACAGTCTTGTCACATTGACCTTGGACGACCAAGGCAAGGTCAAATACCACAAGGACATGTGGAATGAGAAGGACTATTCGCATGAAGGCTTGGGTAAGATCATGAAGACTCTGAACGGTGACCATTTGACCAAGGTGAGTGTGTGCGCGAAAAGGAAAAGAGGATTGCAGGCTGACACAACAGCAGATCACCCAACCGCCAGAGACTCTGTAGATGTTACTTTACGAAACCCACGAATCCATAACGCTCTAGAATATCTAATATAAATTCTATCCACATGATCGCTCATCAAGCCAAAGCTTCAGCACCCTTGACTTTCCATTCATCACCCTCCTTGATGGCAGCAATAGTAGCCAGCTCCTTGTTGTCCGCATCTACCAGTTGGAAGGACGACTTCTCGTTGGGGAAGAAGGTCTTGACCTCGACATCCTTGGTCCAGTCCCAAGTCGTTCTGTTCTCTCCTTCTTTCCCAAGTACCAGAATTGATCCTTCTCTGGCATATAACGGCAACGTGTCGAACTGATGCGTCTCCTTGACCCATCGTGGTCCTTCAACAATCTGGCCATCCCAGAAACTAGTCCACTTGCCTTCGGGCAGATAGAACTCGACCTCTCCACTCTCGTCAAACACCGGCGCAACCAGGAGACTGGGTCCCAGCATGAATTGCTGATCACACAGCCATGCCGTCTTGTCCTCTGGAAACTCGATCGCCATGGCCCTTACACTGACAGGCCAGCCATGCTTGATACTCTCCATAGCCGTCGAGTACAGATACGGCATCAACCTGCACTTCAACTGCGTAAACTTCCTCAACACCGCACTGCAGCCTTGCTCGCTCTCGTCGTTGTTGTCCACCAGCCAAGGAACACGATAACTGTTGCTACCGTGCAATCTTGAGTGCGAGCAGAGTAGCCCAAACTGCACCCATCGCTTGTAGATGGCTGCATCAGGTGTACCCTCAAACCCACCGATATCCACGCTCCAAAAAGAGAAGCCACACATACCCAGCGATAACCCGCCACGCAGCGATTCAGCCATGGCTTCAAAGGTGCTCTCACAGTCACCTCCCCACTGCAAAGGAAACTGCTGTGTTCCTGCCGTAGCGGCGCGAGCAAACAACACGGCTTCATGTTTCCCATATCTCTTCTGCAGAGCCTCGTAAACAACTTTATTGTAAATATACGCATAATAGTTGTGCATTTTTCCTGCGTCGACAGAGGTATCGAACCACTGTACATCTTTACTGGGTATGCGTTCTCCAAAGTCTGTTTTTAGACTGTCGACACCGATATCGAAGAGTTTTTCCAGGCAGGAGGTGTACCACTCGCAAGCGGCTGGGTTTGTAAAGTCGATGATGCCCATACCGCCTTGCCAGAGATCCCACTGAAAGACATCTCCGTTTTTGCGACGCAGGAGGTAGCCTTTTGNAGCGGCTTCTGCGAAGACGGGGGAGGCTTGTCCGAGGTAGGGGTTTATCCACACACAGACCTTGTTCATGAGCCCGGAAGCCTTGAGACGAGAAATACTCGCTCTAGGGTCAGGGAAATGGGCGGGAGAAAACACAAAGTCGCACCAGTGGAAAGCGCGCAGCCAAAAGCAATCGTAGTGGAAGACTTGCAGAGGGATATCTCTTTGCTTCATTCCTTCGAGAAATGAGAGAACGGTATTGTCGTCGTACTCTGTGGTGAAGGAAGTACTGAGCCACAAGCCAAAACTCCAGGTGGGCACTTTGGTGGGTTTTCCGGTTAGCGTGGTGTATTTGTCTAGGATCTCTTTGGGGGAGGGGCCATAGATGATGTGCCATTTCAGACGTTGGCCCAGGACTGAAGTTTGTACTCTGCAGCATCTTTCACTGCCCACTTCCAAGTCCACCTTTTCGGTTGCGTCGATAAAAACACCGTAGCCCTTATTACTCATCCAAAAAGGGATATTCTTATAGCTCTGGTCAGAGGAGGTGCCGCCGTCGGCATTCCAGAGTGTGATTGCTTGGCCCACTTTATTGAGGGCGCCGAAGCGTTCACCCAAGCCATAGACTTGTTCGCCGACCCCCAAAGTGCTTTGAGTGAGTATGTAGTGATCTATATCTCGCATGTCTGCTGTTTGCATGGGGCTGCTTGTTGCGGGCGAGTAAGCGAGTCCTACACTGCGGTTGAGCAGAGAAGTGAGTTTGTGCTTGCCGTCTTTGCTGTGGAAGCGAATATCGAAGGTGTGGGGTGCAGAAGATACTGTTGCAGAGAGGTTGCCGGCTGAGATGGTGGTTCCCTGTTCTGTCTTTTGGATGTCGGCGTTTACCTGTGGTTTTCCAGAAGGGAAGAGGGGGAAGTGTGGGCCTTTGTTAAGAGCACCGTGCCAGTGGGTGACTTCGACGGAGAGTATGTCGTCCATTACTGCTTCCAGTTCCTGTGCATTGTTGGCCTTTCATCCTTGACAGACTCAATGTTCCAAACATACCACTGTCAAGGTGGGACGATTCAGAGTGTCACCTCTGCTGCGAATTTGCATGGTAGGACAGAGGAGAGTAATCTTCTTGCCATCATGTGCTTCGTTGATAGAGTAAACCTCTTCAGCATACTCGAGTCGTTTACCCTCGGCGACCAACCACATGCCTAGCTCACGTTATGAGCACTCAAAGACAGCTTCCATGAGATCAGTCTACTCACCGTCGCGAAACTTCATCTTGGGCGAATGCGAGGCTAGGAAAATGCAAAGAGGCAGAAACGTAAAAGAGCAAGATTACAATACCTACCTGTTTTTCAAGAACAACAGAGCTTACATCTCCAAGAATCTTTGCATGAAGATCACCAGGTTGAATCGGCGCGGGGTCTTCGTGATGGATGGAGGGGTTCACGGAGAAATCGTCCCAGGTAGGAAAGATGTTTGCCGAGCGAATGCATACAGGCTGAACACTTGCATGAGCAACAAATGACACCGGAAGAATTGCTCTACAAGTAGAAGGATGCGATCAACATGACCATGTGTGCACTATATGTTGTGTGACAGGTCGGTCGCAGTTGTGGTCGTGGTGTTGAAGTTGAAGCTTGCTGTTGCAATCATCCTGTAACGTGGATCACGAACGACTGTTGCCAACGAAGTATCTCGACAGTGTGTTATCACTACAGATCCAGAAGCATCGCGTTCGATATCGAGTGTCAGAAGTGCGGTTGATCAAATGATAAAGTACTTTCGCGGTTCTTGTAACAGAAGACAGATTGGTCTGTATTCGATGCCAAGCCATTTCGTCATCGGTGGATGCATGAGAGCTTCGATTCAAAGAACAAACACTCTCTTCCTTGTTCACATTGTGTAGGACCCAAGAAGTAGGTGTCATAGATCCTATTTCTTTGTCTTCATCCTGGGTTGAATCACCTTGCATTGCATACATCTCCATTACACTCGAAATCATGCCCGATCTCGGATTTGACCCACTCAATCGCGAACCGCCAGCTACTGAACTGGTGTCATCGTTTCTTACAACAAAAGATGCCTACGATCGCAATCATGGAGGCATACCAGAGATAGAAGCATCAAAACATCATGTGCGAGTTGATGGCGCAGTGCAGGACATATTGGACCTGTCAGTATCTGACCTGGAAGCCTTGCCTCAACATACGGTCGTCTCTGCACTTCAATGTGCTGGCATCAGAAGACACACAATGCGTACAGCCATCAAAGAAGTCCAAGGGATCGACTGGTTTGATGGAGCAGTGATGAACTGCAAATGGCAAGGACCGAGACTGAAGGACATTCTGGAGAAGGCAAAGGTCATTCTTACCAAGGAAGAGAAAGGCCATGTAGCATTTGCAAGCCATGCGCAACCATGTCAGGAGGACGATTGGTACGGAGCCTCGATAGATCTTGAGAGGGCGCTGGAAGAAGACAAGGATGTGATATTGGCACTTGAGGTGAGATGGGGTGTTGCTCGAACATGACGCATATCGATGGCTGACTCTCTCAGNATGAACGGCAAGCCACTTACCAAAGAACATGGATTCCCTGTTCGAGTTGTGGTTCCCGGTATTGCCGGTGCTCGGAGTGTGAAATGGCTAGATCGGATCACGGTGCAGACGATGGAGAGCTCCAACTACTATCAACAACACGATTACAAGATTCTTCCGCCGGAAGCCGTTGATAGCGAGTCGGCCGAGAAGTATTGGGACACAACGCCAGCACTTCAGACTATGCCGATCAACAGTGCGATTGCCGTCCCAGAGCCTGGATCGAGAGTGGAAAGGTCAGCAGAAGGTAAAGTGACAGTAAAGGGATTTGCTTTGCCAAGTGGGGATGGCGGAGCTGTGGTCAAAGTTGAAGTATCCGGAGACGAAGGAGTAACATGGACAGAAGCAGAGATCGAGCACGATGCGGACGAGAGCAGATGGTCGTGGAGGCTCTGGAAAGCAAACCTTTCAATGGAGGCAGGGAGAGGGCTGAAAATCTTCAGCAGAGCGACAGATGCGTCAGGAGAGACACAGCCCGAAAGATCGCAGTGGAATCTGAGAGGCGTCGCGTACAACGGATATGGAGAGACGACAGACCTTGAGGTTGTGTAGTGGAGAAATAATAAATAATGGAAAGAAATTGACTTCGCGACTGAAACGGCTGGCCGTGGTGGTCTGTGCGGACGCTCGACGTCAGTTTCCAGTGGCAGCAGGCGGACGACGTGAACATTCAACTCCTCCAGTCCAGTTGTATGCTAGGATTGCGACCCAGACTTGTAACGCGCCCGTCACTCATCGATCTAGTCAACAAGAAGGACTCTGATCGCGCTCCTCAATCAGACTCGCAGTCCATCGACCTTCCCGCGAGCCCCATAGCAGACAGCTCAACCACCTCCTCCACAACAACCGCCATGGCTCCCTCAAGAGATGTCGAGTCCCAGCAGGGTGAGTTTGCTCTGTCGCTCTTGATCATAGTCCACCCAGCTGACCATGTCCAGGCTCCATCTTCTCCGTATCTGGGTACGTCGCAAGACCCAACACCACCGCCTACCGCCTACTAACGCCCGCCCAGTCCCGTCATTATCGCCGAGAACATGATCGGTGTCGCCATGTACGAACTCGTACGTACCGATTCGCCTCCAACACGTAATGCGCCGTACTAAGAAAAGCAGGTCAAAGTCGGCAAGGACGGTCTCGTCGGTGAGGTTATCAGAATCGACAACGACAAGGCCACCATCCAGGTCTACGAAGAGACGGGTACGTTTACATGCACACGCAAACCACACTCAGCATGCTGATCCAAAGCAGCTGGTGTCACCGTTGGTGACCCTGTCTACAGAACCGGCAAGCCCTTGTCGGTCGAGCTCGGTCCCGGTCTGATGGAGACCATCTACGACGGTATTCAACGNCCCCTCAAGGGTATATCGGACGTCTCCAACAGCATCTACATTCCCCGTGGTATCGATGTGCCCGCTCTGGACCGCCAAAGAAAGTGGGACTTCAAGCCTGCTGGTTACAAGGTTGGCGACCACATCACTGGTGGTGACGTTTTCGGTTCCGTCTGGGAGAACTCGCTGCTCAGCGACCACAAGATCCTTCTTCCTCCCAGAGCTCGCGGTACCATCACCCGTATCGCTGAGGCTGGAAGCTACACCGTTGACGAGAAGATCCTTGAGGTCGAGTTTGAGGGCAAGAAGTTTGAGTACAGCATGATGCAGGAGTGGCCCGTCCGTGTCCCTCGCCCCGTGAACGACAAGCTCGGTTCCGACTCGCCCTTCATCGTCGGTCAGCGTGTCCTCGACGCCCTCTTCCCCAGTGTCCAGGGTGGCACTGTCTGTATTCCTGGTGCTTTCGGTTGTGGCAAGACTGTCATTTCTCAGTCCGTCTCCAAGTTCTCTAACTCTGACATTATCGTTTACGTCGGATGTGTACGTTCAACCTTCTACCACTCATACTTACTGCGCCCATGCTAACTTCATCTGTGTTTCAGNGGTGAACGCGGTAACGAGATGGCCGAAGTTTTGATGGACTTNCCCGAGCTCACCATCGACGTCAACGGCAAGAAGGAACCCATCATGAAGCGTACCACTCTCATCGCCAACACCTCCAACATGCCTGTCGCTGCCCGTGAGGCTTCCATCTACACTGGTATCACCGTTGCCGAGTACTTCCGTGACCAGGGTAAGGACGTCGCCATGATGGCTGACTCCTCTTCTCGTTGGGCCGAGGCTCTTCGTGAGATTTCCGGTCGTCTCGGAGAGATGCCTGCTGACCAAGGNTTTCCTGCTTACCTCGGTGCCAAGCTCGCCTCTTTCTACGAGCGTGCTGGCCGTGTTACCGCTCTTGGTAGCCCTGACCGCAAGGGCAGTGTTTCCATTGTCGGTGCAGTTTCTCCTCCTGGTGGTGATTTCTCAGACCCTGTTACCAGTTCTACTCTTGGTATTGTGCAGGTCTTCTGGGGTCTCGACAAGAAGCTTGCCCAGCGTAAGCATTTCCCTTCGATCAACACCTCGCTCTCTTACTCAAAGTACACGACCTCGCTGGAGAAGTACTACCAAGAAAACAACCCCGAGTTCCCTCGTCTGCGTGACCGCATCAAGGAGCTTTTGACCACTTCCGAGGATCTCGAGCAAGTCGTGCAATTGGTCGGAAAGTCGGCTCTTGGCGATGGTGACAAGATCACTCTTGACGTTGCAACTCTGCTCAAGGAGGACTTCTTGCAACAAAACGGTTACAGTGACTACGATCAGTTCTGTCCCCTGTGGAAGACTTTCTGGATGATGAAGAACATGATGAGCTTCCACGACGAGGCCCAGAAGGCCATCTCCCAAGGCCATGCCTGGAGCAAGGTCAGAGAGGCTACTGGCGAGATCCAGAGCGAACTCAGAAGCATGAAGTTCGAGATCCCGGATGACGGTGAGGAGAAGATTGTCAAGAAGGTGAGTTGTGGACTTTGTCCTTTTCAAAAGTCACTATGCTAACGTTCAATGCAGTACGAGGAGCTTTTGCAGAAGATGAACGAAAAGTTCGCTTCCGTCATGGACGAGTAGAGAAGACAATAGACATTTGTTTTGTATGTTTCTGGGCGTTTACATGGTCCTTCGAGGCTGTATATAATCTCATTTTTTGAAGCGTTGTTGTATTATTCGACATGTGTTTCCCGCATCTTCGTCATGACCATCACTTCGCGACCGAGGTTGATGAACAACCGCTCTTCACACGCGGCAAAACAATCTCTCTCTTTGGATTGTATACGTTTTTGTCATTGAAGCTGACGGTAATGACACAATCACCGCCATTGACTGGCCTTCGCGTGCTCGAATTCGCAGGTCTAGCTCCAGGTAACTTTGGGCATTCGTCTACATAACTATACCTGCTTATGGATACAATGTACNNAGGACCATTCGCAGGCCTTTTACTAGCCGACTGGGGCGCCTCTGTGCTTCGCATCGACCGCGCAGTCCCAGCAGCCCACACTGCCAACCCACCACCGGCGACCTCTGACCTACTCACGCGTCACAAATCCTCCATAGCTGTGGATATTAAATCTGCAGCTGGCATCTCTCTCATCCTCTCCTTGATACCAAATGTAGACATACTCATCGACCCTTTCCGTCCCGGCGTCCTCGANAAACTAGGTCTCTCGCCAGAAACCGTGTTGCTGAAATTGAATCCTCGTCTCATTGTCGCACGCATGACTGGTTTTCGCAGAGATGGCAAGTATGCATCCATGGCAGGCCACGATATCAATTACCTCGCCGTCTCTGGCGTGCTATCCCAACTCGGGCGTGCAAACTCTACTCCCACGCCTCCTGCCAATTTGCTAGGTGATTTTGGCGGCGGAGGCTTGGTTTGCTTTTTGGGTATTGTGATGGCGGTGTTGCAGAGACAGAAGACTGGGTTGGGGCAGGTTGTGGAAGCTAATATGGTAGATGGAGCTGCGTATTTGGGCGTTATGCCTAGATTTGCGAGAAAGACGGTTATGTGGGATAAACCACGAGGAGAGAATTTGTTGGATGGTGGGTGTCCTTATTATGATACTTATGAGTGTAGCGATGGGGGTNNATATGGCTGTGTAAGTGTGACTTCCTTTGCCCTCCTACCATACTACATCAAAGGGCAAACAACTCACTAACATCACGCCAAAAACAGTGGAGCATTAGAACCCCAATTCTTCGCTCAATTACTAAAAGGCCTTGACATCTCCCCATCATCCCTCTCAGGCCCCAGAGACGACCGCACAACCTGGCCCTCCCTCCGCCACCTCTTCACACAATCCTTCGCCTCCAAACCCCGCGCCGAGTGGGAGAAAATCTTCGACGGCACAGATGCCTGTGTAACTCCCGTGCTCACCCAAGACGAGCTAGAAACTGACGGATATGATCAACGGCCCATTGTCACGCTCAAAGATTCGCCGGGCAGAGCTATCGCTGAAGGGGATGCGGATGCGAGGCCAGTGTGCCAAGGGCAGGGGATTGGTGTTGAGGGTGATGGGTGGATGAGTAGAGGGTTAGCGGCGGGAGTGGGTGGGGAAGAGGTGTTGGGTAGATGGATGGGGTGGAAGAGNGGGAGGCAGTATGATGTTATTGATGGAGGGCTTGTGCGGTTGAGTGGAGGGGCTAAGTTGTAGTTGACGCTGATATTGACAGTACTGCTGATGACTATGCCTTAGCTATAGAGGATCACCCGAACAAGGCTCGTACTTTCCATTTCTCTAGAATCCATAAACTCTACCATTCCTTGCTCTCATCGTCAATAACACAATGTCAGCGACAGCACTTTTCCTTTGGCATTTGTAATCGTGCTTAGCATCACTTTTCCATCTGACGACGCAACATCTCCATCTCCTCAGGGGTAGGAGGACCAAACAACATAGCATTGACACCACGGCTTCTGATAGGCATACCAGCGATCTGCTCGGCAAATGCAGCCAGCTTCTTGTCATTGGGGTTCTTTGGTGCCATGCCCTTGACCAGCTCAGCGAGACTCTTGGGGCGCTGGTGATTGGGATCGCGGGTAGGCTTGGTGGGCTTGGAAGAAGTGGTGATAGGGGTAGGGGTAGAGGCAGAAGGTGTGGGACCACCATCGTTGTTGGCTTGGTGGTTGTCATCAACGCNNCAACGCCAAACTTGCAGTTCAAGCGCTGGATCACTTCGCCAGGGACATCACCATAGATCTCGAAGTTCTTGACCGGAATACTCAGGTCCTCAAAGGCGTCGGCTAGGTCAAAGGCAGAGGTGTAGAAGCGTCCGACGTTGTCGTGGGCAAAGGTGAANNGCTAAAATTTGCAGAGATCAAAAGTCAGCAAAAGTCCATATTTTGGGTGAAGGATGCGCAAGGTAATGACTTACACAGTACCATCCTCACGCATGACCTGCACAGAACGAGCTTCAGGCTGAGTGAGCAGAGAATCAATTTCCGCACGCATCTCCTCAACTTTGCCATAAGAGCAACTGACAAAGCGGATCGTAAGCGACTCAAGCTTGTTACCCAGCACACTCAAACTCTTGACAATGTGATTGAAGTTGTGCTTTAGAGCTGCAACACCATTACCATGACGAGGATGCTTAACGTCAAATTGAGCTCCCACACTGATGACCAAATGCTTGACCTGAGCCAAAGAGGCAGTGTCCAGTACATAGCTAAACAGCTGACCGGTAATCGCATAGCGAAAGTGTTCGCTTACGGGGATGAGGAAGGTGTTCTTGGAGAAGAGCGTGCTGGTAAGTTCGTCGTTGATCTGCTTGTTGGCGTTGAGAAGACCTCTGGCGGCTANCAGAGGTTGATAGCCCTTGATGTCCCAGATAGGGGTACCAGGGCTGATCTCCAAATGTCCCTTGACTTGATCCAGGGAGTTTCTGATGTGGAAGTGGTCGCCGGTGGCATTGATGAGAGATTCGTGTTCGGCCTGTTGATCGGGCGTGTAGCGGGCAACGAGGAGGTCTTCGTAAANCCTGATATCTCCATTTCAGTAAATGTGATGCAGAAAAGACCATTGAAGAAAACCAACCTTCTCACGAGTGTCACGGTTGAGCTTCAGAAACTCAAAGGTGCCTTCAGGCATAGGTTTGTGAGCAGTGCAGTGCTTCTTGTGCTTGGCCCAGTGGTTCTTCTGGCAGACCTTGCTGCAGTAGAAAGTGACCTTGCACTTGGCGCAATGAAGAGTGCCATCCTTGAAGCAAGAGCCAGACGCACACCGTTTGGTTTGAGGGGACGACGCCATCTTGGACTTGGATTCTCGACGTGAGAGTGATGTGTATGATGGAAGAGGATGAAGAGAGGTAAGCAGAGAAGAGATGAATGTGGGCGATCGAGCAAGGTGTTGAGGCTGTACCAAGTGACAACAAACGGCAAACGCGAAAGGACAAACGACACAAACGAGACACGAGAAGCTCCCAAATGATTCCAAGTGTCTTACAAACCCGATAGTCATCCGGTGCTAGAAAGTCCCAGCGGGCAGCAGCTACGCACTCATAACTGTCACTTTACCCTTGAGACATCGGGTCTTTTGGCACAAAGCATCTTATAAAAACGAACTCGCGTCCCAGCACGAGCAAAAAACCAAGCTGTTCAGCTTGGGAAAACCCTCCTACCTGCAAAGTATTCTACCTTTGCATGAGAGAAAGAACATAATGTTCCACTACATCCGAGGGTCGAACCAAGGACTTCCAGGAGTTTTATCGCATGACAAGATTGAAGTCCCAACTCGCCGCATTACTAAGAGAAGGGAAGTTTGGCGACAATATCTGCCTTGGTAATTCAGAGATGAGTAGATTGTGATGGAGAGGTGTATCTTCACTTTATGCTCTTTCCGCCTACAGCATTGGTTCCTGCGGCAGAGGACGCCGCGATCTTTGTAGCTGGAGTTGCGACTGCCTTCCTTGTAACCCACCTCTTGATCGGTAGAGTCGATATCTTTGCAAAGCTCGGTGTAAGCCAGAGACTCAATCCCAATCTCAATGGCAGCAGTGCTTTTGTAATCGCATATGCAGTTGCAACCCTAAACAACCTTGTCAGCATTTCCTCCTTAGTGTCTTCAGATGTTGTAGCAGCGACTCACTCGACCAGCAATCTCACACCATCCTCACCCCTAGGCCACCACTTTGCAAACCCTTTCCTGTTCTTCTCGTCCTCGAATCCTTCTCCATCAGCATCTCTGATCCATCCTTTGCGCCTGAAGTATCTTCCAAACTTTTCGACACCCTCTTTTACCCAGTAACCCTCTGAGAAAACCGGCGGTAACCAGTCGAACTTGTGGAATGCGAATGTGAGACCGAACAGTGGCACAATGGCCGTGAGCTCATGGAGGACCAGGAAGGCTGTTATATGAGAGATGGGTGCATTGCGCAGAGGTTTGATGTAGCGAGCTAGGAATCGTGGAAGACGGGATTCAAGGCGGGAGATGCGAGACTGTTTTGCGGCCTCTGCTGAGGGCTTGGTTGACTGGTGACGGATTTGTTGCTGCAGAGTGGCTCGACTGTACTTCAAGGACGGTAGAATTTGCGACAGAAGCCTCGGAGGTGACATTGTGGATAGTTTGCAAGGTGGAAGACTGGTGTTTACTTTGTACGCGAAGAGGTAGAGTCTCACGAGGTTCACTACGTCATGTTTGTTGAGAGTAGCACCCTGTCTATATCTCATGTGTCTACTGTTCATTGAACGTTCAAAATGGCAACTTCAATCAGCAATGATATGATCATGGACGGTCTTGCTACAAAGACTGTTGTAAAGATAGAGCAAGCAGAAGCCAGAAGAAGAATAGCATCAACATATGACGTGAGATAGGGGAGACCTTGGGCAGGGCGTTGTTTCGTGCCAGGCGGTTAGTGTTCAACCCAGCCGACCGACCATATTTTCGCCCTTCGGTTTATCTTGGTGATTAGACGATGAGCTGGTGTGAAGGAGGTAACATTTCAACTTCTATCTGTACTTATGACTCCCCATGCCAGTCTTTCGGATAGCATGATCCATGCTGGTTCGCCTTCGATCCTACTTACACTGCGCAGTCCGGCGAGTAAGAACGACAACTGTCTGGTGCATTCCTTGAGCAGGCTGGGGACACTCAAGACGGACCTTTGGTCGTGCTGTCCGTGAGGCTCGGAGTCATCCTCGTCATCAGTCAGGTCAACTGTTTCGTCAACCTCAGGCCTGTCTCGACGAGTTGAGAAATTCTGTTGTATGACCAGTTGTCGAGGTGTAGGTTGAGATGCACAATTGCAGATTTGCTTGACGGCATCCCTCCACTCCAGTGCGAGATCCTCGTAGAGCTCAAGTATGGCTAGTATGGAGCCTTGTATCGGTGCCAGGTTTTCGTGTTGTAAAAGTTTGCTGGTCAGGTTGAGTTGGAATGTGTGGAAAGCTGCAACCATGCCGTCCACATCTGCCGCGGCCTCGAGATCCATGTTGAGCTGTTTTGAGACGACAGATAACACTTCGCAGACGTAGCCTTTCCAAGTGGCTGCAAACCAACAAAGGTGTTGGCGCAGAGAGAGAAGTTCCTTAACTCTTTGCTCTTTGGAGTGATTGGCCATGATACTCAGTGTCCACTCTTGTTGGTTCAGGAGAAACTGAGCTCGATAGAGCCTCAGCAGGATCGTGAATGCTTCCTGACAAGCTACCAGGGTTTCCTTAGTCAGGATGTTCTGTAGTGCCCACGAAANTCTGCTACGAGTCAGAATCAGTGTCAAGAGTTTGTCAGATCGACTTACAGAGTATTCAACAACAATGCGACCCAGCATGTCTGTGCGCCGACCATGAGATGTAGTAAGTTTCTGATCAGTCCGAGACTTGACACGAACAGTAATGTGGTCAGGCATGACGGCGTCAATAGTCTCGAAAGCAGTCTGTGCCAACTCCGTCAACAGGAAGCGATCGTCCCAGCCACTGCCCCTATCCATACGCTGGAAAATGCCGTAAGCAAAGTTCTGGAAATGCGCACCACTGATGCCAAAGTATAGGTGGTTGATCGCGCCAATGGTTGCTTGAAGACCACATTGTGACATCAAGATCTGGCGCAAGAGTTTGATCTCCGATCCTTCTAATGCATCAGCGAAACGGTTCAGGGCCAGCCTGAATGTCTCCGAAAATGGTAGCAAGGCATTATCCGCTGATTGCATGCCCCGAGCGAGGTCTAAACTGTGTTGGCTGCGCTCATAGACGTCTGGCTTGTGACCAAGGGTCTCAAGGAACATGACACTTTTTCCAGCCTTGAAGATCTGCCCGGCCAGGCTTTGCATGAAGTTGGGTGCAAAGACGGAACCATCAGCTTGTTTAAGCAGCGTGAAGCGAGAGTGCCATATTGACCCGCGGTCAGAGTTTCCATCGTCAGATCGTACGAAGAACAACTCGTTCGAGGTGATGAGCTTGCCCTCGGTCATCCATAGTCTAACAGGGCGAAGATAGGGTTCTAGACATTTGAATAGAAGATCCGCGACTTCAGTGCTTTCTTCATCTTCGCTAATCAGCTGAAGGTTACAGGCTTGTTCAAATAGGTTGTTGAGCAATCGTAACGCTCGAACGTTATGCTTGTGAGCACCATCTGGTATCAGACTTCCGAGACGAACAAGTGGTCCGGTGACGCTATCAACCTCAGCATGCACATCCAGAAGACTCACCACTGCCGAGCTCTCCTGCTGGAGAAAGCTTTGCTCAACACCCGACAGCTTTCGATCGAGCTCGCTCAATCGGGTTTGTACTGCAGCTTGGAAACTTTGCAAGACCACACTCTCTTGATTAGACGCGACGAATCGTCGTATAACGGTGATGTGTGACCCAAGCGAGGCAAACTCTTGGAGAACGCGGTCTAATGTTGATGGCGCGATGTTCGCTATACGGCAAGAGTGTCTTGTCCGAACACGATCGCTGGTCCCAAGTTCGAACAGATCTGTGGGGAGTCCATGGAGCATTAGCAGTACTTGCCGGATGACTTGTAGCTCTGTGAGCTCTGAACCTGTATGCATGCTCGTCATACAATCACGTAGGTCTTTGACTTGATTCAGGATTTCAGGGTCCTTGGGAACAACGAAGGCACGAGCCAAGCTGGCCATATCCTGATCATCGCGAGACGAAGCAGAAGTAGACGTGGTTGGTTCACCAAGAGATTCATCACCGAGGCTGGGTGCGCGATGTTCCGAGTAATCAGATTCATACTCAACGTCGTCCCAGATGCCTTCTTCGTCGAGTGGATCATCAGCAATGATTTCGGCCCATGTCAGTTGCTGCTCGACGGGTTCATCGGGGACTATTTCCAAAGCTTTGTCAATGTTGGTCTTCTCGGCTGGGCGGTCGGAAAGAGCCAGCAAAAGAGCCAAAACTTCAGGTCTCCATTTGTTGGGTATAGCAGCCAACTCGTCAAGACGAGGTTTGAGAGCTTCCGCTAGGGGTTCGTTGTTCAGAACATAAAACTTCTCCAGCAAGCCTTCGAGTTTCGCATCGATTTCGAATTGGTTGACACGGACATGGTGATGTGTTTTGAAGATCCTCAGGGCAGAATCCTTGAGGTGTCTGAGTTGGCGGGCATCTCTCTGGATGGAATCAGTACTGATGAAATATGGTCAAGATATTCAGACGTACATGAGGAGTAGAGGGGTGATGGCTGTGATCAAGTCATCGGTAAGGGCACCAAGTTTCGCAGCGTGAGCCATGTTGCATCGGTCACACACATGTTTGTTTTCACACTAGATCATTGAGGAGTATGATGTGAATTGTGTAGATACGAGTCGGGCGCGCATACAAGAGAGCGACTCGAAGGAGACGCGTCGTGAAGGCGGTGAGAACGGGGACTTTCTGAAAGTCGGGGCTTCGTCATGCTCAAGGAGCTCCAAGAGACAAATGTAGCAAGAGACGTCAACTCAACCACCACAATCATGGCATTGCCCCCGGCGATTCGCCTGATGGCGATAGGCACAATGGTTGTCTTTTTCTATCTTTGTGTTCAGATCTTTCAAGCGCCGTCAAGTCTGTCCGCAGGCGGCAAGGACGCCGTCAAGTTTAGCGACATGCCCAGGGATCCCAATCTTGATCGTACGTACATGTCGCTCTGCTGCAGCATACAGCTAGATTCTGACATGTAACTGCANGCTACTGGAGAGCCGCCGGAACCGCTACACCGAGTGTCGGGCAACAACTATGCCCCCGACAACGCAAATTCGAATCGCATCAACGCTACCATCCTGTCGCTTGTGCGCAATGAAGAGTTGGAAGGCATTCTACAATCCATGCGTGATCTAGAGCGTACTTGGAACCACAAGTTCAACTACCCCTGGACATTCTTCAACGACGTGCCCTTCACCGAGGAATTCAAGAAGGCCACACGTGCCATGACAAAGGCCGAAGTTCGCTACGAGCTCATCCCTAAAGAGCACTGGGAGGTCCCTAGCTGGATCAACCGTGATCTGTTCCGCGAGAGCGCAGACGTCCTCAAGGAACAAGATGTCCAGTACGCCCACATGCTGAGCTACCACCAGATGTGCCGCTGGAACTCTGGCCTGTTCTACAAGCACCCTGCTCTCAAGGATATGCAATACTACTGGCGTGTCGAGCCAAAGGTCCACTTCTTCTGCGACGTCGACTACGATGTCTTCCGCTTCATGCAGGACCGCAACAAAACATACGGCTTCACCATCACTCTTTACGATTCTCCTCCATCTGTCACGACACTTTGGCCCGAAACACTCAAGTTTCTGGCCGCAAACGCACAATACCAACATCCCAACAATGCCATGAAGTGGCTCACAGACAAGGAGCGCAGGCCGCAGCACAATATCGACGCCAACGGCTACAGCACTTGCCATTTCTGGAGCAACTTCGAGATCGCAGACATGAACTTCTGGCGCTCCTCTGCCTACGAGGAATACTTTGAGCACCTCGATCGCGCCGGCGGCTTCTTCTACGAACGCTGGGGCGATGCTCCTGTCCACAGTATCGCTTTAGGACTTTTCGAAGACGCCAGCAAGATCCATTGGTTCAAGGACATTGGTTACCAACACATTCCCTTTTTCAATTGCCCGAATTCGCCCAAATGTAGGGGTTGCATTACTGGTCGCTCTTATGATGGCGATGCAAAACTGCTCAAGGAAGACTGCCGTCCTAATTGGTTCAAATATGTTGGTATGGGTCCTGAGTGGACTGTTCAAAAAGAGGATTAGAGAGCACAGCGAGTAGAACAATCATGCATTTGGGCGTTTGGCAAGCGTGTGGGGTTTTCCCTTTTACAGACTTTTGTATACGTATATACCACTTTTGACTGTCATTCTTCTGCCTTGATGTAGAAAGGGATTCAGATGTACCTCACAGAGTTGCCTATTTCATTACGATTCTGGCCAGCCCCTGATAGATCCCTAGGCTGTCGACAGACACATCGATTGATCTTGAAGACATCGTACCCTCGCATAATATAACCATTGCGCCAGCGAAAATCACCGGAGCCAAGAGCTTCCGGCGTTCGCTCTGTGTGCCAGATCAGGAAACCGCAGAACAGACAAGTAGGTGGGCTTTGATAGGCGGTAGTAGGATGCGCACGGAGAATTAGGGCAGGGCAACCTGTCTAATCTCTCTTGCAGTTGCCCTTGTTCATCACACCTGTTCGGCTTTGCCTCTTTCTAGTTGGTTGACGCCTTGTTCGAGATCCTTCGAGAGGTAAGGAGGACATGAGGATCGGAGTCCGTCCGTATTACGAAGGTTGTTAGGGTATGAGCGCACAGCATGGGATTAGCAGCATCCGAGAGAGGGCACAGTCCAGCTTTTTTTTCCGGCTTGTGAAAATCACAACACTAAGCAAGAACGAAGTACCCTGTGCCGACAGAACTATTTTCGACTTGGAGATACGAAAGGGATCGAAGGTTTACTATCAAAGAGGAAGCGCGATGTTTCTTCCGAGTTGGAAATCATAATAGATTGCGAGAGAAAGAAGGGCCAGAGAACTCGTATCTAGGAATGAGGCGAGCTGAAAAATGGTGATCGCTGGCGAAGGAGCTGTAGAAGGACGACAGAATACCTTCAGGGAATTATCTTGACACAGACGCTTTGGAGTAAAGTGAGACGAGAAGAGAATGACGGACTCGTCAGCCAAAGAGGCTCAGCAAAGAGAACTTGGTCACATCGTGTCTCCATCTCGCAAACGCAGTTCGAAAATGGAAATGATTGCGGCCAAGAAAGCTGAGAATACGACCTTGGGTTCAACAGAGTCGCGACTGACATGTGTGTGTACACCGTATGTGGTTGTTCCGACTCTCCCATTTGCGGCCAAGGAATGACGCCGGAAAGCCGATCATCTACCTTCGACGTTCGTACTGTGTACCGTCGCATCTCCATCACATATCATTTCCGTTTGCAGAGAGCGCAAAAGTGATCGTCTGGAAGAACTCTGGAAAAATGAAGGAAGTCAGCGTGACGGCCACGTGCAGCCACGAGTGAGCACAAGGTGATGGACCTCTCTTTTGCCTGAAGGGAAGTCGCTCGCAAGCTTGTTGCTCAGCTTGCTGCTGCAACACAAGACGACTTCTTTTGGCCTTGTGTCTCCTCTCCATTGTTGGGACTACCAACGCAGAGGTCTACGCCACTGACCCTTTCCTGCATTCACGTCATCTTTCCATTGCACATCGGTTACTACCCATCATCATTGTAAGCCCGACTTTTCCGTGCGAGAATATCGTACACTATTGGGTGTGATGCTCGCTTGGAGGAACATGAGCATCATCGTCATGTCTTGTCCTTTGCCACATTGATGAGAATCGTGCGGGAGGACTTGTCTGCAACAATTTACAAACTTGCCTCGATTCAACTCCGGTCGCCATAGCGTCCTGCTTAAGCTCCTCCACAACATCATGCAATGATGCAAACCCGGTAGACGCCTCCCCATGAGCGGTGAGATGTCCCTGCAGAATGAGTTTAAGAGGCCACTGGTAAACCCACAACAGTAACGGATCATGCAATGCGTGAGGTGGCGCCGCTGCGAGTGGTCACCGTCCACCTCAAGCACGTACCGATGCAAGCCTTGCCAAAGTCAAGTGTCTGAGATGGATGGAGGGTGGGAGAGCCAAACGTGGCTGGCTGTTCTCCGAACTGTAACGATTCAAGAACNAACAGGTCTAGACCCACACCAATCTTAAGACGGGAGGTCGCTTGCTCTCAAAGCATCGAGACCTGTAAAGTCGTTTATCGAAAAGAGCGTGTATGGCGGAGGTCCCTGCCTCTAACCTCTTCGCGAGAATCCACGACGGGTCAACTGTTGTGTTTCAAGTTGATCAAAAGAGTAATCCACACCNNTCAGTGCCCAACGGGAAGCGCGCAAGAANNACGGGCGGCGCGTAGGACAGGTTGGAGCGATTCGGAAATTGGATTGCTCGCCCCTGCTTGCGCTTAAGCTGCTGCTTGCTATCGGTGGATGGAGCTCAAGTCCTGAGTTCAAGGTTCTCCCGGTCGACTGCTCAAGCAACCGCACCGGCCCTGCGCAATAACGGGTGAGTAAAGTGCAGCTTGTGCTTTTCGGTCACACCGCATCGAGAAAGCTCTGAGGATGAAGCAGTGAGCACCTTTCGGTAGCATGTTCGCTTTTGGTCAAGATGTGCAAAGCCAAAAGGGAAAAGGTATCATCCTTGCAGAGATGAAAAGTAGGTACCTGAGTAGCGTGGGACGCACGCAAAACGCAGAGACCACGAGTGCAACNTTTGTTGATCGCTTTGTCGATCCCCTCGTGCGGCTTGCGCGAGTCGCAACGTGAAGTTGCCTTTTGAACATCACATGAAGCGAGAGGAGAGTTCAAGCCTTGGACTGGGGTGCAACGGCCTGTCAGCAACCTTCTTCTCTCGCTGCTGAAAGTCGAGCCGTNGGGGGGCTTTTAGGCGAGTGGAGTGCTGAGATGTCGCACACTTCATCCCAACGGCCAGTCTAACGTTCACACAGCCCACCGCTGCTGCTTGCCGTAAAACCCGTTCGGACGGTCTTCTGCTTGTCTCATCCGGCTCGAGGAACAATCCGATGGACGGACACGGATGGCGGGAAGTCCCTTGTTTCGTGTACATCACGGCAGAATAGTTCGCAAGTTGACAGCGGACATGGAACAAAGACAGGCACGAGACATGACCAAAGCTCGGGTGCGGCTGCACGTAATTATAACCCACCACCACGAGTGACTCGTGCGGAAATCGAGAACAAGGACATTTTACGATTGTGGAGAAGCTCATCTGGGACATTGTAAGCCACAAGCCCGCAGGAATTAAAAGGGCCGCCATCATTTTGTCGATATTAGGAAAGCGCCCTGTCGGCCGATGTGACGGAGCTTATACACTCCTAGCACTTTTAATATATGCTTTGTTGATAGCACGATCAGGCAAGTCAGAGTGGCCGACGAACGTTTTCAATGATCTCGCAAAGACGTTCTGTGCGATCCGAGGAGTCAGGGCTCGGATCGAAAAGGATCAGCATTTGCTTGACTGTCATGGCTACCGCATACGCACCAAAAAGATCTTTTGACCACAAGTCTTGGTGTATGGTTCAACGAGGCAGGAGCAACACAAGGATTGAAGTGATTGCGTGGTTTCTCCAGTTTTAAGCAGCTTGTAATTTCCCGGAGTTGCCGCAGTTCGCCAAAATGTGTCAAGAGCTTGAAAGAGGTCATCAGCCAAACTCCTAATCTCTTGCCGAACCCAAAACATTGCGATGGATTGTGAGTATGGGTCCTTTTGGACCGACCGTGATGACATGCAGGGTGAGCACAGGTTGGGCTCTTCCTTCGATCTCACAATCTTGCGGCACAAGCGATGGCTGGGACGCCACTAGATTCTTGCGTTTTGGCCAAAGAGGAAAGCCCACTTTGCTGTTCGTAAAACGGCTCCCTCTGGCCCTCTATCCCACCAACCCTCCGGATTGAAAACTGATGACCGTTGATGTTTCACGAAGACGTTCTGCCCACCTGCCTGCCTCTATTGTTTGATCCCATACGCGAACCTGCTCGTTTTGATAGAGACAGCGAATGATCCGAGGGCTTGCCATAATTATTAAAGTGGACGCTATCTTCATGTAAGAAGCTCTAATGAGTTGTAGTCCTCCAGCCGGCCCTTGACCATACATCAGAAAAGGAAATTCAGACTCAAGCACCGACACTATCACCATCATCAGCATCATCACACCATCATTATCATCTGTACTCGTCGTACCTATCGTTCTCGTCGGCATCTCACAGGACCAAGACACCGAAGCGCGCGCGCCGAGGAACAGTCATCGCTTCTCGATTTCCTCGAGAACAGAGTGCTGGTGTTACATAGCGCATACAACAGCTGCACTGGGTCTAGCCTTTTCGGATACTCTGAACCAGTCATCGGGTTGTCCCTTGACGAGCGTGAAAGCATCCACACAGAGGCGGCCAGACCTGCCTTTTGATCGCGCGTGCTTCGAAACCCGGTCGCGGGCTAAAGCTGACTAGTTGCAACGGGTATACTAAGGCGAACGAATCAGTGTACCGATCTACATCTGCATCAACATCACAACCCCTCCAGGGCAAAGCAGAAGAGACGTCACGCAGCACACTCTCTTCCCAAAAACTGTATGTTGCGCCCCAGTCCTTTTTCTACGCTTTTGGATTTTTATTTTTGTCCGTTTCATCTCTCTCTCTCGCATTTCCACATCATTTCCCTTTTAACCTTTCCTTGTACTTGTCATTTCGAAACCACATACCCTCGGATCGGTTCTGCTGTATATACCAATTTAATGCTCGGGATCGATCTGGTTCATTAAACCTAACCCCGGACCTGGATAAGGCTCGACCATGTTGCTCACATTATCGCAGCCCGGGAAATCAGATTTCGGCGCACGTACTACGCATGACTTTAAATCACCACAATTACCCAGATATTCTCCAAAGTCTGTAATGAACGACGCTGTACGACCTCCACTGCCGGCCAGTATCACCCCGACCATGTCGAACCAACACAGAGGCTTGCCTCCACCAGCGGCCATGACCCTGCCGGATCCAGGGAGGGCNCCCGCCAATGATTCCCCGCCACCTCCACCGGTGCAAGCGCCGGCGCACATCCACCATGAAGCCCAGAGGACGCAATGGCAGGATGAAGGGGAATCATCGCGCAGCTGGCATGCGACAAGGGTCGAAGAGGAGAGAAGAAGGCAAGAGGAAGAGAAGACAAGGCAGGAGTCCTTGAGATTGGAGCAGAGAAGAGTCGAGCACTCGATGTTGCGAGAGTCAATGCAGGGTGGCATTCCTCCGCATATGGTGCCCATGATCTTTGCAGGAATTGGCGGTGCCAATCTTGCGAACTTCAGCCTTGAGGTGTTGCAACAATACACTGCCCAGCTACAGGCCGCTCAGCAACAAGTCCAGGCCAGCCAGGAAGACGCAAGAGAACGAAGAAGCATTAATCAGCCTCCAGCCCCGTACGCATTGCCTTCGCAACCTCAACCACAGGCACATGCTGGTGTCATGTCTCAACAGCCTCCACCGCCGCTGGCCGCCCATCAGACGACTTTCTCTGCCTTTCAATCGACATCACCTCCAGGCAGACGGATTCCTGGAGCGCCTCGGTCGTCTGTGGCCCAATCCACCTTGCCTCGTCTGACAACTGGAGACATGCAGATCAATCCACCTCCATCTGCACCGAGCAGTGCTCACCCTCTGCATCAGACTCAAACCATTCAACAAGACCAGCCGGCCTCGTCCCCATCCATCTACTTCCACCACTGGGTGCCACCGACGTCACAGGCTGACTCCAAGTCGGGTAACCAGCCGCAGACTCCAGTCACGGGCACTGCTGCATCGCAGAACTCTGAAGGCCACCACGCAGACAGCCCTCGCAAGCGCAAGAATCAGCAAGCACATCCGCCACCTCCTCCACCATCATCGCTTCCAACTCAATCTCACTCGAGTCCAAGCTTCTCCACGACTTCATCCGGACGTAAAGGTGGTCCTGCCCAGGATCTTTCCCGCAGCAATGCTTCGCCTCGCGCTATTCCCGGCGCTGGTCAACCTTCACATCGTCGCGACAGTGGTGCTCCCGGTACGCATCTCGATTTTGTCTTTGAACGCGGTCTGCCGGCGAGCAAAAGCCAGCAACAGCACCACCATTCATCGCATCACTCGACCGCGCCACCAAGCCCCAAGAGAGATGCTCGTCATCCATACTGATCACATATCTCCTTGATTCTATTCGCTTCTTTTGAGGTCGCTGCTAGGGATCAAATGTCTAATGATCCTCATCACCGGCACTCTTTTACACCACCCCCTTTTCCACACTCTGGCGCTGGAAACGCCATATCATGTTTCCATCCGCCTCCGGCCATTCGTTCACGAAACAGCCCGAGCATACGAAAAACATGTTCAACATTCCTCTCCTGCCTAATTTGTAATAGGCTCGAGGTCAACAACCTTTCATGGACGCCATTGATTTGGTCGCTCCTACTTCTTCTCAAGGGAGCTTGCTCCTTCTTCTCAACATTGCTCCCTTACAATCTCCTTTGTGCGTTCAATCTTCCGAAGAAGAATGATACCCCCACCTTTTCTGCACTCATCATCGATTCGATCTGCTGGCAATCTCCTATATATACTACCCAAACCGCCACATCATCTGTTGGCCTTTGAGCTGAGCTCAGAGCTGTGTTTGCTCCTTTTGCTGCTTGACTTTTTCCACCGCTGGCATTTTCTACTCTCTTGCATGGGTCAAGAGCTGAACATTTGAAACGGTAGCGAAAGTCGAGGACAAAGGAGAAGCAAAGCACACAGAACATGTATTGAGCAGGGCTGTTCTTCACACCATCAACGTCTTTCTTCACCTTTGGATAAATCTCAAAAGAAAATTCTATATACAACGTTTGGTTCTGGTTTCCTCTCCCTGATGTCCACTTTCGATGTGTCTCTTTCTGTTTTCTCCTTTGATGCGCGAAAGTGAGGTGCCTGTCTTTGCAACATTTGTGGTCTAGATCATTATGTACGCCCCGGCACGACATGCCTTTCCACAAGGGCAATAACTGATGACAGGAACAAATGTCCGACCGTTGCATTCGATGAAGTAACAAGGGTTCAGCTTTACTTTACTTAGCAGTAGTCGCTATACTTGGCTATGCCTCTCTGCCGTCCCGTGTCTCGGAGCAGAAATGGAGATGTGAAGCTACTTTGCTTTCTGCCCGTTTTGTTTCGATTCAGTAATCAGCCAACATCTCATCAGCGGGATGCTCTTTCTCAGCGTGTGTATTGTTTCGGGCCTTCTTTTGGGTGGCCTCGGTTGTGTGTGCCAACACGGCGCAGACAGCTCCAGGTTGTGAGCCCAGAGAGATGGTAAGCGTCCACTAGAGCCACTTGTACGCCGAACCATGCAGCCGAAGAGACGGCACGTAACAGAACAGGCATTTGAGAGATGAACAACGAAGGTATTCTAGATATGGAAATTCTCTGCTTTTCCTCTGCCAATCTCTCAGCATCAGGTTATTCGTCTACACGACAGCAGCGTGATATGAAATAGTCGCAACGTGGATTTTTGACATATAAAGGTCAACTCTAGCCGACTATTACAGACGGAAGAGTTCAGGAACCATCAAAGAGCAAAGTGGCTAGTCTGAGACAAGTGCAAAGTCTCTATGGCGTCAACAGCGGGAGGATGTCTCAGTGCTCGCTTGCACTTCTTGGTTTTGGCTGCTATAAGCATTTTCTAGAATTGGCATGTTGCTCAGTTGATCTCTGATGCACACAAAGGAGGATCAATAATAAGGGGGTAACAAGTGCGAGGCAAAGGGCAAAGAGGCTGGTTTCTTTGCCCTGTTGTTTTACTGCGATATGCAGGCACGCGCGTCCGGATGGGGCAACCCTTGGAGATCTAGGCACCTAGGGTTGTACGCTATACGCTTGCTACGGAAGTCAAGAGGAAGGATCACATGTTGTGGAGATTGGGATGGGCATGGGTCAAGAAGCAGGAGAAAGGCAACAGGGCGACTTTGACGAAGTAGATTGTCTGGCGAGTGTTGCAGCCCTCCCACTCGATCGCAGTCGGATGTATATCAGAGTATTGTTATCTCCGGGATGGAGAAGAGGTGGAGCGTGTGTCGATGTCTGGTGATGTTTGCAGAAGAGCAGGAGTGCTGTCTGTTGGCGGGCGCGCATGGCTGTTTGAAAGGGACAAGATCTTCAGGTTTCATCGAGTGCCAAGAGATTTCTTGAGATGTGGGATGGAGGCATCAAGCATCGTTCGTTCTCTTGTCTGGTTTTTGGTGTGTTTCATCATTTTCGTCTTTTGATATCAACATTGTGTTTTATCCCTGGACTTGACATTTCATCGCGAACAAGCTCCATCTGCAGCAACCACGCGATGAATTGTCTCCGCCAGACCCATGGTCGACTCGTCAGCAGCAACAAAGCACTCACGCTACTGCCGACCATAGGAGCATCGCTTCCTGCAATCTCTGCTTCTACTCCATCGCACATCCCCCTCACACCCAGAACCTCTGTCGTCTATGGCTCTAGCTCCTCAACACGGTGGAAAACACGCCAGACCCGCGACCACTTTGCCCGAGAAGCCAAAGTCGCAGGCCTAAAGTCTCGCGCGGCCTTCAAGCTCCTCGAACTCGACTCGAAACACCACATTTTCCGCAAGGGCGGCACGGTTGTGGATCTGGGCTATGCGCCTGGTAGTTGGAGTCAGGTTGCCGTTAGCAAGACGAGTCCAGGTGGTAGAGTCTTGGGCATCGACATTATTCCCGCACAGCCGCCGCGAGGGGCCTCGAGCATCCAAGGCAACTTNTTGAGTGCCGAGGTGCAGGCTGAGGTGCGAAGATATGTGCGCGATCCAACACTAGGGCGAGCGAGAGCAAGAGTGACAATGTCGAAACAAGGCGAAGGCGAGGCCGAAGAAGAGGAGGGTGCAACAGAAGAAGACGTCGAGAGTCAAGCACGTGGTGTGCTAAGCCTGGCGCAAGAGACAAGGCCAAAAGAGAACGTCGGGCAGCCTGATCAGCAAGACCAACAAGCAGACGAAGAGGCGGAACAAGAAGCACAACTCAGCGTGCGGAAAAAGGACCTCCGCGACGGCAGAGTTGTCGATGTTGTGCTAAGTGACATGTCAGCACCCTGGGAGCAGACCACTGGCCACTGGATCAGGAGCGTTAGTAACCCGTATCTCAGGATGATGAACACGAGCGGCACCGCCTTTCGCGATCACGCCGGCAGCATGGTAAGTTTTTCTGCATCTACTCTCCTTCGATTTCCTTACTTTCCCCATCTCTCTTCTCTCCTTCCATTCCATTCTCTCCCTTCTCTCTTTCCGCTTCGTATACTTCTTCAAAAGTGCACTGGCTGAAGCAAACGGCCTTGCGTTCGCACCGGTAGNGACCTCTGCAATGCTGCCCTGACCTTCTGCTACGACACCCTCCGCACCGGCGGCCACTTCATGTGCAAATTCTACCAAGGCGCCGAAGACAAGGCCTTTGAAACCCGCCTCAAAAAACTCTTCGACAAGGTCCACAAAGAAAAGCCAGAGTCTTCGAGAAAGGTAAGCTGAGATCTGCCTGCAAAAGGTCTGTATAAGATGCCTCGGAAACTGACGCCAGAGGCTTTGTTTCGTGGTGTACAGGAGAGCAAAGAAGCATATTTTGTCGCGTTGAGGAGGAAGCCTGATGTACCCAGGGAACTCGTCTTTCCTGACGACTTTGTGGACGAGAACGAATTTCCTGAGTGAAAATCGTCCATCTTTGAACGATCGAAGCAAGAAAATAATGAAATCTTCAGCATGTGCGATGCTGTCGCTGCAAGCAGCTGTGGAAATACATCGTTCGTCTCCCTACTGATTGAGTCCAGGTGGAAGTGACAGGTGTATATTCTTGTGGACAACCCAAACCCGTTTCAATGGTCATTGTGCATCTACAAAAATTCAGGTTGTTAAACCCCTGCAAGAGACATAGAATCACAGAATTCGGTAGGAAGATGAAAACAAGCTGCAAGTAAATCTCGTAAATCTGAAGTCTGAATTACATTATCACAGCCCTTTGCTTCTGCATTTTTCAAGTACATCTAGGTTTTGTAACCCCTCTTACATACTTCTACATGACCGCGTTATCCGCACACATCTCACTGAGCACTTCAGCAAATCTGCCAGTCTTGTCCTGATCCTGCTTGGCTGTCTGGATGGCTAGCAATATACTCGATACTCCGACATTGATGGTCTTGGAACCTGTCGTCTCTTCGACCTCTCCAAGAGCACGATTGATGTCAGAGTCGCTGAATACACCACTTTGCTCCATGATGACTGCCAACTCAGTCTGTGTTTGCACGTTAGGCACTGCGACCTGTGCGGAGAAGTCAAGCTGGAGCTGTTGCAGCACGCCGCGCGAGGATGTTGTAGCGAAGATAAGCAGGGGTCGGCCCTTTGGCGGCTTGTTCTGCATCATACCCTTCAAGGCGGCAAGCACGCTCGCACTGAAGCGAGGTCCTACCGGTACCCAGTCGATGAGCAACTCGATGTTGTCAAGGACGAGAACATTTTGAGGACTCTTGTATGCGTCCGTGAAGACCTTTTGAATGTATTGAATCTTCTGGATCTCGTTCATGCCGACAATGTCAACCGGCTTGATGAGTTTGATGAATGGGAACTCTGAGTCCAATGCCATTTTTGCTGCTAGAGCGGTCTTGCCACTTCCACGAGGACCATAGAGCAAAACAGACAGTAGAGGTGTGTCTCCAGAACGAACTTGGTTGACGAACAGACGACCACGCTCAAGGATGCTGTCGACGTGCTTGCCAAAGTGGATGATACCACCCTCAACACAACGATCAAGCTCTTCTTCAGATACACCAAATAGAGGCTGCACTTCATTAAGGGCAGACAAGAAATCTTAGTGCATGACCTTCATGTTGACGATAGTTTTTTCGTCGACTGCGGCCAGTGTTCCGACCTTGATGTGACGATTGAAGGCGAAACTTGAGGCACTCTTTACCAAACCACTGATCTCCGCACCACTGAAGTTGCGTGTCAGTTGAGCAAGCTCCTGCAGATTGACGTCGTCGCCCATGACGTTGTTTTCGCGCATCTTTGTGGTGTGAATCTTGAGAATCTGAGCTCTTCCGTGCTCGTCGGGCAACGAAATCTCCATGTGTACTTCGAGACGACCAGATCTGAGGAGAGCTTCATCAATCATGTCCTTTCTATTGGTCATACCGATGAGCAGAATGTTGTTCAGTTGGTCAACACCATCGAGCTTGGAGAGCAGCTGGTTGACGACACTGTCGCCAACGCCAGTACCGCCGCCGGCTCCAGAACCTCTCTGCTTACAGACGGCATCCAGCTCGTCGAAGATGATAATGTGTAGGCCAGATTCGTCTCCCTTCTCCTTGTACTCTTTCTCGGCGTCTGCGAAGAGCTTTCGAATGTTCTCTTCGGATTGACCAACGTACTTGTTAAGGACTTCAGGACCGTTGATGACCTTTGGCTCTCTGGCGTTGAGCATCTTTCCGATTTGTCTAGCGATCAAGGTTTTACCGGTTCCAGGAGGACCGTAGAGGAGGATACCGCGAACGTGCTGGATACCGAGCTTGTCAGCGAGGCCAGGTGGGAAAATGCGTGAAGCGAAAGCACGACGGAAGATGGCGGCGAATTCAGTGTCGAGACCACCAATGCCCATGTTCTCGAACTTGAAGTCTGGTCGGACGACTGAGTTGGCAGCTGGGCGGCGGTTGGAGCCCTTGATGTTGATGCCAGTCTTTGCGTCCTTGTAGTAGTTGATTTGTGACTCCTTGGTCAAGATACCACGAGAACGCGGGTCTGGCGACGGAGCTTGGGACTCGGTCTTTTCCATAGACAAGTCAACCAGTTCCACTGCTTTGACCGTCATACGGAGAGGAATTCCCTTGTAATCCATGAGCAGCTGTTGACCAGGAGCAAAGATTTGATTGCGGAAGTTTTGAATAAAGCCTGCAGCGAGCTCGTCCTGGTCGTAGGGTGTTTCGGTTGATTTCTTTCCGGCAAAGCCGACTTCTATGTCGAGGTTGCCCAGGTAGCTTGAAGCGCCTTGCGAGAAGGGATCGTAGGGTTGAACGTCAATCTCGTCGGTGAGGGCGATTTGCATCCATGTTCGCTGGGGGTCAGACATGCTAATGTGACCGCCAGGAAACCNCTGCAGGATGCGAGCTGAGATGACGAAGAAACCATTGATGAGGAGGTAGAGGTCGCTGCCATCAGTGCTCGGCGCGAAGTCTTGGGGTGATACGGCGCANNTCTGTTGATCAGACAGAGGTTAGCTTGAGTGCTCAGGCAATAGGGGGTGTGCGTCGGTTGAGGGTGGAATAATGACTGAGACTGACATGTTGCCGAAGACAAAGGCCGCTTCCTTCAGCTGGTATGGGCGTAGCCTCATTGCCCTGCCCGATGGCCTCGAGGGCTTCTGGTCGCGATAGGTTGGTGGGGGTTGCTGGCGTGACGATGGCGGGGGTTGTTGTTGGCCACTTCCGAACGGGTTGGGTATATTGTTGCGATTGAACATGATCGCGGTCTGTTTTTATATGGGCGTGTAGGCAGCAGGTTAGGAAGGAGCGACTTGTTGTGAAGAGGTGGCCGTTTGGGAAAGAGCAAGTTGTGGTCTCCAGGAGGCCTCGCGGAGTCGTGCCTGCCTGACAAGAAAGTTCAAACAACGTCACACAAAATCTGGGGAAGCTGGCCATTCATGTCTTTGTCGCCGGTCTTTTGTCCCTCATGACCACTTTTACCATAACATCACATGAAGCAAGAGAAGAGCAACTCTAGGCAGAAAGAAAAAGGTCAAACCTAATTGATAAAAGCCAGGTGTATGTACAGCTACTGACCAAGTAGCGAGAGAGAGAAAAACAGAAAGGAAAATGCCGCCTTCCGTAGAAGGCCCTCTTGTTCTCATTGTTCACATGCAGCAATCCATTCCAAGCCAAAACGCCATGCTCCTATATTCATATCCTCCTGTTGAGAACGTCAAATGTCGAATGCCCTATCGCTTCGGCAACAGGTTCGAGTAGCGGCTGACTCGATGGTGTCGTTTTAATCGCCATTATCTGTGTCTACGGAGGCACATTAGCCAGCTGCAGATGTAACCGAAACTACATGTACGCCTTCTCAAGACTAATACACATCCCTGCGTGCATAGTCTCGATCGTCATACATCAAAGGGTCTACTGACCGGTATGTACCACTGCCTCTACGGCTGGGCTTTCTTCTGGGTGCGACGCTTGACTGCTCCTCGATGACTTCGACAATGTCATCTCCATCGACCCTTCTCTCAGGCTCGACGATAAAGCTGCTTCTCATGGGTGGCGGGGCGCGACTCGAGTCTCTGACAATTCTTTCTTGGCGGATGATGCGTTCGGGTCCTCTGCTAACGGAACGCATCTCGGATCTACGGCGTCTTCTGGGCGAGCGTTCGTGGCGGATGATGACTTCTTCGTCGGGTTGCTTGTTGCGGCCGCTTGCGAGGGTTTGGATGAGCCAGACGAGGAGGATGAAACCGGCGACTGATCCGAGTGTTGCGCCAACAACGGTGCCAGCATCAGGGCCGCTGTCGAGGCCGTAGTAGACTGTCGGAATGGCAACCATGCTGTCTCTTGCTGTCAAGAACTGGGGCTGGCTTGTTTGACGTCCGACGATGCCTGGCAGTGCTCTCTTGACGAGGATCCAGGGCACTGACATGGCGTTGACGGCTCTGGCCTCCACTGGAGAGGCGCTACCGTAGTTGACTGATGACATTGAGTAGGATTTGTGGTTTCGGGGCAAGAGTTGAGTAACTGTATGTAGCCGTCTACAGTGATGCTCGGAGATCGTGAGCGAGCGAGGCTCAGTGCGTGTCGCTTGGATTATGTATGGTTGGTCCGGATTAATTGTAGTGATACAGCTGCTGACGATAATATGTTGAGTGTCGACGCAGAAAGAGTGAGTGAAAGTCAGACGATATCGACAAGTGAATGGGAATGACGAGAGGAAAGAAAAATACAAACGACCGAGATACAGGTTCTGCTCTTACTTACGTAGTGTTGCTGCAAGAGGCGGCTGGGGTGGCTGGTAAGACTACTTGCTAGGCGACTCGTTTCAAAAGCCATCACGATAATCACTTTCAAGGTCACTTGGGTACCTTGTATCGCTGAGATGGTCACATTTCTTGCTGCGACTACCATCAGAGAAACTGTTCTTCTCCATGTATCACCATCGGAAAGCATGTGGACGAACGGTGTACCCATCCACAAACAGCTTGGAGATGCTTGACGCGCAGCGGCTGCGGGGTTGGTTTGACATCAAGCTTGGACCGAGCGGTGCTCCCAGTCCTCACAACGTCTATCTCGACTCTTGCGGTGGAAACCTCAAGTCCGTCTCTCGATTCTATCTTCTGCTTGCTCACAACCACAGCCTTATACTATCAGAAAGAACAGCGTGTCATAGGATATTATCTAATAAGGACCGCGTAAATTACTGGATTTGATACTCGCTGTCTCTCCTCAACCTGGCCATCGGAATCGATCTCATGTCGACGTCTGTCGTCACGTAGATGTTGTCGTCTGGATCAATCAGACTGTTGTCTGACGAGGCTCTGGACCCTGTAGTCTGTCCGCCGCTCTGAATGGACGTCTTCAACTTCGAGTCCACTGTTTGCGGACCCCAGAGCATCGGAATGGAACTCTTGCGATTCGACACTCCTTCGCCGTATCTTGAATTTGGTCCATGGGAGACTCCGACAGTACTCTTCATCTGACCATACCACCTGCTCAAGATTGGCTTATAGCTAGGTACCGACAAAGCGATCAGGGTGCCTCCAATCTCTGCGACCTCGATGACCAGTTGTGGGTCGTAGTACCAGGAGCCATCTGTTCGCCATTGGCCGACGACGCAGAGCCAGAGACGTGCGCATGAGATTCTACAGATCAATCAGTACATGTCTGGATATCTTCCCATATTTTCGACATACCCGATGACCAGTGTTCCTGGAAGCATAACAATGGCCAACACGACTTTACGACTCTTCGGAAGTTGCAATATCGAGATCATGGCTATTGGTATGCTGAAAAGGACGATATCGTTGACCAGAGACAGACCTGAGTTTGTCACGTAGACGACACCCCAGTTGAGACATTTGTACGTTCTGTCTGTTGTTTGCCATGCGTACGGCCACAGTCCAGTGCTACAGATGCGTCAATGGTTATTCATCATGACTCGTGAATATCTAGCTGCTTACACTGGAAGGCAGTGGAGAAGGATGAGAAGAAACTGTACAATGAATGCTGCGGTCAAAAAGAACCCACAAGCCCAGATGGAGATCCTGAAAGTCGGATGCGTGCTGCAGAGGCGTGAGAAGAACGCGAGACCGCTCAACCGGCAGAAATATAAGGTCGCTGTATAGATCAGATGGGCTGCGTAGTCGACTATCTCCGTCTGCTCAACCTCAGGCATTGTGAGCACATATTGGATATACTCGATGTGTCGCCCACTACCCTCTCGGATGAGGACCAGACAGAGAGCCATGAAGGCCGTATAGCAGATCCAGGAGAATGCCGCGATGCCGTCGTCGAGTCCGAAGCTCTTCACGATGAAGATTCGAGAGGTGAATCTACAAATGAGCAGAACAGTGGTGATGATATAGATTGCCAGTATGCCTGCTATCGCTGGTCCGTCGCGCGACTCGCTCAGATAATCCGGTGTGATGTAGGATATATTCGTGGGTACTCGTCCATCGGCGTAAGCTTGAGCGACGTCGATGGCGACCATGACGGCGGCGTCAGAACCAGTTAATGGTGCGATGCAGGATGCGTATCAAACACAGGATCCACGCGATAGATCAATCATGCGTGAGAGAGGAGTCCTGTGACCGGGTGCTGGGATATCCATCTACCTAATCAAAAAGGGTCCTACTAGTCCATTACCAGTGTATTTGGCAGCATGAGGTCCGCGGCCCTGTTCGAATTCTATGGGCGTTAAGCATTGCGTCGGTCTGAACGGTAATGGGTTCGCAAGTTACTGAAATGGCAATCGTAATGCAGGTCCACCCAACCTTGGGGATGTTGAGGTTGGATATCCGACCACACGTCCACACAGCAGCGCTGCTAGTTCGGCAAGCTTTGCCCGGAGCTGATTAAACTTTGACGGACCAGTTCGACGGATCCTTAGATCGCTGTCTGCTCGGCTGCCAACTGCGCCGAACGGTTCATGAGGATTGACGTGCTTACCCAATGCTCGTGTCGATCAATGTTATGTAGGTGTATTGTCGACTTTGTCGAGTTGACATCTAATTTCTCTCAAAGCCCAACACACAAATTCCTCTCTTTTCGAATCATCTGCAGGGGGACTTGGGCTCTGACGAATTCCATCGCAACGGGGATGCAGATCGTCAACTGTTTCGCAGCTGCGGTCGCGCTTGGCCTGGTCAGCGCTTCACGTGGTTACCAAAACGCTTCCATCGTAAGTCTTCGCAACGACTTTCAGGACAATCGTCAAGCTGAACAGAGACATAGNAACTACCCAGACTATGGCTTTCCCTTGCTGCAGGATGCCAACAGTACTGAACTGCTGTTTCCTATGCCAGCATGTCACGGCTTTGTGATTGCAGAGAAGAGCATTGAGGAGCTCCAAGAATACATGACCGCTGGAAATCTCACCTCGGTGCAGCTAACCACCTGCTATCTGCAGAGACTTTTCCAAACTCGCGATTACATCAAGTGAGTGGCCATGGTATGCAATACCTTAGCCAGGACTGATCAATGCACNAGTCCGATCATCGAGGTAAATCCCGATGTCTTCGATATTGCTGCGGCGATGGACGAGGAGCGCCGTCATGGCAAGGTCCGCGGACCTCTGCATGGCATTCCATTTGCGGTCAAGGACAAGTACAATTTCAGCCCTCCCGTTTTGTGTTCTGAAACTGACCATGTCGCNAGTATTGCCACCAAGGACAAGATGCAGACGACCGCTGGGTCGTGGGCTTTGCAAGGATGCATTGTGCCTCGTGATGCCTACGTAGTGAGCAACCTTCGTGCAGCTGGTGCCGTGCTGCTCGGCAAGGCCACTTTGTCCGAGTGGGCAGACATGCGTTCCAACTACTACTCGGAAGGATACTCTGGCCGTGGTTACCAATGCAGGTCTGCATATAACCTTACCGTCAACCCAGGAGGCAGCAGTTCTGGAAGCGGTGTTGGTGTCGGAGCCAACGTCTTTCCCTTCGCCCTCGGAACCGAGACAGATGGCTCGGTGATCAATCCAGCTCAGCGCAACGCCATCGTTGGTTTCAAACCGACCGTTGGCCTGACTTCTCGTGGTGGCGTCATCCCTGAGTCCCTGAACCAGGACACCGTAGGTGCTTTTGGCAAGACTGTTCGCGATGTGACTTATGTTCTCGATGCCATTCATGGTGTGGATGTTCACGACAATGAAACCTCTGCTCAGGTTGGCAAGACGCCCAAGGGCGGGTATGCACAGTTCTTGACGAACAGAACCGCACTCAAGGGAGCCACTTTTGGCATTCCCTGGAACAGCTTCTGGGTCTATGCCGATGCTCACCAGCAGGAGGTTCTCCTTGACCTCGTCTCCCTGATCGAGTCTGCTGGTGCCACCATCGTCAATAACACTGAGCTTCCGTACTACAAGACCATCGTGTCTCCCGATGGTTGGAACTGGGACTATGGTAGCACTCGTGGCTATCCCAATGAGAGCGAGTACACCTACATCAAGGTCGACTTCTACAACAACATCCGCACCTACCTGGCCGACCTCAACAACACAAACATTCGCTCGCTCGAAGATCTCGTGCAGTTCAACTACGACAATGACGGCACCGAAGGTGGTTACCCTTATGCCAACGGCAGCGGTATCCCAGCCTTTACTTCTGGCCAAGATGGCTTCCTGGCCTCTCTAGCCACCAAAGGAGAAAAGAACGCGACGTACTGGTCCGCACTCAACTTCTGCCGCTACACAACCCGCGAGGCAGGCATCGATGCCGTGCTAGCCATGGGACCCAACAATACTCAACTCGACGGTCTCCTGGTGCCTCCAGATGTCGCTCAGGCACCCCAGATTGCCGCTCAGGCTGGCTACCCGATGCTGACTCTGCCCGCCGGCACCCACGAGAACGGTATGCCCTTTGGTCTGGCAATCATGCAGACGGCATTTGCAGAGGACAAGCTCGTCAAGTGGGGGTCTGCGATTGAGGATCTGCAGGTCAGTTCCAACACGCCTCACAAGAGGACGTTGCCTCAATGGCGTGACTATCTGGTCAGAAACATTCCTGTCACTTGAGAAGAATGGCAAGACTTGTGTTCGAGATGTGGAGTTGTATATAGAAGCATATCGGTTAGTTATCAAATGTCTTGAAAAGCGAATATTGAATTACTAGTAAAAGGATAAAGCTCTCGGGTGTTCAAAGCCAACCCGAATCATAAAAATAACATCCATCACGTCCCGAAGGCCTGTGATTGCAAAACCAAGACCCAACAACCTCCTGGTATCAAAAATGTCCATGGCCACTCCCCAAACGCCTCTTCTCGTGCAAAGAACAGAAGACGAAGAAATACTTCCTTCTGTCCACTTCCTACACACCGCTCGCCTCTATCCTGCAAGCATGATGTTGTGCAGCACATTCACAATCACCTAGAACAAAATGTCCAAACAACAACAACAAGCCAACGCACTCAACACACCTGCACAGATACCTCCGGCACCACTACCTGAATGCTGCTGCTGCTGCTGCACATATCCCTGCGGCGGCGGATACCCCTGCTGCTGATAATACATAGGTTGTCCCTGCTGCGGTGGATAGCCCTGCTGTGGGTATCCCTGGGGCGGGTATCCCTGCTGTTGGCCCGGGGGCATGAAACCGCGACTCGGGTCGGGCGCGGGAGACGCATAGCCCTGTTGGGGTGGGTAGTAGGCGCCTTGTGGTGCGGCGGGGGCGGACGAGTCGCCGTAGTAGTTTGCTGCTTCGCCGCGGCCACCGGAGGCGGCGGGGGCGGAGTAGGTGGGTGGTGGGCCGGAGGGGCGTCCTGGTATCTGGTGTTAGTCCTTCGCTGTTTGTGTTCGGGACAAGGCGAGTAGTGGTTTGCGCAAACGTACGTATTGACCCATGGCTGAGAGATTCGAGGTATTTGGATGGTCAAAGGCGGCGGATGCTCTTTTCGGATCAAAGGGAGTTGAGCGCTTTGCGACAGGTAGGATTGAGGATCAAAATGCGTAGAGCAGTAGTTGAAGGAACACAGGCGACAATCGACAGTGTATTCTCAAGGGTCAAAAAGGAATGCGCAATGAATAGAGGAGTGGAGAAGCAGGGAAAGAAGAGCAGATCAAGAGACAATGTCGTTGTCTTCCACCGTCGTCGGCTTTGATATTAAGCTCCAAGCCTCTGGGCGCAGTCTACCAAGCCCTTGCTGGCCTTGCGCCGTTCTAGCCATGAGATTATGCTTCTCTTTTCCATCGTGCCATCTGACACAGCCACCCTCTTTCTTACGTGTTGCTTCTTCTGGGGCTCGAGCAAAACTGCTTTGTCGATACTTTTCATTATGCTTTTGCCACTTTCAGAGACGAAGCAGCGTCATTGTCATGAACGATGCCGCAGTCTTCCGTTGCCGCCAGCCGAGGAGTCTGCCCTCTTGTCTTGGACGAACGCGCGGCGCCGAGCTCAAAGGACGCAAACAAAAGGAAGAAATAATGAAATCAATTCACATGGGAACCCGTAAAGGAAAAAGGGTAACTATTCGTACAACAGTAATGATAAAAAGCTACTCTACAGCTTGCTCTTCCTGGAAAAGTAAGTCTTGATCGCCTTTCTCGCTCTCTCGACCACTTCCACGTCTTCAATCGTCGCTGGGACTTCTGGCTTCTTGTCAAAGTTGCCTTCGCTGGCATCTTCTACCATTTGCTTTAACACTCTGCGGAGTGTCTTTCCGCTTCTTGTGCGAGGGATGACTCCCTGTGCTATGATTACACCTCCGAGCGTAGCGATGGGGCCGACGGCTGCCCTGACGCGCGAGTTGATGGCCGAGAGCAATTCGCCTTCTGGAATATCTCCCGCCGAGGGTGAGAGGGCGACGAACGCGAATGGTACATGTCCTTTGAGAGGATCTGGTGCTGGAACGACACAATTGTCTGTGATCGAAGGATGTGATGAGATGGCTTGCTCGAGTGTAGNCTAGTATAAAGTCAGCTTGTTGCTTTTGTAACCGTCTTTGTCTTATAACGTACCAGTGCTCAACCTGTGTGCAGCAACATTGATCATGTCGTCGCTGCGACCGTGGATATGAACATAGCCATCTTTGTCGATGATACCGGCGTCACCTGTGTCGAGCCACTTGCCCTCGAAGCGCAGCATGTATCCATTGTAAAAGCGCTTCTCGTCCTTCCAAAGTGTCGTGAATCCGGTGGGTGCAAGAGGCATGCCGAGGACGATGTTGCCAGTCTTTCCTCGTGGCACCTCATTGCCGTCGTCGTCTACAACCCTGATGTCGAATCCAGGCATCGGCTTTCCAGCACTACCTGGTCTTGTCTCCAGAGGCTTGATCTCCTTATCATTGCCACCGTCGTGCCACGAACACGGCAGCTGTGCCAGTCCAGTCATCGGTGATCCTGATTCGGAAGACCACCAATTATCCACGACTGCAGCTCCAGGGGCGCCATACTTTTGAAGCAATTTGGTGTAGTCATTGACAACAGCTGGTTCACTGCGTTCGCCAGCCAAGAACAGCGCTCTTAGTGACTTCAGTCCATTCCTCTCGCCTCTTTCAATGAAGAACTTGTGCTGTCCATCTTCACGACGGATGGCTCGCAGGGCTGTTGGTGCGGTGAACATGACATTTACCTTGTGCTGTTCAATGCATCTCCAGAAAGTGCCAGCGTCTGGTGTACCGATAGGTTTGCCTTCAAACAGAACCGTGGTCGCACCTGCCAACAATGGAGCATAGCAGATGAAGGAGTGGCCAACCACCCAGCCAATGTCAGATGCGCAGAACATGACATCGCCAGCCTGGATGCCGAAGAGGTAGCGCATACTGTAGTTCAAGCCAACAGCATGGCCGCCCGCTTCGCGAAGCACTCCTTTTGGTGCTCCGGTAGTACCACTGGTGTAGATGATGTACAACCCATCATTACTCTTGACTGGGACATTCTCTGCCTTCAAGCCACGGTTCTTTGCGCTCTTGACCAGTCGTTGCCAGTTTCGTTCGCCTTCCTCTTTGAGGACAGGGTCCCATCGATGCTGCTCACGCTGCCAAATAATGGTCTTGCTTGGCTTATGCTTGGACTGCTCGACAGCACCGCGCACCAGAGGCTGGTACGGCAGTGGCCCCTTTGCACCTTCAATGCCACAACTGGCAGTGAGGACTACTCGGGGCTTGGATGCATCAATGCGTTGTGCCAGACTCGGTGCCGAGAATCCGCCAAAAACAACGGCGTGGATAGCACCAAGTCGTGCAGTGGCAAGAATGCCGACGAGCGCAGCAGGTATTTGAGGCATGTATATCAGGACCACATCTCCCTTCTTTACCCCCTCTTCACGCAACACACCAGCAAGTGTCGCGACCTCTTCTGCGAGCTGGGCATAGCTGACTCTCTCTTGGGTGCCTGTCACAGGCGAGTCCCATATGATTGCCGTACGCTGTCCGTTTCCGGCATCGACGTGTCGGTCGACGCAGTTGTACGAGGTTGAGATTTCGCCGTCTGGGAACCATTTCCAGTGTTGGTGTTTGGTGCCAGATTGTAAGGTCTTGGTAGTTCGCTCGATGATGGTCTTCGGGGGTACGGCCCAGCTCAGTTTCTCGGCTTCGTGAGACCAGAAGGTTTCTGGCGATTCGAGTGCAGCCGCGTACGCTGCGTCTTGAGGGTGTGTATTCGGCATAACAGTTTCGGAAGTTGTTGCAGAAGTTGAAAATGAGGACACAGAATTTGATCGACCTAGAGCAAGGTACAAGTATTAGATCAGATAGCCGCGTCTACGTTCAAGGTTATTCGGGTCAGCGGGATGGACTTGGATTGACCTTTTCTTGACCAAAAGCTACCCCACACCCCCACGTTCGAGGACAATGCGGGGTTCGGCATCATGACTCGCATTGGAATGGTCAACAGTGACGCAGACCAAGTTCTTGGTGTCGACCATCTGGTAGAAATAGAAAAGGCCGAGTGACATGCAGTCATCGGATCGAGGCGACTGAGCTGGTGATTCAATCCTCGTACTGGAACAAAGTATTGATCTGTGTAAGTCGGTTCGGCCGGGACGACGAAGACAGCGAGTTTCCGTCGTGTTTCAGTGTCTTCGGAGACCGCGCGTAGTAAACAAGAGGCGCAAAGTGTCAGACGTGACTGTGGTTCGTTATATTTCCTGTGCTGAGTGGGGGTGTTTTAGACCTCGGATCAGGATTTAGCTCTAGGGAGCATATTCAATCTCCTGGTTTGGCCATTCAAGCCAGGCATGGTACTCCGAAGGTACTGTCGAGTATACTGAGCTTGCGACTTTGATTGCTGGTGTTCGATTCCACCAGAGGTTGCCCATTCGCTTTATCAGAACTGCTTGATGTACTAGCAGAACAAGAGCAACAGTTTTGTGTTGTTCTAACATCTCGAAAAATTCTACCGGGATCTGCACGAACCAGAACAGACCGGCGACGATTGGTGAGATGCATTGATGAGCACTTTCTGTGTCTGTAGATTTCTTGTAACACCATGTGCAAGTATTCTGTGGTGCTGTAGCTCTGCTCATACGACCGTAAGCTTCTCGCAGGTAGTGTAGGGCCTCGTCGTATATGGCTGCCTCTTCGCTACTGGTTCCCTGGATGGTAGAGGGACTACCGGGATGCCATAGCTGTTCGAGGTTGACGAGATATTCGTCTTCTTTTTGGGCTTTTTCGTCCATAAGCTGAGTGATCTGACAGAACTGTGCATCTATAAGGAAAGGCGCAAGAGGACCATCCTCGAGCCACATCTTACCACGACGGGCAATGTGATCGGTGCCTCTGAACAAACGAATCCAGTCTACCACGGCACCAAGTAAGACCTCGTTGAAGATGCTTCCTGTGCTCAGATTTGGGTTGAAGCGCGTGCCTGATGAGGCGATGATGTAGCACGCGACCAGGATCGAAGAGGCAAACAATGCCTCGCAATTTTCCGAGTTGAAATTCTCCAATGCGGATCTGAAGCCTTGCAAGCCTAGGTCCTGGTGATTCGCAGCCAACATGGAGAGGTCTTCTTCATCACTTTGACGCGTAACTGACACGTGAAGACCGGCGACCGCAAGGATTCCATGCATCAGAAACTTGTGCCTGAAGGCGACTTTGACAACCGTGGTTTGCCAGATGTTTTGATGCTCTGTCTGGTCGGAAAGTGTTTTTGCCGTATAAGTGACGAAATGATGCAGTAGTTCCATTTCCTTTAGAGTGAAACTCTCTACAGCACGAGTACTCGTGTCTGGCTGAGGGTTCTGGAAACTGCATTCTCGTGATGTCCTTCTGCATTTCTCACATATTGGTTTGGCTTCGTCGCACTGCAGCCCAGTTAGTCTGCGAGTCAGCCTCGGAAAAAATCAATAAAACCCAAAACGTCGACGCAGAGAGGAACGACTGTTCGTCTTGCCTACCTTTATCCGGCGTTTCTTGCACTGTACGCAGCCCGTCCGCGTCTTTCTGTGCGTAATCATCTCCAGTCCAGTGAACTTTGAGTTGCTCCTTCGAGGTGGCTTGAGTGACGGCCCACTGTCCTAGGATTGGCGCGTTGCCACGTGCAGTGTCTCTCATGGTGAGCGAGGGCAGAGAGCGAGGCGGATGGCTGGAAGTAAAAGGGTATGGCCGGTGCGAGACGGTACGGACGGATGTGGCTTGGCGACGTGCTGATCTTGACTCGGGACAGGGTTACAGATTCAGCCCGGATGTGTATCCGGCTGACAGGGTGAGATCAGCAGCATAAATTCTGACGACTTTTTATCTTGTTTCTAACACCACGGCTTTCCACCAACATATTATAGTGAGATAACTTATATATACTACGTAACAGTAGCTCCTCTCATCTATGTAGAAGTCTTATATGGTTATGTCTTGTGTTGGTCGAAATATCGTAGAAGTTAGGTTCTCAGATATGCTTCATCTGAGATGCTTACTGAACATGTACGAGAAACCATCAACATGTTTGATTGGAGCACAACAACTATAGACATATAGAAAAGTGGGTCAATGGACCATATATCTGCTCAGAGATGTATGTACGCGCTTGGTCACCAAGAATACATGACACCGCAATGGATTAGAGTGGATAGAGGGCAAGATATATCAACTTTGGGAACAAGGCAGGGTGGCACCGCGTACATCATGGACTTGGCTGTTATACATGAATTCCGAGCCTCTCCGCTGCAGAGACGAACCCCTTCTCATCAATACCAACCCAAACATCCACAAAGCTTTTTTCTCTAGCTTCTTCTTCGTTCTTCTTCTCTTCCTCCTGCGATCGCGCGACGTAAATGGTATGATAACCACAACCCTTCGCTGCTTCAAGATCACCCAGATGGGCAGCGACCATGACGCACTGACTCGGCTTCAAGCCCAGCCTCTTCGCAGCTCCCAGATAGATGGCCGGATTAGGCTTGTATGAATTGAACAGCTCAGAAGAGTATGTATGCTTGAAGGGCATACCGCCATGCTGCTGCATATCTTTGAGGAGAGAAATGTTTCCATTGGAGAGTGTGCAAGTCTCGTACTTGGTGTTCAAGGCCTCGAGACCAGCAACAGTGTCAGGCCAAGGGTCGAGCTTGTGCCAGATGAGACTCATCTCCTTGACTTCATCCTTGTTCCAGAGACCTCCGAGGTCGCCATCTTCGCGACCCAGACCATGCTTGACCAGTAACTCATGCAGAGATTCGAGGTGATGGTCGTCCACTGTCTTCCAGTTGAGTGATGAATCTGCTGCAAGAGACCGAGTGAATGTGTAGTAGCTGCTCCTCCACTCTTGAGCAAAACTGCCCCAGTCTTCGGTGCTCATTGCGTTTGCTTTGGCCCGAACATCGTTGGTGATGATTGCTGATCTTCTCATCAAAGCCACTCGGCATTGCTGAACTAGGGCGTTGGTCACTGTCGTCCTCCAGTCGACGCAAGTGCCAAACACATCGAAGAGGAGTGCACGAACGTCTTCCATGTTTGATTGATTAATGATTTGAGAGCCAAGACGAATGGATTATAGAAGAATATATACTGTGTAAGATGCTTGAACATCTTGGTGAGAGCACACGGCGAAGAAGCAAGCTTACCGGCTGCCTCGGGCGTGCGGAGGAACATTGTCCGCAGTGATGATAGGCCTCAACACCAGTCGCACAAAGAGATTGCCAGTACGAAGGACTTGAAAGAACGTGCACTATCTCAGTCGCAACTTCGAAAGACCGCGATGTGAGACAGAGAGGGAGGGGATATGTCGGTAGTCTCAACATCGCGACAAGAGACGCGAGACGCGTTCGATGAAGACAAAGATCACAACGAAAGAAGGACAAAGAAGTTGCGTAGCAAAAATGTTGAGGATTAAACTGGTATCATTGCATTGCATTTCCCATAAACTCCCCTGCCTGTATGATTGTACATCGGCATTGACCCCAAAGTAGCAGAGTGATTTAACACACTTCCCATCCCGAAAACCCATTGATGATGATTGATAACGATCCCGGTCCGCTGGATGAATGATGCGGCCAGTAGAGCAGTCGTGAAACCCATGATGAAGAAAGAAAAACGCTTAACCACCGAAACCGTAAAGGGTACCTGAGAGACAATGTCAGTGACTGGATGAGATGAGAAGAGGCAGCGGGATGACTCACGGCCCTGGCGCTTGAGAGCGTAGACGACGTCGAGCGAAGTAACAGTCTTGCGCTTGGCGTGCTCAGTGTAGGTGACGGCGTCGCGGATAACACCCTCGAGGAAGGTCTTGAGGACACCACGAGTCTCCTCGTAGATCATGGCCGAGATACGCTTGACACCACCACGACGAGCGAGACGGCGGATAGCGGGCTTTGTGATACCCTGGATGTTGTCGCGCAGAATCTTGCGGTGACGCTTGGCACCACCCTTTCCAAGACCCTTGCCACCCTTGCCACCTATAGAGGAGATGCGTTAGCTGAATGAAGATGGATGGAAGGTGAGTAGCTGTCAAGCGGGGTAAGAACGTACGGCCAGACATTGTGATAGAAGTTGTTTGAAGGTAAAGTTGTTGAAGAGTTGTGGTATAGACACGAAGTCTTAATGTGATAGAGTCGCTGGGTGGAGAAGAAGATGTGAGTGGATGGAGATGTAATTCGTGCGGAGGGAAGAGGTGTTTATGGGCTTTGACGCGTGAAAGGGAAGTCGCGTGGAATCACGGCGTTGTCCAAGATCAGGGAAGGTGCGATGATCCTGGAAAACGGCTGTGATTGGTTGAATCAAGATCATTCACACAACAGCTAAGCCGGATCAGGACGGCGAAAAAGCACGGGCCATTATCTCAGATCTGTTCCGTCAGGCAAAGCAAGCAAAGGAAAGGACGCGCTTCGAAGTGACAGAATCCAGCGTTGCGAAGCAGCCCCAAACGAGCGTGATTTTGGCTGCCTTTCACTTTTGATTTTCCAACCCGCAGTCAACGCCCCCATCGCTATAAATCCACCTTCCCCCACCCACCACTACTCCTTCTCTCTCATCATCCAACAACCATCTCTTCTATCCACAACAACAACATCTTCTCAACACAACAAGTCATCTACAATGGCTCGCACTAAGCAAACTGCCCGTAAGTAATCACTTGCACATCATCCTTCCTCATTATCGCCGCCGCTATTTGCGCGTCGCTCTCACTGCCCGGGCGCGTTTTGACGCGTCTCTGGCCTTGACGCCACCGCATCTTCCATCAACAATCACCACTTCACTCCATCGTCTACCATTATCAGTCGCTTACATTCATTCACAGGCAAGTCCACTGGTGGCAAGGCNCCCCGCAAGCAGCTCGCCTCCAAGGCTGCTCGCAAGTCCGCCCCCTCAACCGGTGGTGTCAAGAAGCCTCACCGCTACAAGCCCGGTACCGTCGCTCTCCGTGAGATCCGTCGCTACCAGAAGTCGACCGAGCTCCTCATCCGCAAGCTCCCCTTCCAGCGTCTGGTTCGTGAGATCGCCCAGGACTTCAAGTCGGACCTCCGCTTCCAGTCCTCCGCCATCGGCGCTCTTCAGGAGTCCGTTGAGGCTTACCTCGTCTCTCTCTTCGAGGACACCAACCTCTGCGCCATCCACGCCAAGCGTGTCACCATCCAGAGCAAGGACATCCAGCTCGCCCGCCGCCTCCGTGGTGAGCGCTCTTAAGCGCTTCCATCATGACGACTTTTGATGCTCTCCCTTCCATCAGCATCATATACCACCAACGAGAAGCTTGAGGATGGATGGTCTGGGAGACATCGATGGGATGGCCGGCGTTGGTTTCTGACTTTCTTCTACTGAGTTTTCAATTTTATCAAGCAAGGGAATGACATGGGATTCGGGGTTTTAACATCATGGGAGTGCACGAAAGCGTGCACAGATTCGAGAGCATTGATTGTAACATAATGAAATGCAACCAGCAAAAGTGACCGGCCGGTACTTTTGCTTTCAACTTTAACAATTCTTTTACTCTTCCATCTCTTGTGACATGTTCTTCACCATCCTCTTGCCTGCGAGCTCAGCGATCCCCTGGCCATTCACCTGCTTCCTCTCCTCTCCAAATTCGTTACTGAGTCCAAGTAGTTTTTCTGTCTGACCCGCCCGCGTTCGGCTTGAAGCTCGGTATGTCACACAACCGCTGATGGTCTGATGTAAGTGCTTCTGCCTTGTGTTCTTGACCAGCATCCGTGCTCTTTCTGAGATATTGAGCGATCTGTCTGGCGCTGATATCTCGACTATGTATACCATAGTTAAGTTAGCATGTTAATGCCATCTCCTATCACCAACATGATGTTGGGCGCACGCCATAGCGGCTCCGAAATGTCGCGGATCCGAGCCGACTACCGAGCTCGCTCAACAATGTTGGTCCCTCTCTTCTCAAGACGACGCAATGTCTCCTAGACAGAACCACCCAACATGAACTCATATACCCTTGCCGGACGAGGCAACAAACTGCTTTTGCGACTGCGATTGAACGCCCAACGACGACTCAACTCGACGAAGCCTCAAGAACAAGCCAAAGATGTGCCGTCACGGTCAACAACAATCCCAGGACCTGGAATGGCATGGATAGAGCCATTGAAAGAGCCGTTCAGAGCGTATGGTCGCATGCAACATCGCTCGCCATACATGACACAATTGTCAACGACACTGATCATCTACTTTTTGGGCGATCTGTCGGCTCAGAAAGTGGCCAGCGACGAACCCTACGATCCGTCTAGAGGTCTGCGAGCACTGGTGATCGGTGGCATATCATCCATACCAAACTACAAGTGGTTCATGTTCTTGGGTAACCACTTCAACTACAAGTCGCACGTAGCCTCGATTGCGACCAAGATTGTCATCAACCAGACCTTNTTTACACCGTGCTTCAACACATACTTTTTCGGCATGCAGAGTCTGCTGTCTGGACAGACGCTCGAGCAAACGAAACAGAGAGTCATCGATACCGTGCCTGTTAGTTGGAGGAATAGCTGGAAGCTGTGGCCGGCTGTCACGGCGTTCAGCTTTACATTCGTGGCGCCACAGTATAGGAGTGTGTTTGCGGGAGTGATTGCTATTGGGTGGCAGACTTATCTGAGTTGGCTGAATATGAAGGCTCAGGAAGAGGAGGATGAGAGGGCTGCAACTTCTGCTGCGACTGCTCCTGTGACGGGTCCGTCGACGGCGCTTCCTGCTGCTTGAGCATGAGGGAAGAAGAGAACATACTACGACAAAGGCATACGCACAAGATGTACGGCACTACTCGGCCAGACACTATCTGGCACTAAGAAACCTCTGGCAGCATGGCACGGTCTTGAACTTGCAAGGAAGGTCATAGTGAAACCTTGGAATCACCTTTACAATCTTCAAGGGTACTCGACTCATAGATTGGGGACAAGACACGAGAAGGCTGATTCTGAGGAAGCAACGCCTTTCACACTCTCACAAGCTGGCAGTTCGTCATCTTCTGGTGCTGGGTTTACCCTTCTGGACTTTTACAGCAGAGTAGCGACTGAGGCCAAAGACGTAGCCATTAAGAATCTGGGTAGTTCAGGCTCTGATATTGGCCTGATCTGGAAGGCCATTCTTCGAGGGGTTGTGCATGATGATGTTAGACGAACGAACAAAAATGAGGAACGTTGAGAAGGAAGGTCAAGACTCTGGAAAGAAAACGTTCATAGAGAGATAGACGATTGTATAGACCAACAGAACAAATATTAGACAGAAGAGTAACAAGAGTTGAGTTTTTGTCGGAGAATGGGCAAGTCAACTCCGCAGGCTTGGCACTTCTCACAGCAGTGATGGCATCGATTCGAGCTGTCCACGCCTGAAGCACCAGCTCAATCACCCAAACATCCAACCCTCCCATCGCCGCTTCTACTCTCCACCGTCTCTCTCTCCGTCTCGAACGTCGCTCCATCTCTAGCGATCGCCTCTGTTCTCTTCTCAGCATCTCCGTCAGCATCCTCTCGCCTCACACCGTTATGGCGCAACAAGACAACGCCGCTCGCATCGCCGAAGCAAGGAAGCAGGCAAAGGACCACCCGCAACAGGCCGAGCAGACATTCAAGAGCATACTGGAGCAAGGTCCTGGCAAGTCCGATGCCGCTGCACGCGACTACGAGAATGCTTTGATGGGTCTCGGTGAGCTGTACCGCGACCAGCGCCGCACCAACGACCTGGCCGAACTTGTCCAAAACATCAAGGCTGTCCTCTCGTCACTGGCAAAGGCAAAGACTGCAAAGCTGGGTGTGTATCAACCTAACACTTCGTTCATACCCACCATCTAACCCGCTCGTGTGCCAGTGCGCCAACTGCTCGACCTCTTCACACCCATCCCCGACTCGCTCGAAACACAGATCTCCGTCACAAAATCATGTATCGACTGGGCTGTCCAAGAACGCCGTGGTTTCCTGCGTCAGAATCTCGAGACACGGCTGGTCTCGCTGTACATGCAAAAGCAGAGCTACTACGAGTCCCTTACCCTCATCAACCGCCTGCTCAAGGAGCTGAAGCGTCTCGATGACAAGCTGGTCCTGGTCGAAGTCCAACTCCTCGAATCAAGAGTCTACCATGCTCTCGGCAACGTCCCCAAGGGTCGCGCTGCCCTCACCTCCGCCCGCACATCCGCCGCCTCGGTCTACTGCCCGCCATTGTTGCAAGCCAACCTCGACATGCAGAGTGGCATGCTGCACGCCGAAGACGGCGACTTCAACACCGCCTACTCATACTTCATTGAAGCTCTTGACGGCTTCCACGCTCAGGACGAGACTGAAAAGGCAACCGCTGGCCTCATGTACATGCTTCTGTGCAAGATCATGCTCAACGCCAGCGACGACGTCAACAACCTCATGCAATCAAAGCACGCCCTCAAGTACGGCGGCAAGGGTCTGGACGCCATGAAGCAAGTTGCCAAAGCCCACAACGACCGTTCGCTCGAAGAGTACGAGACCGCACTCGCCGACTACCGCCACCAACTCGCTTCCGATCGCTTCATTGCCACCCACCTGCGCCGCCTGTACGACAACATGCTCGAGCAAAACCTCATCAAGGTCATTGAGCCCTTCAGCCGCGTCGAGATTGCACACATTGCCAAGATGGTCGGTCTGGATGTGCACCAGGTCGAGCACAAGTTGAGTCAGATGATTCTGGATCGCGTCATCATCGGTGTCCTCGATCAGGGACAGGGCTGCCTTGAGATCTTTGACGAGCCTGAGCGTGATGCCCAATATGATGCTGCCTTGAACACTATTGATAAGTTGAGCAATGTTGTCGACGTGCTTTACACCAACCAAGCCAGTCTGCTGGAGTAAGCAGTTTTTCTACCCCTCTGATGCTGCATTTTCTGGCAAGGCGGAGTTTACGGAAGAAAGTGTACTCATAGAAAGCATGCAAAGAAAGCGAAAGCAAACATTTCTGAAACCTTTAATGAAAACGAACAGTCTTCCAATATTCTTCTTTGTCTTGCCTGCGTGTACTGGAACACTGTAAGGAGCAATGCAAAATCCATCATCGTTCCTTCCCTTCATGTCCCAACATTCCTCCGAGTTGGCCCATCGAGGCACATTAAAACATCGAAGCAGGAGTAGAGGAAGATAAGTGACCCAGACAGCACAGAAGCAAGACAACCTATCTAACCCCCTATCTAAAACCCATATTCGAGGTCATGTCCAAAGAAAGCTGCTTCCTCAACCATTGAATGTGCTTACAATAGCATTATCGCCATTCCCTAAAAGTCTTGTAAGGATGTGATGCAACAAGGAGATGAATCAAGTGGTATAACAAAAACTAAAAAGACACAGATAAAGAACGAAATAGAGATAACCAAGGTGGATATATACCAGCTATGGAACCACACATTCACAATGTTGTCGAGACTTCGGATCAAAAGTGTATCAGAGAGCGAAGAAGCAGGCTGCTTTAATCCTCTCCCTGAACGATATCTGTAAGTATTCGTGTGTTCACAAGGTAAGGTCAATGTTCCTCATTCAGCAGGAACGGAGAAAGAACAGAGATCAAGCCAACATATCAAGACCAAGAAGGAGTGCAAGAAAAATGGAAGGCACCAGTGATGGTCAACACCTTCCTTTCAATCAAACACCTTCCTTGTCACCAGCATCACAATCACAGAAAGCTCAAATACCATCAATATTACAGGATAGTAAGAAGAGGAAATCAATTTACGCATGAATAGAAAGCAATCGTCTAATCGTAACATCAATAGTGAAGAAGAAGAAGAACAACCTGGTCTGTGAATCCCAAGCACAAGAAAAACAGCAAAAACAACAAGAACAGGTGCCTCAAAGGGCCAAGGTATCCTTCGAGAAACATAACAAGGAGAAAAAATCATCATCAATGCCAATGCGCCCATTTTTCCACCTCGTCATTTCATCATTACAACGCATGTTTTCCTCCAAGAAAGAGAAGAGAGAAAGGAAACCAAAGGAAAAGAAAGGAAGGAAAATTGAAAACCAGAGGCTCTATGGACATTGAACGAAAATGCACAACTTGCTCACAGCTTTGTTGCTTGCGGACAGATCAAGCAGCCTTGTTCTCATCCACTGTAGTAGGAACAACAGCACCGGCAAAGTAATCGTCGTGGCCCTGAAGAGCGCCAGTGGGAAGATCTGAGCCAATGCCAGAGTCACTGGGAGGAGCATAAGGTACGATATCCTTGGCAACAGCAGCATCAACAGGCAAAGCAGGAGTCTCGGGCTCAACGTGAAGCTCACTCTCAAGATCACTGTCGTAATCTTCCTCTTGGATAGCGGAGCGGTCCATTGTGCTGCGAATGGTGCTGCCAATGCTGGTACGGCGGTCGATGTCGCTGCCGGTCATATAGCTACCAGTTTCATAGGTGCCTAGCGTGCCCAAGCTAGTGCGACGACCATCATCGGTCATGCCGGACTGTGACTCGGTCCAAGCACTGTGGCTTCCAGCGTAGCTAACGCTGCGTCTGCTGCTGTTGTAGTACGAAGAGTCGAGACTATCGCGGCTGACAGGGCGAGAGTCATAATCACGGCTCTGGGGACGGTACTCGGAGTCCCTGCTCACAGGTCGAGATCCACCATAGTTGCTCTCAATCTCAGTGACCTCCTCAATGTCGTTCTCCTTGTCGGCTGCAGCACGGGCGGTACCCCAGGAGATCTTGCGAAGCTTGTTGTGCTTGAGAGATTGACTGCGGTTGATTGAGCCTTGAGCCGAAACCAGGCTAGGAGCAGCGGCAGCATATGCAGCAGCGCCAGAGGGTAGATTGCGGCTGATTTGGCTAAGAGACATGATGCGGCGCTCACCAGTGTTAGGAGTAGTACCAGTCTTCTTGGGCATACCACGAGTTTTCATAGCCAGTGCATGGCTTTGTAAGAGGCTAGGTGTGGTGGGGGCAGGAAGTTGCGTAGTCGAAGCATCACTGGGAAGGCGCAGATCGCGCATAGGCTTCTTCTTGGGCGACGTCTTGGGTGCCTTCTGCGTGAGAAGCATGGCACGGGAGTGGTCAATAAGGCCCTCAAGGATGCGACGTTCCAAGGCATCGGCCTTCTCATCCATAACGTGCAACTCCTCACGTCTGATCTCCAAAGCAGTGTGGAGGGAAGAGACATCACCAGTGAGACGAGCCTTCTGCGCGGCAAGGGCATCCTTCTCAGCACGAAGGGCCTCGATAATGGCTTGAAGGCTTTCCTTCTCTTCATTGAGCGAGGAAATGTCAGACTCAATGTTGTCCTTCTGCACTTGACGACGCTCAAGAAGAAGAGCAAGCTCCTGAGCCTCAAGCTCCTTGCTCTCCTGACCATCAGTGATCTGCTTCTGCTGTATAGCAACGAAAGCGGAAACTTCGGCGGCAGTAGCCTTGACTTGAGTATGAATCTCATCCAAGCGTTCCATCTGAGCCGTGGCTGCTCCAGCTTCACCAGCAAGATTCACAAGAGTATCGAGCTTCTCAAGGACTGCAGTATCGTTGACAAGCTTGTCGAGTTTCTCGTGGACAGCAGTATCATCGTATTTTTCGACGGGCTCAACAGGTACAGGCAACAAAGCAGGAAGGGCTCCCTTAAGCTCCTCCGTCTGTGCACTGAGATTCTCAGAGAAGTGATTCTTGAGATTCTCAGCAAAGAGACCTTCGATGTGAGTCTTCGACTCTTCAGTGGCGGTGCGAATGGTATCATGGACAGTCTTGGCCTGCTCCTCCGCGGTCGCAGCAAGCTGTTGCGAGTACTCGTAGTGAGCGCTGACAAGAGCATGAAGCTCCTTGAGAGACATTGAGAATTGAGGATTGTACTCATTGGACTCTCCCTGAAGAAGAGCAATGGCCCCGACAACCTTGACAATTTCATCACGAGTGGTCTGATGCTCAGTCTTCAGACCATCGTTGTGCTCATCCATCTTGAGCATAGCACCCTCGACCTTCTCGAAAACAGTTTTGGAGTCTTCGGAAATCTTCTCGGTAGCCTCGTTGAAGGAAGGAATGAATGCTGTCAAGGAGGTGCCCAACGTGTCGATAGAGAGTTTCAGCTCGTCAGTCATCTCCTTTGTGCTGTTCAGCATCTCCTTCTGCTGCTCAACCTGCTCTTCCATGGTCTTAGCCTTCTCATGTGCTGCAGCTTGAGCATCGTCGTACTTGCTCATCAGACCATCAAAGCAAGAATCGACCTTTTCAGTGACAGCAGCCACAATAGCATCCTTGTGCTCTGCGTGCTTCTCGAGCAGGGTAGAGCTGTTCTGCTCGTGATCAATCTTAATGCCGCCTAGAGATTCATGGGAACGCTCGAACTCGTTCTTGACAGTCTCCAAGAGCTCTTTGATGTCAGCTCCGATACCTTCGTCGCCAGCGACCTTGCCGTCGATTGACTTGATGGCTTCTTCGATGTCAGTCATGCCAGGTGTACCTTCCTCAACCTTGGCAAGAATCTCGGCCTTGACCTCCTCTAAGAAGGTCTTGACACCAGAGATAGCCTCAGACATCTCTTCAGCCTCCTTTCTGCGGTCGTCGAAAGCCTTGGCGGTGATGGCGATGTCGTTCTCGTATCCTTCTCTGACCTTATCGTGACTCTCGCGGAAGTCATTGATGAGACCAGTGATTTGTTCCACGTCAGCCTTGGAAGGGAGTGCTTCGGGGTCAGGTAGGTTGAGCTCCGAGATCTTTTCCTTGATCTCAGTACAGAGCATGCCAAGAGCATCGAGGTCTGCCTTGTCCAAGCGAGGAGCTGACTCCTCGTCCTCGTCGTCTTCCGATCTCCTGGACTTGGAGTGTTCGAAAGCAGTGGCAAGGTCTCTGAGAAGGATCTCGACAACAGTAACGTCCTCCTTAGTAGCAAGGCTATCGATAGCCTCCTTGGCACTGCGGACGACCGCTTCGACATCGTCCAACTGTTCTCTACTAGCGGCGGTAGCAGGAAGCTCCTCGAGCTGTGCCTTGGTGTTGCGTAGCAGAGTCTCAATAGCGTCAGTATCTTCCTTAGTGACGGCATTGTCAAGCTCGGCCTTTTCCTTCTCAGCCATGACCAAAAGGTTGTCTTGAATCTGTCGGAGTGTCTCTTCCATGCCGAACAAGTCTTCCTTCATGGCAGTACCTTCAGCAGGGGCTGCCGAGGTGGCAGGCATGTCGCCGATGCTGGCAGCCAGGCCCTCGACCTTGATATGCAACTGAGCAAACAGAGCTTCCATTCTCTCCTTGAGACTAACCGGATGAGCAGCCTTGTCGTCTTCACTCAGCTCTCGTGATCCTTCCTCGCCAGGTGCATCGGCAAGAATCAGCTCGCTACCCCAAGCTGTCGAGGGACGATCGCCACCAGTAAGCTTCTCCATATCAGCGCGAAGACTGGCGACGCCCTCCTTCAAAGTCTCAAGAATCTCATAGTTGACGGTCATGTCGACAGGCTTGTCCATGATCTTGGAGACGTCGGAGCGCATATTGTCAAGACCCTCGTTCAGAGTGTCCATAAGCTCGTTGTTGAGGTTTCTGTGCATCTCGGGATTGTCGATCTTCTTTTCAAGAGAGGACTGGAGATCGTCCAGACCAAGCCTGACAGCATCGAGGACCTCCTCTGTGTCGGCGCGAGAGCCACCTGTGCCCATAGAATGACGGATCTGCTGGAACTCGCCCTGGATAGCTTCCAGAAGAGCTGTGTTGACGCCTGAGCCACTGCTGGCAGCAGCGATCTCATCTAGACGAGTCCTTATCTCTTCTAGAGGTGCCTGGGTATATTCTTCCTCGTTGTTTTCACCGGTGCTGAGAACAAGGCCCTTTGTAGTAGATTCACGAAGACTCTCCAATTGCTCCTTGAGAGCGGCCAGAGTCTCGACATGAGCTTCGCCTTGTTCAGAGCTCATTTGCATACGTATTGTATCGACGGCTTCGCGAACAGCCTCGATCATCTCGTCTCTCTCGGCAGCAGCACCAGATTTCAGAAGAGTGGCGGCTAAAGTCTCGCGCAGATGAGCCAGCTCATCCTTCATAGAAAGCAGAAGTTCGTTGTCAGAAGTTGCGTCCTCGCGATGGCCGACCTTGTCATGAAGGGCGTCCAGACTCTCTTGTAGAGACTCGATGACTTCGGCCTTGTGGGTGTTTGATCCGGCAATGACAGCATCGCGAAGAGCCTCGAATTCAGCCTTCATGGCTTCCAAAACTTCCTCGTTGGTCTCGTCAAGAAGACCACGGCTAGAGGTTTGATTCTTGAGTTCCAGGAAACCAGCTTCGAGAGCCACGAGGATTTCAGAAGTACTCGAGGGGCGGCCTTCTTCGCCTTCACGAGAGCCGAGGCCGCTGACTGCTTCATGTAGATGTTCGAACTCGGCTTTGATATAGTCAATCATTTCGTTGCGACCGTTAGATGGGCCTTCAGCACAATAGCCTTGAACATCACCACGAAGCTGTTCGAGACCAGTTCTGACGACGTCGACAATCTCGTCCTTGCCAGTGACATCCTGAGCGCGGTCGACATAAGACTCGACCTCGTGACGCAAAGACTCGAGACCATCCTTGATGGCGTCCAGGACCTGCTCGGTATCGCGACCGTTGGCAGCAGAGTACTGCTTGAACTCGACCTTCATCTCTTCTATGAGATTGCGAAGTTGATCAAGAACTTGCTCGCCGAAACTGCCGAAAGGAAGGGTCGATCCATCAAGACTGGCCTTGACAGCGTCGAACAAATCATCTCTGCTGATCTCGAATTCGCGAGGAGCATGGGGTCCGTGGTTCTCGAGACCTTCCTTGACTGCTCCAAGAACAATCGCGTGAGTGGCAGCATTGCCTGGACCAGCAGACTTGANGTTCCTCGATGGATTGGCGGATAGAAGCTAACAAATCTTCCTTGAATGAGGCCATCTCATCGACTGGTCTCGGGGGATTGAATTCTTGAAGAGCACGTTGCATAGCAGATTCGACCTCCTCGATATTGGCAGGTGCTGCAGATGGCTCCTTGTTGGATTGGTAGTCGTGTAAGCCTTCCTTCAGAACGGAAAGGATCTCGTCACGCTCAAGACCGAATTGCTGAAGCTCAANNTCTCAGGTCTGAACTCTTCAATGGCGTCCTTGACTGCCTCAAGAATGCTCGCCCTATCAAGACCTTCTGATTGAGGTTGAGCCTGAACAAGAGCCGTGCTGTGTTCTGTGATGGCACTCTTGACAATGTCGTACATGTCCTTGTTCTTGTTTTCGTCTTGATGGTTGGACATGATGAGTTGTTGTGAGTTTTGCTGAATGATATGCTCCATGTGCTCTCTGAGCTGAGACAGGCCTTGGTTGACGATTTCCTCGACATCAGTCTTGATCTGTGAGCCGTCTTCGGCAACCCTAGCGGTAGAGTTGGCCTGGTCCAGCTGACGACCGAGCTCACGGCCCATGCCCAAGACCTCGCCTCGAAGGTTCTGGAGAAGTGCCTTGATCTCATTACTCAGGCCACCACTCTGAGAGGTGCTATCCTTGATCTTGTGGAGAAGTCTCAGAATATCAGCGCTCATGGCGTCAATGGCCTTTGACTTTTGTTCATCGTCTTGGACGTCTGACGAGTGACGGACGAGGGCATGACTGCCCGACTTTTCCTTGATAAAGTCAGAGAGCTCAGCCACCTTCTGAGCGGTTTCGATAGCCTGGACGTTATCCCTGCTGTGCTTGTCGAGCAGCTCTGACAAAGTCGATAGGAGGCGGTCCTGACCATCCTTGGTAACCATCTCGCGGATAATCTTCTCCAGCATTGCAACACTAGCGGCACCGTCCATGGAGAAAGGGTTGGGACTGCCAGGATCAAGGAAACTGCCGTGGCTGTTCGAGCGAGGCAGAGAGCCAAACGGTCTTCCTCCAGCAGGTGGTGAGGTCAGGCCTTTGTTCTCGAGAAGACCTAGACCGAAGGCAGATGATCTGCCGCCAAAGACGGAGCCAGCATCGGAGGCACTTACGTTGGAGAGCAAGTCGCGCAAGTTTCTGCGAATCTCTTCGTCACGACTGTCAGCAGCCTGCTTCAGACCGATCAAGTCAGCAGCGTTATCCTTGCTGCGACGGTTCAGCTGCGCCATCTCCTTTTGCATGCCTGAAGTAATGTTCGTAATATTCGTAAGTTGTGCCATCATCTCGTTCAACGTCTTGGGTTCGCGAGAGGAGGTAGAGTTCGTGACGTCGTGAAGGGAAGAATCGGGATCGCGAGCAGCCATGGTCTGCAGAGCAAGCATGGTCGCCGATGGAGGAGTGTTTTCACCGAGGATGGCCCTGGGACGAGAGGCAGGACGAAGATTGGGTGCGTCTCTGAGAGCATTTCTGTCGGCTGGTGTAGGCGTGGAGTGATCCTGGGGAGGGCTCGAGAAGTAGTCGCCCTCAGTAGGGCGAGTGGGTGAGCCTTGGGAAGTAGCAGTAGATCTAGAGGTAGGCCTCTCAGGAGAAGTGTTGCGCATACCATCAAGGTAGCTGCGAAGGTCTCGGACACTTCCTGTCTGGAGAGACTGTAGGCGACGGTGGTGAGCACCCTTGATCAACGACTTGTCGGGCGAAGTGGAAGGCGGCGGGTTTGTGGTATAGGCGCTGGCGGGCATGTTCTCGCGGGCACGCTCCGTCAGNNCCCTCTGAGCGGTGGCCTGGATGTTAGCCGAAGCATTGGACCGTGTGGCCAGGCCAGGCGAGTTGGGCGGAATAGGCAATGGTGGAGGGGCTCTGTCTGGGTCTGAGCTGTCCCANNCCTGAGTTTGGAGAGATGGCGAGTCAGTCCCATTTCAACTTGACCAGCGTTTCAGGACTTACATGGGCACCGACTGACGGCCGGAGTCGATGGACTCGCGATCGCTGTAGCTGGGCATGCTGAGGAATGTGAATGTGCTGTGATCTGATGAAAATAAGCAGATAGGTGCTCAGGAATGCACGCTAAACGGAGAAGGGCGTCACAACAACAATTGCATTGTACGCCGACCGGGTATCTTGAAGAATTCGCAAAAGCACAGAATCAGGTACTGAGAGACGCAGGTGGGAGATTGAGAGAGCAAAGACGGTTGGAGAGAACCGTTGTGGTGAGTTAGCGCAGGGCAGATGTAGATGATGGATGTTTAAGCGCGGCACTGGCATTGTTTACACAGCACAACACCATGCAGCCTCTCTGCGTTGTCAGGGCTTCGTGATCCCGAGTTCCCGGCCCGTTCACCGCTGCTTGGCAGACCAACTTTCACAGCTTCCATCGACTCTGTTCTTGGCAGGCGCGCTAGCCGAGGATATCCCGGCACACTGCGAAATTCGCGAAGCTGTCCGCCTCTAGATTTTGGTTGACAGACGATTTTGACCGACCAGACATACTAACCGTCCCAACCCAGCAGCCATGAAGTGTACGTTCAGCGCATACTCCTGCAGTCTCGATTGCGATATAGAGACTGCCAATTGCGCACAGCAAATGCTGACAGTGTCTGTCTAGTCCTTAAGGTCGGCCGTGTTGCCATCATCAGCCGTGGCAGATATGCAGGCAAGAAGGTACGACTCACAATCCCACCAGCGGATCCATCGACGAGACGGAGCGACACACGAGTAACGGAGGGATGCTGCACATGCACACAGAAAGAGCCAGGATTGTTATGGGAGGCAGAAAATCAAAACGCACAACCACCTCCGATCGTCGAACCGCCATCCGCACATGTACATGCACCACCGAACATGCCACTTACACAGTCTCGCTTTAGGTCGTCATCATCCAGCCCGTTGACCAGGGCACCAAGTCTCACCCCTTNCCCCACGCCCTTGTCGCCGGCATCGAGCGTTACCCTCAGCAAGTCACCAAGCGCATGTCCAAGGGTCGCATGGCCAAGCGCTCAAAGGTCAAGCCTTTCATCAAGGTCGTCAACTACAACCACATCATGCCCACCCGCTACACTCTTGAGCTCGAGGGCCTGAAGGGTGCCGTCACCAACGACACCTTCAAGGAGGTTTCGCAAAGAGAGGACGCCAAGAAGAACATCAAGAAGGCCCTCGAGGAGCGTTACCAGAGCGGCAAGAACAAGTGGTTCTTCACTCCTCTCAGTATGCTGACGNNCCCCAGTCCACCTCACATCCGGACACGCAACTAACATGCACTTTCTCACAGGATTCTAAACGACTCGACAATGCGCGGTGCACTTCTTGGTTGGGGGAGTCTTCAAAAATTACTTCATGGACACGGGGACTCAAGACTTAGCTGTCTTTTAACGCATGATCATGGGACATAGCGAGTCAAAATACCAACGTCTCGAAACAAAAAAGGAAAAAGTTCAAAAATTTCTTCCGACTCTCTGTTCAAAAGTCTACAAGCAACAAGTGCAGGAACCTCTGGTCAAGAGTTTGGGAGCGATACCACCGAACGAGACAATACGAACACCACCGATCCTGCGACGAATTGCAACGAAAGTCAACCCCTCACCAAGCGAGACAACTGCGAGCTTGAGCAATGTTCTGAGGAATCATGGCCGCCGACACACACTGTTTACGACTATCCTCCGCGCTCGATGTTAGCCTTGTCTCTCACTCCTGAAATGCAACGAAAAGTCATGCCTCTGATTCTTTCTTTCTGATGTGGTTGCTTGCCCTTGCGTATTTGACGGTGTTCCTTCTAACCAAGACAGTCTTGTCTTTCTGCTTCAAGATGATTACACTGTGTGACATTAACCTCGTAGGCAATTCGATATAGGTCTACGTCTTGCACGAGCCTCACTGTGTATATATCGTTATTGATTGCTCTTCACGATCATACACCCGTGCCCCTGAGACAATGCGGTTTTGAAGTGTATTATGACCGACCATGTGGCGCTATTCAACTTAACACACCAGGTAGTTATGCTTTTCTGTCTGACATCCCTACCGACACCTTACTGGCTCTCTGGAGTGCTCGCTAACAAAGGATAGCAAGATGGAAATGTCTATTCGGTATCTTGATTCATCCAGCCTTTCGTTCCTTCAATGTGTGAGCCTCTGCTTAGTGACCGAAAGGCCTGCTCAACAAAGAGTCAATATGGTATATTGTTACAAACATGAGAGGGGAGTATAAGGACTGAACATCCCCCACGTCACTAAATAGCTGTCAACCTTACAGAGCCACGCCCACACGCTTGCCATCCCCAGACCCATCGACATCAACCACTCAATCAAGGTACCCAAGCAACCCAGCCCCCAAACCCAACGCAATCGGCGCCAACCCCCAATGCACCCACTCCAGACCTCTTTGCTGCTTTCTTGCTATCCACCCATCACCCAACGCAGTAACCACAACCGCCATAGTCGTCCACCCCAGTGTTTTGATGTTGCCGTATCGCCAAACGGCGACCATGGATAATCCAAGGGAGACCTCTCGGAACCCGTACAGAGGGATGAGTAGATCGACTAGTTTTGCAGCTTCTGGTGTGGAGGGTTGGTCGAGGCCGAATGCGCCGATTGCAGAGCGTGGGCTGAAGATTGTCCCCGAACCGCCTAGGATGAGAAGGTGACCGATGACGCCGGCGGTGTTGATTAGATATGGAGAGCTTGATAGAGACATGACTGCAAATGGATACTTGTGATGGTACTTCACGAACGTCTTTAATATGCTGAGCTTCTGATGTGATTGAGATGATGATTCTATGGTGTTTAATCGTTATCAGATCTTCGTTGCTTGAAGTGTCTTTAAATACCACCCTTCATCGGTGCAATATTGGACCGCTTTAGCAAAACTCCGATGTCCTAAACCCGACATCAGCCCCTGCATACAGCAAAGCTGACACTCGGTTGCAAAATGTCATTTGAAAGGAACGTGACACTCTCGCTGATGATTGTTAAGCAAAGCCACGACTTTTGTCACCCACGGCTCCAAATGCGACTTCCATGCCTGGTCTTGTAGACAGCTCACAACCATCTGGACCAAAACCCATCATCCGAAACATGCCAAAAACGAAAAAAGCCCTCACAACCAAAGATGTGCCTCCTCAATTCCTTGAGGCTGCGTTTCTCGTCGGCCATATCCCGCAAATGGCATTACAGTCCGACCCACGCATTTCCTACTCCTTATACATCCCACCTTCGCCATACAAATCACTTGCTGCCGCCGAAAGCAACAACATGAATAAACTAGCACTTCTAGTAAACATACATGGAACACGACGCAACCTCTCCGCCATATACGGCGATCTAAAAACNTTTGCCGACTCTACACCTTGTGCGGTTTTGCAGCCTTTGTTTGCAGCTGGTATTGGAGGACCCAATGACTTGGACTCGTATAAGAAGCTCAGATCCAGGAGTTCGTCGTCAGATGTAGCTTTGCTGTCGATCCTTGATGAAGTTGGCTTGCGCTGGCCGCTTATTGACACCAACAGAATCTTCCTAATGGGGTTCTCTGGTGGTGGACAATTCGCACAAAGGTTTATGTATGTGTGGCCTGGGCGATTGTCTGCGATTAGCATAGGAGCTCCTGGAAAGGTGACGCTTCTTGATGACCAACAAAAGTGGCCCAGAGGCGTTAAGGATATTCAAGAGATATTCGGCCGAGAGATCGACTTGGATCTGGTCAGGACTGTGAACATCCACATGGTTGTCGGCAGCAAAGATACAGGAGCTCATGGTGGTGATGAGTTTAAACAATGGCAACAAAAGATGAAGAATAAAATCAAAGATACTGGCTCTGATGAAGATGCTTTGACCAACAATATCGAGTCTTCGGGAACTGGACAAGGAAGACTGGGTACTTTGCAAGACTTGCAGATGGCTTGGGGAGATCGAGGTATTGGAGCTCGTCTTGATATCGTGGATGGTGTTGCCCATTCAGCTGATGGAGTTCGAGGCTGTGTTTTGGATTTCTTGCGACCTCTCATGCAAATCGCTGGCACGGCTCAGACTTCCTGAGGTTTGAAATCAGAGCTGCCGGTTCTATCACAAACTTGTGAGACTGTATGTCTTATTCTCAGCTTTTTATGGTACGCGTCGGCAGGCCTTCGCTATAAAACACCCAGTTCTGCATGAAGAGGCGTGTTAGTTTACTGTGCACTGCCCACGCAGCTGTCCAGTTTGGATAACTAGCCACAACCTCATAACTGCTAATCGACAACGACCACTGGAGTCATTGCTATGTATAGCTGAAGCTGCAAGGCTGCAGCCTTGCATTAGTTCGGTACTCGATTCAGGATGTTTTGGTCGGTGCGCTCATGCATGCATCTGCATATACCAGGATTGGAGCGAATCGTAGACATCTCCGAGTTTCGAATAGGCAGTTCTGAGGCCACACACTATCCGAGGAATACAAAAGCACTCTGCGATAGACGGCTTGCGTAACGCACTAGCACCTCGGAGGAGTGCTCTTATTCGCATCTAAGCCTTCGATTTCGCCTCAGCAACATGCATGCCAAGTCACATCCATGTCGACTGAAGCTTTTATCTCTGGCCGCGTAGCAGCGTTTTTGAGCATACTTTCCCGGCCAACGTTGACAAAATTACCATGGCCGAAAATGCATCTCTCCTTGGTGTGGAGTCGTCACATACACCGACACGATCGGCCGGATCAACGAAGAACGATGATGTAGCAGTGGTTTCGCAGAGGCCTTCATGGCGTCCACTGTTTCTGCGTCTACCGACACTGCTCGTCTTCGCGGGTGTGTATACTGTCATGTTCACTTCTCTGGCCATCATGGCATGGATATCTTCCAGACAATACGGCATCTGCGCTGTTGATGTCCGCAATCGCTACTGGTGGACATATGGACCCACAGCTAGTATGTACTTCAAGCCTTATAAGGCCACCTAAGGTTGGGTATTCACAAGCGCAGTTTTCACTCTCGTTTCGCTTTTCTGGGGTCAGGTAGACTACGGAGTTCGGTCAAACATGCCATGGGGTTTGCTGCAACGAACACCTGCCAAAGCAAGTAGAACAGTCCTGCTCGACTATGTTTCCCCAAACACGGTCCTGGCACTTCTCCAATCGCTCAGATCTCTCGACGTAATTGTGGTTCTGAGAGTCTTGGGAACGATTCTGAACAAGATTCTGGTCATTTTGTCAACTGGTTTATTCGTGGTCGAAAGCGTCACTATCGTGGTCCCCCAACTGCANATTCCTGGCGGGAAGTCCTTCACGGATCAAGGGTTCAATGCTTCCACGGTGACGGGCCTATCTGGTGCCCGTGTCTTTGGATTTTACAACCTCAACATGAGCCTGCCGTTTGGTACGACTCCAGATTATGCGACTGAGATTCCTCCTTTCCCTGATGGTAAGTCATTCAGGTTCGTGCTCCGATCATAGCACTTACTCAGAACGCCAGGCGAGCAATCAGCAGCAACACTAGTTTCGCAAGTTAGCGTCTTCTTCGCAGACTTCGACTGTGTAACCGCAAGTAACGTATCAAAAACTGCACAACCTTCCGTTGGATCTGTGATGTATGAGTTTCCGAATGAGCATGGAGAGATGGTCCAGGCAGATGGTGACACTTCTTACGGAGTCCTCGGGACAAACGAGACATACTACAAGAACCCTTATATGGTCGAGCCAACAGATGGTCAGCCTGCTAACTGGTTGGTCGACATCGTACCTGACACATGCTCCCAGGTCTTGATATTGGTTAAATCCGCAGGATCTTTGTCTCCCGATAAACTACAGTTTGAAACACCGCCTATCGCCTGCGTAAACCCTAGCTCCAAGCACATCGATCCTGGCTTCAGGTTCGTCGTCATTGCTCCTTGGTCTGCATATCTCACCTGCAAGCCCACTTTTGCTCTAAAGGAGGGCACGATGAACTACAGTAGCGAGTCGCTTTCTGGNCTCTGCGCCTGGACCTTGGAAGGGCTTAGCGAAAGTACCAACAGCAAATTCAAAAATCTCACTGGAGAAGATTTGTACAATGGTTTCCGGTCATCGATGTTCGATAGTGGAGATTTGACAGATCTACTGAGAACAGTGTCAAACCAGGAAGACCCGGACGTTCTATATAAACCAGAGAACCTAGTGCGGGCTTTGCGAACGCTATATGTAGCTTCCGTTGCGCAATTTGCGAACATGCACCTCCTTGGTGACTCAAGCTCTTTCGAGGTGACCAGAAACGAGAGATTCGATCAGCCTCAACTACACGGATATGCTCTCTGGTTCACTGAAGCTATCCTTCTGGCTATGGTTACGATCAGCTTGTCCCTTATGTGCTTGTCTCGACAAGTCAGACTTCCACGCGACCTTTCATCAATCTCTGGCGTTACGATTGTTCTCGCTCGAAGCAGAAGATTTGTCAAAACCCTCGATGGATTTGGATTGGTTAGTCTTGCTCAAATCGGCGGACATCTGGAACCATATCTGTTCCATATGGCCGTCAATCAATATGTTGACGATGTCTCTGGTGAACCATTCGCAATCAGACAAATAGCTGGGCCTAAAGGTGAGGAAGAGGTCACGCAATCAGTGTCGAACAGTAAGAAGACCGGTGTAAACTCATCTTGGTATCGACCCCTGGTTGTCACCAGAAAAGGCAGAGTGTGCATCATCATCGTTACAATAGCTTTGGTGATATCTTTAGCAATCTTGCAACAGATGTCAGACAGCAACCATGGTTTCGTTACATTCATCAGCCACGAATTTTCCCACTATGACTGGCGGTTCGTGCCCGCAACGACATTTGTCTTATTGAGTCTGGCCTTTGGTTCGCTCGATGTACAGGTGAAGACATTCCAGCCATTTGTCAACCTTCGCAACAGCCCAGCATCAAAGAAAACGACGATCGACGAACACTATCTCAGCAAGATTAGTTTGCATGCTTTGTGGATTGCTTCGAGGAAAGCGCAGTACTGCGTTGTTGCCACAACAATAGGTGTGATTGTCTCGCACTTTCTCAAAGTCCTGAGTAGTAACTTGTACGCGACCGAACCGACCTACCATAAGAGCTCGTTAAATATTCGGTTGTCGGATCAAGTGGCTTTGCCAAACTTCACAGACATTCGATATATCTCTTACCAGAAGGGAGGAATGAGAGCAGCGACGTTAGTTCTTGACGACAACGCAGATCTACCACGATGGACCTTCGATCAATTGATCATCCCACGCCTAGAGGCCGAGGCTACGAACAACCTCAAAGCGTTAACGAACAACGAGCTGGATATCGTTCTTCCGGGAGCCAGGGCAGTCGCAAACTGCACATTGGTCGACTCCACCTTCCAAAACTATACTCTTGGATCGAACGGCACGTTATCGCAAATAGATGTCAGGTTCGATCTACCCCCTTGCGGCAATATCTCTGAAGTATCTGGAACTTCCAATTTGACGACCATCGCATACTCAAACATGACAGGTTCGTTTGCCTACTGGTTAGATCGAGACAGCATAGTCAATCACTGCCCAGAACATCTGGTAATCGCAGGAAACTGGAGTGCCAAAGACAAGAAGCTGAGCCTCATCAACTTGCATTGTATGCCTTATCTAGAGACCGTGCAAACGACCGTGCGTCTAGATTATCTGTCTCTACAAATCAATCGTAGTTACACGCCTATGACTAACGAATCATCTCGGAAGTTCCTGGCAAACATTGAAGTACCAGGAATTGGGCAACACCTCCTCAGCCCTTATCAGGATCCATCCGTCGGTAGTCTCGGTTCGGTGGACGGGTTCTTTGGCACGATCATCCGACAAAACCAATCACTAAGCAACACGCTAAGCAATTCTCAAAAACTGCTGAGCTCGGTAGAAACGATATACACCCGCGTGCTCGCACAGGTCCTGAACCAGAATCGCATACCGTCAGAACAAACAAAGACAGTCACAGGCACATTGTTGGAATACAACAGAACCCGATTGATCCAAGAAAGAGGGCCGGCATACGCAATGCAAGCCCTTCTCTCCCTTATGGCAGTCTGCTGTGCAGCGACTTTCCTACTCGGCCATACGAAACACATTATTCCCAAGAATCCACGCAGTATTGCCGCCATGGCTAGCTTGCTAGCTGGTTCACATTTGCTCGACGATGAGATTATACCGCCCGGCTCGGAATGGCTTAACGATGAGGAACTCAAGGAGAGGGTCTATTTGAAGGGTTGTAGCTAAGCATGGATTGGTGGAAAGAAGACGAGGATGATGAGCAAAGCAGCACGGAGCATCAGGCTGGCGGCGGTATGAGATTTAGGATCGATATCGGGATGGCAGAATGTGAGCTCCAGCCGACGCTCTCCAAGAACGAAACCCTCTCAGGATCGCCAGCCACGAGTCACACGGAATTACAAGATTCGGATCCCTCAGTCACGAATTCATCATCGTTCGCCGCTAGTGCCGCCACCACCACGGTCAGCGAAGCTGTACAGGACTCTTTAGATATCATGGCTATGGCAATCAATGGTGCCACGTCTTCTTCCATGAGCGACGATGGACGGCAAGCTCAGATCTGAATCAGAGCAATGCTACCGAACCTTCGGATTCGATCGCGGCTTCTTTGCCTTTGATTCCTCAGCACCGAGCTGACGGGCCCGGAGTCTAAGTTGAGTATAGACTAGTTTCAACAGAGACTCCACTCCTCGCCAGACTCTTGCAATCGAGTCTTCAACTACACCTATGAGTTAGCCGTGGTGTCCTACGCGTAGGGTGTCGACACACCTCGCCCCCTCGATGTTTTCTACAGATTAGTTGTGTTGACTTGTGCTCTGTATAAGAATCATGCTAGCTAGATCTGCTTACGTTGTTACTGTATAGAACTTTACTTGACTACAGTGTAGCCAACAGTGACTTCTTGATCCGATGCATACATATATGTCTTGTTCTCACCGTATCAGCTTGTACCTTCTTTCGTACCTCTGAAGGTGTTTTGTCCAATCGTGACTCGTTCCTTCCTTGCGCTTACTATGTATCGCTTCTGTCCTTTCTTGTTCTTGAGTTGCTTCTTCTGTTCTCT